CTGCGTTTCGCCTCCCCTGGCTTCGATTCTGTGGTAAGAGGTCTTGTGCTTCTTTACTTTGGCTTTTTAGTTGGGTATTAGGTTTTGGAAGTCGGAGGCTCGGGTTCTATTATTTAATTCATATGGATTTAGTTAGTCGATAAAAAAAAGGTTCGTAGCTGATGTGATATGTAGAGTGTGATTTTGGTGTAGGTTGGACCTGCAGGATTGCAGGATTGAAATGACGTTGTTGTTGGGTAGCTAACTTAGCTCCTGGGGGGTATGAGCGATGAGGCGTTCCCGAGATCCTGGATCAACGGTGATCGTGCAGGATCGCCCATTCCAATTTTTCCATTCAGTTCCATATTCCATATCTTCCATTTTACTTTGTAATACAAGGCAAGCTACGACCTGTGGATAGATGGAAATTAGCGAAAAGTATACCAGATGAGGCAAAGAGGTAAACCATCGCATTGACAGGTCGGAGACTAGGAGGCAAAACCCAAAGTCAACCAGGGCGGAAAAAAGAAACGAAAATTATAAAAAAAAAAAAAAAAAAAAAAAAAAATAAAGAAAGAATAAAAAAAGACGAAAACGCCAAATCGGGCGAGCTGCAGAAAGTTCTTAGATTGCGGGGTTAAGGTTGCAGCTTTCTACTAATTCACCGAGTGCCCCGATTGGCCCGATTACCTAGACTCGGCATGAGTCCTGTATCGAGAGCACTAACCAAAGCCTATCACCTACTAACGGCAACAGAAAACAAAAACCTGAACACTGTAGAATATATACAAGTCCTAATCCCAGTCTCGCCTGAACCCTATCAGCTCGATCCACAATTCCCCGCCGGCCCCCAAACCATGGTCCCCGCCCGAGTTCGATCCAGTTGCAGACCCCGTGCACTGCTGCAACCGCCTGATTGGAAGGAATATGTTGGATTTGGTTATCCGGCGTGCTACACTTTCCCCGTTGGGAGATATCTTACGAGTTGGTTTTGTGGTTTCGTGGCGTGGGGGTTGCCGTATGAGCCGTTGGTCCTGTAGTCCTGCACGGGCACGTCAAACAGGGCATTGAACTTGGAAAAGGGGTTGGTTCGAGCTGGTGATAGGTTATTTCCTTCGCTTCCCTGATCGGCAAAAGGTGCATGGTTGCTGGGTTTGGCTTTTTATTCGTGGGTTCTGGCTTGGACCTGGGTCTGGCTCTCGGTTTTTGCGTACCTGCGTTTTTTTGATGAGCTGATCAGCCCAGATGGAGGGTGCTTTGCGTTGTGAGGCTAGAGGATTTGGGGGCGGCGCGGGGTGGATACTGTCAGCTGGTATGGCTTAATTTGGTAGCTATCGTTATCTAGGCCTTTGTATAGAACTGTTGCCGGGTACTTTTATGTACTGGAGCCTGAGTAACTTTCAGTCCGGGCTCAACTCAGCTGACACGTGATCATTTCGGTAAGTTATAGTTTTCGGACTTCCATATGTCCGACTATATTCTACCTAGGGTAATGATTCTTGAATCTTGGTTTTGCTAAACATGGCGAACATGTGAAGATGAAAGTCTTACTGCCACGGGCGTTAAAAAAATTGAAAATAATAAAGATTGCTTACAAGCAATTTTACGGAGCCAGCAGGAAAATGGCGTGATGCGCAGCTTCTAGGAGTATAAGGCGACATACTGGGATAGTTCGGTGCCTTCTCTTTCATTCAACTACTTCGGTTTTGAGTGATTCGCCCTTTCTTATCACTACCGAATATACTTGCATCTTCCTTGGCTCGGGCAAGGAAAGACTGGCATTGTCATTATGTGAGCTAGAAGTTCCTACTGTGGTGGGCCGCCGTTGTCCCTTTTTTACCTCCAGTACGCATGGCTTTTAGAGCTGTCAAGAAATCTATGCGGTGGCGTTCCTATCAGAAAACTGCTCTGCAAGGTGTGGCGGCATGTCAGACAAGTCACAGGAAGAGCCAAAGTCCACTTCACAAGTCCGGGAGCTGACAGGCAGAAGGCTCCTACGGAGGAGAGAGGGAGAAGAGAATCCAAGAGGACGATGATTTTCTATGGAGGAGCAGCAGACTAAATAGTCCTCTGGACTAAGGGCAAGCAAAACAAAGGAGGTCTGATCCCTGGGCAAACACATTGCCTGCCAGGAGTCCAGCAATGCCTTGACAAGGATCTTACAAGCGATTCAAAAGCCTAAGCATAGTTAGTGTCACAATGGTGGATTTGACAAAGCTGGACTGTGAAGCCCGGAGGCTCTAATGAAAAGGTTCGCCAAGGCGTCAGAAGGATCCACTTCGGGTGGCGCGTGCCACCTGTTAGCCTCCCACCTAATTATTGACATCAAGTCCAAGCTCCGGAGCCCAATGCAGGCCTAGGGTCTCTCTGCCAGCAGGATAGCGCAACGATAGAGCGTCGTCTGGCTTTCAATAGTAGGGACAGAGGATAGTTGTGGCTATCTTTTTGAGATCCTAGGAGGACGCAGGTTCGGATCCTGCTGTCGGCTCGAAATATACCAATTGAAGTCCCACTCTGCGAAGCGGAGTCGATATTCATGTGCTTCCTTCCGGGGCTTTAGCTCCTATATGGCCTTTGGGTCACTCCCTACGAGGTAACTCATTGTTACGCCCTGGGTTAGGAAAGTAGGTACCTCGCTCGAGGAATGACCTTGCAGAACGATGGCAATCAAGGAAACTCAAATGAAGTATCTAACGCCATCTATAGAGCCTAAGGCTTTCATATTCTAGACATAATTCGGCGGATAATTAGGTGAATCGAATTTAGAATCTTCACTCTAGGCGGAGCTCTCAAAGTCTTGCTCAGTTGTACTCATCATAAAAAGATAACACTAGAATACGTGAGCCTAGAACGTAAAGAAGAGGTTGGTAAGAAATTCCGCTGTATGTAACTGGTTATAGTGAGTACACTCAAAAAAAAAAAAAAAAAAAGAAAGGAAACCCCATTTTGCCAGAGGCAAGAACTGCAGTGACTACAATATTACACTAAGGTCCACCCATAGGCATTCATCTAGACCACATCATATCACATTCATATCATACCATATCACATTCCCCACCAGCACCCCTAAATTCTGGTTCTCGATCCAACAAAATAAGAAAAAGACACCCAAACCCATCTCTTCCCACCGTCCTAATCGGGATGAATTCCTCGATATAGATTATCCAATCATATCAACTCTCACACCCGGATATCCAGGGGTGTACATTTCCACCAGCCTGGGCGGGCCTTCCGATCGATTCATGAGGAGTGGGGCGTGGCTTGCGAGAACCGGATTCTCCGGAGGCGAGGTGGCTGTGGAGGTTTGCTGGGGAGGTCAGCTGGTTTCCCCAGATTTCTTGTATGCAGATAGGTCTAGGCTTAATTGGCGTTCTTAGGCTTCGCTTGCACGTTCGTATTCTTTGGTATTTGGTATTGCCTATCAGATTTACGTTGTCGCTAGAGGCTTTTGTGAACCGGTGGTTGTGTCTTATGTGAGTGTGAGTGAATACTCTCATTTGATCTTCTTATGTGTAGTATCTAGACGATGTTCTGTGTTGGATTCGCCATGTTAGTGGCGAGGCCGTGGTAAGGAGAGTTTGTATTGCATAATATGACCCTCGGTGGTTAGTTCTAATTATCATGATGGATACGTATAGACATTAGGCGTAGACAATAGATGGAGATATAGTTTGCTTACGATTAGCGCTGACATCAGACTCGGTTTGTTATTCCGAGCTCGGATTTTACTATGGTTTGTAGATTCCATTCAAAGCCAGACATTGTATTTGGAATATCTTCCAGCGTGTTTCGGCGTTTAAAGGCCGTCATATATGGCAAATCTCAGAAAATACAAGTCTGCCGGAGAGTGTATCTCCTTAGGAGAATGACTATTGATTGAGTTGAGACAAACAGGTAATGTTTGTTTGACAAGAGTTTTCCTACTCAGGGCTATACTCCAAAAGATAAAGAAAATGCTTAAATACAATAACCAGATAACCAGACCCCAACCCCCCATATCTACACTAAGCAATGTCGGAAAGAAACGAATTCCCTAATCCGGCGAAGCCGAGTCTGCAGCCCACCAAATCTGACGAGCGAGTAAAATCCCGCAACCAGAGTACAAGAAAATGGCAAAGACTTGCATGTAGTACAATAGCACAATAGCACAATCGCAAAAGCCAATTAGAGAGTACGTTACACGCCAAGGAAGATCATCAAGTGATCGCCATGATCGTGTCATAAAAAAGCCAATCTTGCATGTCTAATCTCGGGATTCGAGGGCGGTTACTAGCAAATGCAATGCGATCTGCGATTAGTGTGGTCCGCTGATGTGATCTGTGCATGTGCAGGGTGGATCGGTGGATAGCGTTGCGTGTGTCGCGCGGTTAGTGTGCCGTTGGATCGGCCTGGATGGGACAGTGAGGGCACTGAGGTGGTGAATTGGATTGGTTTTGAACCAGGGGGAAATGTTTCCGTTAGGCTTCTTTTTGTTCTCCTAAACCCGAGGGCAGGGCCGGATTTGGTATTCTTTGCTGGATCGCGACCCGATTTGGAATTTGGAATTTGGAATTTGGAATTTGGAATTTGAAATTTGAAGTTTGGAAAGTTGCATCATGTCCGTGTTTAAGCGTGAGGGTTGTTTAGCCATGGGATTGGTATCTGATCTCTATAGAGACATGGTTCGGGTTCGGAGTTGTCCGGCGTGTCGATCTTCGCTGGAAGTGTATAATGTACCTATTGGGTTTGATATGCTCGGCAAAGTTTAGACCAAAAATTGGTAGAACAAACTACATGTACTAGACGAGTGATTTGACATAGTATTTCGTAATGCTAATCCACAGAGGAAATCATATCCGCTGGTAAAAATGACAATGAAAGGTTCCCACAAGGCGCAAATTCGTAATCTGTGACAAAGATCCATGACTGATGCGAGCGTGCTGTCCTGATAGCACAATTGAACATGTCGGACATAACGAGTGGACTTCTATTTGCAGCGTAGCCGAGAACAGTGGTTCAAACTTCGAGTCTGGAATGGTTCGTTACATGCCGCGGCTGAAAAGCTCCCGGCCAATATCGCCGCTGCGGCGAACACTTAGACTCGACGAGCTACTGCGTCGACGGCGGCTACGAGACTCGGCTGGATCAGCTGGACTGAGTCCGCTGGCTCGGGCGTGTAGATTCAGAATATCAGTCAAGCTCACGACTCCAACTAGGCGTCCAGAAAGTCGGGCTCCATCTAGCGCTGAAGCAGGAATTGAATGAGTAAGTGGCGGTGGAACGGCAACTCCTGAAGTAGACTGAGAGCCTGAATTTGTGGGCGCGAAGGATAGAGGAGCTGGGTGGTGCGGAGCTGTGTTTTGAGCGGACTGTGCTGAGGGGCTCAAAGGCGGAGGAAGAGGAGATGCTGGAGGTGAGTTTGCAATATGCGATCCTGCAGCTGGTTGGCTTATGTTAGGGGGAAGAGGGACGTGTGCAGCGGAATGTGATGGAGTTGGCGGTCCTGAGGAGGATGGGGACATTGGATCCGTCACCCAGAGTCTAGTGAAATTAGTATAGATATCCTGACTGTTAATGTTTGGAGTTATATAGCAATTACCGATGTGATTTAGTTGCCACAATCTTTGCGACTGTATGGGCCAGTGTCGACCCTGGATTGACGTGGAAGACAGGGAACGAGTCTTTGCCTTCTATCAGTCCTCGTGTAGACAGGATGACCGAAATGAAGTGGGTGCAGGTATTGTGAAGAAGTGGCAGTGAAGATGACCGGGTCAGGAGCTGTCAATTGTTAGTAGACGTATTGCCAGAGGTGGCACATAACATACCTTGACGTCTGCTGTTGAAATGTTGCCAAGGACATTCATGTGGCTATCGACCACGACAATGGATGATACGCCTTCATTGTTCATGACATGTAAAGCTTCGCAAAGAGGTTTGTCGCCACTGTAGGAATATATGTTAGACTAGTTGCAAGCATATTCATGGTAAACAACTTACTTGATCGAGATCACTTCTTGAGATCCAATCCGCAACTCGCGCAAGGCTTGTGTGTAGAGCTCCTCGATGACAGGGAAGCTCCGGCCATTCTCCCAAAGGAATTTAACAAGGCGAAATTGGCTGAAGATTCCAACCACCTCTTGGGGGTTAGACTCATTGACCACGACGACTCGGTGAACACCTCCGCCAAAGGTCTCAACGGCGGTCAACACATTTGCCGACGCGGGCAAGTTGATGAGGGGTTCTTTCTCCATGCCAAACTTCTTGACATCCCGCAGCGGAATAGGCACTCCATCGTGGGCCTTCTTGGCCAGCTCTTCATACGATGCTTGGTGCGCTTCATCGGGGGATGTCAACCCTGCCGCTAGCAGGAGATATGAATTGAGGTCAGCGTAATCGAATGTGCCGACGGCAGAAGTGGCTTCAGGAGTCTCGCGGATCAAAAGTACAGCCGCACCGGAGTCAATCAAGACCTAGGAATCAAGTTAGTGAGAGTCGATTGTGCCGGCATTGATATACTCACGTTTGTAGCATCTTCGATTCCCGTATCAAGCTCCACGAACTTGAGATCATCCGGGCTAACCAGCTCTCCAATTGAGATCTCTCGCCAATCCCGACCGATAAACGCAGGGTCACTCTGCTTGGGTGGCGGGGGATTGTCGATCAGGCTCTGGATGGCGGATTGAGTGAGGGATGGTTGCCGGCGTGCGCGGGGAGACCCGGGGGGTCCGCGCAGGGACTCGCTCAAGCTTTGTCTGTGCTGGTGGTTCGGTGCGGGCATGTGTGAAACGCGGAGGTTTCGTGTGGAGGAGCGGGAATCTGTGCTAGAGCGCGGGGATGGAATGGCCGAGCCATTGTTGTTTAGAGAAGTGTCGGACCCATTGATGGGGATTTGGTTGTCCGCCATGGAGGTCAAGTGTCTCCTGTTTGGATGGGTTATCGAAAGGCAGGGATCATAAAAAAGTTGCGAAATGTAAGTCGTTGCTTGACTTATTGAGGTCATCAGGTGATGTTGATCAGATTAAGCGGGGTCGGCTTCACAGCCAATCAGAGTGAATATTTGTCATTCGCACCTGACATCATGCAATTATGTCATCATAAGTTGTTGCCTAGAGTGGCTTAGCGCGCTCTCTATTTGTTTGGTCTACTTTGTATAGAAACAAGGTGAAGGCATCATGAGTATGAGTTCAATTGCAAAGTAAATGGGAATATGGTTCAGAAGAAGTCATCCAATGTCATGGAAATATCCCTCCCTCTATCCTTCATAACAGCCTTCCTGACACGCGGATTAGGTCCCTCCACCGGCTCAGACCGCTTCTTTCCCCTCTTACGCTCCTTTTTCTCAAGATCAAGTCTCTGCATCGCAGGGTCTCTAGTGAAAAACACAACCGACCTCGGCCTGTACAGAGCACGTTGTGCCACCCGCTCCGGATTGTTGTGGTTGGCGGTTGGGAGTTGGAATTCTAGAATCGGGAGATTTGTATCCAACGTCGAGGGTTGTTTTTGTTGCCCAGCTGCATCTGGATCTGTTTCAAGATTAGATTTGTACACATCTAGCAGGGGCCCTAGATCTGCTAGTGCCTTATCCCGTGGTCGCCAGTCAAGTCTACTAGCCGACCAGCCTTCGATGGGGACTATATTGTTCCCAGGCTTTCGGTGACCTGAGATCTCTTTTGTAATCTTGTCGCATCCATACGCGATCACAAGCTGGAGCTCCGGTAGTTCACGAAGAGATCTCAAAGCTGCGATTGTCAATTCATGCTGATGGTAGATTCTGAGAATTCGGAGATGCTGTAGTGCTGTGGTGGACTGCCACATCTCGACCCAACTACGCACGGATCCATCTTGCAAAGAAGCTTGCTCTTTGGTTGTGTCTTCTTTCATTTGGCTCTGGTTTGCTCGGGGCATGCAAATCTCCAGAGCGACCAGGTTCTTGATATTTGGGATACCCGAAAGCTCTGTCAGAGAGCAACATGTAGAGGCAAGTGTGAGGACTGCTCTCCACCGGAAGTCTTTGTTGTTGAGCATCCCCATGTAAGCTTTCAGTGGTTTCCTGGGACTGCCAGTGCTTAGACAGTAATAGGGACTGATTTGAGGGAATTGTGTAGGGTACATTGTGGCCATGATTTTCCACATGTATAGTGACTGCTTGTTGCTATAGGACCGGTTAAATCGGTTCTAACAAGGCTGGTGAAGAAATCAATAACTCACCACCGGGCTAGAGCATCCCAGAGGTATTTTGCTAGATGCCATGGGACAATTTCGAACAGTTCGGGTTTCAGTTGCGATTGGTCCTTTAACAGCGCTTTCATTGCGGCATGTTTAAGGGATCCAGAGCCTTGGCTATTGGTTGTCTCCCATCCATGGGGCAAAAAGGGAAGTTCATGGAGCCAATTCTCACCCCGGGGGAAGTAGCCCTGGGGCTGGTTGTCTTGAAATATGATGGACATCATGGAGGAAACACGATCATGATCGAAGGGGTTGGGGCACTCTTTCAGCCTTTTCAAGGAATTTTGCTCTTATTTCCGTGGAAAACACCCATTTGTAGTCGGTTATTTGAGGAGGAGCAACGAAATGTGGAATAGAACGCGTAAATCAAGCTGCCAGAGCGCGTTGGTTGCGGTATAAAGACCATACACGTGACCAACATATTGCAAACACCAATTGCAAGATCTCTTGTATCAATATATTTTCAAGGGATATTAAGTAATGATCCGATATATTCTAGTGTAAATACAACCAAGGCCCCGCTGGTCGGCTGTAATGGTGGATGTACTGTAACTAAGCTTCATTTCGTCGCGCATACCGACTCCGAGCCTGCACCTGCGGCCCTTTCCAGTACGAAACATACGGCACAGGGAAAAACACGAAAGAGATACCACCCAGAACAGTCAGAGTCCAAGCAACGCCCAGGTTACGGCACATAATTTCCGAGACAATTGCCATAACACCAGAAGCAACAAGCCGCAATACTTGTAAACTTGAGAGAGCGCTAGCAGCATGTAGCTCAAACGAACCGGCAACATATTGGTACGATGAAACAAAGATGCACAGCACCCCAAAGCCCAACATTACCGACGAGGCAAGCAGGCTCCAGTAACTGATGGACTCTCGGGCGGTCCAGCCCATCCAGAACATGGAAATTGGGATAGCTGGCGCACCAAACATGCCCATATACAGACTGATTTCGGGGTCTGGGCGGTGCTGGCCTCGAGTGCGACTGCGAATGATCTCGCGGCGGAGAAAATACATTGCTATTGGGACGGCTGGTGCGGAGACGAGCACTCCGAGTTCGATGCCTAAGGAGGCGACGGCTGTCAAGCCTGTACTCCAATGATATATGTTCCCGTATATAGAGGCATAGCCGGAGATAAAAGTGTAGAGGATGATGACTTCGACAGCGAGGTAAAAGGCGTGGACGCTGATGATTGGCTCCGTCACGAAGAGAAGGATTGGTCGATATAGCGAGTTGCGTAGACGATGTATGAAAGAGGCTCGTTGAAGTCTAGCGGTGCTCGGTACCGGTCATCGCCTGTTAGATGGCAGAGCTCTTTGGCTTTCCAGTCTAGCAGGATGGGACTGTATGTTTCGGGTAGGAACAGCACAAGCAGCACCAAGATTATTCCTCCAAAGATAATGGTAATCCAATCCACCCAGCGCCAGCTTTCCCACTTGAATTGGACAACAAATGCCCCCGGCGTCGGTCTACCAAAGGTCCCGTAAAGGTAATGATGGAGAACAGTGGGAACATGTAGACTCGCTCGATGCGTGACCAGATGTCCACAAGAGACGCTGCTGCTAAAACAGCTGGGACAGACCCGAATAGGCCAGTCAAGGCACGGCAGATAATTCGCTGTACCACAGTCTGAGCCAGCCCTGCGCCCATGTTAAACAGCATGAACAGGATCATACTCGGAATGTATGTGGGGTTGCGTCCGAAAACTTCGGAGATCGGTGCTGTTACCAGGGCGCCGAGGCCATTCATAACCAGAAACATGGCTGGTGGACTCAGTTAGCTTAAGGATTTAAGTACTTGTTCATTAACTTACTCGTCGCTAAGACCTGGAGTTGGGTATTTGTACGATAGAGCGCCCTAGTTGATACGATGGCGGTGGTATCAATTGTAGAAGACCAGAAAACCACGCATGCAGTCCCCGACGTTATAAGAGTGCACGCTTGTCGACGTTTGAAGGTCCAATTGTGAGGATCCATTGGATCACATTCACCATCGTAAGTGACCATAATGAGTTTTTTCTTATTGATCCACTCAATATCAGAGCCCTCAAACTCTTGACTGGACTCTCCAACTGAACCGCCACCGGAGACATCGGTGGATGCACCAGCACCCGGTCGAGCTCTTTCAATTCCAGTCACCATTACATCAGTCGGCGAACTGAGGGGTTCTTGCGTGTTGATGGTATGTCGAAATCCGCTCGCTCGACGTCTCCATCCATCTCCAAATGAACTCGAACCGTATGGCGCGGATAGAGAGTTGGCCCATTTATGATGGTACGATGGCCATGCTCCTTCCTTCGTTCAGCAGGTAAATCATCATCCGGCTCGCGAGGAATTGTCCGAATTTCTCCATCTTGGTAAGAGTAACGGCCTTCGAGAGTCCAAACATCTCCGGCTTTTCGTGCCTTGTGACAAATTGTTTCTGGAGCTGTCGGCGGATATCACGGTGTTGGAAAAACGATTGCATCGTGCTTGAAGGACCTGCGTAATCGACAAACCATTGAAGCGTTGAGTATTGGCATTTAGAGCCGCTTCAAGCTGTTCGAAGGCAAATTTTGGTATATGAAGAAACTCCTGAGGATATGAAAGCCGTAAAGCGCCATATTAATATCATTCGGTCAGCTCTTCCGCCAGTGGAGCCGATTAATACTAGCCCTATTAGCCATATCTATATTATCTGGCTCATCCCATGAAGTTGGAGAGCGAGCGATATGCTGTGTTTTGTCCACAAGAAGAACAAAAAACACACAATTAAGTTATTAGGCAACACCAAAATGCGTTACCCATATGTACTACCCATATGTTCTCGCGATAGCACACCTAGATAGTTCTCTACAATGATGTCAGAAAGACCAATGCTTTTCGTCATCAGTTGATATCCCAAAATAGACAGTAATGACACATGAATAAATCGCAATCTCACCAAATTATCACATTCAGATTGACCTTATACAGTTGTGTGAGTTTTACACGAATAAAGGCGATATAGGGAATATTCCAAGGTTAAACCGACTCTTTATAGATCCGTGAAGAACTGGTCCAGTGGAAACTTGCGGAGACTAAACCCTTTCCGGCATTTTATGCCATTAGCTCGGGATAAAGAAGTATTTCCGAGCTGAACCTTTGAGTGAAAAAGTGAAAAGGATTGGACTGCAGTTCGTATTGACGAATTGGTCTGCATTTGGTATTTCAGCCCGGTGGGCGAGAGATATCCGCATAATCCCAAGTGTAGTTTGAACCTCTTGGATCGGTCCACTTTATGCCATTCTATTGATGTTGATTCCACCTTTGAAGCTCTATTCTGACAATTCTTTTGTTCAGTTGTAGCTCCTTCGTCCTAGATTATCAATCCATTACGGCAACTCACCTGGAACTTACAAGGTTACCTATCTACTGATGAACGAAGTGCTGTATCTCCATTTCTTCACTTTCGAAGTATACCATGGCATGTCTCTGCATGAATTTCTCCTTTCCACGTATCTATATAGATATCCTTACGTACCTCCATGAGTCTCTACTAATTAAGCCTTGATTGCCGCGGAGTTGATATTCAGCTTTCTCAACTATAAATCTCATATGTTCTGTATAAGTACTCGTTTACTCGTGAATCTATCTACCACCTCTTGTCATCAGCTTGATGAACATATGTAAGTTATCTTATATACGCTTAACTTATTTATTGAACAATCGACAGAATTTTCTTGAAACTCATATGATAGTGGATTATATTCAATATGTAAAAGCACGGAATAAATGGATTACAGGCCAGTTTGTGCTTAGAGCGAACTGCAACCCGAAGCGGCAGCCAACGATATTACAGAAAAAAGATAATTTATTCGGAGACACAGCTACACCTAGATCACATCACGTAAAGGATGTCGGTATCTGCAAAAGTCAGTCAGAAACATCCATTAATTTCACAGATAGAGAACAATAGCTTACCAAGAGGGTGGCTGCAACTCAGCTGAGGCTTCTGGCTATATTTGGTCGAAAGCTCATCACGAATGCTATTGAGCAGCTGAACATAGCTCTGCTGAGGGTTCTTGCGAAGAGCAGCAATGAAAGCCCAAGACATAGCACCAGTAGCCTGGCCAGCAATCTGAGCATCCTGACTAGTCTGATCGTCCTTACTACCAGACCACATGATGACATCGGCGGGGGAGGTCTTGGTCTGCTTGTTGCGCTCGTAGACTTCGTCGCCCTTGGTGGCCTTCTTGATGAAGCCCATCGCGGTGGACATCATGCTGCCCATATCACCACGCGCGTATGCGGAGACCACGCCGAGTAGGCCTTGGCCGGCTTCCTTGGCAAGGTTGGGCTCCTTGAGGATACCAGAGGTGGAGTAGATGTAGGGCAGATCCAGGGCGGAGCCGGAGTGGCAGGAGTCGAAGATTGCTGTGAGACGGACTCCTGGTTGAAGGGATCGGACCATGATTCGGTGCATCTCGTCGTCGACGATGTGGCCGGCGGCTCGGAAATCAACTGGGTAGATCACTTCGTCGTATCCATCGTCTTCATCACCATCCAGATCGGGTGTCTGGCCGCCGTGGCCTGCATATCTGTGTCAGTGCATTTCTAGCAGTGTCAATTTGCAGTTACACTCACCGGAGTAGTGGAAGAAGAGGGAGTCATTGGGCTGGGCATCCTTAACCAGCCAGTGCATAGCTCGCAGGATGTTGGCCTTGGTCGGCTGGCTCATCGGGTTTTGCTGGTCATCGGTCAAAATAACCATGTCCTCACGGGCATAACCAAAGGTCTGGTTCAGGTAGGTCGACATGTTCTTGACGTCGTTAATACATCCGCGCAGCTGACCCTTCTGACCAAAATAATTGATACCAATCAACAGTGCCTTTCGCTTGCCTCTGCAGGTGGAATATTGGAATCTGTAATTTTGCGGAGCGCCGTGACCGAAGGAGACGGGGTTGCTAGGAGGGGGTGGGGGACCACCGTTTTGTCCGTAGGCTAGATGTTCAGGTTAGCTTGCGCCGTATGATGATATCCGAAAGGATGACGAACCTGGTCTTCCTTGTTGCATTGGTGGCCCCGAGGGCGCGTGCTGACTGTAACCCGACGGCGGACCCTGCTGGAAGTCGGCGTCAATATCATAAATCCAAACCGGCATTCTTTGTCCATATATCGTCACATACATTGTATCCATGTTGCGGGGGCGCTCCATATGGCTGCTGAGGCGGTTGGGGTGAATGGCTGTATCCGTACGGGTTGGACTGTTGCTGCGGCGGCGGCGGTGCCTGGTGGTAAGACTGGCCAGGATAGCCGCCATAAGATGGTTGCTGCTGATGATGCATTGGTCTGCGGTTCAATCCTAGTCAGTTTCTCGAAAGATTTGCGCCAGAATCAGATAGGAGAAGCCATCGTACGGGTACTGTTGCGGGGGATAAGACTGCTGTGGGGGGTAACCCGGCGCGCCCGAGTAAGGCGGGTAGTAGGACATCACTTCAGTATTTCTCTGTGTCCACACGCCTTGGGGAAGGAGTAGAGTGAGGATTAAAGAAGATTGATAAAAGAGAGAACGCGATGGATGTGGAGTAAGGGAGATCCGAAGCAAAACAGATCGGAAATACGGGCGCCAAGCCTTGAACAGTTCACAGTTCACAGCCAAAAAAAGAAGCAGTTCACCGAGAGATTAAGAGATTTGAATATATCAAACAGGACTTGGGACTGTAGTGCCGAGGTAGGCTCGCGAGAGATCGTCACACTCGCCACTTACTAGATTCGCGTGTAAGGGCTTTATAAGGCTTACGATTGGAAAAGACGAAAGATTTCTCTAAGAAAAAAAAAAGAAAAGGAGAAGGTACTGTTATGGCTTTATATCTGACATGCATCGGCAGCCCCGAGTAATCCCTGTCAAGGCCGCTTATTAGGCTCGCACTTGCAAATTATGTACTTAGGTCTATATCTCCCGACACAGTTGGTGTCATTAGATCGTCTATGCAAGAGTTAATAGATCGGACTTGGCATTGTAATAGTATACGAATGTATCTCCGTATGAACAAGTTCTATTCCAAATACTGTCTGGCCGTGCGCGGATCGGCTCGGCCCTGAGATGCACCGGATAAATCACCTGCATGTAGATCGGATAGAACTTTCACTATGTACGGAAGACTGTATCAGGTCTGATTATGCCTACAAACTCTCTATTCTCCCTGTACTCTGGTAACAGAAATTTATCTCAGACACTCCAAGCCATGACAATTCATCGCTTAGGGTCCTTTTTTAGAAATATCATCGAACATCATCGGGTTATCCTGCATCAATTGGTTTAACCGCGTCGGGGCATACCACGGCCACGGCCGCGGAGGGCCCGCTGGGCAGCACCTGGTGGCATACCGCGCTGCTGACCAGGTTGGGCGGATTCCTCGTTCTCTGTGGGATTGTTAGTTATACAAGAAACAGATAGAACACTCGAGTCACTTACTTATCGTCTCATCCACACTCAGGATCAAGCAAGAAGCTTCCACGGCGGCCTGAATGGCGTTGACCTTGACCAGACTGGGCTCCCAAACAAAGGCGGTCATGTTGTCACGGACACCCTCGTTGTCGAAGTCCACACCAGCCCAGACGTTGCCCTTGCGGTGCTCCACGCGAAGGCGGTTCAGGATGTCTGTAGCGTCGAAGCCGGCGTTGTCACACAGCTGGCGGGGAATAACCTCGAGAGCCTTGGCAAAGGCCTTGACGACAGCCTGCTGTTTGTGGGGGACGTTGCGGTCGGCAAAGCCGTGCATGTAGCTGGACAATTCCATCTCGGTAGCACCACCACCGGCGACAATGGTTGTGTTGCGCAGAGCGCGCTTAACGATCATGATAGCATCGTGCAGACTGCGCTCCACCTCGGCAATGAACTGCTCAGCGCCACCACGTAGGACGAGGGTGCAAGTCTTGGCGAGAGGGCAGTCGGAGAAGAGGTTGAAACGCTCGCCACCAATCTGGCGCTCCTCGAAGGCGCCACAGGTTCCGAGGTGGCGCTGGTGGATGTCACTGCAGGTCGACTGGGTTGCGGCTCCGGTAGCCTGGCAGACACGGTCCATGTCATCGGAAGCAACACGGCCAGCACAGAAGATGTCACGGTCCGCAAAGTACCTGCAATCACGTTAGCTGGAATGATCTAGCCCATACCAGTAGAGTACATACTGTGTAGCAAGATCACCGATGGGCAGCTTGCTGAGCACAACCTTAGCTCCAGTGTTGTAAATAGCCTCAAGCTTGTTGTAAATAATCTGCCACTCGGCATCGACGATAGCCTGGTACTCTGAAACCTGCTCAACACGGACCTCGGCGTTATCCTTCTCGCTCTTCAACTCAAGCTCGACGTTCAGGCACACAATCCCGGGGTTCTTGAAGTGCTTAGGTTGCTGTTCAAAACCGGCGTAGGAGAAGGTCTTCTTGAAAGCTACACCGTCGACGAAAAGGGAATCCTGGAGGCCACCACCGGTAATCTTCTTAACGCCGATCAACTTCTCGTTGAGATCATCCTGGTCGAGAGAGAGCACAGCATCGACAACCACTATAGCACAACCGTTGTTAGCGTTGCAGCTCGTTGGGGGAACTGGACAGGGGGCTCACTCTTTGTGAAAAAGTCCGAATTCCGCTTGATGAGCTTGCTGTTCATGGCCGTCGCTGCTAACCGTCTTAGTGTCTCGACCTTCTTCTCCTGGGTGACCGACGAGTCCATCATGTCCACCGCAATCTCCTTAACCTTGTTGACCGCCATGGCGCTTGCCCTCCGCAGACCCTTAATGATGGTCTGCGAGCTGACACCCTGCTCAACGAGATCACGGACCTCCTTGAGAATCTCACCAGCGAGGACCACGACAGAGGTTGTTCCGTCACCGACTTCGGCGTCTTGGGACCGGGCGATATCCGTGAGGATGCGGGCGGCGGGATGCACAATATCCAAAAGCTATCAGATGAATGTCAGAACCATCTTTCATTGCGCCCGGTGTATGATGTCCGATAATTTCAACGCACCTTCATAACTGTAGCTCCATCGTTCGTAATGGTCTGTCTGCCATTGGCATCGACAAGCAGGAGATCACCACCGTAAGGACCGAGAGTGCTCTTGACTGTTGCCTGCACGGCGACACAAGCATTGATGTTGGAGATGATCTGGCCCTTTCCCTGAGAAGCATCTGTGCCTGTATGTCGAAAATGCAGTTAGCACTCTGAATCCCACCAAAACTGCCCGCACTGAACAACACATACCCTCCTTCAGCACCACAATCGTGGGGGTTTGGCCGGCGAAGGCCATTATGAAATCGGATATTACCGTTCAACGACAAAAAAAGGAATAAGAAAAGGGGTATGTTGAGTTGGAACGTCGGAGGGGTTGATCTGCCAAAATTTCCCAGAGCTGTTCCCCCAAAACCCCCCAGTCGCGCAAGGCGGTGACCAATCAGGGCTCCTCAACCCTACGCATCAAAGGTATACCAGTACACAAACTACTCGAAAAAAATATAGTGTGTACATGAATTTATAATATGTCATTTGGGAAGAAATAGGATGCTCAGCGTTTAGCATAAAACATCCACTGCCCACGGTCAACTGGTGGAGTATCGGTATCCCAGACCAGGTCTTCACGCCAAAGGAAATACCGAAATACCGAAATAAAAAGATAATAAGATACAAAAGTCTTCCCAAAAGTAATAGTAGGTTTTTCACGTAAAGTCGTAATTCCCGTCTGATGGACTCCCATACTCGTACTTGGCGAGTAAGTCGGCATCATGCTGCATGTCGTGTGTGGATGGGTTCACCAGCCCAAGCACATCTTGCCGGAAAGGATCTGAGCCGTCGTCTACCATCATTTGATAGGCATTGCTAGCCGTATGATAGCGCATTGCATCGTCAAAGTTCATGTTCATATTATGCGGCCCGGGGGCAAAAGAGCCCATGGGGTGTTGTTGTTGGTAACGTCGTAATTGGTTTAGTTGCATCATTTGGGGGTCCACTGGCATGGGAGCGAATCCAGCCATGGGATGTACTGTGCCAGGCACAGCTGTCGAAATGGGTTGGTGCATGAAAGGATTGTGGGTTGGAGTTTGCTCGGGTGCTTCCTCCATCGGTTGGTCCATGGGCTGGTCTATCCGCTGCGGCACCTTTTGAGTCGGACGCGGTTCCATTGGGCTGGCCTCGATGCTGGACATATTCTCCGACACAGTCTCCGAGGGTGGTGAATCTTCTTCTTTGGTTCCGGGAAGAGGTGGTGCCTTCACAGTTTCTTTGCATTGTGGGCAGTCACGAATCACCCGATTGACAGTCTCTTTGATTCGTACCCAATGGTACTTGACTGCAATAGCTGCCGTGGTTTTATTTATCCCAGCATGCTGCTTGAGATGAACCTCTTGAGAGATCTCGTACTGCTGCTGCGGGTCTGATACCACCTCTTTGTCCTTCAGCATCAGTCTCTCGGGCTCGCCGTCCTCGCCGCCAAGGAGCTTGTAATGTGTCGCTGCACTGCGAAGCCGACTCTTTTCAGCTCGATCAGCACCACGGGGGTATTTGTCATGCTTTAAGTAATAGCGGATCTTCTCGAATCGATCTTGAGACACGGAATCCTCGCCATCCAGACTCAATCCTCTACCGTAGATGATTGCATCAACAAACTCTCCGGGTTGTGATTTAAGTCTGCCTCCACCAGGGACCCGTCCAATTCGTTTGAAGCCAAGGGAATCCCATAATCGACATGATGCAACGTTGGACTCATAGACCAAGTTGAAGACAGCATATGTATAGCCCTGCAGGGATTAGAAAGTTGGATTACAGCGTTGGCATCGGTACTTACCAAACGGGGCGCCCATTCCAGATACGCTTCACCCATAAGCCTACCTACACCTTTGTTTCGAGCAGCGTCTGTGACAATGAAAGTACCGTTGCAGACATGACTACTACGACCAGGGTAGTTAGGCCGAATGTGAAAGCCACCAAGGCAGAGCTTGGTCCAATTTGCTCCGGCGCGGTCCATGGCATGTGTCTGCTCGGTGCTCTCAATGTCACCCAGAAGCATGACAACACCGAAGTTGGAGAACCAATACCGCCCAAACTGGGCCAGTGGAATGGGCTCGGTCATGGCATATGTATCTCCCTTTTCAATTTCTTTGTTGAATTGATCTGAGAGATACTGCAACAGGGGCCGGGGTATTTCCTCTGCTGAGGCGAAAGGTACCAGCGTGGCAATTGTAACTCGATCTCGTAGAGTGACCTGCCGCGGAGCCAGTGCAAGCGGATAGTCAAGCCCAGGGCCCGATGAAACGAGCTCTGAATCCCCATGTACATCAGACATGATGCCCGAATTTCCCGATTTCACTGTGTGTCATGTTAGTGCATGTCCAGTGGTGAATCTCCCTGTGAAATCTGGGAAATACGAGAAGAATATAAAAACTACAAATAACAAGGGAAAGAGACTTGACAGGGGGGTCTGTTCACTGACATTCTGCCCTGGCTTCTAGAAGGGTGTCCTCGATCGCACTTCGAGGACCGCGTGAGTATTCTCGAGTCCGGAATGGCCGCACGCAAGTCGTGGTCCCCGCTGACTCAGTGCTGACTCACCCACTCAGGCACAAATTTACTGCCTGATCTCTCAGGCCCGAATGCATATCTAACGTAATTCACATGCGAGCGGCCCACCCAAGCGAGCGGCCCAGCTCAAAACGCCATACTAAATGGGATAAATTACAACTTGATATCTCAACAACGGTGGTGTGTAAGAACTTCGCATTATAGCCTAATGCTTTTCATGTTGATATTTAGCCTATTTAGGGACTTTGGAGAATTTCTTGGACTTAGTGGTTAAGATATTTATATTTCTGGCTCACAGCAACGTAATTTTCGATATCATGATATTGCAGCCTATCAATTTCCTTGAAGCTGATATATAGCATTGAAAAGACTTATTAATGGCTATCGACAAGCAGTAAGGTAAATTGAAAACGTGGTTGTTAAGATATCAAGTTGTAATTTATCCCATTTAGTATGGTGTTTTGAGCTGGGCCGCTCGCTTGGGTGGGCCGCTCGCATGTGAATTACGTTAACTTAGTTAGTTACATGTTTCCTTTTTTCGGTTAGTAGTGCAATGGTGGATCTAATTCGACACCGACATTTGGTCAATCTGAGAGATCATCTTGCACTAGGGGAAGCTGGGAAGATGCCTAAGGCTCGTCTCGCCGGAGTGAGATCCCCCCGCCAAAAGAGTTGAAGTCCTCGATCCTGCAGAGTGAATCTGACTTACTTCAAAGCACGCCATAGTCCAGCAATCCAACATCAGACAGCTCATCTATATAATCCTGCAACATGATGCAACGTCCCCAGTTCTTCCCAAACACCTTGACCCCACCAACAATCAATACCGCCACTCTTGCCACGAGTCTTGAGGAACTTCGTATTGCTGTTCGCAATGGAGCTGAACAAGTAAAAGAGAACACTCCCCTCCCCGAATCTTGGGGTTCTCATGGCATATTTAGATCTTTCCCTGGTATTTAACGCCCCATTATCTCTAATTATGTAACCCATTTGACCGGTCATGCAGGTATTGCCCTTGCCTTTTTGCGCTTGGACTATCAATCATCTATGTTAGAAGACACCAAAGAGACCTCTATGAATTACCGTCAGCTTGGTCTGCAACGAATTCCGTCAGGTTTGCCAGAGGCACCTCTGCTGCCATCCCGCTTGTCACCAACTGGCTCTTCTTCGCCCTTGACTGCCATTACTCTACGTATTCTGGCTGCACTTGCAAAGGAGGACTGGGAAAATGGAAATGCCAATATCGCGGTGGAAGACATTTCTTGTCTTCTCGATGCTGTGCAGATGGCACTGAAGAACGAACATCTTGTTGCCCATGATGGCCGCAGAATGGGTGGAGATGAGATGATTTTTGGTCGAGCAGGACTTCTTTGGACCCTACTAAATGTTCGGACCCATACTTTCGATGAACAAACCCAGAAAGCCCTCACTCCTGTTCTGGGGAAAATCCCTGAATTAATTCGTGTGGTTGTCGATGCGGGGCGACAGGGTTCGAAGAGTTACATTGAAAAGAACGGGGATCAAGAGGCACATCCATTGATGTACGCATGGATGGAAGACCACTATTGTTTTGGGGCGTGAGTGATTCCCATTCTTCACAAACAGATCTATAACAGATCTATAACTCACTGACGATATCAAATAGGGTCCATGGAATCAGTAAGTATGCAATTGATCCTCTAAACCTGTAATATTAACCATAATCTGTTTCAGCTGGCATTCTGGCCATCCTCCTCTCGGCTAAACCCGATGAGTTGACTGAACATCTTCCCGTGATTGGTGATAGCATCACTGCACTTTGCAAGCTGTCCATTTCCAGTAATGGCCACCTCCCAATGGCATTACCTCCTTTCAGCTACGGACAACGCTCCGAGCTAGTTCAATTGTGTCACGGTACCCCGGGCCTATTGATCCTTCTAGCTGCTGCCTTGAAAAACACCGCCTTGACCCGTGCCCATTGGGATCCGTCCTGGGACCAGGCCATCTACTTGGGCACTGAGCGTGTCTGGGAAGAAGGACTGCTTTCCAAGGGAGGCAGTCTCTGCCACGGCATTTCAGGAAATGCCTGGCCATGGCTTCTCTTGCATCATACTTTCGAGTATTTGTCAATTAATGTGGACAACGGCCGAGAGGCATACCTCCAGCGCGCCCAGCTGTCAACGTTACCAAATCCAGACGTTTCCCAGAAGCTTACAGGCGACTTCTTCCTCTCGCGTGCACTTGCATTTATGTTGCATGCACGTGAGACTCGACCATACAATACCTCTCCCACATCTTCAGACAAGGACTACCGCATGCCGGATGCGCCTTATGCGTTGTTTGAGGGCCTTGCCGGCAATGTTTGTGCGTGGGCCGATACCTGCGCGGTGCTCCAAGCCAAATTGCGCAAAATGGAACTAATTGAACAGGGTATCTGCCCTACATCTGGCGTTCCAAAGGACGAAGCATTCCAAGAAGCTCTACGGAAGCAGGTGGGCTTCCCAGCTCTGGGTGGAAATGGGGCCACTGGGCTCTACTGAATGGCCCCCAACTATGAAGTGACGTCATATCAATCAACCCTTTCGGTTGCAGATAGTATACTAAGACCTTGGAAATGAATATACACGATCTCTATTGACTATAGTCTATTCGACTTTTGCTGTAAGCAGTCCCAGTAGTTGTAAGTTGGAGAGCCACGTGAGGTTGCCCTGTGCACGGACCCTCTATACATCGCCGTCAACTCCGTGGCTGTGTCGGGCACAAGGCCAAGGGCTCCAGGGCTGACTTGCCATCTCTTTTAAGCTTCGTTTCTGATATGCTACAGACATGACAGATATGCTTCCACCCACTATCCCAAGATCATATTGAAGCAACGGGGATGGATCTCATACCTCCGTCATATGAGTCCGCCACGGACAGAGATGCTTGGGCAATCATTGCTCATTATATCCCATCCAGCGACTTGTGCGCGGCATCTCTAGTCTGTCATCGATGGCATAGTCTTTTTGTGCCTTTTCTCTGGGGCGATCCAGCATCCCACTTTGGTACAGACAATGACGCAGTCTACGGTATGTCAATCCGAAATATATATAGTAGAACCATAATAATCCGATCCAATACCAGTGGCTCTGACTCGGTTCAGAAGAACCCTCAAATATGCCAGACAAGAAGTAAGAGCGATGACTCATACGCTTCATCTTCCACCAGCTCTGTCGGAAATATATGGTGGCCCCCGACCGGGTTGGTTGAGGGACATCCTTGAACACCTGCCATGCCTCCAATGCTTGATGGTTTCAAAGCTGCCGTTTTTTGATCATCATGCAATGACCGCATTGAAAAACAATCAGAGATCCAACCAGTACAATATACGTCTGTTGTTGGCTGAGCGTGAACCAAACACAACTTCTACAAGCCTTGCCGAGACTCTTCTCTTGTTCCCCACATTGGTCTACCTTGACCTGTCATATACCACGCCTGCGCGAGATCGTGGTGTTCTATGCTCGCTCTCCCAACTTGAGTATCTTCAAGTGTTGAAATTACGCGGCATCGGTTTAAAGGACAATGACGCCGAATTCCTAGCCAATGCAATTGGACAACGGGTTCGTTGTCTCGATCTGAGAGACAATATGCTCACTGATATGGCAGTCCGCTCTTTGATGCAGGCCTCTTTCCTCCCTCCAAATTGCAGGGCCCAGCCAAGACCAAGACGCACTGGGACTTCACCAGATCCTGTCTCTCAGTCTATACTCTACGGGTCTGGCTCGGACCTTTTCAAACGCCCGGATCTAGATGAGCAATTCATGAAACTTCTCGCCCAACCGATCTCATATCACCCGTGGGTTGAGGATTTACCACATACGGGAATCACTCATCTATACATCACAGGAAATCAGATTTCGGTAGAAGGTGTGGCAAGCCTTTTGGCCTCTTCTCGACTGCACGCTCTTGATTTTGGTACCCTCAAGACTCCAGATGTGGCACACAAGGCCCTAAAATTTGGAGAGAAGTACCCGGGAGCTGAAAAGCTGGTGCCACTATTAGGGAAAGTAGCAGGAGACAATTTGGTCTATTTTCGAGCACATCATGCAGTTCTCACTGCAGAACCACCATCCAAAGATGCTGCACCGACGGCCCAGTTTTTACCGGAGCTTCCAGCACAGGAAAGTCCTATTGAAGCTGACGACCCCGAGATTGCTGAAGCTGCTGAATTGGACGCATCTCGAGAGGTTCATGAGCTACCTGAAGAGACACGACCTGTTTTTGAACTGGCCGATACGTCAATTGATGAGCCAATGAGCCCGGCCCCAAATTTGCCTAAGATTCAAGAGCCGACGACGCATGAGGATGAGCCACCGTCAGCCAGACGTGGATCGGCTTTTGCGCCGGAAGTCGTGCATCCCATCCCGATACGCAATACAAATGGCAGTATCGTGCTAGGCCCGTCTGAGACAGGGATATCTTTCCCCGAGAGGGCTGAGGGAAACACGTCGCCATCTATCTCAATGTCAGAGTCCACAACGGCCACCGGTTCCACTCTCCGGACATTGCAATGCAGCTCCCCGATATCAACTGATGATCCGAGGGCACAAAGGATCCAAGAATTGCTGGCCAAGAGACCACGAAACAAATCAATTCCACTCCAAGGAGGGAAAGAAAGCCGGTTTCCCTACCTCCACCCATCGCATATTCCCCATATGGAAACTCTGGTTTTGACAGATGTACCGTCTCACGTTGCACCCAACTCATCAATCATCACAGCTCTCATACGGTTTATCACTGCCTGCTCCAATGAATCTTTGCTGGCGACTCTACAAGCTGGATCAGACTACTCTCTTCCACCGGGACAAGCACGCATGCGAGCCGAACAACAACGATCACGATCTCTCTTTGGTTTACGGCGATTAGTCCTCGAAATCACACCCGTCGATACAAAGTTGACTTCATGGAAACCCGGAAACCAATACAATGGCACTGGACATTCTAGCACCGGTGACCGTGATTCAGAGAACCTCTGGTCTGCTGCAGTTGATGATTTCAGTTTCTTTGGGGAAGAAGAGTGCGGAGTTCCCGAGAATGATCCGGGTAAATACTTCCCAATGGCTGTGCTAAACGAAAAGGTCTCGCTTATGCCGGATGATGACTCGGCTCGTTCGCCTGATTCTCCGTGTCTTAGGCATCATCCATCACAAAGTAGTATAAACACCCCGTGGCCATCAGGGAAACCTGAAAAGGGTAAACAGCAGCAGATACAAACTCTTGATCTTGTTGCGGAGCTTGCGGCGTTCCGTCGTGCCAAAAAGGCAGAGTATGAGCATGTGGTTCGCCGTGGGAGAGGACGCCGGAGCACGTTCGGCACCAGCGCTTCCAGCCTTTCTCCATCAACACCACAGATCTCTCTGACGAACTTTGTCGAAGGCCATTGGAAAGGGGAGGTAAAGGTTGTGCGGAACCCAAAGCCCAACATGCGGACCGGAATGGTCGACATGTATGGGAACCATTTCGAGAAGGGATACTTGTACCCATGAACTTTGTACTTAAGAGATACCCAGCACCAGAACTTCCATGCATCTACGTCATTGAACATGAGTTGTAGGAATTTTTGATGTTTTCTTAGTCCTATTCAGACTATGAACCTTCCTTCCTCCCAGTCATAACAAGCCGTCATCAAAGGGCTCATGCATACCGAATAAACAAAGAAGACACTGTAACTGTCTTCACTAAACGGTTGAACCATCTCTTTCATGCTTTTTTGCGTTGCCAATGTAGGAGTATGGCCGGCAGTTGTGGGGACCGAGCATTCACCCCTGCAATCCGGTCGACAAGAAGAGTGAAGACAAAATAAAAGAATTCATTTCAAACTAGTTTCATTTTATTTTGTTCGTTGAACGAAATTGAACCTCCTTACAGAGCCTTAGCGGCAGAGGGGGGCTGGAGCTTCTTGCCGTCCTTGTTGTAGCGGATACGGGGAGGAGGAGCACGGTTGCGGCGGCCGTCACGGGAGCGGACACTAAGAGAGATTAGTATATAGTTGGGGAAAGTGGCGAGAGTTGTGTTGCACGAACCGGACGATCTTGCCGTGGATGGCGCAAGAAACGCAGTACTGGAGCTTCAGGTACATCTTGGGGACGGAGTACTCGGCGAAGACGGAGGCATCGGAGATATCCCGGATGGCGGCAGACTCGACCATGTTGCGGATGGTGAACCGCTTGATGGCCTTTATGTTGTTAGTATGGATGTTGAGATCGAGGAATCGAGGATCGAGGGCGGAGAGGTGGTGATAGATTCAGGGATCAGGAAGACCATCACAATGCGTGCGTACCTTGTCCTTGGGGGTGCAGCGGGCGCAGTTGGAGCAGCGCACAGGCTTGACGTGGCCGCGGCCATTCTTGTTGCGACCGCTAAGAAATCAATTAGTTCTCTTGCCCCTATAGTTGCAAATCGGTCGAATTCAGTCTCCCATTCTTGTCGTCCGGCAATGTGTGGTAGTCGCGGTTTCGATGTTCGAATTGTATGTGCGTGTTCGTCATTGCGGAGATGTTGAATGGGATACTGCTTCGCCGAGGAGGGTTGTTGGTCTTACTTGTTCGCCCTCTTCTTGACCATTTTGACGGTTTGTTCTGTGGACGGTCAGGTAATGATCTTTGGGTGAAGGGGGGTAGGTAGCGTACGGTTGACTTGTCGGGAGTGGGTTGTCGAAGCTCGCTCACACACAAGTCTCGTTCGGGATGGATTGGATTGCGTTGTGCGGGTAGCCCTAAGCCCTTAAGCGAGATGGATCACGTGTTTAGCAGCCTTGGTGGCCAGGTGTCGAGATCAGGCCCTCATTTTGGCCATCACGTGGGGCATGACCAACGTGTCTCAATCTAGCCTGGTTGGGACTAGTGCCCCCGAATAGTACCGTAGGTCATTCACTACTGTTTACTCCCGTGGGCATCGGACACCCCTGTCGGGATCGACTATTGACTGCCCTTTTTTCTTCCGCCTGTTCCCTGGTATTCTCCTTGCTTTTCTTCCCATACCTGGTCTCACAAATCTGACATCCTTGTCTTGTTTGTCTCGCCCTATTCCCCCTTCCCTCCATTTTTGGTTGCGAGTTTCCCCTTTGGGAGTTATAATGTCGGCCACGGGCACTTTTCGGGGAACACCCAATAAGACGATCGGCAGAGGAAGGCTGCCCGACTTTGGAGGAGATTCCAGTGCTTCCCACATCCCTCGGCCCCGTCCAGAATCTTCAGCTACCACCCATACCCCGTCCAGCGACGTTGGAAGTGGCACCATGAGCGCCGCCAGTAGCAGACAACGACAGAACCAGTCGAAGCGTGATGAGGTACGTCATACAGGAGCTGCTCAAGTGTTTTATCAGAGCAATAGGCTGACTTTCCCAGGCTATCCGCCGCAAGATGGAAGCCGACCTCAACAAGAAGAGGAACGCCCCGACGAAATCAAGAGGTTCCCGCAAAGCCCCTCCCGGTACCGTGCTCGCCCTGAAGCCCAGCCAGGCCCTCCAGATCAAGCCTTCCCTCAGCATCGCAGAGGCCGCTCAGCTGATGGCTGCTAAGAGAGAGGACTGTGTTTTGGTTACCGACGACAATGAGCGCATTGCTGGTATCTTCACTGCCAAGGATCTGGCTTTCCGTGTTATTGGAATGGGCCTCAAGGCCCGCGAGGTTTCTGTCGCGGAGATCATGACCAAGAACCCCCTGTGCGCGCGAACGGATACCAGTGCTACCGATGCGCTCGATCTCATGGTGCGAAAGGGTTTCAGACATTTGCCGGTCATGGACGAGAATCAGGATATCTCTGGTGTTTTGGATATTACAAAGTGCTTCTATGATGCCATGGAGAAGCTCGAGCGCGCCTACAGTTCGTCTCGCAAGCTGTACGATGCGTTGGAGGGTGTGCAAACAGAGCTCGGCTCCAGCCAGCCCCAGCAGGTCATCCAATATGTTGAGGCACTGCGCTCAAAGATGTCCGGCCCAACCCTTGAGACAGTTTTGGATGGCATGCCGCCAGTCACTGTTTCCGTCCGAACCACCGTTAAGGATGCTGCGGCTCTCATGAAGGAGCATCACACCACTGCCCTGCTCGTCCAGGACCAGGGTTCTATTACCGGTATCTTTACCAGCAAGGACATCGTTCTCCGTGTCATTGCCCCCGGCCTTGACCCTGCTACCTGCAGTGTCGTCCGGGTTATGACTCCTCACCCCGACTTTGCCCCGTCGGATATGAGCATTCAAGCCGCTCTTCGCAAGATGCATGGTCAGCTTTTTTCACCCCATGTATTTGGATCATTGACATTGATTTTGGAATAGATGGCCACTACCTGAACCTCCCCGTGATGAACGAGGGTGGCGAGATCGTTGGAATGGTCGATGTGCTGAAGCTCACATATGCCACTCTTGAGCAGGTATGTTCTACATTGACATTGGAAAGAATAACTTACTAATCGAGTGTAGATCAACACCATGTCAACTCAGGACGATGAGGGTCCCGCTTGGAACAAGTTTTGGTTGTCGATGGACCACGAGTCTGACTCTATGGTCTCTGGAAGTCAGAGCCACCAACCGCATACCCCACACCGCTCAGTCATGAGCCCCGATCTCAACCGTTCAGGCTACGACAACAGCCTTCTCCCTAATGATTCCGCCTCGCATCATGGCGATGAGCACTCCGAAGTCGTCTCTCAGCACAACCCAGTGGACCATGCTACTCCCTTCCCCTTCAAGTTCAAGGCCCCCAGCGGCCGAGTGCACCGTGTCAATGTGCTCACCACCGACGGTGTCACCGCTCTTGTATCGCAGGTCACAGCGAAGCTTGGCAAGGAACTCGAGGCTGTTGGTGGCGAGGCCACCGTTGAGGAAGGCACCCTGAGCAACACTGGATATGCCCTTAGCTACATGGACAACGAGGGTGATACCGTCTCCATCACAACGGACCAGGATATGACAGACGCTATTGAGCTGGCCCGCCGTACCCACCGCGACAAGGTTGACCTGTTCGTTCACGACCCTACTCAGCCACCCATCCCTGCTACCGTTGAGCCTCAACCGGCTCCGGCTCCAGCTCCAGTTATGACTCCTGTACAGGAGCAGAGCGTTGTCGATCAAGTCTCGGAAGAATCCCCTGCGCCCAAGCCCCGCTCGCAATCCTTGCCCTCCCACTCCCCAGAGAAGGAGTTGATCGCGGGTGTCCCCAATGACTTGCTACTTCCCGGTGCTATTGTCACATTGGCTGCAGTCATTGCAGGTGTGTTTATTCTCAGCCGCCCCAGCGGCCGGTAAATAATCTGGCATATTGTCCCTCCTAAAACTCCCCTTCAATACTTCGCTCTTTCTCCAGATTTGCCTCATCCCGGGATTTCATAAACTTTGAAGTAGATCAGAGTCATGAGTCATAGGTTCTCGACTCTCATTGTTGCATACCCGTTTGTTTCTAATATTGATATTCTCTGTGGCCTTCAGATACCGCTGTTTGTGTTATGACCACTTGCGGCCTTCGTTTAGCCTTCAATGCAAATAATTTGTTCGAAAAGACGTCAAATAAATGATCTTGTAATTTTACCTTTTGTTCACCTACGAATAAACACCGTTAACCCAGTATCGTATCCAATATCAGAACTTCCCCGGCTCTTTGTATGAAATATAGTGGCCTGATTGCCTGAAAGTTACCGCATTGGACTTAGCGCCCGACAGTGAACATCGTCACTATGGACTTTTTTTTTAATTTGAGATGAAAGTAGATAGATGTAGTTTTCCTTGTAGATCAGTCCGAGGCTTAACGGACTTTGACCGTCTTTGTACCTTTCTCGTTGTGTCATGCTTCGCTGGGCACCATTCACTACACTCCCTGAGGGCCATCAATCGCTCTCCTAATCAGAAATTCTGCTTTTTCACCTTCCTCCCCGCCCCACCAAAAACAAAACTCCTCCCCTTCTTAACACCCCTCCACCCCCACCAAACTACATCTAAGAGGGTTGAAAGAACTGGGTTGCTTGGATTGTCTGGAACTTGGGAACAGACACGCCCAACATGTCCTTGCTTCCCGCCGAAGTCCACACCGCGCTTTCGCAGCTGCTCCGCGCCTTGAGCACCCCCGATAATACCGTCAGATCCCAGGCGGAGGACCAACTCAACAATGACTGGGTGCAGAACCGGCCAGATGTTCTGCTCATGGGCCTGGCAGAGCAACTCGGAGGTGCTGAAGAGACACTAGTAAGTTGGAAGACCTGACTCCAGGGGTGTGGTTTTTTTTTGAAGGGATGGTCGTTGTAAACGATCTGGATCCCAAATGGAGGCCATCTCTATACCTATCTGAGTGATTACTCGACGCTAACCTGAAACTCTCCGGATAGACGCGTGCTTTCTCCGCTGTGCTTTTCCGCAGAATCGCCACAAAAGCTCGCAAGGATCCCGCGTCGGGCGACACCAAGGAGGTTTTCTCGAGCCTGCCCAATGAGCAGCGTGTTGCTATCCGCGAGAGGCTCGTTGCTTGTTTGACGAGCGAGAGCGTCACCGATGTGCGCAAGAAGATTGGAGATGCCCTGGCCGAGGTGGCTCGGCAATACACCGACAATGGTATGCGAAAAAGGACCCTTTCCGTGACTATGACCACGATGGACATTGGTTTCTGACGGTTCAACTTTTGATAAATAGGTGAGCAATGGCCTGAACTTCTCGCCGTGCTCTTCCAGGCCAGCCAGAACCCCGACTCCGGCCTGCGGGAAACTGCATACCGCATCTTCACTACCACCCCCGGTATCATTGAGAGACAGCATGAAGAAGCAGTCGTGGAGGTTTTCACCAAGGGATTTAAGGATGATAACATCTCCGTATGTCATTTCACATGTATGCTTTCGAACTACAGGTTTGACGATGTTCCCAGGTCCGCATTGCCGCCATGGAAGCCTTTGCTTCATTGTTCCGCTCGATCTCCAAAAAGTCCCAGCCGAAGTTCTTCGGCCTCGTGCCCGACCTTCTCAACATCTTGCCTCCTCTCAAGGAAGCCTCTGAGAGCGAGGAGCTTTCTTCGGCCTTGCTCGCACTGATTGAGTTGGCGGAAATCAGCCCCAAGATGTTCAAGTCCATGTTCAACAACCTCGTCAAGTTTAGCATCAGCGTTGTCGCCGACAAAGAGCTCAGTGACCAGGTTCGCCAGAACGCACTGGAGCTCATGGCTACCTTTGCCGATTACGCCCCCAACATGTGTAAGAAGGAGACCGAGTTCGCACAGGAAATGGTCACACAGTGTCTGAGCTTGATGACCGATGTTGGTGCGGATGATGACGATGCTGAGGAGTGGAACGCCTCTGAGGATGTAAGAATGCCAGCCATTTTGTTTTTACATTGCAAGCTAACTATTCCAGCTTGAACCCGAGGAAAGCGACCTTAACCACATTGCTGGTGAGCAGTGCATGGATCGCCTGGCCAACAAGCTCGGTGGACAAGCCATTCTTCAGCCCGCCTTCTCCTGGATTCCCCGCATGATGTCTTCAACTGCCTGGCGCGACCGGCACGCCGCTTTGATGGCCATCTCTGCCATCTCAGAAGGCTGCCGTGATCTGATGGTCGGTGAGCTGGATCAGGTTCTGGCCCTTGTTGTTCCCGCTCTTCAGGATGCCCACCCCCGAGTTCGATACGCCGGCTGCAACGCTCTCGGTCAGATGAGTACCGACTTTGCTGGTACTATGCAGGAGAAGTACCACGAGATTGTTCTGACCAACATCATCCCCGTTCTCGCTTCTTCCGAGCCCCGTGTGCAGTCCCACGCTGCTGCCGCTCTGGTCAACTTCTGCGAGGAGGCCGAGCGTAGTACCCTGGAGCCCTACCTCGGCAACCTTCTCAGCCATCTCCTCGAGCTCCTGCGCAGCCCCAAGCGTTACCTTCAAGAGCAGGCCCTGTCAACCATTGCCACCATTGCCGACTCCGCCGAGAACGCTTTCGATCAGTACTACACTACCCTGATGCCGTTGCTGCTTAACGTCCTCAAGGAGGAGCAAGGCAAGGAATACCGCCTTTTGCGTGCCAAGGCCATGGAGTGTGCTACTCTGATCGCCCTGGCTGTTGGCAAGGAGAAGATGGGCCAGGATGCCCTGAACCTTGTGCAGATTCTGGGTAACATTCAGCAGAACATCGTGGATGCCGATGACCCTCAATCCCAATACCTTCTCCACTGCTGGGGCCGCATGTGCCGTGTCCTCGGCCGTGACTTTGTACCCTACTTGCCCGGCGTTATGCCTCCTCTCCTGACTGTTGCTGCCGCCAAGGCCGATATTCAGCTCCTCGATGACGAGGACCAGATCGAGCAGGTTGAGCAGGACGACGGCTGGGAATTGGTCCCTCTTAAGGGCAAGATTATTGGAATCAAGACCAGTGCTCTCGAGGATAAGAACACCGCCATTGAATTGATCACCATCTACGCTCAGATTCTCGAGGAGAACTTCGAGCCCTATGTTATGGAGACTATGGAGAAGATCGCCGTTCCCGGTCTTGCTTTCTTCTTCCACGACCCCGTTCGTGTTTCGGCCGCCAAGCTCATTCCTCAGCTGCTCAATTCCTACAAGAAGGCACACGGCCAACAGTCACCAGGCTTTGGTGAGATGTGGAACAAGGTTGCAGAGAAGATCATCGAGGTCTTGAGCGCCGAGCCCACTGTCGACACTTTGGCCGAGATGTACCAGTGCTTCTATGAGTCCGTGGAAGTTGTTGGCAGAAACTGCCTCAACGCGCAGCACATGCAGGCCTTTATCGACTCCGCCAAGTCAACTCTGGAGGATTACCAGATGCGCGTCAAGCAACGGTTGGAGGAGCAGGCCGAGCTTGAAGAAGGTGACGAGGAGAACCTCGACTACGAATACGCAATCGAGGATGACCAGAACTTGCTCAGTGATATGAACAAGGCCTTCCACACCATTTTCAAGAACCAGGGCACTTCTTTCCTACCGACCTGGCAACAGCTCATCCAGTTCTACGATGCTTTCATCACAAGCCCGGACCCCACACAGCGCCAATGGGCTCTTTGCATCATGGATGATGTCCTGGAGTTCTGCGGCGAAGAGTCGTGGGCTTTCAAGGACCACATCATGCAGCCCCTGGCCTCTGGTCTGCAGGATGAGAATGCAGCCAACCGTCAAGCCGCCGCTTACGGAGTCGGTGTTGCTGCCCAGAAGGGTGGTGCCGCCTGGAGCGACTTTGTTGCTGCCAGTCTCCCCAGCCTGTTCCAGGTGACGCAGCACGCCCAATCCCGCACAGAGGAAAACGTCTTCGCCACCGAGAACGCTTCCGCCAGTATCGCCAAGATCCTCCACTACAACGCCTCCAAGGTTGCGGCTCCTCAAGATGTTGTCACCAACTGGATTGAGACCCTTCCCATCACCTTTGATGAGGAGGCTGCCCCTTACGCCTACTCTTTCATCGCACAGTTGATTGACCAGTATGTATCACCCTCTCATTTTAAGAATCCCTATCTAACATAATAACAGGCAAAACCCCGCTGTCTTCGCCAAGGCCGACCGCGTCTTCGGATTCATCGTGCAGGCACTCCAGGCTTCTACTCTGCAGGGCCAGACTGCTCAACGCGTGGCCACATCTGCCAAGCAACTGGTGGCAGCCACAGGCGCAAATGCCGACCAGATCCTGGCCTCCGTCGACCCAGCCAGCCAGGAGCGCGTGCGAAAGTTCTTCCAGTAGAGCTCGGACTTTAGCTATATCCGATTCCTCTGCCCAATTTTTCTTTATCTTCCCCCAATCATTCCCCCAATCACGTGAAATCTGACTTGTTACCCAAATCCTGAAACGTTTCGTTAATTCCTGTCTCGTACCTATGAATGCCATGAGCTTCAGACGTCGGAGACACTGCAACACTTCATAATCCATTTGTAGTCTTTTCTATGTATATGCATATATTAGATCTACAGCTTCGATACCCGCGCAATCTCATTCGCAACCACCTCCTCCAACCCCATAACCCGAGGCTCCCCAATTGCCCTGTTATCCCGCTCTGCATACAGCGTCCCGCCCTCAGTCCAGATCCGCCGCAGCGTCAAAACAGTAGCAGCCGGATTCCCAGCCTTCCAAGCTTGCGTCTCCAATTCGCGCAGTCGCGCCAACGAAGTCCGAGAAACAGACTCCCACCTCTGCCCAGTCTGCCGCTCAAACTCGGCTTGGATCTTATCCGGAGTCGTCGTAAAGGAATTCACACATAGAGCAGAGTTACGTGTCTCGGCTGTGGCGTGGAGTAGGGTATTCAAAACGAGGGTCCCGACACTAGGAGATAGTTAGTCAATGGTCTCTCAGCCATATAACAACCTCCAAAAGAAGATTAAAAATCAGGAAAGGAAAGAAAGCCTCACTCCTTCATAGTCGTCAAACTAATCTCCTCGTCCCCCCTCTCCCCGAGCAAAACCGCCTTCCGGCGTCGGACATCCCAACCCCCGCCTCCTCAAGCCCAGGCACAAGATTCAGATACATCTCCGCAAACGGACCGGTAACAACATACGAGTATGACAGATCATCCCGCGAAACCTCATTCTCGATATACGCGCGCACCTTCAGTTTCTGCTGGTGCGGCTTCTCGTACGCGGATGCGGGCCCGTATTTGATATCTGTGCCGTACTCTGAGGGCAGGAACCATTTCACGCTTGGGCTGGCGGCTGCGAGGCGGATTAGAGGGATTTGTTGGGCTAGGGTGTTGCGGCCTAGGGCTGAGATTATGGTGTCGATTCCTGTGGGTTGTCAGTATCTATGTCATTGGAGGTGGGATTGGGATTGGGATTGATATATTGGGATTGGTATATCGGGGACAACGGGGAATTCAGACCTTCGTACGCGGCCTTGATAGCTTCCTCGTCTTCTACGCTACCGATGATAACCTCGACGTTCTGCTCCTTCAACTTCTCCAGGTGCGCGGCTTTGGTTTCGGCTGTATGCGGGGAAGTGAAGATTGCGACGCGGTTGAATTGGGCGCGTACAGGGAGGATGGCGTCAAGGATGAATGAGCCGATAGTTCCAGTGGCTCCGAAGAGGAGGATATTCTTGGCGAGAGACATTGTGTAGATGTAAGTGTAGATGTAGATGCAGATGCAGATGTAGACCTCGGGATGTGGCAGATTTCGAGCTTAAGTATACTGTGGGGTGCGGGGTTGCTTATCAATAGGTGAAGACTTTATCCGAATTGCGTCAATTTTGACTACGAAGCGGTGATCCATATATATTTAAAGGCAATGTGTGCTCCAGGGGCATATAGGACATAGCGTGATACTTGGCCCCTACCTATACGCCTAAGTACCTACATAATAAGTATCCTACATCGTTCTTAAGCTGGCGGAGATTCGATCTTTGGAAGAAGCACTTCAATCTATCTTCTCTACAGATTTTCAAATCAAAGAAGAGATACAAATTATAGAGGAGCAATGGCCCGAACTGAAATCACTACATGAAAAGGGGAGGACATTGGCAGAATGGAGAAACTAAAGAGAACAAGCCGAATGGGCTCGGGCACCAACCCAGACATAGTCCAAGCCAAAGAATGGCAACCCCGTCGATCCAATTTCTAGGATATTTGATGATTTATTGGAATTGTGTGGCAAATCGATCATATATTGTGACAGCTTGACATTCAGAAATCACTCTTATCATGCATATAGGCGTCAAAGTACATACTTACAACTTGAAATCTATAAAGAATACGAGAAACACAATAAGACCATTCTGACCATTCAATGGACAAAAAAGGGGTAGGTGGTAAAGTCGAACATCAAGATAAGTTATAAAGTTAACTTAAAGTCGAGGGACATCATGTTCGTGTGGGGCCGGAATCTTCAACCTCACCCTTTGACCTACATATATGTCTGCATTGCGCCCAGTCCGTCAAAGATCAAATCGAGCCTGTCTGGCTTGTCGTCAACGAAAAAGAAAATGCGATGGAAAGCTGCCATGTAACACCTGTACAGGATATGGCTACGACTGCCACTATGGCTCTACCAGCCCAACAAAAGCAGTCCAAGGGCCATCCAGGTCGCAGGCTAAAGCAGCTGTGTCTGAGCCCGACCTCAAGGGTACCTCATCCATCCCTTCGGGCATTCTTGATTCAACCAAATCACGATACGTCGGCAGATACTCCTCCGTTGCCTTTCCGCTCTGCGTGGGACTAGAGGTGCAGGCGGCGAAGCCTCCGCGACTGCATTCTTTCGGCTATCACACTGGCATCCGGAAGGAGCCTGATTCAATAGCCAGCCTTCAACTTGCCAAACGAATGTCCTGGAATACAGCAAGAACTCTACTGGAATTCTTCCTTGCCACCATCCATCCTGTATTTGGATTCCTCGACAAGGGCCATCTCTACGAGCGGTGCGAAACGCACTGGCATGGTCAACCACAAACCCTTGACTTCGAGGCTATTGTCTGTGGTGTGGTCGCACTCGCTTCGTTATTTAATGGATCGTTAGATCAAGAAGAAGAAATGTGGTTGATCTTGCATGCGAAGGAAATCTTAGAGGATCCTCTTGTTGGCCGGTTTCCATCCGTAGACCAAATAGCAGCATGGATCTTACGGACAATCTACATCCGCGCTACCACTCGACCGCATGTGGCTTGGATCTGCAGTTGCACCACCATGCATCTCGTCGAGGCGACAGGGCTGAACCAAGCACCACAGTTCGTCATGTTGACAACCAACAAGGGCGTTCAAGGCTCCACGCCGGAAATGTCGGACATTGTGAAAAGGACTGCACTGGTTGCACGTTCTTTGCATGTCATCATAGCATACGAATACGGCCGATCGGTCATGAACTTAGACTTCCCAGCCCAGAATGCTTTAGCCCTGTCAAATCAAGCAGGGGATTTCACTCCCCGCTTATGCAGTCTCGTTGAAGCTGTACCACTGACTCCGATGGGTGCAGACTCTGCAGCGACAATACAGGATCTCTCGTCGGCTATTAAGAAACTAGCAGACACACCTGCCGATCACGATTTTCTTGTTCTCGTCCGAGCAGATCTGGTCTTCTCTATCTATCGCCGCCTTCGTCTATTAGAGCCAAATCTACGACAAAGCCTGCTCGATGAGGTGATCTCCACAGGCATGTCTGCTTTACCCGCGGCTCGTGCGCTTGCGAGTCAAAACCAGCCATGGTGGAATGTCATCAGCACCGTATTTCAATTCGTCTGCGTTCTTTTGGCCATTGATACCCATGCTAGTGTCACGAATTTATCCGAGGCCATGGATACCTTGGGAATGATTGTGGACCATCTGAAAACACACCTGGCCACTGAAGCTCTAACTACTGCCCGAAACCTTGTGCGAGCTTCGCTAGATCGAAGGCGCAAAGGTGTTGAAATCTTGGAGGGCATTGTTGGACCATCCGCTTCAGATGATGCAGTGGAAGGTCCGGATTCTCACCTGCCACAAGATCTGGACTTTTCAACTTCATTCTCATATGATCAACATCCCGTTGATCTGGATTTCTTGTTAAATATGGACTTTCTTGCTTGATTCACATTATCTATATCGCTGTATTAAATAAGGACTGCCACTTTAGGATAAATGGACCCCCACCCTATCTCTCTACGGGATTAGGGAAGGCGTTATATTAAGTTTACTAATGTCCACCGTAAAGATACCTACTTTGTGCCTTGTTTGAAATTGAAGTGAATTTGAACGCTCTAGGTGTGTAGGCTCATTTTGATTCCAGCAAGGCACAAGGTATACGTACCGCGGATATTGAAAGTAACAGCGGTTTATTTAACATGGCCCTATCTATATTGGGATGGATCCCTCGACATTAGGCTACAACAGGGGACATAAATCTGTACAAAATGCCATGAAGTATGCCTTGAAGGGAGTGTACCGTTTCATGCGCTGTTTTCACCTCCTTTTTGCCATTTCGAGTGCCTCGGGTTGATAGTCTAGATCGTATAAAGATGGCTGCGTGAAAATTGTATCTCCAATAACTCATTCCATTTCAATAACAACCTGCTCCCCAGCCCTTCCATAACCCTCATCAACACAATCCTCAATCTTCACCGTCCTAAAAGACCCTTCATCCTGCGCACGTAACACTCCCTGCTCAATCCACCCCCCAAGAGACCGCAACAACCCCGCCGCATCCCCAATAGTCGGACTAACGGAATTACACCCAACAAGCGTGATCTCCTTTCGATACGCCTGGAAGATATCAAACGACACCTTCTTACTAACATCACCCCTGGGCGCCGCAATCCAAGCATAGCGGCCCTTCCGCGCCAACGACTCAACAGCAGCATCCATCAATGCAACATTCCCAACAGTATCAACAACAACGTCAACACCTTCCCCACCAGTCAATTCCGCAAGGCGCAAAGCAAGCTCTGCAGCCGTGTTTTCCCCGGGCAAAAGGATATCAGGGCTGGTAGCTTGCGCCCTCCGAGCAGCAGTCAATACCCGCCTACATCCCATAGCCCGGGCAATTTGCACAGCAGTCGACCCCACCGCGCCCGTGGCACCAAGAACAAGGACGATATCATCGGACTTAACTTGCGCTCTTTGTAGACAGATCAGGGCAGTGGTAAACGGTACGCCGACTGTCGCGGCTTGCAGTGCGGATAGAGAGGATGGTTTCTCGACCAAGGCTTCGTGTGGTACGAGGCAATATTGCGCGTGGGGACCATCATTTGTAAAGCCGAGACTTGATCCACTGGTGCCGTAGACTTGTTTTCCGATCCAGGATTTAGATGTGTTGGCTGTGTCGGTTTCGGATATCTCTACTACCGTGCCGGAGAAGTCTCGGCCTGGGATACGTGGGAGGGTCGTAGATGGGAAGAGGCCTTGGGCGTTTAGGCGGTCGGAGGGATGGATACATGCATAGTTTATTTTGACTAATGCGTGACCCGGTTTGAGGGGTGGGATTGGGAGTGTGTACGGTGATAGGGTTGGGGATGAGGTTGTTGAGCGGGTTATTTGGAGGGCTCTCATTGTTTTGGACATTTTGGATAGAGGTTGAAGAGGCTGGAGAAAGGTCAATTGACGCAGTGAGTGGTGTTAATATCCTTTTATATTCTCCAAAAGCTAGGCGATCATCTATGTGCTTGATCTATAACTTCGCGATGGCGATGCGGTATCGGCCCGCGGGCCGCGCGGGCCCTGCGGCAGGAAAAGTATACCTGTTGCCATCGATTGTTTCGGCCGGTCAATTTAGGTTGTTTAAGACGAGTATTTAGTGAATCCTGATCCCATTCTGCTAGGCTTCGTTTCTCCGAAAACAACCATCAAAATTCGCGTTAGAGAGTCGAGAGTTTGTTGGGCATACTTTTCGACACCATCAGCATTGATACCAGTGTATCGTTTCAGCATTATTCTCGCTCTTCTAAGCTCTATTCCCACTTCTTTTACTCCCTCTCTTTTGCTCGTTTTCTATTCCCAAAAGCAGGAGGATTGTTACTGGCAGTATCGTCACGGGTAAGCAAAATCGGATTGAACAAAATATCGTCCAACTCTCTAATCTCACTCAGTAACACATACCAAGAACCGAACACCGGCCATGCCTGAGTTAGATCTCAAGGATAATGAGGCTCCTCCCTCGACAGCATCCGACCCAGAACCACAAACCAAACCATCAACACCAACGAAACCCCAATCACCAGTCAAAGAAGCAGCCTTCATAGCAGTCGTCTGCGCCGCCCAATTAATGACCCAAGCCGGCCTCTCCCTATCAATCGCCCCGCTCCATTACATAGGTAAAAGCTTCAACACAACACCTCGAGATCTGACCTGGGCCTCGGCAGCCTACAGTCTAACAGTTGGAACATTCATTCTCGTCTCGGGCAGACTGGGCGACACATACGGCCACAGACTCCTCTTCATCATTGGTTTTACCTGGTTTGGGATATGGTCCCTTCTTGGCGGTTTTGCCGTATGGTCGAATCAGATCTTCCTCGATTGTTGTCGTGCCTTCCAGGGGATTGGTCCTGCGCTGCTTTTGCCCAATGCCGTTGCTATCTTTGGGAGGACTTATGCACCGGGCTTGAAGAAGGATATGGTTTTTTGTCTTTTTGGCGCTACTGCTCCTGGTGGATTTACGCTTGGTGCTACGTTTTGTTCGTTGCTTGCTGAGCGTGTTTGGTGGCCGTGGGGGTATTGGATTATGGGTATTTCATGTTTTTGTTTTGCTGTTTTGGGGTTTGTGCTTATTCCTCGTGATGAGATTAAAGATTCAGAGAAGACTGAGGGTTCAACCTTTGCTCGGCTGGATGGGCTTGGTGCTATCACTGGTGTGAGCGGTCTTGTGCTGATCAACTTTGCGTGGAATCAGGCTCCAGTGGTTGGGTGGAGAGTACCTTATACCTATGCTCTGCTGATTGTCGGGATACTATTTCTTGTGGTGTTTACGATCGTCGAGCGTAGAGCTGCCTACCCACTCCTCCCGAGTTCAGTATTCAAGGGCGAAGTTGGCTGGGTTCTCGGCTGCATGGCGGCGGGATGGTCGAGTTTCGGGATTTTGGTCTTTTACTACTACAACTTCCTTGAAACCATCGAGCACAACAGTGGACTTTTGGTTACGGCAAAGTGGGCAGGAGCTTCTGCTTCTGGTGCAACCGCTGCTGTTATAACTGGTCTTCTTTTGAGCCGGGTGCCACCGAGTTTCATCATGCTTGCCGCAATGCTGGCATTCACAATCGGCTTATCCCTTTTGGCCACTATACCGCCTGGTCAGACCTACTGGGCCAACGCATTTTTGATCATGCTAATCACTCCTTGGGGAATGTAAGTCGACAACACTATGGCAGCGAATGTTTCACAGCTAACGCATAATAGGGACATGTCGTTCCCCTCTGGGACATTGATTCTCAGCAATTCTATGCCGCGCGAGCATCAAGGAGTGGCCGGTTCACTGGTAAATACGGTTGTGAATTATTCCATAGCTCTTGGTCTCGGATTTGCAGGCACAGTCGAGAGATATGTGGACCCTGATGGTTCAGATGTGCTCAAGGGATATCGGGGTGCTTCTTATATGGGTGTGGGTCTAGCAGGACTTGGCTCTATTATTGCGATTTTATTCATGATCGTAACTTGGCTCAAGTCCAGAAAAGTTGTCGAGTGAGAAAGGCCTTCACGTCTAGTAATTGTATCTAATATATGAAAAGAAAGAACTCATGCAATTTTTGCCTACTTCCCTCTAAACAACCATCTCCAAAATCTCCAATACCTGAGACTTCTCCTTCAAAGGCACCGGGTTTGTCTTGCACCACCGGTCGTGCAGACTGTTTGCTGCCAACCCGTCCAATTGGTCACGACCAACTCGGACATCACCTAGGGTCCGAGGCATTCCTAGCTCACGAATGATAGCATCCAAAATGTCACCTAGATCAGATGCATTGACATCAACTGACCGTGCGCGTAGCACCTGCGACACGACAGGATCTTTAATCAAGAACTGGCGCACTTTGTCCTGTTGATCCCGGTTCGCATTGTACTTGGCATTGTATTTGCACACGGCCGGCAGAAGAATACAGCTAGTCTCGCCATGACCGACGCCAAGTGGGCCAAGCTAATTCAATAGAATTATTATGGGGTGTAAATTAAAAGAAAGTTAAGGATGAGTTACATACCTGATGGCCAATGCCATGACTAGCACCCAACTCAATCGACCCGCTCGTACAAGCTGCCATAGCTTCAACTGACCCAAGCTGACATTGTAAGTACGCCTCACGATCTGCATGATCCTTTTTGCAGCGCAGTAAGCCAGGAACTAACAAGCTCAATGCCCGCTGGGCCAGCTCGTCCGATGACGTCGTTGTACCCACCACAGCGCACAACGTCTCTATGCAGTGGTCAACAGCCCGCACGCCTGTACTGAGCCAAATGGAATCCGGAGTGGTTTGGGCCAGTTCTGGGTCGAGGATTACCAGCTCGGGTCCACAAATTGGTGTCTGGAAGCTGTATTTACGCTTTGAGCTGTCCTCCGTGCCACCTGCGAAGTTAGAGTACTCGCCGGCAGAAAGGGATGTTGGCACTGAAATGATAGGCACGGTTGGTGCCTTGATATTCTTTCGCTTGTTTGGACCTTCTGCGAGAGTTCCCAGTTCTTCTGGAGTGCGGATTTCATTTGCGAGGGCCTGAGGAGATATTAATATGCTTTTTCTTGACCTTCGACAACGTGTTGGCACAGAAGCAGAGAAAGATAGAGACTCACTAGTGCAATGATCTTCGCACCATCGGTCAAACTGCCCGCTCCAATCGTCAAGATGAGATCTGCCTGGGCGGCTCTAGCCTCTGCAGTAATCTCTAGCACCTCGGACCATAGTGTATGGCTCTTCATGCCAATTCGACGACCAACTACCTTGTCCGGGCCAAGAGTAGCAGTTAATCGTCCCAATGTGTCGGTGGTACGTGCCAAGGTCCTAGAGCAGATTACATACACGCGAGAGGCATTGAAAATGTCCTCGGTGTGGCGAGCTACAGCTGTAGGAAAAGAGACGCCGTGGGCTAATATTGGGCGCTCACGGCCCTCAAACGCTGGTCGGACTGTTTCCTGAGACATCTTGATGACCTGTTGGAAAAAAAAGATGTAATATGGAAACTCGGGGGGCGACTTTAAAGAGGCGAAGAAAGAGGCGAAGGGATGTGCTAATTGTTGAGTTGAGACTTGAGAAGATTTAGGACTTTTCGAAATCGGCCAAAAATGTGATCTCAAAGATGCATGTAAGAAGTAAGAACTAATAATACCAGACGGAGGTTGATTATATCATGAGTCTGTGGGGCTGCGGGGTTTTATGCTTTCATGCGTAAGTCGGGTAAAGTTTCCGGATACTTTCCCTTGAGAACTATATAGCCTTGGGCAATACCACAATATGTCGAGGCTCTAGACGTTATCGCCATGATAAGAAAAGAATCTATAGGGATCGAAATGCTTGGAGAAATACTTATTAGTACTGCTAGCTTACATTCAACTTTCTCATTTTATTTTATTTTCCTCCCACTTTCCTCTCGGCTTAAGAATAACCTTTGCTTCAGAATAAAGTGAGACGTATACTATGATCGTCCTTCACGAGTTACTTTGCCTGTTTTCTTCGCTGTCTTCTCCGTCTCCTCATCCCATTTGTCAGTCAAATCCAAGGGTGATTTATCCTTATGTGAAGCTTACTCTGTATACTGACCAGAGCTCTTCTTAGTCTTAAGACGTCATTATGTCTTCACAACCACACGCGATCCTTCCCAAAGAGGCAATTCGAAGTGATCTCCACATGCTTCTCATTGCACCCAACACAACCCGAGCGTCAGAAGTACAGGACATCAAATAGATCGACGATGTGTCACAATGGCCCAACATCGAGAAGATGTCGCGGCCAGCATGTCTGGACGTTGAGCACAACTGTGATTGATCACAGCCTACAGTCCAGTGACCTCAGAGAGGAAGAGGTCTATGTCGCCGACGAGACAGGTGTGCAAGTTCACTTTTCCCAAGCCATTGGCCAAGGTTCTTGGTGCAACCTTGAGGGCAACGAAGGTGGACATTCGGTTTGGGACCACAAGTCAGCTGGTGCCGGTTACAGCAAAATCCCAGATCTGACTGTCACAGGGCGGCTGCCTTATCTCTCCTAGTTAGCTGCCATCTTAGTCAGCTCTTACCATACGTAGGACGGTAGGGTAGATAGTTTCATGAGTTCATCTTTCCTCTTCCTCCTCTTTTCTCTGAGCTTTGCTACACTGGCGATGGTGTTTCAAGACGCCTGCATGTCGTTACTAAGCACATTGATTATTATCGCGTTTTTGACAAACTAGCTGAATTTAAATAGACTACGCCAACAGTTCAATCTGCAAGGAAGTCGAACTAGATATGCTGCATTAACGCTAGCCCAATCTAGGGCTAGATTAGGGTTAGCGGAAATGTCTTGGCCATTCGGCTCGGCTCTTTGTGATTGGGCCAATCTGAGGCTCATTAGCTGGCCGATACTACTGGGCTGCTCCACTACAAAATTAGGGGTGATTGGCCTTATGGAGCACTTGCGAAGATCAGGTCCGCTTTTATCTATCTCATTCATCCTTCGGCTTTCTCGTTTCCCATCCATTCTGCCCGCCATGGAACATCTTCGACAGACCTTTGTCCAATGCCAGAAGGAAGGCCGCCCGGCACTGGTCACCTATGTGACGGCCGGCTTTCCTCGTGTGGAGGAAACCAGGGACATTTTGCTGGGAATGCAGGCCGGAGGAGCGGGTGAGTCATTTCAACAATCGAGAACAATCATCCAAATAAACAACTAAAATTGTACAGATATTATCGAACTTGGCCTACCTTTCACCGATCCCATTGCAGATGGCCCGACCATTCAAAAATCCAATTTGAAAGCGCTAGAAAATGGCGTTACCATCTCGTCGATGTTGGAAATGGTCCGCGATGCCCGCCACCATGGACTTAAAACACCGGTTCTCTTCATGGGCTACTATAACCCGATCTTGCGCTACGGGGAATCCAAACTCCTCGCAGATTGCAAAGAGGTGGGAGTCAATGGCTTCATCATCGTCGATCTCCCTCTGAAGGAAGCAATTCAATTCCGCGAGGACTGTACGAAAACAGGGTATGTAATTGAAAGCCTTCGGAGCTGGTGGCATTTGCTGATCGTCTCGAAATAGTCTCTCCTACGTCCCCTTGATCGCACCGTCTACCACGGAAGACCGTATGAAGACGCTCTGTCAGATGGCCGACTCCTTTATCTACCTCGTTTCTCGCATGGGCGTGACCGGTGCTACTGGATCTCTCAGCACTGAGCTCCCTACTCTTATCAAGCGCGTTAAGGAGCTCTCAGGCAATGTCCCTGTGGCAGTTGGCTTCGGTATTAGTACTCGTGAGCATTTCCTGAGCGTGACCTCTATCGCCGATGGCGCCGTTATTGGCAGTCAAGTGATTACGGTCCTAAGTGACGCCCCGGCTGGCCAAGCCGCTCAAGTCATTGAGGACTATTGCTCGCGGATCACGGAGAGAAAGGTCGCTCGGCATGCATTAGTCACTACAGCTCCTCACGCGCCCGAGACATGTGCACCCAGCTTTGCTGTCGAGTTAGCTACTACTACTGATAACTCCGGCCGGTTTGGTACTTTTGGTGGTCAGTATGCCCCGGAGGCCTTGATCACTTGTCTTGATGAATTGAATGCCAGCTTCCAAACTGCACTCAACGATCCGACTTTCTGGGCTGAGTTCAAATCATACTATCCATACATGGGTCGTCCATCCAGCTTGCATCTAGCTCAGCGGCTGACCGAGCACGCTGGCGGAGCGAACATCTGGCTTAAGCGAGAGGACTTGAATCACACGGGATCCCACAAGATCAATAATGCCTTGGGTCAAATCCTCCTTGCTCGTCGACTTGGTAAAACGGAGATTATTGCCGAGACGGGAGCAGGCCAGCATGGCGTTGCCACCGCCACCGTCTGCGCTAAATTCGGCATGAAATGTACCATTTATATGGGTGCGGAGGATGTGCGTCGACAGGCATTGAATGTCTTCCGGATTCGCTTGTTGGGTGCAACCGTTATCCCCGTCGAATCGGGATCGCGTACCCTCCGGGATGCAGTCAACGAGGCTTTCCGCGCGTGGATTGTTCGCCTGGACACTACGCATTATATTATTGGCTCGGCGATTGGACCTCATCCCTTCCCGACTATTGTTCGCACGTTCCAGTGTGTGATCGGAGAGGAAACCAAGAGCCAGCTACGAGACCTAGGCAAGAGCCCCGACGCCGTGGTTGCTTGTGTAGGAGGTGGCTCGAATGCGACGGGAATGTTCTATCCCTTCTCTGATGATCCCTCTGTTCAGCTAGTTGGTGTGGAAGCTAGTGGAGATGGCCTAGACACGGCGCGACATTCAGCCACGCTAAGTGGCGGCTCTGTGGGAGTCCTGCACGGTGTTCGGACATATATTCTACAGGATGAACATGGCCAGATCTCCAACACTCATTCCGTTTCCGCAGGACTCGACTACCCGGGTGTCGGACCGGAGCTAGCGCATTGGAAGGAGAGCAACCGGGCGACATTCCTGTCGGCCACTGATGCACAGGCTTTCCAGGGCTTCCGATTATTAAGTCAACTTGAAGGTATTATACCCGCATTGGAGACCTCTCACGCGGTGTGGGGTGCTATCGAGACTGCTAAGAAGCTGGGACCTGAGAAGGATATCGTGGTGTGCTTGAGTGGTCGTGGAGATAAAGACGTGCAAACTGTAGCCGATGAGTTACCTAATATTGGGCCTCAGATCGGCTGGGATTTGCGGTTCTGATTCTTGATCTTCTTTGCCTCGAGTAGCCTCGAGGTTGGCTACATTCGCACTAGTTTCAAGAGGTAGGTTGGTACATTCTTGTATATGATCACACTCCGTAGCGCAAATGCCAAGTTACTGTGGACGCATTGTAGTTCAACATTATTTTCTGTTTCGAACATGATTGTAGGATGTTTGCACGTCAATTTCAGACTCTGCCTTGAACTTTAATAACTTGATCTGACAACTTTGTCGTCATTTCCATCTTCACCTCGATCGAACTTTTTTACGTTTTCTCATTTCTTACAGTTGTAGGCCTTACTTCCTTTCAAACCCCCACTAATTAACTCACCATTTTTGACCGACTACAACCCGAGGCAGTCGAAAAGAGGCAAAAATAACACTTTAAGGCTTTCCCGTAGTGACTGAGTACCTTCGCAATATGACAAAGGATCTAAACCTTGTACAAAGCAATGGCTGAAAGTGGTGAAAAGGAGGGTTGTATGCCCAGAAGGAACCAGGGGACAATCGCTATCGCTTGGTCTCGTGCGTTAGAAATGTGTTTAAAAGACTGATCTCATAAATTCATAACCAAGCAAAATAATAACATGTATAGTTGAGCATCGATCGACATATGTAATTACTTGTTATAGTGACAAATTCGGCTCTCGGCCTACTACTGACGATCTTGGTACGTCAGAGCCGAAGTATATAGGCTTTGGAACACTCTGCGAATAGAATACGAATGTCGGAAGAGCCTGTGTATCGTTCCGATAGTAACTTGAAGCGGAGGCGCATGGGGATAGAATGATAATGCATTCTGACCAAGGATTTGACCGTACTCTGTTCGAATTCGCCCCCGTTCAGGAAGCAAACATTGAGATCAAGTTTGTTGGGTGTCTAAAGCCCGGCCGGTGGCCCCGCGTCCATTTCTTAGCTGTTTGAGGATTATCGTTCAGTTCACAACGAGAAGCGACTCCTGTTGAAAAGGTAAGCTTGACGGACCAGCTATATTGCATTTATCAGTAGTAGAAGGCATAGAAGGCAAAGGTGAATACATGCTGTTCAATGAGACTCGATTCGCTTGGTTGAGCAGAGTCAGATCGGAGGGAACATGAGGATAGCATAGAAAACCTTCCGTTTCCTCGCTGGAGAGTCGAGACAGTGCGTTTTTCGTTGATCCACGTGGGCCACGCGCACCAAAATTGGCTTACTATTGGAGCCGCTTAAATGGTGTCCAACAAATAATGTACCTTGCTAAGCGCTTTTCCCCCTGTCGGGGCACTGCCATTGTTCGGGATACATCGCCAATCATTGCAGCCAGGAACACTATTACTGAGTCAGCCTTTAGCGTGCATCTAATTGGATAGCTATGATACGAGTGATTATATCTGTTGCGGAAGTCGGGCGTTGGCTCACATACAGGCCAAAACCTATGTATGGTATGTGTTTAAGGAGGCACAGTGGAGGCAAGGTGACACGGGGCGGCCACTACCTAGGCAGCATCCCAGATTCCGCTCCCGCAATGGCAGATGCCCAGGTGACACGACAGATAAATTCTTATTGGTCACTGGCTAGTGAGCTGAGTCTCCGGCCTATCGTCATAATCCCAGCGTTCCCGGAACGAATATGTTTCTAACCGTACTTTTGATACGTGTACCTTATGAAAACAGACCATTCGGTAATGGCACGAGTATGCCAACTAGGATCCATGGGTGGGAATATTTGGCTCCTTCAATCTTAATATTCAAGATCTATGTAGTAGATATATACTCCGTATTGTGCCAACGCTTTGCTTTAGGTGGGAAGAGACCTGAACTGAAGTCCGTGCGGCAATCGGGACAAGGGTGATTTGCCCTGTCTTTTGTCTTTAGCCGAACTTGCCTATGCTGCGAGACAGGTCGGAAATGTCATCGCGGTCGTACCGTCTGGTCGTACGGGTCAAGGCTAAAGGATGGCTGGATAGGAGCATGGATTGAATGGCAGGGTCTCCGCGAAGGATAGAGAACCCAAGGCAGCAAAGCGCTCCCCCTCGGAAGACTGCAAGATGCCCAAGATGGCACCAAATGACCCTCCTCCCTGCCTTGGTAGGGAAAATAAATAAATGATAATAATTAGAATTAAGTCACGCAATAAGGCAGACAACAAGAGGCATATGAGTGGGCTTTCAGCTCAGCGGTTCCTATCGAAGGTGCGTTTGGATGCCGAGCAAGGCTGATGACAACTTATAATGCACAGCATTGCACTGCTCAAATCAGCCTCATGCAGCGCAGCTGATTGTGAAGCCACGTCTACACCACTACTTCATCCTGGTCGGCCATGTTGATGCGGGGTTGGAAATGAGGCTCTGCTGTGGAAGAGAAGGAGAACATAAATGGGATTGTTTCTCCTGCAAAAATTGTGTTGACTGTTGACTATAGATCTCTCATCAACTCCATACTTCAAAAAAGTTTTTATTGAAACCCATTATGAGTCGAGAACAGATCATTCAAAGCCACGATCCTCGCACGGATGCCCTTAACTTTGTGACCAACCGTGGCCGATATACTCTCAGGGTGGAAGAATTCATCGAGGCCGGCAGACCAGATGGTACCGAGTTGCACGCCTCCCCTGTGACGCGCTATATAACGTCCAATGTACGGATTGCTTATGTGTGAGATCCCATATATTCGCCTTCTGATCACTCGTTTCCAGGGACAGCTAATGGAAGCGCCTGCCATCAAGGGCATTTCGGGCCACGTTATCGGCACGGGACAGTCGTTTACTATTCGCGACGACTACGATTTCGCTGACACCTCTGCTACCGGGAAGGGGTACCATGTGAATGCACAGCTGGGCAAGACGACGGTGGCCTTTACCTCGGGCCAGAATAGCCCCCAGGCATATTATGATCGGACGAATATGGCTGGAGAGAGGTTGTATTACGATGGGATGCAGGCTGCTGCCTCGTGGTATACGCAGGGTCGTTCGCGCTGAATCATTCGCACGAGAAATTGGTATTAATGTATATGCTCTATATATGTAGGGAATAAAGTGCCGACTGTACTCCGTAGCCCACATCCAGTTCTACAGTAATTTCCAAACACCGCCAGGTCTAATAGTACGAAGTATCGCTCACATTTGACACACAAAATCAAGTACCAAGACACCATCTGAATCCTTCTGATACTCGCAGACGACGATCACCGATCGCACCAACCGGTCTCGATTGCACGAACACGAAGCACAGCCAATCCAAAGGAAATGAATCTCGCAAAAACAAGACCTATCATTGGATTCGGAGTGTCCATTTTTCACTTTACAGTGGAGGGGTTGAGACCGGGGGCAGCCCCAGTCTCGCAGCTCTCTATGAGTGGATCTAGAAGACCGGTGTTTGGACTGAATTTGGTTGGAACTTTTCGACTGAATCGTAAGTCGTAAATCGTAAATCATAAATCGTAATTGTAGATTGTAGTGAATGGTCTGGCGGTGAAGGGAGTGGTGGTCCACGTCTCACGGAGGCAGCGCGGTTTCTTGCCATGTCACAGGCATCATTAAAACTCTCCTTGCATTATTTTGATTCCGTAAGGCGATTTTGATCCCTTTTGGTCGCTCCTTAACGTATAGCCCCTAACTTAACTAAGATGATCTAATTTAATTATTGTCTAAAATATCAAGTATCTGTGTGAAAAATTTCTGTTCTTCAGATCTACCCGTGATGGGATGGCGCTTAGATATACAATACATCTACATTCCGAACATTCCGGGTTGGCTCATTCCAACCACTCCCTTACTGCATCTGGCATAGTCGCTAACGGGCCGCCGGGTGCAACCTAATTGCGCTCTTGGCAGGCCCACAGGCACTTTACGGGAACAATACATTGTAGATTAGATCAAAGGCAAGCCATATGTTCGTATCTGCAAAGATACTTTTGGTTTTTTATTTTGTTTAACTACAGACCACCTTTCACTCCTTTTAAACCGCGTCACACATAACCAGAGAGCAGAAATCATAAAATCACAATAGTACCAACAACACTAATAACGACATGCTTGTCTCAAGCTCCTTGGACATGATAGTTGATCATCTTGTTTGTGATCTTGCCTTCCTTCGTATCAATCAAAAAGGAGTCGATGCCATCCTCAACCGTAATCCCTTGTTTGTTATCATAGGACCAGCGCTCAGTTACCCAGTGGTTATCCGATCTGACAATCGTATCAATAATTCCATACCCAGTCGTAGGTAGCTTGCTATTCAGCAATCTTGCTGACTCCCTGATACCAGCATGGCCCTTCAACATCCGGTCAAACGTTCCGATGAGGGCGAGGTTGAGATCGGGTGAATAATTCCGCTGGATATCACGCGGAACATCCCCGATGAAGCGCAACAGGATATGTTCCCAGTAGACGTCCAACACCGATCGATTCTTATCATCCGGGAACTCCCAAGCAAGAAGGTAGTCCAGCACCTTCTTTGGAGGTTGGCTATCGCGGTCCTTGACTTGAGAACAGATGTTGTCGAACTGCTGCTTCAACCAGTCCTTGCCCTTATCCAGGCGGGGATCAGTGACCGTTACATTTGGGTGATTTTTGATCAATTGATCAGCGATAAATTTATGATTGCTGTCAAGTGCCAGTGTGAAGATTGTGCGACTGTCGTCGTCTCTGTCGTTGATGTCGGCTCCTTTCTTCAGAAGCAATGTGACGGCCTCCAGATGACCCGCAATGGTCGCGAGGAGCAAAGGTGAGACCCCAAGGAATCGAACTTGGGTATCTTTAGGACCCGTAATAAGCTTTTCTATAGCCACACAGTCGCCTTTCATAGCTGCGTCGAAGATCGGTGCCCAGCCATCAGTTTTTTCGGTAGCTGACTTTGCACCTCTGGCACCATTGGCTGATTTGGTGACGCGAGTTGGGGTGAATGCCTGGTTGGTAGTGGTGAATGGCATAATGGGCGGTTAAAAAATTGGTATGAAGTCCTCGAAGAAGGTAAATTGAAGAAGGTAAACTTGCTTTTCTCAGAAAGTACTTCGTTTTTCGCGGATGATAAGAAGAACCAGTATAGCTGGATAACCTCTACGTCCTTTAAATATCCCATCATCTTCCCTGGACCAGAAAATAATCTCCAAATGTCTATCGCAATGAGATTATCCTTGACGTCAAAGAGTTCGTCTCGAATGTTACTGAAAGTGAAGGTATCAACAACTCTAGACGGCATTCCTGATGCAATGACTGCTAAAATTCTCAGCTAAGAAGCCGCTTGCAGTATTGTCCTAAAGCATGAGCAAAAGAAGCCATGGTATTGGCGTCATATAGATACTACTTTCAATGTTTGCGTTGATTAGACCTTGGTCTAGAATTAGCCATCACCGGTATAGTCGGATACTACGGCCTAAGCTGACAGTTACAGACTACTACAACGTTACAAACGCACGTTACAGCTCCTATATAGCAAATGACAGCTATGTCCATAAAAAAGAGCTTACAGAACTTTCTCCAGCCCCGCACTGGGGTTCGAGCGTTTTTCTCTGCCTGTTCGGAACTACTAATTCGGAACTACTAATTTCGGTATATGCGGCGATTTGACCTTGGTCTAGGCCTGCCCACCACCACTATAGTCGGATACTGCATTTTAGGCTGGTAATCAGAGACAACTGCAACATTACAAGCGCACGTAATAGCCCTGTATCTAGAAAATGGCACCCAAGTCTATGACAAGGTCCTATAGAACTGTCTCCAGTCCCGTACTCGGTATGGAGGCATTTTCCCTTCCTGATCGGCAGATTCTAGACAACGCAACAGCAGAAATAACGTCAAACCCGCACCACACTACTCTAACGGTTCTTGGAACAAGTTGGAATAGAGGGCCCCTGGGCACATTATGTTAGTTATTGCCATACCAGGTGGGAACTCGGAGACCGACGGAAGCGTAAAGGCAGGATGATACGACAATCACGGACAGTTTACAGCCTTGAATCTAAAGCGTACCTATAGACATGACCAGCCCAACTAGGTGGGACCCTCGAGTTCTGTTGAAGACTATGGCCAACGATTGCCACGTACACCCCTATATCCGTCATAAATTTGCAACACATATGCTGTCAAAGTTTGAATGCCTTTTGAGGTCGTCTTTTCCCCATTTGTTTTGTGGCGAGATGGTCTAGGGGAGCTTTGAAATAATCGGAAGTAGCTTGGATATATACATAGACGTAGAGCGAAAATTGTAGAAGTGGGGTTGCAAGGTAACAAATGTTTTGTGTGTTTGAGAACTTCTTCTGGTCGTTGGTAAAGCCAAGTTCCAGCAGGGGCCCAAGGACGTGACCATTTGTGGAAGTGATGAAGACAAACAATCGCCATAAATAATGAGTACGACCCATTCGCCTAGTCTAAAATCTCGCACAAACAGGTCGCACTTCAAACTTCACGCCTCGAAAACGTTCTTAGATCCGAGAACATTCAAGGTTCAGCAACTACGATTTTGATTTCAGGCACCAGCTTGTTTTAGTACCTTGAATTGAGATAGTTTAGACTGTGTAACTTTGACCTCCCTAATCTTAACCGCTCTCGGCCTTAAAGTGCCTCCCTCAGCTGGTTGGTTGCTCTCAATTAGAAAAAAGCGACGTTACCAAAAAAGTCTCAAAGCCTCAGATATCGTATGTGACCTTTGGGTGACTACTTCTGAACGATCCTAAAGCCGATTGAATTGACTTGGGTGGATGCTCCCGCCCTTGCAGTCGCAATTTTTGAGGTCTGCAGCTTTAGCCCGAAAAAGTAGCTGCAGTGAAAGCGATGTCTACTTAACCTTAGTATTAGGGTGGCCGTAACCTTTATAGATGCGATGGAGGCTAGTGGAGTAAGTAACGCTTCACAAGTAAGGCGCACTAGTAGAGAAGGCGACCTAGATAGCTTCGTCGCGATACATTTTGAATGAAATAATCTAGTAGGTAGACTTTTGAGTCTCTTAGGATATAGATAGTAGGATAGTGGCTCGTCAAGAAAATATTCTCTTAAGAGCATTTACACAATTGTGACGTATCCGTTTCGAGAAGCAGCCTATTGTGATCAAAACAACATACCTATGAGGGAAAATCAGTATAGGAGGGAAAGAACACGTCAGCGGTTAGGGGCGTGTAGGATATTCAGGTGTAGAATAGTGGTGTTCAGGGCATTCAGGTGAATGGGCTGAAGGGACTGAAGGGTAGTGCGGCAAGGGAATATTCCAGGAAAAATCAAAAAATTAAAAATGAAAATGAAAACATACAACAGTAAGGATTCGCTAGTGGTCACCCACCTAACTACTAACTTACCGGCGTGTGGCTTAAGTACGGCTGAGCGGACGGGAAGCCCTGTTCTCCACACCCTGTGGTCGTATGTACTTGTTTAAATATGGAAGAGGATTATATGGAAGAGGATTATATAGTAAATAGACCTACAAAGGCCTTAGATCAGACCTCACTACTCTATATGTGGTTTATGTGCGACCAGTAGTCGGGTGAGTTTAAGGTGAGAGCCGCTTTAACGTCGCGCCACCAGGGGTGAGAATCAGGGTGAGAATCACCCAAGTCGCGCGACCACTGCATTGACCTCTTCAGCTGAATGAAGGCAGAATATCATTGGCTTATATTCTTCCTGTAACGCTCGGCATCTTGACATATGCACACAGCCATTCATGTAAATGACAATTAGCATCGTTCTTGACTTATCGGGTCAAGCGGCGGTCACGACGAACTTGGTGCTCTTGGTATGTACCGTTCCGTCCGAAGTGGACAGGACAGAGGTCTCATATTCTGGCCAGGTGATAGTGACGGGCGTTTCGAGGGGATAAGGAGGAAACACCAGTGTACAGGGTGCGTTGAAAGCTACCTCAGCAGTATCGTTGGTCCACAGATCAGGTCCAATGTAGACATCACCCTCTCCTCCTTGTGAGCATTATCACCCGGAACGAGATCGGTTGTCCCGGTCAATCTATCTAAGCCCGATCAGCTGCAAAACATTTCAGAGGGAGCTTCAAACACTTACTCGTTGCGGCTCTATCGGCATCTAAGCTCACAGCCCACACCATTGTTCTAGTGAGAACCATTCTAGGTTAATAATGAAAAAATATCGTTCGAATTGGATAAAACATACCCCGCCAATACAATGGGAGTTGGCGTAGTCAATCTTGGCGCCAAATGATTCTCAATCATCATAACTAACCTACTAGTTTCCACCAAAGGTCACAATCTAAACAGCCGCCGCAGCATCATAGGTCTTTACTGCCTTTTTGCTGTCATCATCTAGGATAGAGCGGACCTCACTGAATGATAGTGTTCCGGCACTATTCGTACATGGCCCTGCATTTCCTACACGGGAGATTACCGAACTCAGATAGAGCTTGGGTAGTTTCATATCTAATCTATACTCACCACCACTCGAGAATGGACACCCAGAGGTTGTGCACGATGAATCCGAAAGGGTGAAGCCTATAGCAAATATGTCAGCTTCACTATGTTTGTTTCTGAACTATGCCGTTACACTGTGATGCATTCAATGTCTCTTGCGTAATGCAAGAACATGGTGCTCTTCTAAGTGTATGTTTTAATTTCCCCAAACTTAGCATAACAGGACTCATATCCCACTATTCCGAGACCCTGTAGCTCCTTCATGAAGATATCCATCACTGTCGGCCCTTCTCTATTCTTTTTCCTAGAACACACTATTTCTTTATAAATTTTCTCCTCTCTAGTCGATTTCTAGTTCATAAACCACGCAATCTGTTTACAGCGTCGCCCTTTATATTCGACTTCGCTAGACACTAAGGCGGTGACCTATGTTAAAACCGCGCCGGTAGGGTCTTCTATTTCGTTAGGTAGAAAGCCGGGGTTTTTCATCCTTAGAAATCTATAATAGGGGTCCGAATCTAAGATAGCAACAATATCCTTAGCCGGAAAATAGACCGTCTAGACCTCGTAGACTATATCAAGACGACGACGTTTAGAAAAGCAATCTGATATGAATTTCTAAGAAGTATACATAAACCGATAAATAAAGACTGCCTTGTTATTAGGGCTGCTACGGAAATTGTCCGGGGAACCAGGATCCGGTAAGAAGACAACTTTTTTTATGGTTTGTGTTATTTTATCCGACTAGCGAACTCGTCTCGCTAAGCTCTTCGCCGCCAATCTTTGACTATCGCGTTAGATTAGACTTATCTTATAGGGGAGCCTATATCTTATCTTACGTATGATAATCTATAGTCTCTAGTTATCTTCTATAGGAATTGTCTAAGTGATTTAGCGATAGCTATCGACTTTCCGCACCTCCTTAAGAATAAGCTTCTAGTCGGTCTACTTTAGGATTGAGTTATCGGAATAGTCAAGATCAAGCCACTCAATAAACGGCATTTTCGTCGCTTATTCCTATTCCACGCTCTTAGAGATCTCGCTATCCTCCTACGCTAAGCTCGGATCTTAGCTAACTAGGGCCTTCGATTAACTTCTTGTGACTAGCATTTTGAGTTAAGATTTGATAAAGTAAACTAACTAGTCAAGCGTTTTGGTTTTGTCCTTAACGATGACTAATAGATGATATTTGACTAGGTGAAAGAATCCGAGGTTAGTGTGATGTTCCTTGTTCCCTATAGACTCCACGGGCGATCCTTGCCCCGCGCACAAGTAAACCACATATGTATTGAAATATATAATTGCGCTAACCTCAAAGAGGCCTGGCTAACCATAAAAGCTAAGTGATAGGTAAGGTCCACGCACGCGGCATATAAACCTTTGACAGAAACCAAGGGTTTTACAGTCTATATAGATGCCTTAGGAATATATTTCTATCTGCATTTCTAAATCCTCAATTCTGACAATTTATATTGGGTCATTACTAATGATTGAAAAATGCAAACAATGCAAACGTGCTTTTATCCATCCTCATTTCTGACATATATGAAAGCGTATATTTGCTAATTATAGTATTAATACTTCGAATAGTAAATAGGACGCACTCGCAAAATCTGAATGGGATGCATTGCATCCAACCAACTCCTAGAGGATAGGATAGAACGGACAGCCGTATGGCTTTTTTCGCTTTGGTGCGGAGCCGGCGCAAAGACATTCCGTTTCGTCTAATGGGTGTAGTTCGCAGACTTTGATCTGGGGCATATCATTCTAGATAGCACTAGGTAGGGTAAAATAGAATCACGATATGCAACAGCGGATACTCCAACCGATACTATCAAGATGCAAAATGGGCCTGCTCACAGTCCCGGCCAGTGGACTGGTATTGCAGAATAAACTGGTGATATTACAAACTTGCGTCCATGTAACTATCTATAGGAAGGGATACCTAATTTGATGCTTGCTGAGCAGCATCATAGGCGTTCACACTGCCGGATGCCCTTGGATATTCGACCAAGGTATTCAGGCTCCGGCCCTCGGCATGCCCAGTGGTACCCCCAGCTGCCCTAGCAAAGCCCCATCCACCCCCTCCAGGCGTATGAATCACACATCGATCTCCCGCCCGCATGCGGACCATATTCTTCGATCCCATATTAACCCAGCGCCACTCATCGGCCCCATGCTCATTCTGCACCTTCCTTATCCAGTAGTTCGCACCACGTTCACCATCATCCCCTCCCTCCATTCCGTATGGAGGCACACTTCGGCGTTCTGTGATAACACTGAAACTCAGGGGAGCCCGGCATTCAATATCGCGTACCACACCATTTCCACCGTGATGATACCCTTTGCCACCTGTCCCTTCACGGATAGCAAACTCGCGCAGAATGACAGGATACCGCTTCTCAAGGCTCTCCACGTCTGTGATGCGCGTGTTTGTCATATGGGTATGCACACCTGACGCGCCATCTTGTGCCGCCGTGGCACCGGAGCCGCCGCAAATTGTCTCGCCAAATGCATACGCGTAGCCTTTGAGCTTCTGACCGGTGCTGTCGGTGCCCCCTCCCCGAAGAACCCGATGCAGTTCATGCACCCTTGTGAGGCGGCAGCAGCACGGAAAGTGCGTAGGATCACATCGACCAGGCGCTGCGAGGTCTGCGTATTACCAGCACAGACGGCAGGCCCAGCTGACGGGTTGAGGAAGCTTCCTTTCGGAATGATCACATGGATTGGCGATAAACAGCCTTGGTTTAGTGGAATGTCGGTGCCAATTAGAAGACGAAGCGTGTAGATTATGGCTGAGTGGGTGATTGCTGGCGGAGCGTTGATGTTGCTTAGCATTTCGACCCCTGTGCCAGTGAAGTCGAAGGTTGCCGAGCCATCTTTGGATATATCCACCGTGAGTTTGACCAAGGTTCCATTGTCCATTTGGTCGACGGCTGATAGATGGGGCCCGAGTCTGGAGAGTGTATCAAGAAGATAGGAACGCACAGCCAGTTCCGCATTGGACTGGATAGCCCCCATGTACATTTGGACCACAGGGAGAGTGTATTCCTCAATGAGAGCCTGAACCAGTACCATGCCTTTATGATTCGCAGCAATCTGCGCCTTCAGATCTGAGATGTTGTCGTGAATGTGCCTACTCCCGGTACAGCCAAGGTACTCGCCTGGGCTCAAGAGTATGTCGGTGATACCTTTCTCGTCGAAAACCCCCTTATGAATCAATTTAAAGGACCGGATAGCTGCTCCCTCTTGCCAGAGCTCTGTGGAATTAGGTGGCATTGATGTACCACCAAGTCCGCCAATGTCCGTATGGTGGCCTCTTGAGGCAACATAGAAAGCCACAGTCGAGCCTGTCTTTTCAAATATCGGAGTAATGACGGTTATGTCTGGAAGGTGACTGCCTCCAGATTCCGGGTGGTTGGCTACCAGGACGTCCCCTTGAGATAACTTGCCTTTGTGCAGTTCATGTTGGTATTTAACTGCGTAGCTCATTGATCCTAAATGAACGGGTACATGAGGAGCATTGGCGACCAGATCACCTGCGCATCATCATGTCAATTGGTCTCAACACATAAATGGTCATGTAATCATACCCTGAGGTCCAAATAGAGCGCAAGAGAAATCAAGTCGCTCTTTGATATTCAGAGAAACTGCTGTCTTCTGTAGAGCACGACCCATCTGCTCCGCGATACTCATAAAGCGATGCCCAAAAACAGACAGCTGGATGTGATCAACCACAGCTGGCTGCTCAATAGTTGCAGTGGAAGAAGAAATAATGTCAATGACAATATGGGAGCGGAGGACCTTGGCTACAGCACCCGGTGCCACAACAAGCGTTTGGGTCTGATCAATGATCACAGCGGGTCCATCAATTGATAGACCGGGCGGCAAACCTTCGAGCACCAGCACGGGAGTTTGCTTGTACCCGGTATTCTGGAAATAGACGGGGACCTATAATAATGAGTAATGGGTATAAAAGGTGAGAAATCCAAGGGGTACTTACCATACGTTCCACCAACTTCGACGAGACAGGTTGGAAGTTGAAAGTGCGCAGTTGTTCTCCAAGTTGTTCTCCCTCCCAGTCTTCTCTTTCACTTACACCTATGCCCCGGACACGCACATCGTCGACGTAGATCGCCTTTTCGTCGGGAAAGACGAAGGAGAACTCTCGCAGATGGATCTTCTTGAACTGACCTTTGAAGTCACCGTCGGCAGGTTTGAGGACCATAATCGAGGTTTCTGTACCTTGGTATCTCATGTTAAGATACACCTCATAAGTGATGCTCTTTTCTCGGATGCCTTGTCTCATCAATCGTTCTCGGACGACGAGTTGAAGTTTAGAAAGTCTTTCTTCCAGTCGACCACGAGAAGTCTCGTTGTATCTCTTATTCATAGGCTCCTGTGCCTCTTGAACGACGTCTGCCAGCGCCATGCCTTTGGAACATTAGTACATATCCTGAAACATCTAAAAATACGCGACTTACCGTATGCGGACAATATACTTGAGAGCTTGTGAATGACTATTGTGGAGATCTTGAGTGTTCGAGCAATTTCGCAAGCATGCTGACCTCCTGCACCTCCAAAAACAGCAAGATTATGGTTCGCTATTAAGTGTTAGGATAAGATCCACAAAGGGATTTGGGATCGCACATACCGATGTCATACCCTTTACCCTCAGTCAGCGCCCGAATGGGTCGACACATAGCTTCGTTGGCAACATCAAGAAAACCACAGGCGACCTCTTCAGGAGAGAGTGATTTTCCAGTATCGCGGTTGATCTCATCGGTCATTGCAATGAACTTCTTCTTCACTATCTCTATATCAAGTGGCTGGTTTTCATTCTCACCGAAGATCTTGGGAAAGAAATGAGGAATGAGTCTCCCTAGGAATAGATTGGCATCTGTCACTGTCAAAGGCCCTCCTTTTCGATAACATGCAGGGCCTGGATGCGATGAAGCACTTTCAGGGCCTACTATGAATAGACCATTTCGCCAGAATAAAATGGAGCCACCTCCAGCGGCAACAGTGTTGATATCAAGCTGCGGGCTCTGAATAGTAACACCGGCGGTATTACTCTCGAAGACATGTTCGAAGTTGCCGCCGTACCGAGAAACATCAGTCGAGGTTCCTCCCATGTCAAAACCAACAACTGGGGTTTTTGTGTGATCGTCGTAAGATGTGCGAGCATAGCCCACAACACCCCCTGCTGATTATCAGTCTAATGTCCCCTAATCACAGTCGTAGGTCTAGTCTTACCTGCAGGTCCACTAAGGATACCTCGGAGGCCACTGAAACTGTCATGACTTACAAGTCCACCGTCTGACTGCATAAAGTCACAACGCACACCATCCAAATTCCCACCTTGAAATCCTTTTGAGAATCCACTAAGATACTTTTTGATCTCAGGGGTGAGATACGCATCGGCTGACGAAGAGCCTCCACGGGGCACCATCTTGATCATCTTGGCTGCCACAGAAGACGAACACGACACATGGGTGAAGCCTTCCTCTAGAGCCCATTGTTCGATTTGGCTTTCATGGGCTGGAAAAACATAGGAATGCGCCAAGCATACTGCAACAGTATCATAGGCTTGAGATCGTAGTTCTCGCAAAGTTTGTCTCACAGCAGCTTCATCGAGAGGCTTCAAGATGCGGATCATGTCACCACTCGAGCCCCTCACGAGCACTCCTGGTATCTCGTTGTCCGACTTGAACAAACCATCCAAGTCCTCATCAAATCCTTCAATTGTCACTCTCTCATCGATTTCCCTGGCATCGGCGTACAAGACGTCGGGTTTAACGATGTTTAGATCAAAGAGGCGCGGTCGGGACTGATATCCGATTTTCAGCAAGTCGCGGAAGCCCTTCGTAACGAGAAAGGCATGTTTGGTTCCTTTCCTTTCAAGCAAGGCATTTGTCGCTACTGTTGTTCCCATTCGGATGAATTCGAGATCATCTTTCGGAAGAGGAACCCCGCGAGGTATTTCCTGTCCTTGGTACAGCGAGAGGACGCGTCGGATACCTTTACAATAGCTTATCAGCTCGCTTTCCCAAACGCTCTGGTAGGAGAATTGTTTTTTCTTACCCTCAGTTGGCGCATCGGCATAGTTACCAGGGTCAACAGACAACAGCTTTAGAACGACGTCTGGCTTTCCCGGCAGACTCGCCCACACATCGGTGAATGTGCCTCCGCGATCTAAGAGAGCATAATTAGCGCTATCATTTGTAGGATTTTTGGTTGTGCAAGCATATTTAAAGTCCGTACCGATGGCAATTCTGATGCCTCCGACCATCGGCTTCGTAACCGTCATCTTGGAAAATTGGAAGAAAATGAAAATTGTTCTGCACCTGCATCTTGGGTTCCTTTGGGATTTGAGACACTTTTATAATTGCTTTACAATTGCACGTGGATTGCGACGCTAAATCACGTTGTCAAAAGAGTAAGGTCGTCACGATGCGCCAATATGAGCGCTTGGGGAGTTTAAACATTCGTGCCCATAGACTCGGGATTGGGATGCGAGTGCCGAAGAAGGTCCATACGGCTCATAGCTAGCCGATTATCCAATTGCCGGCGACCGTTATCTATAAGTGGGTCTCCCCACAACCTTTTCTTCCTTCGAAGGATTTCCCCAACCTTGCGGGGAAGGTCGACACGGTCTCCAGCCGGATGATTCACCAATCGCCTCCAGAGCCAGTTTCCATAAACGGGCCTCCAACTGGCTATGGCTACCTTTTATCGAAGGTTCGAATTTCAAGACATTGCGGGGAAAAGTTTGCTTGGACCTGATCCTTATCTCGACAAGCTCCAGATAGGGAGGCCCGACTATAAGACTGCCATCAGCGGGCTGTCTCAAATCGGTTTGTTGCTGGTCACCATCATCGTCCTCCCCCTGAGTGAATTATATCGTTCGCTCTTCAAATTTCTTCGCAATGGCAGAGCAGAAAGGCAAAGTTTCTGTCGAGACACCGGAAGTAGAGAAGCAGGGTGTCTCCAGGGCAATGGATGAGGCAGCAGAGTATCTTGCTCATAGCACTGGCTTTGCACCTTTGTCCCCGGAAGAAGAGAAGAAGATGGTACGCAAGATGGATTGGATTCTGCTGCCAATGGTATGTTGCCAGTCCCCTCTTGGGGCACGCGAGCAAGCTAACCTTTTCTTAGCTCTTTATGACCGCTACCTTGGGTGCCGTTGATAAGGTCGCTATCAGTACTGCGGCCATCTACGGCCTCAAACATGACCTTCATCTTGTGGGTCAGCAGTATTCTTGGGCTGGCTCCATCTTATCTCTGGGGGTGCGTAACATCTCAACCGGTGGTTTCATCTTCTCTAATCTAGTGGCAGGCCATCGTTGGTATGTGGCCATCCACGTACCTAGTCCACAGGCTACCCTCTGGCAAATACCTGTCTGCATGCTCGTTAGGCTGGTCAATCATGGCACTTCTCTTGCCAGTGTCTCGTGACTGGAGCGGACTGATGGCTTTGAGATTCTTTATGGGTAGGTCAGCTATGATGAACCGAATTGAATGACACTAAATGGGACTGTCTAGGTTGCTTGGAGGCGATTATCGTTCCATCAATTTCTATTATCGTTGCCGGGTTTTACAAAAAGTCTGAGCAGCCCCCTCGCAATGCCCTGGTATTTGCGGCGGCGAGTTCCATCATCAACGGCTTCCTGTCGTGGGTGGTCGGTCACATTCCATCTACTGCAGCACTTTCTGTTTGGCAATACCTTTTTCTGATCACCGGTACGTCTGGCCTGAATGAACTTCACCTAATGTTTCTGACTTAGTCGATAGGCTCTATTTCTACACTTTGGTCTATTATAGCTTTGATTTTCCTCCCGGACTCTCCTATGAATGCATTTTTCCTCAACGATAGAGAGAAGTACCACGCTGTCCAGCGCCTGGCTGAGAACAAAACTGGCATCACAAACCGGCAATGGAAGTGGGATCAGGCTCTGGAGGCGGCAATTGATCCCAAGACATGGGTTCTATTTTTCTTCAACATCGCCATCAATATTCCCAACGGAGGACTCACAACCTTCAGCGGCATCATCATCAACAACCTAGGCTTTTCACCCATGATTACGTCCCTGCTTAACATGCCTACCGGTGTGATGTCTACCTTGTCGGCATTCTGCTTCTCTTGGATCGCTGCTAAGTGGACCAACCGTCGCTGTCTGGTCACAATGGTGGCATCCTGTGTCCCTATAATTGGTGCCATCCTTGTCTACGTCTTACCGCGAACGAATCTAAGTGGTCAGATGGTTGGTATCTATCTGGTGAGTTCACATTCCAGCTTAGCACTGTACAACCGACTAATCATTTCTGTAAAGCTATACACATACTTCGGTCCGTACGTTGTGGGAATCTCCATGGCTCAGGCTAACACGGCGGGTAATACCAAGAAGGCCGTGCAGTATTCTATTCTCTATATTGGCTATGCCGTCGGGAACCTCATCGGGCCGCAGACATTTCGAGCAAATCAAGCACCAGCATACACAGGAGGGTTTGTTGCCATGCTGGCTTGCTATTGCGTCTGCGTTCTGTTGATGGCAGTCTACTGGGTTATTGCGCACAGATTGAATCGCCGAGTTGCAGATGGGGTTGACCCTGGAGAGGATCAAGCGGATGAGGACTTGATGGATGCTTTTGCTGATAAAACTGACTTTCAGCAAAAGACATTCAAGTATACTACGTAGCGGGCGAGTTCTCGTCTTTAATATTCGGACAACTATCAATAAACCAAGAATAGATGACAGTTCATCGTTATAGGCGGCTATGTTTGAGGGTTGTTAGATGAGTCTTGAAATATGCCATCTGTCACAAAACCATTCCTTTTGGGAATTTGCCCGCGCTTAGCAAAAGCTAGTACACTGATTCAGTGCGAAAAAAAATAACGGTCCAAGTGTGGCGATAAGAGAGACCTGGGGGGGCCAGATATCACTAGTGCAAATTGATTCCTCCTAGCGATAACTCTATTCGACAGAAGAGCGATAAGGTAGAGGAAATGAAAATCTAATACAGAGAAAACAGAAAGGTAACAGGGATGGGTTGGAATTAAGTACAAGTCCTACATAAAGATGCACAACGCCCCTTATGGCGGTACCGTACCCATCTGCCCGTCCATCGGAGGTATCCCTTATCTCCTGTCACGGCAGAAGGTCCGAGTCAAGCCCCCGCACCATCCACATTCGTCTTCTTTTCATCTAACCTCCCTCTATCCGTCCGCATTTCACCTTAACGCTATGCCACGCCGAAAACAAAACACCAGAAGGCGAACTGGATGCGCCAAATGCAAAGGTACAACTACAGCCCTCATCATAACTAGCGAGGAACTAAATCGCTGACATGAATAGAGCAACACATCCAATGCACCGAAGAGCACCCCCGATGCAGACGCTGTGAAAGACTTGGTCTCGAATGCGTCCGGGGGCTCAAAATCATGTTTCGAGAGGATGCTATCCAACGAGGTATTAGCTTTGGCCGTGAAGGTACTTACTGCCGCTATCTGCTTCTGGCTATCACCTACTAACTCTCCTTGGTAAGGGGTTTGGACGAAAAGAGCCGGCACAACTGCACATAACCGGAAAACGAAAAGTACATTCCAAGGACTTCCTCTAACTCAGTATACTAGCCGCTTGGTCTTTTTGAATTTAAATGAGGGTGACTTTCGAGGCTCCGATGGCGTTCCTCGAACACATTCTTCGGCCCAGATTCGCCCTAACAGCATAGACCTCTGTACGGACCTTTCGATCCCAACTTCCATCTACCACCCCCTTCATTCTTTTCCGGACACGGAGACCTATCTCCTTGATTATTTTATCCGCGGTATCAGCCCATCTTGCTCTCTAAGTGAAGCGTATAATCCTTACATCTCCCTTGTGGTTCCCCTATGTTTTGTCTCCATCACCCTTCGACACGCCCTTCTGGCAGTTTCTGCGAATCAACTGTGCCTTCTGGGAAAGGATCAATTTACCGAGCAAGTCTGTCACTATAAGCACATGGCCTTACAAGGGCTTCGACGGGAAATTTCCGCTGGGGTACATGACGATGGCACGGTAGCTTCGATCTTGATGCTGTGCTTTCACGACGTACGTCTCTTGCTCATTTGTTTCTGCAGTTCTTTTTTTGTTAACATGGACCGTAGATATCAGATGGATGCTCTCCTTCATGGATGACACATCTTCATGGTGGCTTGCAACTTATCGACTACACAACGTCTCACGGCTCATCCGATTTATGGAAGTTTTTCCGGATGTACTTTGTAGCTCATAATATCATGAGCCGTACCGCATCTGAAAATTGGCATCTAGATGACACCTCAGAGTTGTGGTCTGAAAGCGAAAATCTCGAAGAAGTACGACGCGTTTATGATTACTTCACTATATGAATGCTGACCTATCTGCCAGATCGATATGTTGATGGGGTGCTCGCGTGGCCTGTTGACTTTGATAAACAATATCTCGATCCATGCTTCCACCAAAGCAAAAGTACTGCTTGAATACTCCACTCTATAGAAAGTTTTTCCTGACCACGAAATAACTATAGATACAAAAATACCGACGTTTAACACCCGTGGAGACTCAACACTATACTAAAATGTCATTAAAGATTAGCACCGCCCTTCTTGACTTGAAACAGACGCTTCCTCAACATTCCACGGGCAGAGAAGACCTCGAGAGCATTGCACATATCAAACATCTAGCTGCCTTTCTTTACCTTAATGAACGCCTCGAGGCTGAGCCAGACATCGACGACAAGAAGAGGCTCGGGGTATCTGAAGGGTGTAAAAGCCGTCTTATATTGTCGATGATTAAACTGATCTCCACACTTCCTGATATGGCTACTTTGTTATGGCCTCTGTTTGTGCTTGGGAACACAGGCCTGGAAAATGAAGAACAAAGACGCTTTGTTCTGGATCGGCTGGCCAATATCCAGAAGACACGGAATCTCGGAAGTGTGAGGCGGACAATTGATGCTGTGAAACACGCCTTTGTGACGAAGAGTCTATTTTCTTCGGGCAACAAGGCATGGGGCCATGAAACCTACCGCTACATCAGCCTGGCTTGAAGCAACACATGGAATATTTAATGCTGCGTATTATCTGGTCTTGATAATTCAGATTGTTTCATGAGACTTTACAAAATCCTTGGGATTCTTAACTTCTCCTACCCTCTGTGAGATATCAAGCAGGTACATAGTCAATAATGCCGTTCAATGCCTTATCAATCTCGTGCTGATAAGTGGATGCAACGCTTGTAAGCGTCTCTGCTCTGCACTCGTCTGACGCGAACGGCCGAGAATCTCCAGTTCTTTGAGTCTTCAAAGAGAGCTGTTCTATATCAGACACGACAGTCGGAAATTCTGAATGAACATGGCCGTACAAGAGACGCTCCCAAAATAATTTCAAGGCACCAATACCCACCCGGCAGTTTTCGAGCTCGGTCCGAGGTTGTCTCGAAAAGAAAAGTTTTTATTTCGTATGCCAACCTTCGACGGTAACACCTCCTTAATCTCCTGTGTAGAACGATTCCTCACAGGAAGCCACCCATGAGTGAGATATTCCACTTCATCTTTTGCGATCCGTAAAAGCACAGTTAGCTAAATCGTGCCACCTGGGCGAAAACACGTACCGCGGCTTCATCTCCCTCCTGGAGGGCATCACATTTGGTGATGATCCTGACGGTTCAATTTTCGGCCGTATCATCAGCACGTGCCATGGAGAAACTGTAGGGGTTTAGCGGTGGTTGTAAAAATACAGAGAAAGTACTTAGACCTCCTGGTGGCAAGATTGTTTCTCGAATTCATGACCGCCCTATACATGCAAGTTAGCCAATTTTACCTCAGCACCCTGATTCGGGTATGCTTAACCCACAATATAATAATGTGCTTATCGTGATAAATATCAGGCTCCTTCCGTGCAATAAACGGTTGGCAGTGTGGCTATGCCACAGGGAAAGCAAGCGGGTGCGTCGATCCCACACACCGACGTCGAGGAACTTCCAACGGACGAGTTTGATGTTGGCGATGAGCCATGGAGTATGGACGAAATTCTACAAAGGCAGGAAGCGACTTTATCTTATGTGTTACTGCTTGGAAAAATCATTCTTTTGGTATCTAAAGCTTATGTACTGATAATACATCATCATGGCGAGCGATTTCCTCATCATCGCCGAAGAATACCTTGATAGGCAACCAGGAATCACCGCAGACCTTGAAGCGGTCCTTAAGGTTGTCCAGCTGGTTCATCTCTTCCGCAGTCAAGTTCCAGCCGTTGATATCGAAGTTGCCCTTAATACGCGACTTACTGACAGATTTGGGAATGACACTCCATCCCTTAGTAACACCCCAGACCAAGAGCACTTGCTGAGGGGTCTTGCCCTTCTTCTCTGCGATCTGTAGGAGAGTGGGGTCCTTGTAGAGAGGGGAGTTGGTTGAGCCTAGGCATGAGTAGCCGGTGGAGTGGATACCCTTGGAGGTGTTATATGCAACTAGCTTGGGGGATGGGTTATTGGGGTGCAGCTCGATTTGGTTAACGGCGGGGACGATCTTGGTGCTCGGGTCGTTGAGGAGCTTCTCCAGATTCTGGATGCCAAAGTTGGAGACACCAATGTTGCGGACCTTGCCCGTGGCGAGCAGCTTCTGCATCTCTTGCCTGTATTCAGTGTCAAGGGCTGGTCTATGATCTTTCGCTAGATGTGTCCAAGTTTCCCTTACCAGGTCTTGATGAAGTTCCAGTCGGGCAGGTGCTTAGACTTGTCATCGGGATCGGTGGAGCTGGGCCAGTGAACCAGGTAGAGGTCGACGTAGTCAGTACCGAGGTCCTTGAGAGAGGATTCAATGCCCTTGTTCACGCAGTGGTGCCAGGTGTTGTCCAGCTTGGTGGTGAGCCAGATTTCCTCGCGGGGCACGGCGGAGTCCTTGATACCCGCGCCCACCTCGGCCTCATTGCCATAGGCCAGAGCAGTATCGATATGACGGTATCCAGCGAGAAGGGCGTTCTTGACGGCCTCACGGACCTCATTGGGCTTGGACTGCCATGTTCCCAAACCGACGGCGGGGATTTTAGCGCCGGTATTAAGGGTATAGGTCTTCCTGTAGAGGCAGGCGGTTAGTTTTGTGATGAAGAATTTCATTGGCAATGACATACTTGTTGTGCTGATTAAACATTTTGGAAGGTTAGAGGAATGAAGTGCGAAAAGAACAAGCCGGCACTTTTATAAGGGGGCTTTGGAAAGTGGGAAGGTCCAAGAGCGATGTGAGGGACGTAACTATATAATTGTGGATTCGCATCCCGCTTTGTCGTAATTGGCAGTAAATAATTAAAGATGGATGCAGTTGCTTATAACATCAGGCAGAATTTTACAAGAAGAGCGATCAGTGCTAAAGAGGTAAAGCTTGCACAAAATAGAAAGTCGATACGCGTTGAAGTTTGTCGTGCCGAGCTTCTACAGTGGCTTTCCGGATCGTGATCAATTTTGTGGAGATGCCTTCGTGCTCCACTCGGTCTCCACGAAAAGGAAGGTCAATACGCTCCCGCCAAGAAAAGGACCGGTCCGACCGAGCATTTCTTGTAAGATACCATGTCTGCACCTGGGAGTCAAATTTAATTTCGGGAATGACGGGCATGTAACTACGCTCATTTTTAAGAGAGATGGGCCGGAAGATGCCTCAGCTTGTGGTCACTTTTCGAGCGTTCAAGTAGCGACCGGAATAATTTACAACGCAGAAACGACCATTCTGTCCCGGTGCACATACAGCATCAGTAGCCACCACAGCAAACAAGTAACTCATAGCGAAGGCATGGTCTGTTGGGCATATTTGACGAAGCCGCAATGAGGCAGAGAGACTTGCGGGAATCCCACCTATTAACTGCCGGCTATGATACATCGGATGGTCCAACTTTCCGATACGTCGCCCTAAAGGATTCAGTTAGGCTTTGAGTATCGTACGAGGCTCTATTCATCACGATCTCTTAGTGTTTGACTTGCCACTAGATTGGTAAGACCTCCTTGACTACTTATAGGAAGTCTTGATTTGCATTCTTAGCTTCGTGAAGCTAGAGACTAACCGCTTGCTCCCTTAGGTCGGTCCAAGAAGCAAGCCATTTCTCGATGTCTCCGGCTAGCTTTTTACCTGAAAAAACCTTCCATTTCATTCGAATTTCCTCCTTATACGCATACGTACGCGCGAACCTAGTCTTTAGATAGACTAGCCGTTTATACGGGGTATCGAATCCGAGGACAGCGTCACGGAGACTACTATCCACGAAGGTGATGATAAATTTATTCACCTCTATGAGACCCTTCCGCTGCTCCTTCTAGCGGTTGGCTCCAATTTTGTAGACCTCTAAGAGGTCTCTCTAGTCCTTTTTAGCCTCCGGATCCGCATCCAGCGGATACTTAGGCTCCCGAGGCTCTTTCAGAGCCTTCGGATGATAGGTTTTATCGGTGTTAGGGTTGAGGCTGTCCTAGACAGCCCGATTAATTGCGGATGCCCTTATCCTTTTATGCCATACTCGCCATTTTGACGAGTCTTTCAGTTTATCACCCTTTAGGGCGGAGAGCATTGAAACCGTCTCTATTATGGATGCTGCTTCTAATACGATAAAGCGAGGATCCTACGAAATGGTTAGATAGTAGGGATCGGAGGAATTCAGGGGTAGGAAGTCGGCGAGATGCTTTTAGGACCTTTTTGGCTTACGAATAGCTTCAAGATTGATAGCAAATGAATTCCTAATAGGTTCGAACCGGGCTCATAACTGTCGCGACCCGTACTGTATCCGGCCAATTGGAGATGTAAATGACTCTGTATTCCCATTACCCCTATTTCTCACTATTTATGGGTCCATTCTAGTTACATAAGCTATGCCGACAGATCATCTATAGACCCGGTTTTATGCAGTATTCGTAAGGTAATTGCGACATGTTGATGTCGCCTAAGGCATGAAAAGATGCCCCAGGACGTACGGTGAGTGGATGATCCTTCTTTCGAATAGCTAAGTGTTAAGAGAATAAGAATAGTAAACTAGATATACGCCCTAGAATTTATATTTATAGCCCGGACTTAAGTGACAGCGGGAGAGTGGGTAATCTAGATAAGAATCCTCGCCCTATTCTCACCCGCTCTCACCCTATTCTTACCCCGCTCTCACCTCTATCACCCTAGTCTCCGAAGTTCTCACCTATATCATCCACACTCACCCTAAGATCAAATCCGACGCCATTTTAGGGCTTAGGGCGCATTAAGAATTGACTGCGTACTATAATAGGCTTAAGTACGGCTGAGCGGACGGGAAGCCCTGTTCTCCACACCCTGTGGTCGTATGTACTAAACATTATATCTAAGGGGATGACATAGAACATTGACTTACATATGCTGTATAGATCAGACCAAACTTCTTAGCGGCGTGTGGCTTATGCGCGGCCAGTAGTCGGGTGAGTATCGCCCGGGTAAAAGGTAGGTGAGAAGGGTGATGGGCAACAGACAGGGTTGAGAATGCGAGTGAGAATCACCCTGAATCGCACGACTATCGCACTGGCCTCTCAGCTGATACACAATATAAGTTTATTAGATGCCGTGACTAGGGCTTGCCAAAACCCGTTAAGACCAGCTTGTCCGAGGCAGCTGCCAATGGACTTCACCTGCATATCTAATAAGTGATGGATCTATGCATTTTGTAGAGTTTCGAAGTATGTTGTCAATTGTGGGCGGAGAGCAATTAAAGCAATTAATTGATAAAAATACATCCATTTCGCTATTCCATAAACTGTCTTCTGCTAATCGAGTCTGTTTATGCCTTGTAGGACAGGATATAGCGCCCGCCATCATATTCCGTGACTGTGTAGTATTCCTTTCGCACAGGGTTGTAGCTCAAGTCCTCATTTCCAGCCATGAACCAACCAGGATATTTTTTGGCCGTCTTGCCCTCCTCCCAGGTGAACAGGTCGCCAGCCTTAGGGTCACGACCGTTGCTGCGTGAGAGATAGAACTTCCCATCATAAGAGACACCGCCCTGCATCTTAACAATATCGACGCAATGGGCCCAGCTGGCAGTAGCCAGGCCCTTAGCGTCGGTGCGCAGTCGGCGGGTCGTCGCGTCCAACTCGTACTTGACCAACCGGATAGGAACAGGGAGAACAGGGTCCTTGTTCTTGTCGACTTCGCCGTCGCGGACGAATTCGCCGACCAGGAGAGTATCGGGCGAGTCGCTGCGGTCGAGGAAATCCAAGAGAAGCGGAAGGGAGAGTCCGCTCCAGGGGTCCATTTATACCAGCTATACGCGTTTGTTAGAAATCTTGCTCAGAGCCTCCAACATTAATTCTACTCACCGAACTTGGGGAAGAACATATTGATATCCATCCGCAGAATATCCCTTTCCATTGTCCATCTTCCCGACACCATCCGCAATCTCAACTTCCCAGATATTGTCAAGATTGAAAGCGCGGATGCCGTTATTGGTATCGACAACGTACAACAAGTTGCCGTACCACATAATCCCTCCAGCATGGATGGCAATAGACTTGAAGTCATCGTCGGCGCTCGGGTAGACAAGAAGAACATGGCGGTATTTGTGTGTCTTGCGATCAACAAAGCTGACGCGCACGCTGTCTCCCTTCTGGTACCAGCTCACGATCCACGCCTCATGATCATTCCAGTCACCTTTGCCGAGTGCATCGGCGGAGCTGGTGATGCCCTGCGGCGTCCACTTGGTAGTCTTGTAGTCCCCTGAGTTCCAGGCCCATGCCTCTGACGGAGATCCGCTACCAACTGGAGGGGATCCTTTGTTTAGAGCGCGATTAGCGGAGTTCAGGACAGCCGAGACGCTGACATTCTTTCCCGCGCCTTCGAAGTGCTTCGCGAGTGCGGCCAGATGAGAGCTGTCAGCGGATTCTTGGAGAGTGAAATCCTTCGCGTCGATGACATTGTTATTCATGCAGTAGCGAGAGTCTGCTGCAAAGGCGGGGATGGAAAAGGAAATGAGAGCGGCAGCCAACTGAAAAAGTGAAGAGTAACGCATTTTGGATGTTTTATGTGTGGCTGAACAATGAATAACGATTCTTTGTTAAATGAGCGGATTCCAGACATTAAATACACAGCCGTAGCGACGACTAGGACTAAATGAAGCGAGCGACAATCTCTTTGCTATTACGAGCCTCTAGCAATGTAATATCCCTTTTTTAGTTCCCAATGTAGTAATATGTCGCATTAAGACGGGGATCATCGGCAATACGAGGCTTGGCGAACAGCCACAGCCAGGCGGGAATCCCAAAATAGCGCCCTGACGTTACAATGTGCTCGTGAAGATCTTAAGCGGCGACAATAGCTCCTTGGCAGCTCGGGTGAAATGTGGGGGGAGCTCGTATAGCGGCACAACCAAGCTGCACCTCGGTGATTGTTTGGACGCGAAGCTAATGCGAAACAAACAGGAACAACTCAAGTATCTTCTGGGCTCGTGTTTCATATAGGGGGAGCTTTTTGTATTCCAAATGATCAGCCCGAAGTGGGGTCTTGGGCGTCTCAGCCTCATCTAAGCCCCAAGGAGAGATGACTGTGAGAGAACGCGTAGTTAAAGGAGAACGTCCTCTAGGGCCTCTAACTAACACGGCGTAATCCTTTCTGCGTGATTCCTTTAGTCCTGAGATCTACTTCGCGACCGACAATATGAATGGTAACATGACAAATTATAAGCTTCGGAGAGCACACGCGAAATCGAGGAACGGCTGTCTTAGATGTAAGCAACAGCGAAAGAAGGTAGACTCTCTTAGCACAAATCTGGCCAACATATTTTGATTATATCCCTAGTGCGACGAGTTGAGACCGAGCTGCTCCAGATGTGCCAAGCGCATGTACAATTGTGAATACCAGGGCCCTCGATCTGCACTTCCGGGCGATCACCTCTCAGTTTCTGGCTCTTCGCCGCGTGGCGCTTCTTCAATTCCGCTATCTCCTTGTTCTCCGAGTGTCAATATGAACTATAAAACACTGTCGTTGAATTCAGACTTCCCCAGTAATCTGGACGCGACGGAACTTGACCTTTTGAGTAACTATCTCACGCACACTTGTCGGACTATACCTTTCGACGATCTTGATCACCACGCACTTTCCGTGGGAATGCCAAATATCGCTTTCAGGAGCAGGCCTGTCATGTCGTCCCTGATAGCTTTGGCAGCAGCATGCAAATGTCATGATCTAGTGACGCCCAATACGTCACTGGACGAGCATACCATAATGAAGGTCCGGGAGTTACTTGTGCTTGCTGATCGCCATCACAGGAGCTCTCTGCAACACATTCAAGTAGCTATGTCATATTCAGATTGTTATGACAACATCCTCGCAAATGCGGCACTGATGGTTTTGTACGCCTCTGCCAGTCACTCTATCAGAGTACATTTGGCTACCACAGCGAAGCGAAGTGGCCAGAAATTGCCAAATGAAGTGCTTCCACAGCACTCACAGTGGATCTCATTTACTCGCGCAGCTCATATTGCATCCACCGCAATACTCGATGGCATAGTCGATGGTATGACAAATAGTCAGACAAATACCGACACTCCAAGCACGACGATCCGCACTCCAAGATCGCCGAGCCCGGTTTCAGGTGGCACAATTGCCTTGTCGCCACAGGACGGCCCGTCCGAAAGCACGAAGCGCCTATTTCTTCCCCTGGTCATTAGTACATATACTCAAGCCCTCGAATTCCTACGCGGAAAAGCCGAATCTACAGTGGCTTCTTTTGAAAGACCAGAAGATCTCCCTTGCGGCCATCTATTGCTCGACGCTTGCTTGGAAACTTTGTCTATCCTTGAAACATGTGCATTGAAAGTTCTGTCTACAAAGAAGACGGATAAGAAGCCCGATGGCCCCAAATTTGAGCCCTTTCTATTAGAGCACATCCAAAAAGTCTCGCCCTGGATTGGAGAATACATGGTCAGTGTCACTTCAATGAAATCGCCGAAAGCACTAAGACGGATCATAATGTCTTTTTTAAACAAATCGCCCGCCAAGTTTCTCAGCCTTGTCCAGTCAATGCTCGATTCGACATTCGCAGAAGCTGGCGCTGAGGATATGATGACGCCCGACTCGTTGAACACCGATCCCTTACTTAATTTGACGCGCCTATTAGCTATGGACATCTTTGCCCATTGGCTGGTCCTTGTCATGCTATTAGATGGTGTGTGGTGGATTGGCAGTATTGGACAGTGGGAGCTGGGGCAAGTTATTGCTTTGATGAAAACGCAGGGCTCGCTTCACCAGTTCATAGATACTAGAGAGACATGGTGGCCAGAAACTATGCATCGTGTAAAGTTGGAGCTTACTCCCGATATCTAGAAGCGCTAGATTTTTGACCCAGTCTCGGTCACACACTGACTGGATCAAATTGATATAAAGATATACCACTGCCTCATGTATATTGTGAGGATTGGATGGTGCCCGTTTCTGGTGTTCTTCTTGATGCTGTATATGTATCCTCGATCACTGTTCCTGGTTTATGGGGTCTATATATCTTTTCCCAGAGCCATAGGCTCGAATTATGCTGGAATGTATGTGACTTCTGCCATTCGTAGTCCGTGGGCACTGATTGACCATGATAAATACGATATGCAGGGTCCAATGTGGGGAATACGCTCGGAGCGGATGGCGGATCGGATACGCAAGGCTAAAAATGTAAGCTGACTCCTAACTAGTTTGGCTTATATAGAAGTCGTATTATTAATACGCTCGAGCCAAGGCGCCCAATACGACATACCTTCTTTATACTTGCGGACACTGCTTAGTTTGAGTTGACTGAACCTCTATTCATCTCTACTCATCGTCATTCACTCACTAGAGATACGTGAGGCGCAGCAGTTCAGTCCAGCTGAAGAGTATTTGGAATTGACCATGGTATTTCACTTCGACTGTGATGTGCTGGGTTACAACAATCTAGGTATAAAATGGCTCTAGTCCGCTCCCTTCTTGATCGTTCATCATCAAACGTTTCTTAACAGCTAAGCAACACTTTCCAACCTTAACTTCTATTTTCAAATCATCCAATATCTTTCTTGATATTTCAATAGCCATCATGCTCGCAGGATCCGCCCTTAGCTCTGTTCTTGCTGTTGTTCTTGTCTTTGCCCTTCCTGCGAAGGCAGCACCTCAGCAAATGATGAGGCGCTCAACGCCCGAGCTCAGCCTAACAGCTCAGCTACAAATTGCAGATACGTGAGTTGTGCGACATGGGCTGGATTACACAAGCAGACCGATCTAATTGTTTAGTGCCATCGACCGTTACCAGCTCCTCCCGAAGGATGAAGATTTTGTATACGATTTCACCAAGAGCAAGACCCCGTTTGCCAACCGGAAGACTTTTCCCGCTTTGGTTGGCTCTGGAACCTCCTTCAGTGTCGGTCAACTGCCAGGTATGTTACCAAGAAAATGCCTCGAATTTACCTCGCACTAAATCGTCTCAATAGCATGCAGCATGGCCTACCTCCACCTCCACCCTCGTGCCACAGAGCTCTTCGTGCTTAATTCTGGGCGCGTGCTCACCCAGATGGTGCCTGAAGTAGGCGTGCTTGACTCTAAAGGTAAACAGCGAGTCATCCACACCGAACTGGGTCCTGGCATGATGACAATCTTTCCGGCCGGTTCGTTCCACACACAGGTGAATCCGGATTGTGGACCAGCCAATTTCACAGCAGCACTCTCGTCGGAGGACTTCGGCATTGGGTTGGTCGCGGAGCAGGTGTTTTCTCTGAGCGATGACGTTATTGCTGCCACATTTGGACAAAGCATTGCCGGGGAGGATCTCGAAAAAGTGAGGCATGCTATTCCGGGAGAGGTGGTGATCAAGGTTGAGGAGTGCTTGAGCAAGTGCGGTAAGCAGAAGCGTCATGCTTGATCAGACCAACGTCGTGTAGCCCAAAGGGCTGATGACAAATTACACTGCTTGTGAGGCACTCTGTTGTTTTGTTTAGACTTATCCTTGTTGTAAGCAACTATCTGGTATTATTTTGTTAAATATTGAAATTTAGAGTTATTTTTTTTAGTTTACTGAAAAGTAAATGCTACTTGATTTACAAAAAAGAATGATCTTCAATAAGCTGGATGAAGGATAGGGAGACATGGATAGGCAAGATCTCGTTGTCAGCATACGAAATTTAGATCTCATTACATATCGCCGTAGATGCCGTCCGGTCTAACCATTTTATGAAAGAACGCGCCTTATATTTGGGCATTGATAGATGAACCAATAGAGAGTGAATATACCAGCAATTTGTGTAAAGAGTTTCCTTTCCCATACTCAACACGAAAACTAGGACGTATACCGAGCACATGTGTGCCAATTTACTTCTCATGCAGAAATAACGAGGGGAGAGCATTGCAAGGAGTTTCCAACGATGGTTGTAACGCAGCATGCGATTGTGAAGACTAGCAACGCGGTAGTAATCTTCTGCCAAGGTCCGAAAATACACAGTATCCGACGGTTTTGGAGGATTATAGGTAGCTTTACGAAGATATAAGAGAAATCCCAGCCTCGTTCCTCGATACCTTAGAAAGTACTTAGCCCGTATAAGGCCTATTAGGCGATGTACGGTTAGGAGGCAGATCGTTGACGTTATAAGACAGTATTCCAGAACCCTTCTAATGTAACGACGACCAGATAGTCGTGCGTAACCCCATGTGCGTAACACCATGTTTCTTGGGTTAATATTAGCTTGTAGAAGCGGTAGGAGTAGAGAAGGTTGGTACCTCCCGACGAGAGGGGTACGAAGGAAGGGCGTATATAGCAACTTCACTAAATATACTCCTCGTAGTCTCACGGTCGTGTTTTAAAGTACTCTTATAATTAAAGAAAGCGGTCTAGAATACGAATATAGAAGACTATATCTTATTAGAACTCGCACAACTCGGATATACTATACGGCAATCAATTTGTAAGAGTGTGGAAGTGTGGAGGTTAAACTGATTTCGAAAACTATTGTAACGAAACAGTATGAAAGGAACTAATCAAGACGGTAGAAATACACTTCTCCGCTAGGCCTTGACTAGTTAGAAACCACCTCCCTTATTCGAAAGCGAAAGAAAACCGAAAAACGGACTATAAATAAAGGGAACTATCAAAGGCCGAGGTTAAGGCCCAGATCAAAGAGATGACAAATATCACCTGACATCATCGCGATTCCGCAATCACCAACTGTCACCATTTGCTCACCTCATATCCTTGACTTACCCCGCCCCATAAAGAGACCGTATCACCTCCGGCCTCTTTTTCCTTTCGCCCACCATTTCGTTCTTCACTCGTCTCTTCGGCACTTTCGCCGGTCCAAATCCCGCCACAATGTCCGCCGCAAAGAACCGCGCTCAGCAGCTCATCAACGACAACGCTGTCGTTGTTTTCTCCAAGTCTTACTGCCCCTACTGCGACTCGTCGAAGAAGCTCCTCGATGGCTTGAGCGCCAAGTACACTACTCTTGAGCTGGACCTTGAGGGTGAGTGTTTCCCCGTTGCTTCTGTTCTCTCCGCGGAGGAGCTTAGTTGTTGCTTTTGATATTCTTTCATCTTTGCCGAATGTTTGCTAATATCTGTTTTGTTTCAATTTATAGAGGAGGGATCCGCTATCCAGGCTGCCCTCGCTGAAATCTCCGGCCAGCGCACCGTGCCCAACATCTTCATCCAGCAGAAGCACATCGGTGGTAACTCCGACCTCCAGGCCAAGTCGGACCTCAAGGAGCTTTTGCAACAGGCTGGTGCCGTTTAAGCGTCATGATCGTGCACATTTTTCAGAATACTATATACTATTAGATTCAATAGAGTCCAAGGATAATATCCTTAATTGCACAGCGCTGCAGCTACATCGAGGATTTTCATACTCTAGAAATGATTGGTAGATGACCTGTTTTCGCCATTTTGAATTCGCATTGAGTGGAGTCTCGTATCTTTGGGAATAAAGTAGATCCAAATGACGAGAAGTACAACTAACGTACATGGATATGGTAGTACAAGAATCGAAGAAAAGTTATAATCATTCAGATCAGATAACCTTCTGCACAACAGTTCCAAGAGGCCGCTCAACAATGGCCATAATTCCATCGATGATGCTCTTCCGCGCGCCATCACTGGAAACATTCTTGCCAGCCAAGTAGTTCAACCAGACCAGACGACTAATACGCTCATCGGGAACCCGACCCATCAAGCGCACCGGCTTGGCAGGATCAGTCTGGAAGAGCGCATCCAAACCGCCCTGAGCATTTCGCATCAAGACAAGAGTTTGGCCCTTGGGAACATTCTTCTGCTGGCCACCACTGAAGACAGCTTTGAAGTCATTCATAGATGTGCCGAAGGACTCATCCTGGAACTCGCCGGGCTGGGTCGAGCCAGGCGCAAGCTTCTTCGACTGCGCGCGGGCTGCGATACCACGTACCCAACCGTCGCGCAGATGCATGAAGTCCGTGTTGCGAGTGGGGACGATGCGGAACGCAGTACGGATACCGTTCTCCTTCAAAATGGCAGTCCAAGCGGCATCACCGCGGTCCGCGTCAAGGAGGAGCTCCTTGAGTTGCTGGCGCTCTAATGGGACGAGGGATGTCGCGGCGTCGGCGCCCGCGCCGGAGATGGCGACTGGGGCATCGTCGGATGGAGGGTGGATGGCAGTGCGGAGGAGGCGTCGTTGCAGTTCGGTGATGTCGGATTTGGCGACGTATAGACCCACTACGTAGACCTGGATCGAGAGGAAGGAGACGGTGCGGATGCCCAGGCCTAGAAGCTGGTATTCGTCTCCGGAAGAGGGGGCAGCTCATCGCCTGATTTCTTGCCTTCTATTTGCTCGGGCGAGGGCAGGCGGATAACGCTGGGGAAATGCGGTATCGTGCTGGTTCCCGTTGGAACTTGCTCGAGGCCATCCTGGCCTTGGATTGTGATTACAGACGGTCCGCCACTGGGAAATCCGGCCGGTCCATCCATTCTCATTGCGCCATTACTTGGGGGTGTAGGTGCGGATTCTTGTTGCGGGGATTTGTTCGCGTCCGACTTGCTGTCTTGCTTCTTGGCTTCTATTTCATCTAGTCCAAACAAGTCCAGCTTGATGACTCCGTACATGGCGACTCCGCAAGCCAACATGCCGGCGGCGGAGAATATAATCTTCCGCTTGGCCTGGGATGCTTGCTGGGAAGCCTGCGCGGCAGAAGCTCGGGAGCGGAGGGGGTTATTGGTGGCATTGTTGGATCGGAGGGTGCTGGAGGACAGATGACGGGAGCTCAGGCGTGTTGTGCGTAATTGCTGACGGGTGAGGCATTGGCAGGCCCGCCACGGGTTCTGTCGGAGCGAAGAAGCCATTTCGGCTTATTTTGTTGGATGAGGAATGGGGAAAGCAGGACTGGCGGCTGCCGACGGAGCTGGAGTGTGGCGATGCACGTGATATGGTACGATTTATGAAGTCGAGTAAAGCTATACAATCTTTTGCTGAAAATGTATATTTAATTTTCTTATTATCGCGCGCATTAATTACTTCCATGTCTTATGGAAGGTCTGGTATTTTTATCGCTAGTATAGTACTTTGTAGGTCGAAGTTAGCCCGTACGTTGCTAAGGCTAACTTCGATTTTCAAGGTACTGTATATATGCTGACCAAGACGAGCCAGGATTCACTCAAAAATGGCTTAGAAAATGGCTTGAGCAACAGCGAGCTTTGATAGTACTATTCTACGCTAACGGTGGGCGGTATAATAAGTATCCAGTTTACTAACATTTATCTTCTAGTTGGACGGTGCATATAAGATTTTTATTGTGCAATTTAAACCTTATTCAACGAGGTAAATCCAACCTCTCCGTCTTAGAATTTCTAAAGAGAATTATTGAACAATACTGGGGGGAATGACATATAAAGGATTTTGGAGCAGCGGACTTTTTAGTTCCTTATACATTTTTTAAACAAACTATTTTGGGTCGCATAACTCATTGGACGTACAATTATACCAAAAGCATTGAAGGCCCAGTAGAAAAGAAAGAAACATCGGGTATCAATAACAATCGTAACGCTTAGAACATGGCCGCAAAGGCAGCGGCAGCAGCAGCTCCTAATGGCGCAGCCGTTATCAAAGGCTTCGCAGCAGCAGCGGCTCCAGTGGCCGTGATCTGGACAGCGGAAGCAGAAGCCGTCGCATCGGCAGTGAAAGCGTAAATACCATCGGTGACAGTCAAAGCACTATAGCTGACGGACGTAGGCTCGATGGAGGTACTTGAATCAGAAGCAGAAATGGAAGTAGTGTAGCCTTGAACAGAGGCGGTGATAGCAGCACTCCATGAGCAGGAAACAGACTCAGAGCTGTGGGTGAAGGAGCATGCCATGACGTTGGTTGCAACTCCAGTACCACCTGCAGTAGTGACGGTCACTTCACCGGAGAAGCTGAAGGTGGTAGGGCCCTGGACCAAGGTCAGGGGGTGGTGGATTGCGCACTTGTCTGCATCTTTCATGCAGGCTATCTCGTAGGTTGTGGCGTACTTGTCGATGCCAGCGACGCGGGCAGCGGTGCTGGTATAACTGCCTAGGTTGACATACGGCAGATCGGCCTCGACTCCGAAATAGCTGACGGTAGTTGTGCTGGGTTCGGCAGCAGTAGCCAAAGCCGCGAGTGCAGAGGCGAGAAACAAGTTCATGCGCATTTTGAATGATCAGTAGATCTTCAGAAGGCCTAATCTCGAAGTTATGTGAGGCAGTGAGAATTAGGACTGTAGAAATAAGAGTCAGGAATCAACACACGGGGTCCCTTTATACTTAGAGCCTCAATTTTAACACTAGCGTGCTTTGGACAGTCAGCCTAGAAAATTCACTGAGCCCTGCCTCATTTCGGGGCGCAGGCTTAGCCTCCATTGCGGCTTCAGGGTCCATTGCTGCCCTATGGTCAGGTGGATTTCCCACTTTTAGCTCAGGACACAGACCCCTACCGCAACTTCATGCACCCGTATTATAATTTTAGAACTTCAGATCGCCTAATTTTCATGCTTTTCAAAGGGCGGGCACAAACTGATGATCATTTCGAGTGGCCTCATTTGGTCGCTGACTCCGCCCGGAAGCTAGACGTAAAAGACTGAAGCTGCTTGCTGTCAGGGTCCGGTTAGACCGGCATGGCCCACCAAGATTAATCCCAATATCAAAGCCTTGGCTAAGACACCAAGAAAATATCCATGTTGATAGATAGGAAACATGTGACTCATTTACTGCAAGTAATGAACATGTCACTTATCATTGGCGAGTGTTTCGGCAAAAGTTGCTGGACTAAATGCAGCCAAGTCTCATTGGAGGCTCTAACTCTGCTAGCCCTAACGGGATGGAGACTGTGCCGTGGGGGCCAAATCCGATTGTGCTTTATGTTGCATCCTTTCTTAGATAATTAGTTATTTTTTTAACTTCTAACTATGGTCTACGTATTTAGCATCCATCAAGCCCATGCACCCCTGCCTTTGCCGTATACTTGCAAGATCCAACCCCCGGCGTTGTCGCATTCTCCCCCGGGTAAAGCACAACATTATCAAAGTCAATATTGTAGCACGGGTGCAGTTTCGAGCAGGAAACAGATGCAATCTTCGTCGACGGACCATGCGTATAGCCAGTGAAATTCACGAACGCCACATTGGAAATGCTCATCAGGCTTGTCCCTGACAGAGAGCCATTGTTCCCATTGTCCTGCGTGATTGCAGGCCCCGCATTAGCGCCATAGACTTCGAAGTTTGAGAACAATATATTCTCAATGCTGCCCCAGCCACCTCCACGTGGGAGTCCGGCACTTTCATATGAAGTCTGGGGCACAAGAGCTCCAACCCACGTTTTGATGTAGGCGGTGTTGTGCAAGTCCTCGTTATATCGGATCACTTTGACTCCGTCGATGCGGATATCCCTCACACTTGAGTCCTCCAGATATTGGCCTAGACTGCCAATGGCGATGCCATTCCCACCGCGGCAAGTGACATTGTGGATGTCGACATTGTATGACCGTGGCTTGATTGCGATGCAGTCATCGCCGCCTTGGTAAACAAAATGCGTAAGTTGAACGTTCTCCACATCCATTGTATCTGAATAAAGTGTTAGCCACTGTGACTTCAGTCCAACAAATGAAGAAGGATGATGGGAGTGTTCTATGTCGACTTACCGAACCCATCTGTATTTTGTACCCAATTCTCGCCATAGGGTGCATCTACTGCAGTCGCATTGCAGTAAATGTTGTTGAAACGCATATTGGTTCCGTTCATAATGTTGACACTCCACAATTGGGGATCCTTGATGTAGAAATTTTCAACACTGACATCGGATACATTCCAAAACACAAAAGGCATTGGTCGTCCGGGTTTTGTATCGCCTTTTTCTGCAGTATACCACGTATTCCCATTTCCATCAATGCCACCAGTGCCATATCCATCAATTCTGATATTCTGACCCGTGATAACAAACCCGGCGGCGTGGTTTTGGAATGCGACGGGGTATGAATTGTTGCGCCAATAATTTAAATCATCTGAGAACTGGTTTGAGTCAGCTGTGGCTTCTTAATCCGTTTGAAATTCCCACTTACTGTCCATTTTCCACGCCATTCAATCGTTACATCATTTACCACAGGGTTCAAGCGTGTTGCAATCCAGTACGATTGATCTTCAGGGAAGACAATTGTACCACCCTTACCGCATCGACGGAACGCTTCGAGGATGTTAGGGACATCATCTTTCTGGTGGCCATTGGCCTTGACAGTACAGGTATTTGAGCTTCTTTGCTCATTTGCGAATGCTAACGTCGATAGGCCCAGGCCTAATGGAAGGGCGAATAAAGGCACCCTGAATAGTCGCATTGTGGTTTTGACTCGAATTGTTAAGACTAAGCGGTGCCGATGGTGAATTACGGCCAATTACTTATATCCTTGGATGTACAACCTTGAAGGTTTAATACTCGCCCATTGCGTTCGGTGACCTTTGCGCCGAAGCGGACATCGCGAATCGACCTGCGGAGAAGTTCTGCGGGGAAAAGACGGGGATCGATGTAACCTGCAAGGAAAACTTCAATTGTAAAGCCTTTAAGGTGCTTGTTCTGTCGATCTTTGCCTAGAGTATGAAAATTCACTATTCTCTTGTAGGATTGTTCCACCAATCGCTGATATGCAGCAGAGCTCCTCGGTTTCTAGTGTTCAAATCGGCAAACCCCTGGTAAGCCACTCGTGTCATTCACGCCCGAGAAATGCTTGTATTGCTAGTTTTAGATACTTCCCCTCTTCTTGGTATCTAGTATATGTAAGTTAGTCGTTTCTTGCATCATTACTTCCCTAGCAATCACCATGGCGCGACTGAACTGGCTGGGTATGATACTGCGCTCGTTGCTTCTCGTCTCGTCGGCTCTAGCAGAGACATGCTGGCGTAATACCTCCTGTTCCGGGCCGACAGACACTGCATTCAGCGGGCCATGGGAAAAGAACATCTTCGCACCAGCATCGCGCACAGTCCGACCAGCCAAAACTCTAACAGAGCTGAAGAAAAATGCCATCACAGACACGTCCCATCCATACAAAGTCACCTTACAGGGCAACGGCTCACTAATCGTATTCGACTTTGGCATTGAAGTGGGCGGTATAGTCCATCTGAACTATACCTCGACCGGGAGCGGAGCATTAGGGCTCGCATTCACAGAAGCCAAAAACTGGATCGGAGAGTGGTCAGACTCATCAAATGCCCTTTATCACGATGGAGCACTATATACCAATTTCTCATCGACCGGAAAAGGAAGCTACGACATGCCAGACAAATGCCTGCGCGGAGGATTCCGATACTTAACCATTTTTTTGCTCACAGACGACTCGACCATCGTGAAGATCGATGATTTAAACTTGGAACTCGCGTTCCAACCTACTTGGTCAAATCTCCGAGCTTATCAGGGTTATTTCCACTGCAGTGATGAGCTTTTGAATCGCATCTGGTATAGCGGGGCCTATACTCTGCAGACAAATGAAGTACCCGTGAACACCGGCCGTGTGACGAAGGGTGTTACTTCTGGCTGGGTGAATAACGGGACTATGGGCCCGGGAGATACCATTATTGTGGATGGCGCGAAACGGGATCGTGCGGTGTGGCCTGGTGATATGGGAATCGCGGTGCCTTCGGCATTTGTGAGCTTGGGGGACCTGGACAGCGTTAAAAATGCGTTGCAGATTATGTACAACACACAGGTGAGCTTACCCTTTATATTCTTTTCAATCTTATTCTGACAGATCTAGGACAAAACAACAGGTGCATTTGATGAATCTGGGCCTCCGCTCAGTCAGAAAAACTCGGACACATATCATATGTGGTCGATGATTGGCACCTACAACTATGTGCTGTATACCAATGACACCGACTTCTTGCTACAAAATTGGGAGAGCTATCAGCATGCTATGAACTTCATCTATGGCAAGGTAAGCTACCCTAGTGGGCTCTTGAATGTGACGGGCACTCGAGACTGGGCTAGATGGCAGCAAGGCTATAACAACTCAGAGGCACAAATGATGTGAGTTATCCATTCATCAAGTACTCCGGGACCTCTAAGCTAATAAACTCTAGCCTCTATCATACCTTAAACACAGGAGCATCTCTTGCTTCCTGGGCTGGAGACACAACCAACCTATCAAGCACCTGGGCCTCACAAGCCGCAGACCTGAAAGAAGCAATCAACACTTACTGCTGGGATGACTCATACGGCGCATTCAAGGACAATGCAACAGATACCTCTTTACATCCGCAAGACGCAAACAGCATGGCCATCCTCTTCGGGGTCGTAGACAAAAGGCGCGCAGCCAGCATCTCAGAAAAACTTCTCGTAAACTGGACCCCAATAGGCGCCGTCGCTCCAGAGTTACCGGAGAACATTGCGTCCTTCATTTCCTCCTTCGAAATCCAAAGTCACTTCGTTGTTGGGAATCCTGACCGTGCACTTGATCTCATTCGTCGAAGCTGGGGCTGGTATATCAACAATCCAAATGGTACAGAGAGCACAGTGATCGAGGGCTATATTCGGAACGGGACCTTCGGGTATCGGATGGACCGTGGGTATGGCTATGATCCGTCTTATGTCTCCCATGCACACGGTTGGTCTGCGGGTCCGACATCTGCTTTGACTGAATATATTGTTGGTCTTACGGTTACCTCGCGTTTGGGACTGACGTGGAAGATTGCGCCCCAGTTTGGAGATTTGGAGTCTGCTGAGGCGGGTTTTGTTACCTCTCTTGGGAAGTTTCAGGCATCTTGGAGGAAGGGGTCCAGCGGATATACGTTGAGCTTTTCGGTGCCGAAGGGTACTGTCGGTCAGCTTACTTTGCCTTTTGTCACTGCGTCTAAGAAGCCTTCGATCACCATTGATGGTGACCGCTTGACGCGAGGGTTGAGCTACGTTGATCATACTGTAACTGTGAAAGTTACTGGTGGTTCTCATAGAGTAGTAGTGAAATAGAAAATTCTACATGCCGTTCACAATGGATTTGCATGCCAGGTCCGTAGAAGGACACTTACTTTTGATCCAAACTACAATATCCACAGTCACATCTAACATCAGAAACAAACAGCAGTTCATATACAGGTATGTATTTAACTAACCTGATATCTGATAAGCAGCCGGAAAAAGCAACTATCTGCGATGGAAATCTGAACAGAAAAGCAGGTATGTCCGGAACTGGACCAGATCACCGGACAAATTCAGAGCAAAAGAGTCAAGGAGAAAGAAGAATAATAATAAAAAAGCGCTAGGAAGAAGAGGCTTGGGAATATGGCAAAAGTAGCTGCAAGCAAATGCGGAACTAAAGAAATAGGGAGGTCGAGAAAGGAAGGGAAGGCATCAAGTTTAGAAAGTCAGAGGTGTATGGTATGGACAGGAACAAGACGGCCGGATGGGATATCGGGTATCTCGATGTGTTTTCTTTTTTTCTTTGTTCTTTTTCTTTTCTCTCTCTGCGAGAGTCTCTGTTTCTGTCCATTGCAGTCTGAGGTAAGTTTTTGGGTCTCTTTTCTGCTATAGCAGAGAGAGAAAACAAGAAATGAGCAAATGAAGAGAAGGGAAATTCAAGGAATGGATGCATGGGAGGAAAGGAAAGGTACCATGCCCCGGTGTGTGAAGATTGACACCGAATTAAAAAGCAGTCTGAAGATGTGAAAGGTGGATCAAAAGCAAAAAGGCCTTCGAGCTTGGGATATAAAGTCACAGAACCGACAGAACACCATCCCGCCGGAGACGCTGGGGAAAAAAATAACAGAGAAAGGAATCAAGCAGATGTGCAAATATCAAAGGTATCTTGGGGAGATGGACAAGAGATTTGGAATATGTGTTGCGGAGATGGAATATAGGGTCCATCACATCACAATGCAGCATCCACAGCTCTTCTCTTTCTTCGGTTGCTCGCGTGCGGTGACAACCGGCGGGTTCCAATTGGGGTTGGGATTGGGTGTCAGTCCCATTGGGGGTGTATCCTGCACCTTTGGCATGGTGCTGTATCCCATGCTGGTGTTTGGTCGCGGGGGTTCGGGGCTCTTAGGCGGTTGAGGAAGTTCCTCGAGCTGGAGGTTTTCGACGGGCTGCTGTTCCTGTTCTGGTTCTGTTTCGACCTTGAAAGGAACAGGAGGTGTATCGAATGGATGAACTGCGATGGGTGCAAAGTTGCGGTCGTACGTGTTGGGTGTCCGGCCTTCCTTCTCCCATTGCTCCTGTTGCATCTTTTTGGCGAGGGTAGGAAGCATTTGCTGTTCTGGTGGGAGGCGAGGATCAGGCTTATACATGGTTGCCAACCATGGCGGATCTCCCTCGGGGCGGTTGGCCGCAGTTGTTGGCCGACTGTCAGCACCCCGGGTCGTAGGTCGCTGTGTAGTGTTGCCCGACACAGCACGGGAGCGGGCGGTGCTTGTCTTCCTGTTCGTGGGCGGAGCAGAAGTCTTTCGGTTGGTAGAGCCTGTAGCCTTTGGGTTCTTTTTGCCTGGGGTGTTCGGGGTGGTACCGAAGCCACGGCTGCCCGGTCGGCTGCCCGGAGATGGAGTCGAACCATCCTGCTCAATATTAATAGGCTCACTGGCTCTCCGGCCCCGTGAAGAGCAGTCGTCATCTTCGTCTGTTGCTGCACGGCTGCGAGGTCCACGAGAATCACGGCCTATGCCTGGGATGGGCACCGGACTGGCTGTTGAAACCGGTATTCGGGATGCGCTTTTCCCAAGGCTGGGGTTACTGTAGATGCTGGTAGCTGCATCGTCGGCAGCAATCTCCTCTGGTCGGCGAAGATCCCAGTGCTTCCTCTCATCGTCATCTACATGGTCGTTCACACCACGCTTGCCGGGTTCTCCCCGCATTTCTGGCCAGGGCTCAGAGAACTCCGCCGCAGGCGAAGTGGCCGCACCAGTCCCATTAGCAGCACTCTGGTGAGAATCATGGCTTCTCTCTCGTCCCGCGCTCGATTTGCTTTCTCCTCTCATACGACGCTGGAAAAGAATAGCCGCCTGGTGAAGTTCCTCGCTCTCAATCTTTGCCAGCTTGTCGCGGTGGATCCACTTCTCCTGGCTCGTTTCCCCTTCCAGGTATAATTTGAGTCCATCCTTGCCCTCCTCGTTGTCTTTCCGACTGGACGTATCGTAGCCAGCGGCATCTCGCATGCTGCCAACTTCGCTCCCACGTCGGCCAAGGCTGTGGTCCCTCCGTCCCCGGCTGGAAGTCAGATACGGCGATTCGTTTGTGTGGACGGTTCGAGAGACGGAGGAACTGCGTGAGCCGTTGGAATTACGCTTGCGGGCGGATTTCGCGCGGATCAAATTAGAGTCGTGTGAGTGGCGTGGTCTCGAGGGGTTTTGATTTTCCTGCGGGGGAAATGGATCAGCATTTTTTTTCGCCTTTTTTCCTCTCTCTTTCTCTATATTCGCCGGCTGCCATTCCAGAGCAAAGAAAAGCTGGCTTCCATTCCACTGCCACATAGGGAATTCTTACCTCATTTCCAAGCGGCACGGCGAAATCCCATTGCGAGCCGTCTACGCCGCCAGGCGACGGTAGCGCATCTGCAGAGTAGGTTGCGGTTGCGACGCCCGCCATCCCAGAAGTGTTGTAATCGACAGAGGCCAGTCCAGCTGAAACCCGGTTGGTAACGATCAGATACAACGATAGGTTGTTTGTGTGATCAAGACATGCCCGGGACAAATGAAGGTGTAAGGGGTCTGGGCCGAAACAGGCAAATTGTAAATACGCAGGGGGTGTTTCTTCTCCTTGGTCCACGGGGAGATAGCCGACTGCTGGTTCCGTGGTCCTCGAGGTAAGGGTCCACCGGTTCGGGGTGGCTCGGAGCTTCACAGAGAGAGAAATCGGAAGCGATTGGGGTTGAAATCCAAGTCACGAGATCACACGTCGAGGTGTATAACCCGGAGGGGGAAAGGGAATGTCGAGGGGTTAAGTCAGAGAAGAGAAAGAGGGCTAAGGAGGCCGTTCGAACTAACGTCCCAATTGGGAATAGCAAAGGACTAGACCGAGTCCAACGTCTTATATATGAGACTCTGGCGCGCCTATGTATATATTCCTACGCCTCTTGGACTATTTCAATAAAGTAATCAAATCAATTGTATAATCTACCTGTTTCTAATAACTTTATACATGCGACATGTATCAAAATCAGAAAAAAAATTGGTCTCCGTGGGCCGTGCGATGCCCCTGAACTACTGAACTACTGAACTAAGTTACGTTGATCACCAGATCCATGATCTTAAGGCGTAGATTCTAGTACCTCTGTATTTTCTCCCCACTTTCATAGAGAAAAAACTTTGGACTTACATGTCGAAGCTGACAGGTTTATCGTTGGGAAAATGACAAAAGTTGACACCTCACATATACGCCGATCCTCTCCATGCAAAGAAACATCCCGAGGGGTTGACAGGTCCCAGAAAACGAGACTCGCTAAAACAGATACCCCCATAGTCTATGTCCGTCCAAATGCTCCAAAGTATACACAAGGAAAGGAGAGCAGGCCTTTAGAGCTTCGCGATTGTGTCCAGCTTGTTGAGAGCTGCCTGCGCGTCCTTGATGAGCGCTTTGCGCGCATTGCGAATCGTCGCGTCACCGTCTGGTTCAATCCCATCCGCTTTCAACATCACCTGCGCAAGGATCGTCTCGGATAATTTCTTATATTCAAAGTCCCGCTTCTTGGGGTCGGTCGGCGGGTCCGCCACGTATTCATCGACCAACGGAACCACCTCTTGTTGCAGCCACCCGGCCAACGCACTGACTTGCGCCAGCCGAGATGGAATTAACTTGATGTTGGGAGGTGGTGCGGGGTTGCCCGAATTGCCTGACGAAGATGGCCGTGGTGGAGCAACGGGCTCGGGGGGTGTGACCGGCTTCTTCTTGTTATTCTTCTTCTTTCTTCCGCTCTTGCCCCGCGGAGTCGGAGGAGACGATGATTGTTCGGCGTCGCTGTGGCGGGCTGGGGGCACCGCTGGTACGGGGATGTGCCGTCCGCTGTCGTCGGAGGCATCGCTTGGGCTGCCGGGGCCGAAATCAGAGACAACACACATAACCTCGGAATGCTGCTTGATTCCCTCTTCGCGGCAACGCTGTGTGTTGTCCTTCAGCAGTTTCCCTTTGTACAACAATCTAACGTAGTCCGGGCTACTGACACCCATTATGCTGGCAGCCTTGTCTCGGAGCTCTCCCACGGTCAACGATTCGCCAATTGAGTATGGCTCGAAGTGGAGTGGGTAGTTGGTCCCGCGGTGTTTGAGACGGATCACATCGGGTTCCGAGTCTGGACTTGCTGCGGGTGCGTCTATTTCGCCGGGCCTGATATAGGAGAAGTCCGCATCGCTGACATGCGGGGAGGATGCGGGTGCGTAGCTCGGGGAGCGGCGCAGGATGTTGCGCCAGCTCATCGCGACGACGGTAAGCAGACAGACGATAAGGGCTGCAAAGAGAGCGAGTGTTTGTTCGTCGACGGCGAATGGGAGCTTTTGCGCGACTGGTCTGAGCGTGGTCGACAGGTAGGTGAGAATAGGGTCAACTCGGAGGCGGAGAGTTTGGATGTGAACGGGGAGGTTGTCGGCGACCTGGTCCAGGTAAACTGCGCACTTCTCGCCCAAGGTGGATTGGGCGAGGGTCGAGGGCAGTAAAGTCATGGATCTCTGTAGGGGAGAAGAGAACAGGTGGTGTTCAGGTCATGTCCCTGGGTGGTTCCATATAGGCAGACAAGGCGGAGAGTACTTTTTTGCCATCGCAGATAATTATGCATGCAACGGGGTCTGCCTGTTGGTTTGATATGATTTGATTCGGTTCTCTTTGATGTTAAGATCCTGATATGACTATAGTAGTAGAGATAAGCCCATGGGTGCCTTGTGTACCGTGAGGCTGCCTAGATGTGGCGATGTGTTCGAGGCCAGGGGCCGCCGACATACCACACTTTATGTTTTGATGGCCATTCTCTGCCGCGCATAGCATGCGTGTTTCTTATTCCATTGGATTCTCTGGGCTCTATGTTATATGCCCCCTGTGCATTCTGTGCATTCTGTGTATATACGGCGTTGTTCGGTGTCCGACTCGAGCTGGGCTGTTGATCACAAACCATACATACGGAGAACATATAATCCATGGCGCTTTTAAAACATACTTACGTCAATCAATATGTCAGCCTTGGTATCGTATACCTAACTTACTTGTATGGATATGCTTAACTTAGGAGTGGACTCCTGTTCCCGCCAATGCACCTAGGGGTTGCAGTGCAGATCATAAGCTGTAGGAGGAGAGGGAAGTATCAGGATGTGGCTCATATTGATATAGATAGATTCGGGCCCCTGGGTGTATGTTTGACATGCTACCAAAGGATTTAAAAAAAAAAAAAAATTGGAACGTTAAAAAAAAAGGATAAGGGAAAGACATAAATTGTTGAATACTTCAATATATATGTCTCGAGCAACAACCCAAAAATCAAGAAAACCATTAATGGATAAACAGTGTCTGAAACATTGAAATGAATTTGACGACACACTTAATTGTCAAACAATGCTATATGATCATAGCACAGGGCCCTTTCCAGGCCCGCCAAGGTCAATATCAACAATTCGCATTATGTGAAATTTACTTGATGCCTTAGATTTACTTCTGGCTCATGATGCCAAATACTGCGATTCTTTTCATGTATCAGCCTTCGTGGTCTAGTTGGTTATGACGTCGGTCTCATATATCCTTTCTTATGACATTCTTGGTAACAAGATTGACATCCGAAGGTCTCCAGTTCGAACCTGGACGAGGGCATGCTTTTTGCTTTTTTTTTTTGCCATTTTACTAGCGTAATCTGCAATCGATACAGTACCCTCGCAAAGCGGTGAACACCAACCAGTTCATATCAACTCCAAGCTCCAAGCTCCCGCAAAAACATCATACAGGAAAGCACCTTCACATCCACAACCACAATGGATCCCACAATGGAACTACCACAACCCCCCACAACAATGAAAGCTTGGCTCTACAGTGGCACATCCTGCGGCCTGGAGAAGAACATGTACCTAGACTCATCGGCGCGCGTCCCGCCCGCTCTGAAAGGCGACGAGGTCCTCGTGGAAGTCCTCTCAAGCGCGCTCAACCCAGCCGACTTCAAAGTCCCCGAAATGGGCCCGCACGTCCGCCACCTGGCCATCGGGATGCCAGCGTCCCCGGGGATGGACTTCTGCGGGCGTGTGGTGACGACCGGTCCGGGTGCCAGCTTCAAGCCAGGCGAGCTTGTCTACGGGTGTCATAGTATGCCGGTGAAGTTCGGTGCGCTCGCTAAGTATCTCTCCATCTCGTCGAAACTGATTGCGCCTGTTCCCGAGGGCGTGAGTGTGGATGATGCGGCGAGTTTAGGAATTGCTGGGCAGTCGGCTTATCAGGCTTTGGAGGGGTATGTTAAGAAGGGGGATAAGGTGTTTATTAATGGGGGTTCTGGGGGGTGTGGGGTTTTTGCGATTCAACTTGCTAAGCATATGGGTTGTTTTGTTGCTGTGACTTGTTCGACGAGGAATGTTGAGTTGTGTTATAGGCTTGGCGCTGATGAGGTTATTGATTACACGGCTGTTGGTGATATTGTTGGGGCTTTGAAGAAGAAGGGGATTGTCTTTGATCATATTCTTGATCATATCGGGTTGCCGTCGGATTTATACTTCCAGTGTCATCATTTCTTAAGGCCCGGTGGTGTGTTTGTGCAGGTTGGGGCGTCGGCTTTGACTACATTTGTTGGCAGAGTGACTTGGCCCTCGTTCCTAGGTGGAGGAAAGAGGAAATACGTCATCTTCTTCTTCAAAAATACTCGGGAGCACACCGTCAAGCTCGGGGAGCTGGTCCAGAAGGGAATTCTCAAGTTGAATTTCGACAGCAAGTATGATTTTGAGGATGCCGTGAAGGCATTTGACAGACTTCGCTCAGGGCGCGCCAGGGGCAAAGTCCTTGTTCATGTGGCCAATCCTCAAGAAGACACGAGCGCGGTTGTCAACGACTTTTTGTTTCAATAGCCATTAAGATTCAGGCGCAGCAGGAATGTACAGTTTCAAAGCATACATATGCCCCCTCTAAATTCTTTATAGAATAGTAACATTTTGCTACAAATAGTAGTTTCTTGCTAATGCGCATCGTTCCGCTGTGAATATAAACCAAAATATCTATATAATCTAACTAACGAAAACACTACTAAAAACAAAAACATACAACAGTAAGGATTCGCTAGTGCTCACCCACCTAACTACTAACTTACCGGCGTGTGGCTTATGTGCGGCCAGTAGTCGGGTGGGTGTCGCCAGGGGTGAGTTTAGGGTGAGAGCCGGCTTTACAGTCGCGCGACCGGGGGTGAGAGGGTGAGCGCGCTATACACAGGGTGAGAATCAGTGTGAGAGTCACCCAAGTCGCGCGACCACAGCACTGACCCCCGTGCGTTCCCACCCCCGGGTGACACTGCCGCCACCGTGGGGGTACGAACCCCAACGCCGCACCCGGCGCTACGCCTCTCGGAGGCCTCAACTGAACACCAGCAGAATGTTATTGGATTATACCCCTACACCCAAAACACTCGACATCTTGGCATCTACATACAAGCACAACTAGAAGCATTATACAACGCGGTTTCTTTAGGATATCTTCAAGCCCATGGTCTTCCTCGTCTGCCTTGCGTTGTTAATATATTTGAGCTCTAATAGTTTTGGGGCTCAAGTCGCACTAGTAACTAGATGGTCGCGAGATGGGAACTACTTAGTTGTCGCAGACTAATTAAAATCTAAGTTAAGTCTTATACACTTAGATATATTAGAGGAACTGAGACCGGGTTTACGGAACGTTGTAGCTTTAGTTAGTTCCAAACTATAGGAACCAGCGTTCTAAGGTTCCTTGATATAGCAATATTCAAAAATAGATTCCCCCATAGTGGACACGCGTTATTTCTCGGCCCGTACCCGAAACCACGCTAATCCAACGTTGCTAATATGGAAATATTTGTTTACTTATACAGTACATCCGAAAATTGGTGTCACCACCTACACTCTGTCACTTTTTTTTGTCTAAAGTGATGTCAAGAAGACTTACTCTTGTAGGATATTCACCGGAATATCAATTTTCCGATTTATCACCAATACAGAGAGTTACTAAGATAAATTACATACTTGTGTCTCATAAATATATGAGCGACTAGTGGTAAACGAGAATCTTCCACGGAAACGTAAATTATTAGTTACTAAACGCCCACAATCATTGAGCTTTCATGATTCCCACACCACCCCACCGTACCAGTGGGCAATCTAAATGCTGTCTCGGAACCAGCCAGACCACACAAACTGTGATCGACAATTTCTAATACTTACAGAATACAAGGCTTTGTGTACAGTGACTGGACATAAGTAATTGCTTCCCCTTGGCCACACTTACTACACCGTCCAACATAGCCAATACCGCCTTCCTAAATGGATCAACGATCTAACAAAGAAGGGGTTGATAAATAGCTACTGCTCAGCGTACATGGGATGATTGAGATATAAAGCATTTGGAGCATCTCTCAGAGATGATGCCATATTGCCAGGGCTGGTATACGCCTTACAAATTTAATTACATGAGGTTTATGGCCGGCAGAATGTCATGTAATAAGGACATATGGGGCAGGGGACCTATTACTTATGTCCAGTCACTGTACACTGCCTGCTTTTACCACTGTATTCGAGCCCTCCCTTAAAGGCCTCCTCATGTGTACTCTGGATGCTTAGATAGTTTGCACACATCGAATTACACAAAAGTTGCCTTCTGACATCGCAACAATTGCAGGGTCTGATCAGTAAATTTACTAGATTATCATCCCTCAGCCTAACGTGCTACGGACTTGTTACTATGGCCGACCTACTATCAATTGCCGCTGGAGTTGCAGGATTGCTCTCTCTTGGAATCCAAGTTACCCAATTTTTGACTGAATTTTACTCTCCGGTCAAGGAAAAAGCTACTAATGTAGTCAATATCGGGCGGAATCTTGAAGATCTTCTGTCTTTCGATCTCTGCATGTCGCAATACAAGAACGCCGATCTCGAACCGGCGAACAAGAGCTACACCAAACGGTCAACACTGCAGTTCAAAACTGTAATCAAATTATCAAGGAGCTTCAGGGTGAATGCCTTAAATTCCAGACGGGCCAAACTACGCGTTTTCAGGGCCAGGTTCAACTCGCCCAGCGTCGCGTAGCCTATCCATTCAGAAAAAGCACTTTACAAAAGCTTGAAGAAGACATTGGCGAGATACGTGAACATCTATCTTTTGCGCTAGAAGTGTTGCAACTCAGAAGCAACTGTACCGTGGCCTAAGTCCAAATTGCGGAGCTTAGAGAGATCTCACAGGTAATTGTCGAGGTTTGATAGATACCGGTTTCTCTCGTTTGCCTAAAGAAGCTATTAATAATCGCAAACTTCTGCTATATTAAGGATCAATTTAAGATTATATCCGTATATGAAAAATAAGTCGAGAGGTGATATAAAAGTTAATTGAAGATAAACGTATTGAGGACGCTACTACACTAGCTCTACTTCACCCAGATTTTTATAAGAGGAATATCTACTTCTCTACCGAAGAACTAACCGTTATTACTAGCCTAATAGATTAGCAATTAACTAGTATTAAGCCCGCGTTTATTTATACTAACGAGACAACATTAATATAAATTCTAATAGGTAGATCTCGAATAATATATAGGACGCTACGAGGGTTACTTATTAGATAGCGTATAATAAATAGATATAGACTACCAAAAAAAGCCGAGTCCCGTGGCGAAGACATAACAGTAGTAAAGGCGGACAAGATGTGGCCATTTGAGTGCTAGATAGAAACCAGGGAAAGGTAATCAAAAAGCCAACCGGTCACTGTCTCTAGTGTCTAGTCTAAACCTAGGTCCAGCCCTTACGTTAGCTTTTCGACATTAGGACATGGCTGCAGTCAGAGTGCACTGAAACTATTGAGTCCGATAGGCTCTTCTTAAATGATCACACGCCTATTTACTCCGTGGGTCTCTTTCATTTCCCAAACCTCGCTTTCTGTTGGTCTCCGAATAGGTCGATTCACTTCCAGATTTCTCGTTCACTCCTGGGGGGCCAATAGTCAAGATGGCGACCACAGAGCTGTATAAACTCCTGGTAGTTCGTACATGTTGCTTGTAAATCGACTCAACCAGAACAGCTGTGAGTGAAATGCTATCATATCAACCAAGGGTTCTTTTGAATTCCCCCTGAGAGCGGGAAGTTAAGAGATGGGCGGGACAGAAGCCGTGTAAGATAAGGTTAAACAACGTGAGATTTTAGCGTATCCCCGAAATTGCTGATATACAGTGACTGCTCAACCCCGCTCAGAGTTAGAGAGTCAAGAGAGACCAGGTAGCACCCGGGTCATGCTATGCCCCAAGTGTGACCTGTCTTTCTCAGAAGAGCTTAGTTTTCCAAGTCTCCCAAGTTTGGCCGATAAAACCTGGGATTATCCTATCCTCCCCATGGAGTATTACACTTGAAGGTCACATAAATGTAGCCCTTTGCCGCGGGTCCCGGGATGGCGAAAAACAAGGTGCCAAGAAGGGGCGCTGAGAGGATCATCGGGTGTAGCCGCCAATTCACGGGCAGCCAAGACAGGTACAACTCTTGTATAGTGCCAGATCACGTCAATCACCGTAACGGTGAAGGCTCGAGCGGGGCCTTGGCCACGCCTTGAGTCTTGCTGTCCGCTTGTTTAGGGAAATCTCCAAGCTATCACTTGGATGAAATTTTCGTCAGCCAAGAAGCCAAAACCCTAACGAGAACATCATTGTTGCACTGGGATTGAGGGAAGATTTCCCGTTGTTCGTGTCCAACCACTGTGGCTTCCAACGTTGTATTAGTTTGATACTAGGTGTGGTCTTGGCAAATTAGTGGCCACTACATATGTACGATCTGGAGCTTCACTTATTTCGGAGAAAGCACGACAATTGATAGTGGCGATCGAATGTTGGTGACTTGACTCCGTTGAATTAATCGCAACCTCCGGAGTACAGAACACGTGGAAATAACCGGGCCCATGTCCTCGGCTATCCCAAAGGGGTTCCGCCTCCCTGCATAGTGAGCATATCTAAAGAGCTTTTAGAGAGTTTAAGAACCATACCATCGTCTAACTTTTGCCTGTTCCAGCTAGTAGAGAATAGGGAACTGGTATCGTTGGAACACATTACCATCCCTGTGAGCCAGTTTGCCATTGATTCGGCCCCGGCGGAGCGGCGAGAATCATGCACAGGAATAGGGCGTGGGTCAGATATATCCCTGTCTGTCAGGGTCCTACCCCACGGACCTCCCAAACTGGGGCCGTCGACAGCCGCTGAGCTGGAGGATTCAAGTCGGCCAGCGCTTGAAGAAAACAATTCACATGTTAATTGATGGTATAACTATTGGAACATGCTCTCCTCCGTTGCCAAGTCTTCAAGATAAAGGATGCAACATCGTAACTGCTTGCGCAAGCCAAGTGGCTAAAAATACCTTTGGCAATACGAGGCGTTGAGGGGATTTTGTCCCAGAGGCAGAACAGCCCATTGAGTAAACAATGGACCCATGAGGGGGTCTACAAGGTTGTCCATTGGATGCCAAGGGACCTGGCGATGACCAAGATGGGGCCGATGCGTATTGTCCGAACATTTGGCGCCGCAAATGGTTAGGATAACGACAACGAACGAAGCCTCCAGGTTCCACAAGGGGTCGCGATTCTCGATCCATTCGAAGGTTGGTTGCTTTTCTTTTTTCTTTTTTTCTTTTTTTTTTGCCTGAGCGTCCAATACGAGACCGGGCTTTCGCCGTTGTAGTTAATTACTATAAAATCTCCCGCTCGAGCCTGCAGATCCCCATCTGCATATCAAGTAGAGTAGCCAGAGACTTGATATAACCGTCTGCAATCGACCGACCTTCACGCACTTCGAGAAAAAACAGAAAAAAATGAGAAGGCAGCAGTCTGGGCTCGCTTGCGAGGAATGTCGTCGACGGAAAGCACGATGCGATCGTGTGCGTCCTCAGTGTGGTATATGCACTGATGCAGGCCGTACTTGCATCGTCGTCGATAAAAGGTCTCCACGAGGGCCCAAGAAGGGGCAATTAAAGGATTTGCGATATCGATTAGGTGAGTTGGGTCTAGTTGAAGAGCTCTGGCAATAGTGTCCACTGACCTAGATGGGTTACCACAGCGGTGATCGAACAACAACTGATCAATCAGAACCAGCCCCTTGACAGTCACATATTACCAGACTCAAATAGAGGGAGCCTGGAACGAGAAGCGTCAAATGAACTTCACTGTGAAGGTGGCATGATAGGATGCGACACGGATGAGTTGCAAATGTTGAACTTTGCTTCATCTGAAAATATCTCCGTGTCTGACGGGCAGGAAGCAATTGACTGGACGATGGCGTATGATTGTCGGAATGAGAGATCGAGCACTTGGAACAATCTCGATATGAGCAACCCTCGACCATGTCTCATCACGCCCATTTCGCCCGTTCAAACCTCCGCAAGGGAGATGGCGCCCAAGGGGGAGTTGGATATGTCCGATCTCATGCAAGCTGATCTGTATGAAGGTTATGGTCCCTAAAGCAAAGGGTATGAAAGCTGATATCCTTTATAGGGATCTCCTATACTTTGAGCGAGTCCATCCTATTGTCCCGATGATACACAAACGACGCTATCTTTCATGGGCTAATGAGAAAACGGTCTCACCTGCCCGAGCTTGCTTGCGCTCAGCCATGCGCACCATCGCTGCCGCCATGTCCGCTCAGTTCTGCGCGTTTTCCGATAAACTCTATGCCTGTACCCGAAGTATGCTGGAGATGCAAGACGTACAAGGCGAAAACGGTTTGCCATGGATGACAACTACTAGAGCGTCCCGCCGCCGGATTGAACGCGAGATGATCCAGGCATGGCTCTTACTTGCCCATTGCGAGTTCTTACGCAAGCCTGAGCAGGACGCTCTCCTCGCCTCGACCAGGGCCTTTAGGCTTCTCCAGCTCTCGCGTCTATTTGATATTGATATACACGATGATGAGACCTCGCCGAATGAGAACTCGGGATCCTGTCCGTCAGTTTCTCCTTCCACGACGCAGAATCCCCCAGATGAAGCGTGGATAGAGACCGAAGAAAAACGGCGAACGCTGTGGACGGCCTTTGTCCTTGACTGTTTATCCAGTATGCTTAGCGATCGACCATCGATGCTGCACGAAGATATGGTCGGTGAACTGCCCCCCTCTTGCCTTGTGATAATATACAGTTCAGCTGACACGATCTGCCGTACAGATAAACACACGTCTTCCAATGCCCGAGAGGGATTTTCAAAGTGGCCAGCGACCAGTCCCCATGGGCTTTCTACCTGAAACAATGGGCAAGACCAGCGAGTGCGAGACACTTTCCTCTTTTGCCCGCTGCGTTGTGTTCGCGAACCTTTTCGGGCGTTGCATAGCACACCGGCGACTCGCACAGTCAGTCTCTCTCCCAGAGTCTGGCTCGGAGTCAAAGTCACGGCATTTTTGGATGAGGCACGAATGGCTGGCCGCGGCCGCCGCCCATGCAACGAGGCCGATACCACCGACACAAGCCCCCAATGAGTCTAAATCGGAGACCGCAAAGTGTGATCCATTGGCTGCTTTCAACCGTATCCTCGCCTACAGTGCGTGCATATCCCTTAGCGAGACGGCCGAAGCAAGGGCATGGGAGACCCTCGACGATCACACGTTGGCTTTGTCATATAGACAGGTAGCCAGCCAAGCCGCATACGAAATCGCTCTACTTATTCAAAAGGCGCCTCGAATTGCTTTCTTTAAGATGCATCCTATGCTTCCTAATGCAATATACTTGGCTGCCAAGTTTCTCAGAGCTACGACGCCAAACTTCGCGACTCCAGCGGCACATGACCACAATAGCATTCACCATCTACTCGTCGCCCTGGGATATCTCAGCAATGTCAATAATCTGGCCCGAGACCTTCTCGTCAAAGCTAAAGCGGACATTGGGGAAAATGCACTGATAGCAACTGAAGTGACGGGGCCAAATTGGGATGCGTTAAAATTGGCGATACATCTAGACGTATAGGCATGATGGAAACATCTATTCCGGCATAGAATCCAAATAAACTCAAATTCATTACCGGCGTTATGTCTCCTTGTCGCCAAACCTGCCTTTCATCCACCTAAGGTAGATGTGAAATTATAATATATTCGTTATCATCGTGCTTTGCCCGCTTCTATCGCAGGTATAGATCTGAATGCAGTTATCTGAATGTGCTTTGGAGACTTGAGAAGTTCGAAATAGCACCTAGTTGACAATGAAGCTCCTCCACCTGCAAATCCGAATCGACAATAGGATGACAGCCGCGTCTGCGATACATCTCTCAGACGCTCAGAATGCAGTGTCTGCGCCCCGAATTCGCTCTCCCAAGATAGCCAAAGCATCGCTTACCATGCCAGCAGTATCATGATCCCATAACTGATGACTACGGCTAATGATATCACGACTCAGCTCTTCAGCTGCCAGCCCCCAGTCACGATCCTTCCAAGTACACAGTTCACCTGTTCGCCTGCTACTCCGAACCAGCCACTGTGACCGTTCGTACCGTACCTCACTGTACACGGCCAATGCTTCAGATGCCACCACACCTGAGACAATCGGTGCCTTCGCCAACACAGCCAATACCTCTGCGAGAATCAGAGCGTCTTCTATCCCAAATTCAGCTCCGCCTCCCTGGTTTGGCGTCGAGGCATGTGCGGCATCCCCAGCTAAGCACACACGGCCCTTGGCAAACATCGGGACTGGTGCTTCTAGCATATCAAACACGGCCCATTTTTCTAGCTTTTCCGGGAACATCGACACAGCTGACCGGACAGTTGGACCAAATTCGACAAATGCTTTGGTTGCCTCGTCCCGCGTCGCCGGGAGTACATATCTCTTGCTATCGCTATTTGTTTGAATCTCTGGCCATTCCTCCTTATCCATGATGAAAGCCTCGATGTGCATTGCATGCACCTCGGCGAGGGGGATAGTGAGTACAAATGCGCCTGGGCCGGTATGCAGTATCGCACTGGAAGTCTTTTCTGGGCCGAGTACAGCGGTTGCTTGCGCCAAAGGCACCATACCACGGTATCCTAGTTGGTGTGAGTACTGGGCCCGAGGACCAAGTTCGTCGGTTCCGAACATGGACGCGCGGACTTGAGATCTGATCCCATCGCAACCAATGACTATTGCTATTATCAGTACCGCCATGTTATGCAACAACTGACAGCGCCTAATCCATTAACTCACCCACATCAGCCTGGGCAGTTTCGCCATCCCTGAATTTTAGAACTGCCCTCCCGGATTCATCGTCTGTCTCAATTGAATCTAGCCATTTCCGGTATCGAACACGGTCTTTCGGGATATGTTGAACAATTTGGTCGACAAAGTCGCACCGCCGACACGCCTTGTAGCCTCCCTTTACGTGAAGCTGAAACAACAATGCTGCGGTTGATGTGCGAGGATCTTCGCTCCCTTGTTCACGAACACCGTCCACAAAATCGATCGTTCCACCTGACGGCGCACTCGCCACATTGGTAAAGCTTTGGAGGACGCATGGATCCAGCGCCTCCATGGCGCGCTGCGCGTTGGGCGTGAAGGTGATGCCAACGCCCAACTCACCAAAATTCTCGGCTCGTTCGTAAATGGTGAAGCTAACATTGCGCTTCAACAGCCCGACAGCGAGGGCTAAGCCAGTGATACCGCCGCCGACGATGGCGACCTCGAATGGGCTGTTGGCGGGTCGAGTCATATTGAGGTCGGGTCGCGCGATAAACCGGTGAGTGGATTGGAGGAATACTGACCTGAGCTAAATGCCAGTCTTATCATTGTCCTTGATATTGTCTCTATACATCAGCAATCTTCTAGACGGAGTTTCTGCTGCTTCAATGACGTGGTTGACTTTGTATCGGCGGACTCCGGAGTTTCTGTCGAACCAACCGGAGCCACATCTACTCCGAAGTCTACTGCTTTGAACTTGGCGCCGGGTTGAGCCAGAAAGAATACATTTGATACACGTTTCGAGCTGGTGTCAGGTCAAACACGTGTACAATAGGACTGAGTTATTGGGACAGTACCTCTACATAACAGATTTCCTCTGCCGGAGCTTTCCTATCAGAGTCACCACATTTGTGGGTTCAAAGTCAGGGCTGCTCACTGCCACGTGATAAACCAGTGGACTATGGTCGAGAATATAGACAAAACTGCGCATTTTCTGGGGTGTTTTCACTAGAGCGCTCGCTTACAGATTAATTTACCACCGAGGTCAGGTAGATTTCTAGGGTGATGAGTTAAACATGCTGCAAGAAATGGGATCGCGTCATTCTTCTATTCTTCATCAGCCTGTCTGCCACATGTATATTGCCTACTATCACTTCAGTCAAGATGATTTGACTGTGGCCACCACTCCGGGATTTCATTTCATTTCCGCTATCCCTTTGATACTTCCTTTTTCCTTTTCATAGTTGAGTAAGGGGCCAGGTAGAGTGAAGGAGCGGTGTGTTGATGGCCTTGTGAGAAGATCGTGCATCTGATATATCGAGAGAGCGGCATCCACTTTGTGACGTGCATTTCCCATATCTGGCTGATCGCGATCTTGACACTACGTGTTGTATTCTTAGTGGGTACTTTCCAACTAAAAAAGGCTACGCGTAAAGACCTGGTTTTGTCTATTATCACTATAGACATTTCCACTACATAGTTAGTATTAGAGCTGATGTAGTTAGGTCACGATTATTATGTAGATGCTTACCATTTGACTACTTAGAGGTCTGGTCCTAGAGCCCGGCTTAGAAGAAAGACCCCTCCCTCTTCTTTCGAAATTACCCACCTTCGTGCAGAAAGTCAAATAGTATATGATGAATCACGGCTGATCGCTGCTGCATTCGCTGCATTCGCTCTAAAAGTACTCCGTAGCCATGGCCCCGAAAAGTAGATGCCATGTCCTCCCTTATTCCTCGCTAGTGACGTGTCCAGCATCTAGCGGTTCAAATAAGTTAGTGAAAGGGACAGCCATAGACTATAAAAGACCTGCGATTCCTGTGTTGATTCTTGTCTTCACACTCGAAGCAAAACCCCAAACTTCCACATCACCCGAATCCAAATATGGTAAGTCGTGGCAACCATTCGCTTGACGTTGGTTTCTTATATGTATTTCTATAGTCTCGATACAGTCGTGAAGAAATTAAAAAATGGAAGGAGGTCTTCAAGGCTGCTGTAAGTTTTCATTTAAATACATTATGGAGCAGAAAACTCACCTTCTACCTTCTAGGATGTCGATAATAACCGTATGCCCCTCAACCCGTGATTCTGCGATCAAGCTAACAGACTCAGACTTCATCACCACTGACGAGCTGATCATAACTGCCAAAGAACAAGGCATTGAAATGAATGATGAGCAGGCTGCGGAGTTTATCAAGAATTTTGATAACAACGGCAATGGTAAAATCGAATTTAGCGGTATGTCACTGCCCTTTCGTGCTGGCAATATTGCATATTAACAAGCAAGCAGAGTTTCTGAAGGTCTTGGGAGAGAGAGGTACTTAGACCCTAAGATAAACCAGAAAGTATTGAACACATTTTCCACACCAATACGAGGTGGCGAAGTAAGTCAGCATTTTCACAGCCTAAATTAGGTGGAAAATACTTCGAGGAATAGATTAAAGCAGTTTTACAAAATTAAATGAATGAAGCTTGGAACAGACAGAGTTTAGGAGGGAAATATATCGAGGATAGAGCTATCATTCTGTATAATCCATGGAGGTAGACAAATATGCAACAAAGAATTAGAAAAAGAAAATCATCAACGCAGGAGCCCAGTGTCCTTCCAAACCTGGAAGTATTTCCGAACTACCGCGTCAGCCACCGGCTGCACACCCCTCAGCGTTGGCGAATGCTCCACAGCATTATCCGTGGCCATGGTGACCCCACCGCAAGACATGTGCTGGAACTTGTGCTCAAAGAAATCGATCGCCTTGCCCGCGGGGTTATCCCACGGGTCCTCACCAGGGAATGCCTTCACGCGTCTCAGCCAGTCATCAAGTGGGACAATGCCTTTTTCCGAGATGCCTAGAGCCTGAGCTAGCACAGGCACGATCTCTGCCCAAGGCTTCCGCACCGGGTTATCCACATGGTAAACGTTATGGCAGTCCGGCGCATCGCGCAGTAGTAGGTCCGCCAGCGTGGCCGAGGCTTGCTCGAGGGGCAGCCAGGTGAAAATGCCTTCCACTGCTGGGAAAGAGCGCAGCGTCTGGGCTGACTTGAACAGGAACCCGAGAACTTCCATGTGGTTCCAGTACCCAGTCTTGATGGATCCTGATAGCTGACCCAATCGGACTGTCATTGCGCGGAAACGCTCCGGGTACTGACCCAATGTCTCATGGAGGATACGCTCACATATTACTTTCGCCCCGCCGTAGCCGTTCGGAAGAGCACTGTCGATATTCAGGTGTTCTTCCGGAACTTGAATCTGGCCGCCGTGGACGGATGGGTATTTACCCACCGCCGACAGGGAGGAGATGAATTGGAAGGTGAACTTGAAGTCGGTGGCCTCGCGGCGAGCTGAGATCTCTGCTGCAAGGTCCACAAGGTTGCGCATGATCGTGAACTGGGCCTCATTTTGCTTGAGAGAGCGCAGGCCGTTGACAGGGAAGGCATTGTGGATAATGTGAGTGACATGGCAAAGTAACTGTTTGTACTCCTCTGCGTCTAGACCCAACTGTAGTTTCGAGGAGTCGGTCTCGATTACTTTCAATTTTGCTAGTTGTGAGGCATCCAGGGCAATGGACTTTGACTCCAGGGATTGAATCTGGCGGCGTAATGGGTCACGAGGGGCAGCGTCCTTAGCTCTTCCACCTCCGATCGCCGGTCGATTCAGGCAGTAGACTCGGTCGACTGAAGGAAGAGAGACTAAATGGGCAACAACGTGGCTTCCAAGACTCCCGGTTGCCCCTGTGACGAGGACAACCTTGCCGTACTCAGAAGAGTCAGTGAGACCTCCAGAGTAGGCAGGGATTGTGAAGTCCCGGGTAGTTTCTTTGACATAGTAATCAGCAGCCTGCTTTTTCTCCTTCAATTCCTTCTCGGATAGCTCATGGTCGTCAACTTGTTGCTTGGCCACAGGGGAAGACGACCAACGTCCTGCTCGACGTCGTCGGCCAGAGCGATTATGACCCGTTGGACACGCACTTCGGGTAGCTTCCCGTCGGTCCACTCAACATGTTTATAGCCTGCATCGAGTAGCTCTTTTTCCCATCGGCGTTCGTCTACAACGGCGTGCGTACGTCCGTCTTCAAATAGCCACCAGCCTTCCAGAGTACCCCAAACGACGTCCACCCAATGCAGTGTGCTGTTCATTTCGAGCAACATGAGGAAGCCATCTGGGCGCAGAAATTTGCGGATATTTTGCGTCGAGACTTGGAGTGAGTGTGTAGCATGCACAGCGTTACTAGCTATCACAAGGTGTTGCGAGCCGATCAGTAGCGGGTCAGACGGAGGTTGTTCAATGTCGTGCACAGCAAAATTCATGAAGGGGTACTGCTTAAACTTCTTCTTGGCTTGCGCCACGAGAGACGGCGAAAGGTCGGTAAAGGTGTACTCGACGGGGATTCCGAGCTTGGCCAGCGTGGGAACGAGCACTTTGGTCGTTCCGCCAGTCCCAGCGCCCATCTCAAGAATCTTCAAGGGACCACAATTCTGAGCGGAAAGTCTCAAGCTTTCTGCAAGACGGGAGAGGAAATCAGCCATCAGCTGGAAATACAGCTTGTTAAAAGGCAGCTCGCCGTAGAAAGCGGCAACTAGTTCACGATTTTTGGCATCTCCAAAGATGAGTTGGGGACCATCAGCCTTTCCTGACAAAACGTCTGCCATCCGAGAACCTATATTGTACGTAAGCTGGTGAGAAGGGCCATCGTCCGGGTGGTGGGACATGAGGTCCTCCAATATGGCTTGGGAGGACTGTGTAGGAAGAGGAAGGGCGGTGCGAGTAATAATGCCTCCGTCCACGTCTATGATTCTTGTCTCTTCAAGCATCTTGTACAAGTATTCATGGAAGCGGTGGTGCCGAGGAACAAACGGCACGGGCTGCAGTACTTCCCCTGGTTTGGCGGCCACCAGGTCGCAGCCCAGCTGTTTGAAGGCATCGCTTGTAAGCACGAGGCACAGTCTGGTTTGCTTCTGGGAAACACCGTCAAGATAGCCGGCGCATTTCCATTTCTTCAAGTAGGCATCGGTCTGCTCATTAGATGCGCGGAAGGCCTCGAGAACAGCAGATGCCGGCAGGTCCATCTCGTTGCCAAGGTCAATATAAGATCTAGAAATGTCCTCTTCTTCCAGCTTGGGACTTGGAGTGGCAAGAATCCCGTCGTTGCTGGATGGAGGAGTGTTTTGAGACGAAGACGCTGCATCCGAAGACTGCGAGGCATCATCCTCACCCTCAAGCCCAAGTGTAGACTGGAGGAAAGCGAGAACGCCTGGTACGTCAAAGATACTCATGAGTTCAGACTGTTCCAGGGTGCAATTAAAGGTGGTTTCTACCTCGCGGGCCATCTCCATTCCCATCAGAGAATCAATCCCAATGTCTGCCAGTGCATCAGTTTCATTTATTTCCTCGGGCTCAAGGCCAGAAATATCTGCCAGGACGGGAAGAAGCTTCGCCCATAGCTCAGCCTTGGTGTTCCTCTTTTGAACCTGAGCACGAGCTGGCGGCGCTGTCATCATAGATGAATACTGGTTCTCAGTTGGCACAGAGCTGATGGGTGCAATTGTAGCGGGGAGCCTGGGTTCAGTTGCCGGTACAGGCGGCGCGGCAATAACAACGTTCGTGAAAAGTTCACCCCTTTAAGCTATGTTAGGACCATAATTCATAGGCGGAATGAGATACTCACGTCGATCTAGCACTGAATTTGATGCCAAGTATGGCCTCCTCGAGTAGCCTAGATGCCGAATCGAACACAAAAATGTCCGTTATAAAGGTGTCTCCTTCTGTGTGCTTGTGGGTCGCAAGGATCTGCCATTCGCTTTGGTGGTCGTTGTATGACCCTTCGCTAATTTTCCGTAAGAGACTCGGTGACCTCATCCATTGCTCAATGCCATCGGCAATATAGACGGTGCCATCTGTGGTGTTCCGGCCCGGTGCAAGACAGTTCACCCAAATGCTGCCAACCTGGGAAAAGGTCTCCCCGAGGGCGAAATCAAGCCAGGAGTCCCGAGACCGTCGCTTCACAACTCGGCCAGCTGACTCGCTCGGTCGCCCAACCAGCTTTTGCAGGCCACGGAGATTGGGGGCGTAGCCCACGAGGTCCGAGTAGACCTTATATATGCTCTGCCCTTGAATCACTTCGTCGGCATCGTCAGCAGACTCCAACGCCCGCAGGCATCGTTCATGCGTTACGAGCCTCTCCAACCTACTAAACTCGAAGTTTGAGCGGGCATCATCGGCACGGTGGAACTCAAGCTGTCCGCTCAGATGGACAGTCTTGCTAGAAACGTCGGCCTCGCTGGTCAATTTGAACTTCCAACCTTCAGGGACGTGTCCAGAACGTTCGAATTCAAGAAACACTGCCCTTGATGGATCCACCACAAGCGGGAAGCAATTCAAGACATTATAAATCTGGGGATGCAGCTCATTGGCCGCTATGACTTCCAGTCGAACGCTTGTGATTGCCTGGATTGCGGTGTCAATTCCGAATATGGGCGGACAGGCCTGAACAGATTTTCCCAATGTGTATCCTGAGACAATATCGACATATGATTTCGCGGTTGTATTGATGCGGAACCGACAATTGGTCTCAGTCTTGTCACTGTATCCCATGAAAGTGTAGAGGCCCGATGCTGGAGCTTCTTGGTCCACACCACTGTTTGCATACACCATTCGCTCGATTACCACCGGTTTTGGGGGCGGCTTAAACTCGAGCCAATGGCGATACTTCTCGAACTGGTACGGTGGAAGCATGATAGGTGCATACCCATAGGTTTGCGCCCGGGAGTGTGGCCAGAACGAGCAGCGCAACCCAGAATTCCACAGACTCATGGTCAGATCGGCGAGTTGTCGGGTCCCCTGCGTGGTACCAGTGATACTGACTGGCTGGAACGTGGAACCCTTCGGCATCCCCAACGCCCTGCCTGTCATGGTCGTTATGGTGGAATTAGAGCCAGCCTCCAACCAGATGGCCTCCGGATACTGGCACGCGAGTCTTTGGACAGCATGGTCGAAGTAGACAGGGTTCCTCATGTGCTCAGCAACGTAAGCAGGTGAGATCGGACCGGTCTCCCGCTGCTCGGTTGCCCTTTCAAGAGGTATGTAGGCATTTCCAAAGCTCAGATTGCGGCCCAGGGCCTCCAATTGTGGCTTTAGGTGCTCAACTAGGGTCGAATGGAACGCATTAGTCACATCTAGCCTCTTGTGTTTGATTGGGGTATCAAGGGTTGAAACTGCCTGCTGCACAGCATCAATTGCAGCGGCTGAACCAGCGATGGTGAAGCTCTTCGGGCCATTGAAACAGGCAATTGTCGCATGTCCAGCCCGTTCAGTTTCACCAAGACGCGCATTTGAAGCAACCAAGAGCTTTTCCACATCGGTTCGGTCCGCTTCAACTGCAACCATGGACCCCTTCTCCGGGCCCCAGCTCTCTTTGATAATCTTCGACCGGCCATGAACGAGCTTGAACGCATCCTCTAGGCTAAGGATGCCTGAGACGCAAAGCGCAGTGAGTTCTCCGAATGAGTGGCCAACCAAGGCTGCTGGTTCAACACCGCAGTCGATCCAGCTCAACGCACATGAATACTGCATGGAAAAGAGTAGCGGCTGGAGTACGGTCGGGTCATGGATCGGCTCGCTTTGGAATATTCTCGGGTATATACTACCCGCCCCGATCGACTTGCAGACACTGTCGCACCGATCGAGGTGTTGACGTAGCACTGTGGCTTTGTCAAGGACTCCGCGGTCGAGGCCAACGGATTTGGACACCTGGCCCCCGAAGCACAAGATAACAGGTCGTATGGAAGGCACCGCAAATGTTTCGAAAGACGTCAGCTTTTCTTCGAGTTCAGTGATGGACTCGGCGCCGAACACGAAGCCACGGCCAAGCGACCAGTTAGATTGCCGATTGACGTTGAATGACAGGTTCTCAATTCCTAGTACATCTCTTGAGATGGCCTTGTTCTTGATGAATTGGCGCAGTCGTGCGGCATAGGCCCGAATGGCTTTGTCGTCGAGCCCAGAAATATAAAATGGACATCTGAAAGTGGAAGTCGGCGATGTTAGATCCGCGCCTCCGTGGCCGCCTGCTTCACCTCCTGAGGGGTATTTCGCTGCCTGCTTAATCACCATGGAAGCATTTGAGCCAGCTGCGCCATAATTGTTGATGAGTGCTACCTTGAACTCGTCTTCCCAAGGGAGGGCTGCTTTCGTGATCTCCATATTATCCGCAGGTGAAGCCTTGATAGACGCGCTCATGGAAGTAAAGCTGGCCTGTGGGGGTATGCGACTTTCTTGCATCATCAACAACATCTTGATCAGTGCTACAACCCCAGAGGCACCCTCAGTATGACCAATCAGCCCCTTCACAGAGCCGAGTTGAAGAGGCTTTAGCCCTGCGCGAACGGAGCCACCGAAGACCTGGCGAATGCTGTCGTACTCTGCTGGGTCACCAACTGGAGTTCCTGTCCCATGAGCCTCGATGACTGAAATGTTCGTAACTCCCAACCCGGCCTTGCCGACAACGGTCCGGAACACACTGGTCAGGGAAGACGGGTTGGGAACAAAGATCGGCGTATCATTTTGATTCTGGTTGATGGCGGTTGCCGAAATCACACCCAGTATCTGATCGCCGTCGGCAACAGCATTGGATAATTTCTTCAAGAACACGGCGCCAATAGCCTCACCTCGACAATACCCATCAGCCTTTGCATCAAACGGCTTGCATTGCCCAGTAGGACTGAGGAACGATCCTGCAGCCAGGTTTTGGAAGAACATCGGGGTGCTGTAAAAGTTTGTGCCACCCGCCAAGGCCGCAGAACAATCACCGCTCAGGATAGCCCGGCAGGCTAAATCTATGGCGACAGTTGATGCTGAGCACGCGGTATCGAGCATCATTCCTGGGCCTGTCCAACCAAAGTAATGACTAACCTTCCCAGCGATGTAGCTTCGTAGGGCACCTGTGGCCGAAAAGGCCGTCGGGGAAGTGTGAGAGATATTGTTTTCATAGTCATTGGCGACACAGCCAATATAGCATCCAATTCGGCGGTCTGCACCAGCTCTGTGATAGTAGCCCGACTGCGCCACGGCCTGATAGGCAGTCTGCAAAATCAGTCGTTGCTGCGGATCCATGTGGAGGGCCTCGCGAGGAGACTTCTTGAAAAACTTGTAGTCGAAAGCGTCGTAGTCATCGATGAAGTTTCCGTACCACTTCCTGTCCTCGGCGTCCTGGCCGGGCCGGAATACAGTCTCCATTGCAAAACGCTCGTTAGGCACAAGGTTCTTGTGCTGGGATCTGCCTTCCAACAGGATATTCCAGTACTGCTCCAAATCCTGTGCCCCGGCGACCTGGCATGACATGCCAATTACAGCGATATCATTGTCGGTAAATCCTGGCGGCACATCTGGATTCGAATGGCGCTGGCCAGTGCTTTGAAATTCGTAGTGGGTGACTTGGCTGTTTAGCCTTCGCAGGAGGGTGGGCGGGACACATCGCTCTGGTCCAAATTCAATGACCTTAGAAGTTCTATCTTGCAATGAACTGGACACTGCTGAACGGAAGGTCTTCACCCAGTTGAATTGTTCCACCAGAAACGCATGCGAAGCGACTTCTAGTAGACTGTCCTTGTCTGCTAGAATAGACTCCGAGTTGACACGTGTGCGAAGAATGAGAGAAGAAGCATCGGGCAGTTGGAAAAGTGGATCCTTTCTACAGAAGCTAAACAGGGCTTCAAGATCGTTCTTGTAGAGCTCGCCTGCATGAAAACGTCCATGAAACTCAGTTTCGCTAGCTGTAAACCCTGCTCGTTGAAGATGTCCCTTCAAGTCGGAGGCAATTCGGGAAGGCGTTGTCACCGTAGCTCGATTATCGTCATATAGGACAGAGATGTAAGCCTGTGCGTGTGACTTGTTAGACTGAATCAAAAATGTGAGAATTGAGACTCACGCCCGGACAAATTTCCAACACTTTCTTCAAGTCGGACAAAGATTGCCCACCTCTCCAGAATGCGATCAATGACACTGATGATCCAGTCACATCAGAGATGTCCTGTGCGTCAGAGAGAGCTCCTAATACAAAGACTTTTCGAAGCACCGCCGCGGCATTGTGATGGAACTTTGCCCAGGATGAGCTGCTTGATACCACCAGGGCACTGAAAACGCCTAGGCAGCAGCCCACCGTCTCTGTTTGCGCAGCAGAAGGTAACTGAAACAGCTTGCCATCTCCATTCGCTGACTGTGATGACTGGACATATTGGAGGTATTCCACAAGTTGTGCGATGATGACGAGTGGCCCAAGAATGGCGTTGGGCAAATTTGCAACCGTAGCTTGGGGAGTAATAACTCCTGTTCGAAGCCATTCTGCTAGCCTACGGGCGTGGTCCGCGCCGGGAGTCTGTTGTAGTTTGGGAATTGATTCAGAAAGAGCGTTCCAGCCACTCTCGATGTCCTCGATAGCGCGGACAGCCCATTGGCTGGCAGCATCATCTCTGACGAATGACAGAATCCGACTGAAATACGCCTGGTCAAGGCTCATGGCCCCAGGCCCGAACAAAAGTAACGTCTTGACACTCAGCAGTGCCATAGTTGATGTGGTTTCAGGTTGAGAAGCTGGACTGACGATCAAGTGGCAGTGTTGAGTACCACAAGGCTCACTTCAAGATGTAATTCGACTACAGATCAAGAGTACCATGGGATGAGGGGTTAGAAGTAACCATATTGAAGCCCGGAGAAACCAGCTGCTTTCTACGGCCACCATGACAGATTCAGACAACTAACTTGCACTAGGAATATCTTCAGCCGTATTGCCAAGCTGCGGCGCGGACTTCGAGATAAACACGTCCCTGTGAACCGGAGTTTGATACCCCCAGACGGAGATTTCGGCCATATTCGGGGTCCATTGTCCTGGAGATAGCCATAGGTCTAAATTTGATGATATTCTGAGGCTGACTATCGGAGATGACCAACAGGAGAGGCAAAACCGTTAACTAGATACAGTGGACTACATATTACCGCCTGCCCGTTATATACTATCATAAATACCGCATCCCATTTAAATATACTGCTATAAGAATAAATAGTCGCCCGCTTATACGGCCGTAGACTTCTTAGTTGCCTTCTCAAGTAGTCTTTTTATGTCTCTTTATAGTGGTCTTTTCTAGCAGTCTCCTTTGGTACATACTTTTGACTGCTAATTGTAGGTACCAGATCACGTGCCTACATACTAACTATATTAGGTGTTTTAGTCTGGCAGAATCGGCAGAATTTGGAGAGCGGTATATCTGGGTACAAATGTTTAGCCCAATATTTCATAGGTCTCACATACGGCGTCCAAGGAGACGCGATAGAGATATTTTACTCTAATGAAATTGATTGCTCAACAATGTATAGGGCAAATAGCTTCAAATTCAATAACCTGACGCGTTGAGTGGTTTATTTGGATAGGAAAAATATATATCTGGTGAATATCTTCAAGTCTGGTTTCACCCCGCTCATATTGAGTAGCCGTTTCCACGCCTCGAGATAATCCAGAGACCTGAGCTGAATACGGGAGCTAATCTGCCTGCATGGGGGTTTCATCCAGAACACGTCGTGATGTGGCCTCATTCTCGTGGTTTCTCCGCAGGACTTGGAATAATTCCAACTCCGCCTCACACAATCACAGCATGTAACCCGACACCACGGATTACTCCGATCCCAATGTCCATTGTCCGGGAACGAGATAATGAATACTGAGCCATCCGCATGGTCCCCAATTTACCCAACAAAGCTCTAGGTATCTAAGAGGCAGGGGGCATAGGTCTCAATTCCCACTGCAGGTTCGTCCAAATCCCGTGGTATCTATCCCACGGCACGAAGGCCTATCCTTTCAATCTAGTTGTCGACATCTAAACAACACAATATGGGAAGCATCGATAACACGGCGCGCAGGTCATGGGCCAGCGAGCCGATTGCCATCATTGGCATGAGCGCTAAATTTGCTGGCGACGCAACAAACACCGACAATCTCTGGCGCATGTTAATTGAGGGAAGAAGCGGTTGGTCGCCCTTCCCCGACTCTAGATTTCGATCAGAAGGTGTCTACCATCCAAATAATGGACGACTCAATAGTGTGAGGCCTCACCCCGCATTCCTACAGAAAGAAGTTTTAACAAAAGTCACTACGTAGACACATGTGAAGGGTGCACATTTTCTCGGAGAGGATGTCGGACTGTTCGACGCGGCATTCTTTGGTTACTCGGGTGAAACAGCGGCAGTGAGTGCTTTGCTGGCTCAGCTTCTTGGACTTGACACCTACTGATCATGACTTTAAGTCAATGGACCCGCAGTACAGACTCCAGCTCGAGTCTGTCTACGAGGCATTGGAAAATGGTGAGAAAAATTTCCCCTTTTCAGCCCTCTCATTTGAAAGGTCTTTAACCAAGTATCACAGCTGGTCTGCCATTAACGAAGATTGCTGGTTCCAACACCTCGGTGTTCACAGGAGTGTTTGTACACGATTATAGAGATGGCTTACTCCGCGATGCCGATAACCTACCGCGGTTGATGGCCACTGGCACGGGTGTTCCCATGATGGCGAACCGTGTATCACATTTCTTTGATCTGCGCGGTGCCAGTATGACAATAGAGACGGCGTGCTCCTCGGGAATGGTGGCAGTGCATCAAGCCGTCCAAAGCTTGAGAACTGGAGAGGCGGATATGTCCATTGTTGGCGGCGCCAACCTGACACTCAACCCAGATATGTTCAAGGCGTTGGGATCTGCTGGGTAAGTCAAGTGCACTGACTACCGTGAATAGAATGAATCACTGAATTGTTTATGAAAGGTTTCTTTCTGCTGACGGCAAGTCCTATGCATTTGATTCCCGCGCCAGTGGATATGGCCGCGGCGAGGGTGTTGGAACACTAGTCGTGAAGCGCTTGTCAGACGCCCTTGCCGCAGGAGATCCGATTAGGGCTGTGATTCGAGAATCGATGCTCAACCAAGATGGCAAAACTGAAACAATTACGTCTCCGAGTCTAGAGGCACAAGAAGCCTTGATGCGTGGATGCTATCGAAAAGCAGGTCTCGACCTTCGAGAAACGCAGTATTTTGAGGCACATGGCACTGGTACGCAGGCCGGGGATACTATTGAGGCACAGGGCATTGCGACTGTTTTCGCATCACGCCAAGAACCGTTGCTCATCGGATCGATCAAGACAAACGTTGGCCACACAGAGGCCGCAAGCGGGCTCGCAAGCATCATCAAAACCGCACTAGCCATGGAAAATGGGCTCATCCCGCCTTCTATCAACTTTGAGAAGCCTAACCCGAAGATCAGCTTGGAAGATTGGAATCTAAAGCTTGTTCGGGAAGTGGAAACATGGCCAGCGGGCCCCATCAGGCGCGCATCAATCAACAACTTCGGATATGGAGGAAGCAATGCGCACATAATCTTAGAAGATGGCGCTTCGTGGGTTAAGGCTATTGGTGGCCAAAACGGACGTACCAATGGGTTCACGGATGGACATTCGAACGGACCAAACGCAAATGGTCACCACCCCACGACGGACCCACATGTGCAAGCAAGCCAAGGTATCTCAAAAGTCCTTGTATTGAGCGGAAAGGACAAGCAGGCGTGCGAGAACATGATAGCGAACCTTGCGGACTACCTGAGGCAAACCCAGTCAACAAACTCCAACCCACGAGAGTTTCTCGACAGTTTGATCTATACGCTAGGTCAACGGCGTACCCGCTTCCCATGGGTAGCAGCGTATCCAATACCAGTTGCGGAGGGGTATGAAGCCGTAGTTCAGACTCTCCAGTCGCCCAAATTCAAACCGACGCGCACTTCGCGCCGACCTCGGATCAGTATGGTGTTTACAGGCCAAGGGGCACAGTGGAATGCCATGGGAAGGGAGCTCATCGAGGCCTATCCAGTATTCAAAGCATCTCTTCAAGAGGCAGCAGGATATCTTGAACAGTTTGGCGCCGAATGGTCATTGATGGATGAGTTAATGCGAGATGCCGAAAAAAGCCGCATTAACGAAGTCGGCTTGAGTACTCCGATCTGCGTGGCAGTACAGATCTCGCTTGTGCGCTTGTTACGGGCTTGGGGAATCGTTCCTGTTGCTGTTACCAGCCATTCGAGTGGAGAGATTGCCGCTGCTTACACTGCGGGGGCCGTAAGTTACAAAACAGCTATGGCCTTTTCCTACTATCGTGCAGTGCTGGCAGCAGACAAAAGCCTACGTGGGCCAGTCAAGGGCGGCATGATTGCCGTCGGACTTGGATTAGAAGAGACGGAATCCTATCTTCGCCGACTGAGCTCAGAGGGCCAAGCTGCCATAGCTTGCATCAACAGCCCGTCTAGCATAACGGTCTCGGGTGATCTTTCGGCAGTGGCGGAACTGGAGGATCTGGTCAATGCAGATGGTGTATTTGCTCGTCGCCTGAAGGTGGATACGGCCTGGCACTCGCATCATATGACTCCGATTGCGAATGTCTACTGCGAAGCCTTGGAGAATACACGAGCTGAAAAGATTGACCAAGATGCTCTGACCACTGTCACATTCTCATCTCCAGTAACTGGAGGTCGCATTACTAATGCTCAACATATCGCGCGCCCTGAGCACTGGGTTGAAAGCTTGGTACAGCCTGTGCAGTTTGTCGCCGCTTTCACCGATATGGTACTCGGCGGCTCGGGATCTGGTGGCTCTAATGTAGATGTGATCGTTGAGGTGGGCCCGCATACAGCGCTGGGAGGTCCGATTCAGGAGATCCTTGGACTGCCCGAGTTCAGAGATTTGAACATTTCATATTATGGAACTCTCGTTCGCAAATCAGACGCCGTGGACAGTATGCATGCACTTGCTTCTAGTCTTCTACGAGAAGGCTATCCTGTTAATATGGAAGCAGTGAATTTTGCACATGGGCGAGGACAGGACGTCAAAGTACTGACAAACCTACCATCGTACCCCTGGAACCACCAGGTAAAGCATTGGGCCGAACCACGGCTAAATCGGGCCTTACGTGAACGATCCCAGCCTCCTCATGACTTGCTCGGATCCATCATTGAAGGCTCAAATCCAAATGCACCGTCTTGGCGACACGTCCTTCGAATGTCCGAGTCACCGTGGACCAGAGATCATGCTATTCAATCCAACGTCATCTATCCAGCTGCTGGGTACATTTGCCTGGCTATTGAGGCGATCCGTCAGCTTTATGTGCTCAATCAGACGACCGGAGAGATTGATGGATACCGGCTTCGCGACGTTGATTTCTTACAGGCCCTAATCATTCCGGATAGCTCAGATGGTATCGAGATTCAAACGACGATACGTCCAGTCAGCAAGAAGGACGTTGCCTCGCAGGAATGGAAGCATTTCGAGGTCTGGTCCGTTACAATAGACAACCGCTGGACCCAACACGCGAAAGGGTTGGTCTCTGTTGAAATTGGAGAGTCTTCTGTCCGGGCTTCCCGACCAGCTAGGAAGAACATTACTGGCTACACACGGCGAATTCTTCCCGCTGATCTATTTGCCAACTTGAGAAATCTGGGGATTACACACGGGCCGGTTTTCCAGAATATGAACAGCATCATCCAGTCTGGTTCTGAAATGCGAAGTGTGGTGAGCATGACTTTGCCCGACGTCTCGGTTCCCAATGACCTTCCCCGAAACCACATTCTGCATCCCGTCACATTGGACTCGGTAATCACGGCCCCTTACTCGGCAGTCCCTGGAGCTGCTGCCCGTGAAGTTGCTGCCAAGGTGCCCAGGTCTGTTGAGAGATTCTGGGTATGCAGCAAGATAAGTCACGATGCGGGACATTCATTCGAGGTGGACACGACCCTCGCCCGCGATGATGACCAAGGAATGGCGGCAGATGTGCTGGTTTCTGATCATGGCACCGGAAATATTGTGCTCGAAATGAATGGCTTTTCTTACCAGTCTTTGGGACGGAGCATGTCATTACAGCAATCCGAATCTTGGCCGAATGAGCTATGCAACAAGGTTATTTGGTCGCTCGATATTTCCACGCCTTTGCCTGCTACCTTGGCTACCGTGAGGAATGAATTGGCCTGCACTGTGCAATCTGCTGAAAGCGACACTACAAAAGCTACCTTGCGTGCGTGTATCTACTTTATGCAACTGGCTCTCATCGCTTTGGACTCGCATGACGTAGCTGAGATGGATCCCCATAACGTGTCTTACTATACATGGATGAAAGACACTGTCGAGCGCGCCAGCTCGGGAGAACTGTTCGATGGTAGCGCCGAATGGATATACCATTCAGAGGCCGAGAGGCAGCGTCATATTGAACAGGCTCAGACCGGGGTGGATGGAGAGATCGTGTGTCGAGTGGGAACTCAGCTGGTAGACATATTGCGCGGAAAGACCGGAGCACTTGACCTGGCCATGCAAGACAATCTGCTATCGCGTTTCTACGGCGATGCTCCGCAGTGGAAACGGGCGGGAACGCAGATTGCAGGACTTCTTCGCCATCTATCCCACAAGAATCCCCGTGCTCGCATTTTGGAGGTGGGTGCGGGCACGGGGGCCATTGCTCTCCATGCCCTTGGAGCCCTAGGCACGTCTGACTCGGGTGGTCCCAATGCCTCCATGTACCACTTTACAGACACCTCTACAGCTTTGTTCGAGACGGCGAGAGAAAGCCTGCTCCCCTGGGCTGATCTGCTGTCCTTCGACGAGCTCGACATTGAGCATGATCCAGCACCGCAGGGATATACACCGGGGACCTACGATATTGTGATCGCCTCAAATATCCGATCTATCTCCGAATCCACATCACAAGCACTGAGCAACATCAGCTCTCTGTTAAAGCCCGGCGGCACTCTCTTGCTGGTGGAACCTTTGAAATACGAGGTCGATGTTCATTTTGTTCGTCGGCTACTTCCTGGCCGATGGTCGGACGATAGCACAGAGCTGAAGGCCAACCTATGTCTGGATATGCCATCCTGGGAAAATCATCTCCTGGGTGCCGGTTTCACAGTTGAACTCGAGTTGCTGGATCGTGAACGCCCCCAAGAAGCCGCTTTGGTGACTTTCATGTCCACTGTGCAATTACCACAGTCACCAAAACCAAATGTGGATGCGGATCAAGTGGTCATTGTCACAAGCCGAAACGGATGTCCTCCAGCTGCCTGGGTGGAGGGCCTCAAGGATGCCATCGCGCGTGAAGGGAAACTACGTCCTATTGTTCAAGATTTAGAATCCTTAGCTGCGACAGCTGCGTCTTATGCGGACAAGATTTGTATCTTCCTTGGTGAGGTGGATGAAGCCGTCCTATACAACTTGAATTCAACATTCTTGGAGGGCATTCGTTCAATGAGTACTAACTCTAAAGGATTGATCTGGGTGACGCGTGGCGGTGCTGTGGACTGTGAATGGCCAGAAATGAGTTTGGCGACCGGTTTCATTCGTTCCCTGCGCAATGAATATGTCGGTCGCAAGCTGCTGACTCTCGACCTGGATCCCAAGGGTACGCCGTGGACTGACGTTAGTATGGCTGCAATTGCCAAGATCCTGGGCACTGCCATTGGGAATTCCGCCGGTGACTCTATGGTAGAGAAAGGCGCCATGGAGCTCGAGTACGCCGAACGAGATGGCGTTATCTTGATCCCGCGAATCTACCATGATGTGACGAGAAACCGAATGCTTTCTCCCGATGCGTCAGATACCGCCATGGAGAAAACCTCAATTGAGGATTTCTACCAACCAACCCGCCCTTTGTGTTTACAGCCGGACTTGCTAGTCTTCGGTGACGATGACTTCTCTGCCGATTGTCTTGAACACCTCCCACCCGCATCCCTGGAAGTGCAACCTAAGGCATATGGTGCTACGCTCAACAGTGTCGGTGATGATATCGCTGGCTTCGAGTGTGCCGGAATCATTACGCAAGTTGGGGAAGAAGCAGCAGCCCAAGGCTATGCAGTCGGCGATCGCGTTCTCTCAGTCTTGCGACATCCATCTTTCCCGAGCCGGGCTGTTGTCGACTGGAAACTGACGACGCGCATGCCAACTGACATGACCTTCCAGGAAGGAGCATCACTTCCGTTGCCTTTCCTCAGTGCATACTTCACCCTGGTCGAAATCGCGCGACTGCAGCGTTCTCGGTCAGTCTTGATTCACGCTGGTGCGGGAGACGTTGGGCAAGCTGCAATCATGGTTGCCCAGCACCTTGGGGCGGAGATATATGTGACAGTCGGTACCCCTGCAGAGCGTGGCCTGCTCATACTGAAATATGGTCTACCGGTGGATCATATCTTCAGTTGTACGGACTCGTCGTTTGGAGATGCGGTAATGGCTGCGACACAAGGCCGTGGAGTTGACGTGGTTCTCAACTCACTGACTGGCCCGCTCTTTCAAGAAAGTTTTAATCTTGTGGCCCCGCTTGGCCACTTTGTGGAGATTGGCAGGCGCAATACCCTAACAAATGGCTATATGCACATGCGGCCATTCGATCGTGGCATTTCATTCGCGACCCTTGATATATCTAGCCTGCTGGAGTATCGGGCGACGGATGTTCATCGTTGCCTCGCTGAGTTGACGCGCCTCATCGAGTTAAGAGCCGTGACACCTGTCCACCCAATCGCCTTCCATGCCATTGGAGAGATCGCGGAGGCATCTCGTCTCTTAAAAGTGGGAGACCAGATTGGCAAAATTGTCTTGTCGGTCGATGAGCATTCAACGGTTTCTGTTTTGCCATCCAAGGCGGCTGCAAAGCTCTCTTCCGAGGTCTCATACTTGATCGTCGGTGGCAGTGGCGGCTTAGCGCAGTCTGTGGCGCACTGGATGGTCAATCGTGGAGCAAGAAATCTGGTCCTTCTATCTCGGAGTGCTGGGACGAGCGAAAAGACCACTGCATTTGCCGAGGATCTCCGCCAGGCAGGATGTCGTCGGGTCTTGCCAATCAGCTGTGACGTTTCCAACGAGGAAAGCTTGGGCGACGCCATCGATAAATGTGCTCAAGAGGGCTTACCCCCATCAGAGGTATCATTCATGCTGCGTTTGTACTCCGTGTAAGTGTCGAAAACCCCCACCTTATTCCTGAAATAAAACAACTAACGCAATATCTAACAGGATGCCTTCGTGGAGAAAATGACCATTGATGACTGGAAACACACTATTCAGAGCAAGGTCGCCGGCGCCTGGAACTTGCACAACCAGTTTAATTTGCCCGGCGACCTCGACTTCTTCGTCTTATTCTCTTCTATCAATGGAATTCTTGGATATGCCAGCCAATCTGCCTATTCCGCAGCTGGTGCATACGAAGACGCCCTCGCCCACTGGCGAGTCAAGCATTGTGGCCTTCCAGCCGTGTCAATTGACCTCTCCGTCGTCAACGCGGTCGGCTACGTCGCCGAGGCAAACGCATCCGAAACACTACGCCGGTCTCTCCTCAGAGCTGGTCGCAGAGTCATTGACGAAGATCATGTTCTTGGTTCGCTAGAGTCTGCCATCCTATCGCCCTTCGACCCACAATTCGTTGTCGGTGGTATAAACTCCGGGCCAGGTCCCCATTGGGATCTTGACGGCGATCTGGGCCGTGATATGCGTGTCCTGCCACTCAAGTATCGTCCTCCGGCTGTAAGCGAACAGAGCCAGGATGATGATTCTAGCAGCGACTCTCTCGCCGCAAAAATGATCGCCTGCGCGTCACAGGATGATGCCGTTCGTGTTGTTGGGACTGCCATCGCAGAAATGCTGGCTGAAATGTTCCTTGTTCCTATTGAGGATGTCGATCTAAGCCAGTCGCCCTCGCAGCAAGGAGTTGACTCTCTTGTAGCAGTTGAGGTCCGGAACATGCTTTTCACCCAGGCCGGTGCTGAACTTTCCATCTTCAATATCATGCAAAGCCCCAGTCTGATGCAGCTAGCGATTGATGTTGTGGGTCGCAGTGCGCACGTCAAGTTTGCGGGTTGATCATATTATTGGGCATGTTTAAGAAGCTGTCAATTTTTGTATAGACCACGGAAGTGATGTCAGGCTGCATCTGCCGCGCTAGTCTTGCTTCCATGGGGGATCAATACTATTAGAGAGCCGGAGTTAGGGTTTTATGTCAACTACATACTAAGAATTAATTTGGATTCTCAGTTTCGTAGGCATCTTTCTCAAGTATCCTATGGAGCTTTTAGAATAAATTCGTACAACTGCATGGATCGAAGTGGATAGCACTTTTAGGACAGGTAGATTTACATTTGCTTTGAATTTTTACACATTATGACTTGTACCAGCTTCGATCATAAGGCAAATGCCAGCCTTGTCACTAAACCAACCCTTCTCCACAGTCCTCAGGCCCAAATATAAAATTGTCGAAGTCAAAATTGACATCCTTGAAAATATCGTCGAATGAAACTCCCGAAGACCCATCTACCATCAAACCACACCCACCGCCATCCATACTGGGGTAAGGCTTGCCCGTGATCCTGGCTGCGAGAGTCTCAAACGTCCACAGGCACTGCTGGACATAAGGGCTCAAGTGTTCATGAGCGCGGAGCGCCAGCAGAACACTTTTCCAAGACTGGGAAACAGAATCTGTGAATAGCTCCGATCGAAACATAGCTGCGAGGAAGTTGGCACCCGCGATGTGAAGGTAGTATATTCTGTACCACCACGGGAGGAGTCCGATCGGCTCATCTGGCTCAAGCGTCTCGTTAACTAATGAAGCCATCTGTTGAGCGGCTTCGATGCACATGCTGGCGCTTTCACGGAGGAGTCGGTGGCTTAGGCTGCGTGATTTGTGTGAAGGGTGGGTGTCTGGTTTTATCGAGTAGAAGCGGGCGAGCATGGGTCTGTAGAGAAAGACTCGGTGGTGGAGGTAGCTACATAGAACGATAAAAATCGATTTTGGTGAGGATAAAGGGATTATTGGCTTACCGAAGATGAAGCAAGTATCTCTCGGCTCGGGACGACCTGTCGACCACCATTCTGAGGTTCTGATGTTGCCAATCGGCGGGGAGACTATTTTCCCAATCTTGAAGACATGCATCTAGTTGCAATGCCGCGTTATGGTACTCGTCTTGTTGAGATAGGAGTGGAGGGCGAAATCTTGCAGCGAGACTAGTTCGAGTCTGTATCTGCGCCAGTTGAATCTGATTCCCAATTTCGTGGAGTCTTAATCCCAAGGTATCCTGCATCGCCTTCTCACCTAGTTGTTGGGAGCTACTGGGTGGTGGGGACGGAATTAGCACCAATGCCGACGTCTTACCCAATGACCAGGAGATGCATCTACGTGAAGTCAGCTGGAGAGTACTATAGAAGAGTAATCACTCTATGACATACCTATCGAGCGCAACACAGCTAGCCCATACTTTCTGTTTCAAAGCTTTGTCGTCACTGGAGCCTTTCAACGAGGGCGTCTCGGTGAGATGGCAGCACATGTTTTGCGCAATCCGCATCGCCAGACCCGCTGTCATCCATGTCTTCTGCTGATTATTGGTGCAGTGCAGGTATCGATTTATCAGCATCAGACACTGTACGAGCTCGAGTGATCCAGGTTTCCATAGCATAGACTCAGCTGGAAGCAGGACCCATGCGCGCTGAAAAAATCGATTTGCTTCCTCGTTCCTTTGGTGCAGCGGATTGTGTTCTTGTCTTTGAACTGCCAGGGCAAATACCACATTGAGGATACCAAGCCAGAGGTCGTAGTCTGCACAGAGTGGTGTTATGGGTGTTGAATATGCTTTTTCATAGTTTTCAAGGAAACGCTGACGATCTAAAACTGGCTCCATAGGGTCAACATGTTGCCAGTATATGTCAATTAATTGGTCGGCATATGCCCGGGGAGGCAATTCGGTCGAGGAAGACAAGACACAAGATTGAGAAGGTAGGTTGAGATCTCCAAATAGCGGCGCATCTACCAGTGGGACCTGGTTACAGGTGGCTGGGATGAGACCTGCCCTTTCGTCTATGGTAGCGGCGACCTGGCTGGCAAACCGCCCGTGTGCGGTATAGTATGTCCTGTTTTTCTCCAGGTCAGGCTCTGCCTCTCGATCTTCATTCACATGGTGAGACCCAGGTATTGAATCAACCCTGGGAGGCGTTGCAGCCACTGATTCTGGCGGAGTCTCCAGTGAAGGTGCCGAAGATATGGGAGACACCAGCATAGGAACAGGCATGTAAACCGATGATGCTTGCCCACGAGGTTTATGCGCTGTCTGTTTCTCGACGGCACCTTGGCCATAGACACACGTCTTGCCTCTAGCCTGGCATCTGGCGCATGCTTTATGGTTTGTGTCAGCCTTATGCACGAACTCTGCAGGTCAATGAAACAATGGAGAGATACCTGGCCGAGCACCATCACATTTAATCTTCCTCGAGCGACATACTTGGCAAGCGCTTGTTACTCTTAGTCTCTGCCTGCGTAAAGGCTTCGATTGCGTATGTTGACCAATTATCACTTCATTCATCAGGTCTTTATCGAACAGTTGGGGATGGAGAGTGGAGTGCCCTGTCAATCAAGGCCCCAGATCTACCCTGATTGATAATCAGTAGTTCACCAATCAAATGCCTTCCCGTTTCGGTGGCAGACCCGCAGCGGAAAGCTCTGTCATTCGCTAGTTAGTTTCACGTCCCGCAAATCTAGAAAGCAGCCAATCAGGAGTGCATCCGTTTGCCACAGCTCGACCAATGAAAGAGCAGTCCGTCTTTGACGGCTTCCGCAGTAAATAACTCCGCCGTCCGGTAACCGTTATATAGATCGAAAGCAGTGAGATAAGAAAAAGGTCTCCTGCTGCACAGCCTAGAATTGAAAGTTACACTCTTAATATTCTCCAAGTTGTTAGACGGAGCTTCCTCCTTCCCTGTTTTCTTTTTCACAGTCTTGTCAATCGTCAACACAGTGCTATTGATCTCTATCTTTACTCACTTGCACCGCTAAGACAAATCCATGTCTCATACCGAGCCAAAGGCTCCTGTCAACACAGGCGAGGTCGAAAACGGTCACAGCTACGATGGCTCGGGCACCGAAGATGATCCATTCGTCGTGGAGTTCCAGAAAGACGACCCCGGCAATCCGATGAACTGGGGTCAGTCCCGTAAATGGTTCCTTGCAGCCATTGCGACCCTCTCGGTCTTCGCCGTGACCTTTACCTCCTCTGCATACTCGGTTTCGGCAAATGAGGTCTTCAAGGACTTTGACATAAGCACCGAGGTCTTCATTGTCGGGCTTTCTCTCTTTGTGCTCGGATTTGCGATTGGCCCTGCCGTATGGGGTCCTTTGGTAAGCTGTTATACCACCTTGTCACTTCTACAGAGCCCAGCTAACCATATGTTGTTTCACAGTACGTTTCAATGGTGCCATCCTATACACATACTATACACATTCAGCTAACATTGGCTTAAGGTCCGAACTATACGGAAGACAGATTCTCTGGATTATCACTCACGTCGCCGTGGTCGCCTTTCTAGGAGGATCCGCAGGCAGTCAAAACGTGGCCACCCTCCTCATCCTGAGATTCTTTGCCGGCACATTTGGCGGCTCTCCACTCGTCAACTCTGGCGGAACAATTTCTGATCTCTTCCCACCTGCTCAGCGTGGTCTGGCATTGACTATATATTGTGTTGCGCCCTTCCTCGGTCCCATTTTGGGGCCAATCGTGGGCGGATTCGTATCTGAGAGCGTCGGGTGGAGATGGGTCCAGGGTGTCTGCGTGATCTTCATTGGCGTGGTCGGCATTCTGGGAATCGTCTTCATTCCTGAGACATATGGCCCGGTGTTGCTTCAGCGACGGGCGCGTCAACTGGCCAAAGCCCATGGCAAGATCTACGTGAGCATTTTGGAAAAGAACCAAGGAAAGAAGCTGCCGTCGGAAGTCTTCAAGCGTGCCTTGTTCCGTCCCTGGATCTTCTTGTTCCTGGAGCCCATCGTCTTGATAGCATCAGTTTACATGGCTATTATCTACGGCACGGTCTACATGTTCATGGGTGCCATGCCCATCGTGTACAATGAAGACCGTGGTTGGAGCGTTGGCATCGGCGGACTGGCGTTCTTGGGAATTGCTGTTGGCATCATCTTTGGCCTTGCCTATGCCATCTGGGACAACAACAGCCGCTACATGAATCTCTTTGCGGCAAAATCTGCAACCCCCGAGTCGCGCCTGCCACCTGCAATTGTTGGAGGTGTCGCACTCCCCATTGGCATGTTCGCCTTTGCCTGGACCAACTACCCCAGCATCCACTGGTCTGTTAGTATCATTCTGTCTGCACCGTTTGGCTTCGGCTGTGTGCTCGTCATTCTGCCAATTATGAACTATTTGATCGACACTTACACCATCTATGCGGCCTCTGTCCTGGCTGCAGCTGCCATCTTCCGCTCGGTCGTGGGCGCTGTGTTTCCTCTTTTCACGACACAGATGTACCACAATCTAGGAATTCACTGGGCTTCCTCTATCCCGGCATTCTTGACACTTTTGTGCATTCCATTCCCGTTGATCATGTACCGCTACGGTGAAGCAGTCCGGATGAAGTGCAAGTACTCGTTCGAAGCGGCAGAGATGATGAGAAAGATGCAATTGCAGCAAACAGCTGCTACTACTACTACAGAGAAGGACAAGGACTCATCTTCTGAGTGAGAGCTGTTAGGAATGGGCCCCTTGGTCTGGCATCACTTGAAAGCCAAGAATTGGGCTCTATCTTGGGATGATCGCCGCATATAAATATCAATATCTGCCCTAGAAAATAGTTAATTAACAAACGACTCAACTCATCGGAGTCCCTAGAAGTTGACTATTACCTCTCTCGTGTGCATGTTCTCTTTACAGACTAGCCGTATTATTTATGTCTATCAAAGTGTTTCTAGTAGTTTCCCGGCTCTAGTCTTTGAGATACGTTATCTGTGTATATGAGTTGATATTGGGGTATCAAGCCAAGGGTTGATGGGATAAATGAATTCTGTATGTCGAATCTGTTCAGAATTGCACTTTCAGGTTAGTCTGTAAATACCCGTGAACATATTATTGATTCATCTCGTATCCGGAGTTGAGAATACTCCGTCCATAACGGACCTGCCAAGGGAGGCTGTTTTACAGTTCCGGAATGTCTGTGCCAATGAGAAGTATCGTACCGGTCCCTTGCAATGGAGAAGCGTATATCAACTGTCTGGGCACTTTTTCGCCCCCGTTCGACCTCGGAGTTGTCCCAAGGCGAGCACGGAGTTCGGAGTTATAGCTAGCTGTGCAATGGTCTCGGAACTCTTCCGCGCACAAGAGCCTTATATATACCCCAACGAGTTCAATGAAGAAATAATGCTAACCTTACAGAATTATAATCTCAAAATGCAGGCTGCTAGTGCATTTGCGACCTGTCTCTTGGCTTCAGTAGGTGGCAACACCAGCGCCGTCGCCTTTCCAAACCAAGCCAACTATTCTACTCTCGTCGCGCCGTACAATTTCGACCTTCTCACGACCCCGTCCGCCATTGTCTGGCCCCAGGATACGCAGCAGGTAGCGGCCGCTGTCAAATGTGCCGTGGATTCAGACATCAAAATCCAACCGAAAAGCGGCGGACACAACTATGGCAACTATGGATCAACCACCAGCGAGCTGTCTGTGAATCTGGATAATCTGCAGCACTTCAGCATGGATGAAACCAGCTGGACTGCTAGATTGGGACCAGGTAACCGCCTAGGCCGAGTCACCGAGCTCATGTATAACAACGGTGGTCGACATGTTCCACATGGGACGACCTTCACGGTGGGACTCGGTGGACATGCCACTGTTGGAGGTGCCGGAGCGGCGTCACGCATGCACGGGCTGTTGCTCGACTATGTGGAGGAGGTAGAAGTTGTTCTGGCCAACTCATCCATCGTGCGAGCGTCCAAGTCACACAACGAGGAGCTTTTCTTTGCCGTGCGTGGCGCCGCTTCAAGCGTCGGCATTGTGACCGACTTTTCTATACGTACCGAGCCCGTTCCTGCATCCAGTGTCACCTACTCTTATGTCTGGGAGGGGACAGATCCAGCAGCCCGCGCAGAAGTATTCTTGACTTGGCAGTCATTGCTCGCCGGCGGCTCTTTGCCCCAACACATGGCCTACGATCTGGTTGTGACGGCGAATAGCATGATACTGGGTGGGGCCTACTTTGGCAGTCAGGAGGAATTCGAGGCTTTTAACCTCAGCAGCCACTTTAAATTAGCGCCAGACGTCACACATATAAAAACCTGGACCAACTTCTTCGACTTCTCCGCCGCCGCAAGCGCTCAGACTGAGGCGGCTGGGATTGCCTCCCCGTCCCATTTCTATGCCAAATCTCTCGTCTTCAATCAACAGACACTCATACCTGATGATACTGCTGAGAAGGTCTTCAAGTACTTAGCCACGACCAAAAACTGTACTGATTTGTACGCGGTCACTTTCGCGGCATTGGGTGGTGCCGTGAGGGACGTCTCGCCATCAGAAACGGCCTTCTATCACCGCGATGCTTCATACTTTATGTTCTCCTTTGGAAGAACTAGTGGAAGCCTGACCGACACGACGGTGCAGTTCCTGGATGGGTTGAGCAAAGTTCTGACTAGTGGGCAACCCGATGCCTACTATGGCCAGTACGTGGGGAATGTGGATCCCAGACAACCAACTGACAAGGCATTGACGGGGTATTATGGCAAGAATCTGCATCGCCTGCAGCAGGTCAAGTCTGCGGTAGACCCGAATGATGTTTTCCATAACCAGCAGAGTATCCCACCTCTGCCCTAGTCTGTCGGTGCTGGCACATACGGTGCGCTTATCTAGAGATCTCTAGAGATCTTTAGGGAACATAGTAATAAACGCTAAGTGAAAGAAGAAAAAAATTACAATAAGCCGGAATCAAGGCCCTAGGTACATATCACCCTGACTTAGGTAGATATGCGGAGGGATATCCATCATCTTATCACCCTATTCTCACCCCATTCTCACCCCGTTCTCACCTCTGTCACCTCGGTCTCCAAAATTCTCACCTATATCACCCACACTCACCCTAAAAACGTTTTTTCTCGCCACTTTAATGTTCAAGGCGCCTCGAGAATTGGCCGCGTAGAGTAATGGGCTTAAGTACGGCTGAGCGGACGGGAAGCCCTGTTCTCCACACCCTATGGTCGTATGTACTTGTTTACACATGGAAAGTAATTGTATAGGAGCCGACTTATATTGGAGCCGACTGATATAGGCTATATAGATCGGTGTGGCTTACATACGACTAGTAGTCGGGTGGGTGTCGCCAGGGTGAGTTTAGGATGAGAGCCGCTTTATGGTCCTGCGACCGGGGGTGAGAAGGGTGAGTGCGCTACAGTTGGGGTGAGACTCAGGGTAAGATGCACCCAAGTCGCGCGACCACTGCACTAACCCCCTCAGCTGAACAATAACAGAATGTTATTGGATCGCACCGTTCCCTCTGAAACGCTCGGCATCTTGGCATATGGACGTAAGTATAACTGGAAGCATCATACAACCAAATTTCTCTATGGTGTCTTCAAACTCATGGTCTGCCTGTGTTGTCGAAGGACTTGAGCTCAGATGGTATTTAGATCGTTAGGTTTGGGCCCTGGGGTTCGCTGTATACGTTTGCAAGAGCTCAGCTCAGAGATTTACTACAAGAGACGTTTGAGCCGCTGTGCCTACAGCAGTGAATCAATTGGGACGAAATGGTGTTCAATCTACTGTATTGGAGATGTTAAATATATCTGAGTGAGCCCAGTGAGCCTACAAATGCAAACAAGACTGCAAAAGTTTTTTTCTCTTCAATGTAATAACCAGTCATTAGGTTTGAAAGGTGGAGGATATTATAATAGCCTACGAAGCTTGGGAAACTAAGCCGTGAAAATGTCAATGGACCCAATGGTATGCGTTATCTGTCCAGCCATCGTTATGTACTTCACGTAGCCCATGAGGGAACCACCGGCTCCCAGGGATTATACTTCTCGTTGTTCCTCGCATCGTACGGCATCCACTTATCCAACTGCGACCCAAACCTGTCCTTCTTGAGATCAGACACCGCACTCCCCCAATTGTTATTCAGCAGCTTTCTAACGATGTCACAATCAAGCTTCTCCAGGGAAACCAGCGGGGATTTGACCCATTGTCCCGTGTGGTTCTCAACATGATCATCCTTCGCCTCAGCCTTGCGGAAAGAATGAGTTCCCACCCCGCCCAAGTGATACACCATCTTCGCATGAGTCCCTTCGAAGAGAACAGCAGACTGGTGGTGGGTTGTGTATTTGCCGTGCGCGGACCACGAAACGAAAAAGATGTTATCATTCAGCGTCCAGACGATGATGTGTTCCCAGTCGTGTTTATGAGCCTCCAGCCAGCCTAGATCCGCTTCAAAATAGTACCCGTACAGGTACGCGCACCAGCCGTGGTTGCAGCGTTCACGGACGTAGACTTGGCCATGGTCGAGCCGGTCCTTTTCACGGCAGCCGCGCAGGTTAGGGAGTATGCGATCCTCCTCGGTGTTATTCGAGGTGAAGAGCCAGTGGGTTGGCACAGGTGGGGGAGCGACAGACGGCGCGATGCCGTCATTCACTTGTCCGTTCGTGCCGACAGCGGCTGTGTTGTAGCAGCTTTCTGTATCAAAATCAATCACTGGCTGAAACTTTATGGCGTTCGCACTGGCGGTGGTTCCGAATGGTGTGAGGAGGTTCGCCAGGCAGTTTCCGAGAAGAGAGGCTAGTAAGGCCGATCTTGGGAGCATAAGGAACATCATGGCTAATCCCAGTCTTTTTGGGGTCTATCTGAAGTTGACGTGATCAGGGTGTGGGAAAATAATATAGTATCTATCGCGATAGTTGCTGAGACGCGGGAGACTTGGTTTATGGCCTTCTTCGTTTGAACAATATGGTCACGAGTGAGCTGAGCAGTTTCATACAACACACTGACGTGTTCCGAAGCCACAGAGCGCCCCGCGTATAGCTGAAAGCTGAGATGGCTCTCACGAGCAAAGAAGACGGATCTAGATCTGCTTCATCCCGTATACATCATGCGGTGACCGCATATCCCTGAGTGACGCTGATGTAAAAGATCAAATCGGAATAGCCGGCGGAGCAAATCGCCAATGGAGCAGCGGTGGCCGAGTCGAGACTTATGCATAAGATGAGCAGAGTATAACTCTTGGCACCATCAACTCCAGACAATCGCTAGCTGGAGATTAAGATATTTGCGGGCAAAACAAGCTAAGAGCTTGGCTTGCTGATACGGAGGAGGTCGAAATAACCGATAGGGACTCGGGTCGGGTCGATGCAAGGACCAAATGCATGTAAGCATTGCCCAGGCCGGGCAAGGCCTCAGCTGATACCCAAGAAAATATTAATGTATACCAAGAGCTAAATGCATGTGAGTATAGCCCGCGCCTCAGCTGATACCCGAGTAAATATTAATGTATACCACCTGTGTTGAGAAGTTTATAAACCGATCACAAACAGCACTCCCATAATAACTATACCATACCTATCTTTGATTGTTAAAACCACTCCGATTCTCTCACAATATCACCATGCACATACATCAACTACAACTACGCCCTTTAACGATCTTATTATCGCTTCTCCTCTCCTCACTGCCGTTTTCGCTCTCCCAGAGAACCCCGTCCGAAAACCTCGTGCTAGCCGATTGTGGTATCGGCCTCGGTGTCAATGGCGGTTCGACCTCACGTGAAATGATCTATTATCCAGGCGATGTCTGGACAGGCAATGGCCTCGAAACGTACAGGCCCACAATGATGGTCAATGTACCCTGGAGCGGGTCATACCCCTGGGGTCAAGCCGGTGGTGTGTCCGCGAGGATGCCGAATGGCGACGTTTTCCAGGTTCATATCAATCCCAGCATCAAGGACCCGATTGCTGCTGGAGACGCCTGGCACACGTATGAGATGAATCGTCCCCTCAAGTGTTATTCTTACCACTGCGATAAGCTGTATAAACTCGACGACGGCAAGTGGTGCTCGAGCGCGTACGTGTGCAATCACCGTGGGACGCCCTATGTCAAACCCAACCCCGTCAATCCTACTCCTCCTGCTCCTCCTGCTCCTCCTGCTCCTCCTGCTCCTCCTGCTCCTAAACCAGTTTGTGACGCGCTATGAATGAGATGCACGAGTTCGTGAAGGGGTGATCCTGATGTTGCTTTGCGTGGAGTCGGAAAAGATGATTATGTCAATCAATCAATCAATCAAAGTTCTATTAGCCTGTTGGAGCCTAACTAGTATCGTAATGGCTATTCAGGCGCTTCTTTCCAGTTGAAGCAAGAACTCGTGTCCCGTACGCCTGATCATGCTCCAGTACAAAAAGTGAGGCTGGTTCTCAAAGAGTGGAAGCACCAGCCCGTACATGCAAGTCAAATAAGCAAAACCCGTATCCCCAAAGCCCAGTACAAATGAAAATTCAATGCTAGTGAGCATTGAATACAAGAAATGAATGCGTGGATGCACCTCCACCTCTCCAATGTTCTCTCCTTCTCACGAGACATGTACACACCTCCGTATCAAGACCCCAGTCACTTCTTGCTGTAGCAAGATCAAACCCCGTTCTCCGACATCCTCACTTCTTCCTCAATTAGGTGGTTTGTTGTTTCAGGCCGTCTAGGGATCGCCCAGTCCGGCAGGGTATATTCGAATAGCTTATGGAGGTTTCTCTCCACCCTCGACGGTGTTGGCAAGCGTTGGTGAGTGCCCAGCGTCTTCAGGACTCTATTCCATGACCTCGAGGTTAAGGTCTTCAGCTTCGTCATCGGACTCTTCTTGATCAGCATGTCGAAACTGAGCAAGAAGACAGGTTTGGCGCATGAATTTGGCAACGTAGCGGGTTGCCAGCGGGGTTCAAAGATGATTATGTCTCTCATATATTTTCAGTGTATGGCTGCCACTTAAACATTATTGCGATTAACGTACTGCCAAGCGAGCGCCGCACCCCAAAACACATAGTAAATGCGATAAATTACAGGTTTATATCTCAACAACCATGGTCTGTCGGGATTATTGCTTGTAGGAATATGCTTTTTAGGTGATATCTAGCCTTTTTAGGAAGATTAGGGGATTTTTACAATTCAATGACCAAGACATATATGTTTATAGCTTGTAATTTTCGGTAGTTTTTGAAATGATAATAATAAAACAAATGAACAGCGATGTTTTTACAGCCCTGTTCAAGGCAGACACCCGTGTGTGGAAGATTGATGTTCCATGGGGCAAAGAAGGGGAGTAGAGCAATGCACAGGGTGGCTTAATATGCAGCTATAACTATAGACAGGATAATGTCTGCCAGGTGGGGCTTTCCTTGTCTTGGCTGCTGTACCCAAAGGGAAGCTTGTGCTGGGCACAAATAATACAAGCAGGCGTTATATTTAATTTAATCCTTTAAGGGACAATATGGATACTCTGGAGTTTCAGAACGTGTTATGTATGCCTCTGGCCATCGCCGCTTCAACCTGGCAAATCACCCCAAAACCGTGTAGGGTGAGGAGGCGCAAGCGGCAGAGTCACAACTCGTCTTGAAAAGTCGGAGCAAACTGCAGATATAATAATTGTGTTTCTCAAAATAGGCGGGAAGGCGTTAAGGGGTGAGCGCAATTCTTCCGGGAGAACCCAAGGAACCGCCATACCTAGAACTCGGCTTCCGAGGGGAATATCAATCTATCGTAGAATCTCTTCGTACGGAGTAGTAGGATCGACCTTAGTCTCCTCTAGACAAAAATCGTAGCTAGGCTCTACGTATATTAGTTGTTTAGGCTCTTCCTCGTTAGAATCAATAATTATGACTAAGCCGTCTACATTGTTTTCTACGCGCCTTAGCTTCTCGGTAGGCGCTAGTGGTTTCGACTCTACAAAACATCTTCCTCCTCTCTAGACAACCTTCAATCCAGTGTTGTAACCGTAAACAATAATAGAGGAGTCATTAGGAGCTCAGAGGGGGTAGCCCTTAGCTAAGTGAACGCCATAAGGGAGGCGATAGCTAAAAGTTTGCAGACACAGAAATCAATTCAAGTATTGCGAGTTGATTGCGGCAACCCTATCTTATCTGCAGGCCATCTTCTCTGGACCGAACCAGAGGGGTGGTTGGGAATGAGGGCATTGTGGGAATTGCAACGAGGAAGATACCAATATCCAGGTGTCCCATATCGTAACGTATTTCCCAAGCGAGCGCCGCACTCCAAAATACATAGTAAATGCTACACTTATATCTCAACAACCACGTTTCTATTTTATCTAGTTCTTGATCGATAGCTATTGATAAGAGCTATTAGCAATGCATATGAATTTTAAGAATTCGAAAAGTTATAAATTGTTTTAGTAATATCTGCGTCCTCGAAGAAAAATTCAGAGACCCATCACCAATACAGAGATTGAAATTGCGAAGAAACGGGCAGAAACCGTACAGTTCACGTCCGATGTGATTGTGTATTCGGATGCTTCGGGTCGTGAGGATCATCTGGCGCAGCCATGGTCGCACTCGATGAAAACCAGGAGGCCATGGTGTCTGAACAGACTCAACTGGGACAGATGGACCGCTGGTCGGTTCACGTAGTAGAGCTCATAGGCATCCTTTACGCCATCAATATGGTGTTCAGATTGCAACGCTAAAGCGACGCGTATAGAGGTCCAATGACGGCGAAGATTCTATGTGATAGCAAGTCAGCCTGCGATCAATCCAGAAAGCAAGCAATAAATTAGGACAGCGGTTCGTCCACGCGATCCTCTCAGCGGCCACAGAAGTCCACGCAACGAGCATCGCGCTCCGTCTCCAATGGATTCTAGGATATTGTGATGACTGAGGGAACGACGCGGCAAACCGACTAGCTCGGGAAGCTGCGCGCCTAGACAAGATCCCTTCCGTCCGTCCCTGACGAGGGAGAACGCGTACATTCGCGGTGAGATCCGCGCTCAGTGGGAGCAAGAGTGGAAATCAAGCGCCAAAGGCAGTCATGTACCGAAGATCGATAAGACGCTACTGGCAGCGCACAGTCGGAAGTTATATGGTTAACAGAAGCAACGCATTGCCAGTCTAGAATGACAACCATGTGCCCACTGGACTAGGCCAGAAGAAAGATAGCTGTCCGTGGACTCTGTACCCATATCTCACTGTGGTAGTACGGCATGATAGCCACCAAAATGACGTCTGCAATTAGGGTTTCTGTGCCCTCCGCCTTCCTCTCCACTCCCGTACTTTTACGGGATGGTCTGTTTTTACTATGAATTTTGCGTCCCAGTGAGTACTAGAACGACACCGAAATTGCGCATCTGGACGACAGCAAGCTTGTCCTCGATGCAGACTAAATTTTGGGTTCGCTGAAGAGTAATTACATGTCAAGTAGGCATATACCCTACAGTGACACTGCAAATGTTTTAACACTATTGGACAGACCGTTTTTTAGACCGCTTTTTAGACCGCTTTTTAGACCGCCTATCGCAAACCGAAGATCAAGTCTATATCATCTTACTTGCTAAACGTTTTTGCTTCAGTGAGTGCTTTGTATAGAAGACAAGATTCAACCTAATCCACAACAGTCAAGTGTTTAATTAGGAAGCCAGTCTAGAGGCGTTGAAAAATCGAACTTTCAACCGGCAGAATCTGAGTATTCGAAGGTGTCAAAACTATTGCTGCGTCACTGTATCTATGTCTAAGATCAATCCGGGTTCTTCTACAGAACGTGATGTACGAGGAACATTCCTTGAATATGTTAGAAATCCCGTAGGCTATAAGGGTCATGTGATTGGAGGAAGACCCCGAATTTGACTTGGATATATGGAGTTGACACCAAATTGGAAGACATCGCAAGGCGAAACCCAAGGCACTCGATTGCAAATGATAAACAAATAAGACCAGATATGTCTTCCAAAGTGAATTCTTTCTTCAAAACTACAAGTAATCGTGATCGTCATCCTGTTAATAAGTAGCAGCGCTTGAAACCCATATGGCATAACGAATACATTGAATAAACTAACATAACATAATCATTTGTTAAGATCCAACAACCCCCAAACTCGAACGCTTAATCTCAAACGCCCGAGACCCCTCAATCAATCCATCAGAGAACTTAGTCACAGCAACCCAAGCCGGACTAAACTGCCGCACCTCATCTAGAGCGGGAATGAGACCGATCTGGTTATTATCACTCCATAGACAGGTGATACGACCCGTGATAGGAGTCTCATCAACGGCTGCATCGGTCTCTGTTGAGTCATGCTCCGTAAAGTTGATGTCAACCGTCCACTTGTTATCCCATGTGCGACTCCAGAGCTGGATACGGTTTAAGCCGTCCCGAGATGGGTTAAGGAATCGGCGGTCTGGAGCGGAAGAGCCCTCGACACTGAAGTTTTTGATGAAGTTGCCGTCCATGTTGATACGGCAAGCACGGGTGTTTTGGCCCGAGACTTCGAAGCGGGCGGAGGGGATGTTTGGTTGAGGTTGGGAGATACTGAAGGAGATCCAGTCGGAAGAAAGTTCGGTGGCTTTCAGGAGAGTGTTGGTATTCTCATGATCAATGGATACAGCTTCGGCATCGGGGATGACGTGCGGTATTGGTGCATCCCAAGAACAGCGCTGAACGTGGTTTTTACCTCTGTATATCCATTCACATGTCTCATCTTGACCTGCTGCGCTTGGGAGACCGTAGGTTACGTCCCGGACATATGGAGGCATGCCGGTCAAGGAGGCAGTGGAGATTCCGTTATCTAGATCGACTTCCTGGAGGAAGAACAGCTTTAGACGATTTGAGTCTGCGAACGGGAAGGCAACGAGGTTGTAGATCAGAGTGCCGAAGAAGACAAAGAGCATGAAGATCGGGATGTGGTAAGTGTATCGGTGGATTACGGGAAGCGTTGGGGCGAAAAGAAGTGAAGTAAGACTGGCGATGAAGATATAGACGATGAGCTGGGGGCTTCCATCCTGGCCAGTCTGGTTGAGCGCGGCCGTGATCAGGAGAGCCAAGGGGACTATCAGCATCAGGATCACAGGGACCGTTAAGAGCAGCTGCAAGAGCCACGTCCATCGCGGCATCCTGCCACTCCAAGACTGTTCATGTCCATACACGTTTGGGTCTTTATCTTCTTCCTCGTCATCTAGGTCATGGGATGTGTGGTCGCCCGCAACATGGACGTAGTTGGCAAATGTGGTGCGGTGATCACCATGCAATAGCGACGTTGACTCAGTCGGCTCTTCCTCGGCAATATCGTCCTCGTTCTCGTCGACCGAGGCACCAAGACGACTTCCACGGCTACTGGGCCGCCGTGATCCTTGGATGAACTGGCCAACATACTCTGACTTTGGTGGCAGAGCGAATAGCTCCAGGTAAGAGATCCAAGTCGCCAAAAATGTGCCCGCGAAATAGAAGAAGATAAAGTAGCCTCCAGCGAGACCCTCCTCATGCTCATAAACAGTGGCGACAACCATCATAGACCAAGTGAGGACAAACATCCAGGTCCAAGTGTAGACACGATGGAAAGCCGATGGGCGCGCGAAGTCCGCAACGCGAGATACGAACCATGCTAAAAAGAACCAAGCCGAGATCATCATGCTCCACACGGCGTACGAGCTGCTGTGAGCAATGAAGGGGTTGACCTTTGTCACCATGTAAGCCAATCCCACAGCCACAGCCGTAGGAATGAAAAGCAGGAATGGGAAGCGGAAGAAGCCTCGCAGACCCCGCAGCGAGATGTTCTCATCGCCAATCTCAGAATACACTGATGAGCGGAACAAATACATCTTGTCAACCTTGGACAGAATCACACTGGTCACGAGCAATGTCAAAGGCGCCACAATCAACAGAGTCACCGACAGAGCAAACAGAGTGTGAAGGCGGAACACAGCAAAAGCGCTTCCAAACAGATCGAACCACACAGCCTGAGTACCCGAACCACTCGGCACATTCCCGTCGTCGTGAACGTGTCCATCAAATCGATCAGTCGAGTCAGAAACAAGAGCCTCCGTAGTAGCAGTAGCCGCAGAGAGCATATGCCAAAGAGAATCCAAGCTAGTATGTCGCGCGTCATCCTGGTCAGTGTGATAACGAGCTCTGGGCTCAAAGAAAGCAACATCGAGTCCACGCAGACCCAAGATACCATCAAGAACAACATAATCCGTCTGGCTGCTAATAAGCCCCTTCTCAAACCCATTGGCACTCAACACCGAGCCGAACGGATGCTCCGATTTCGCATACGCCTGGGTGACCTCAGTATCCGAGCTGCGGAACAATGTAGCGCGACCACCAGCACCGGCACCCTCCAGATTGAGGAAAGTATGCGCAAACTTCGCCATAGGATGCTGGCTATAAGCGCGCGCCCCATTCAAATAGTCCTCCTCGCCATTATTGAAGAGAACCACCAAACCGCGGCGCGGCGCGTGGCCCGGCGTGAGGAAATATTTCACCAGTTGCAGACAAGTCACAACTCCAACGCCATCATCTGTAGCTCCGTAGCCCGTCGAGACACTATCGTAGTGCGCATTGACGAGGACGCCACCTTTGCCGACGGGTGCTCGACCGGGCGTCTCCCACCAATTCCCTTTCTTATCTTCCCAGCCGCGGATGTAGACGAGGATATTGGTGCCCTCGAAGTAAACGCCGACTTGGTTGTCGATGAAGGTTAGGTTGGAGACCAGATCGTCGAAAACGAATACTTCAGGCTTCTCCTCCTTCGCGTCATTGAATTCCTCGGATGACGCGGCGGCTTGCTTGATCGCGTAGATGCGCTCTAGCAGCCATGAGCGGACCTCATCGTTCTGGTGGGAGTTATAGGGATGGAAGCCTTTCGTCAGGCTTTGGAGGTCTTGCCACGCTTCTGTGAGATTGAGGCCGTTGGGGTTGGTCTGGGGCGCTGAGGGGACGTTGTGGTGGATTACCAGCAGGGGGATGATTAGGGCGAGGTATACGGCAGTGGTGAGTATCGTCACCGGCCACGGCGTGAACGCCAGCGGGTTGGCTCTGTAGGAAGCCATGGCCCTGTTCTGCTCGAGGGAATGGGAGAGGTTGCAGTTGGAGAAACGTGCGGGGGGAGCTTGGTGGTATTGTTATTACGGTATGCTTGTAAGTTACTCTATCAAGTTCGACTTCCGGGGACTAGGATGGAGTGTAAGCTCAATTTGCGCTTTTCATTACCATTTTTGTACCCTTGTGATAGCTCTTACAGAGATCTAAGGGGTCCTTCTCGCAGATCATATTCCGTAAAAGTACCGGAATTGACCATTGCTTAGTTAAAAGTGAGGCTAAAAAGAACTGATTGGTCAAATGCTATGCAATTCAATATGACAAGAATAATCCAAGACCGTAACCGCTAGTACACGATGCATTTCGCACAATAACACAGACACCGAATAAGATAGGGTCATCTTCGTTCATATGAGTAGAAATATGACTTCCCGATGAATCCCGAGGAATCGCAGGTAAAGACACAGCGAATTGAAAAGAAGGAAAATGTGAGACTCATTTTCGACTGCAAAGAGGGTATCGTATCACGTATTCATCGGCCCAACGTCGATGTAATCATCGTCTCCATCGTTGATTACGGTTGCATTCATCAACCCAGTCATCTGGCCCTCGTCTTCATCGAGTTCTTCATCGTCATCGTACATCGTGGCTTCGGTTTCTTCATGCGGTGATGACTCGTATCGGTTCAAGAAGTCCCGAAGTCGATTGACACCGTCGCCACTGAAGACACAGAAGACGTCCCGCTGCTGTTGTGTAAATTCCTTAGGCGCCTCTCGGCAGAACTTGGTGAGTTCAGGCCGTAGGAATGGTGGAACGCCAGTCAGACTGAGGTGAGTCAGACGAGGACAGTTGTTCAGCAAAGCGTGAATGCCCTGGATAGAAAATTAGCATGGATGATCGGAACTCAGGATTTGACATGGTGGGAAACTTACCTCTTTGTTCAGTTGAACGCAGTAGCTAAGATGCACTCGCTCCAGGCTGCTGACTGAAGGATGGCTCATCTTGGGTCGTGCCAAGGCCAGTATACTCTGATCAGTAATTGCCTGGCATTTAACTAGCCCGATCCTTCGCAGCTTGGGTAGGGTAGCTAGTTGTTGCACACTATGATCTGTCAGTCGGTTGCAGCAGGCCAAGTCGATGTACCGAATGCGGTTACAGGACTTGACCAAGTGGCTGACAGCCGAGTCTGTGATGTTGGAGCAATGGCCCAAGTGAACATAGTGGAGGTTCTTTCCTAGCCTGCAAATAGCCATCACGGATCGATCTGTGATAAACCGGCACTTTGCTAGTACTAGGTTTCGTAGACGAGGAGCTGCATGCACAATGCGCTCCACTGCATCATCCTTGACATTCTCACAAGCGGTGAGATCGAGAATGCGAAGACTATCATAGGTCGCAAATTCGGGTAGTTTCAAGAAGGCTGAATCATCAATCTCAGTGCAGTGTGCAAGGCGCAGCTCTCGAAGATGTCGCAGTGTTATAATCAAAGCAGTCACTGAAGGACTAGTGACAAGTCTGCAGTCGTGTAGGTCGATTTCAAGGATAGATGGGCAGTTCTCCGCAAAAGACTGAATCGACCGGTTTGAGATATTAGAAACTCCGTTCAGTTTCAACTACAAAAGTCAGCACCTTCACTCTTGCCTAACAGAAGCGATATACATACTCTCTTGATCTGACGACAGTTTTGTGACACGACGAACAGCGAGTCGTCGGTCATTTTGGAACACCCGGTAATGTTCAGACCCTGTAGACGGGGGCAGTTTCTGGATACTGTATTCAAAGTGTGATCTGTAAGATGTCGCAGTTCCGAGACATCCAGCGCCTGCAAATGCCGATTACCATCCACCAAGTCCGACACCCCAGTATCCGTAAGTTGAGAACAGTTCGTCAGCGTCAGCCGCTCGATGCGTTTGCACTGAACAAAGGGAACAACCGTTCCGTCGCTGACATCACCCAAAGCAGAGAGGTTGAGTCTCTTAATAAGGTCTGCATAGTTGAAGAGGCTGTCCTGTTTGCCTACGGACGCGGTCACACTCGTCAGATTCGACCAGCTGTTGCAAGACGGCCGGTGCCACAGTATCCCAACGGAGTTCACAGCCCATCCACGACACACTAGCATGCAGTTGAGCATGTCCGAGGGTAGATTCAGCTTTGAGAATATCGCGATCAGGATCTCTGGCGGGAGGCGGCCGATCGGCGGAAGTGGCATGGGGCGGACATTTTGGGGGTGGCTGTCACGGAAATTGGCGACGCCGATGGACGATTGTGAATCGTTGGCTTGGGCCATGAAGAAGTCGGTGTCATCGTCGGCGGCACGCTCTGGTGACGTTGATCCAGAGGTTTCGGAAGGGGCAGCGCTTGGGGACCGGCCATTTTGTCGTAGTCGGGGTGCCATCTTGACCGGTAAGGATTCGGGCGTTGTATTTCGATACGTTATATTGTTAGAGGGTACGTATGGCTGAAGTCTCATTACTTCAGGAACTCTGCACGAGTGGTGGGTGCATGTGAAGTAAGCGCGCGTGCGCAGTTATGGCAGGGAGAGCCGGATGAAGTTAGAATTTTAAAAATGGAATCGAACGAAAGATCCAGCTCATGTTCTTCCAGTGTCGAATGCAGGTGTGTTAGGGTCAATGCGAATGTGAAGGGATAAAGGCGGCAATGGAGGGGGATGAGGCAATGGGGCCCGGGTTTCACGCGGAGTCGGTGCCAAGCATCTGCTTATCGTTCGATAAGATCGAGTCCAAGTATAGAAAATGTTCTCACAACAACCAAAAAAGAAGAGAGACGGGATGCTACAAAGTAACAAGGAGAAAACGTGATGTCGTCAGATTCGCTTGATGTGACCTCGTGTGATCTACATATCGATCGGGAATACCGGGACATCTGACCCCGGGAATGTAGGGAAGCTGCCTGTTCCAGAACAGTATGTATTCCAAAGTATCTAGTGTCAAATGGATTTATGTTTGCGTTTGTCTTTTGTCTTTCTAGTTTGAAACCTGTCCCTTTACCCAGTCTCGCAGGATGTTCTTCCGAATCTTACCAGTACTGGTCTTGGGAAGTTCCGCTACCACTTCCACCTCTCGAGGGATCATGAACTTGCTGATGCCGCTGACATTCCGAGCCCAGGTGATCACTTCTGGGCCTTCCAGTAACTTGCCTTGCTTCACCGTGACAAAAGCCTTGGGTCGTTCGCCCCAATGAGTATCAGGCACCGAGACAACTCCTGCCTCTAGAATGTCGGGATGCGTGACCAACATGGACTCAAGTGCAACTGATGATATGTTCTCACCACCTAAATGTAAAATAGTTAGCCATCATTTCTTTCAGCAGACCGACCACTCGCTACCGAACATACCGCTAATGATAATATCCTTGGCACGATCAAGGATTTGGATCGCACCATCAGGATGCCAGACAGCCAAATCGCCGGAGTGCAGAACACCCCCTGCAAAGAGCTTCCGAGTTGCCTCAGGATCCTTGTAGTACCCACGAGCGCAGATATTGCCAATAAAGACGATCTCACCGATCTCTTGGCCATCTTGGCGGACATCAGTGATAGTATCGTCAGGCACCTCTGTCTTAATAACTCGCGCAGGGAGGCTAGAAATAAAGCCATGGCCTTGCCGGGCCATCTTCTGATACTTTTCCTTGAGAGGAAGGGTATCCCATTGAGGTAAAAAGTAACCCTTGGTGATAGGGCCATACGTCTCGGTCATACCGTAAACATGCACAGGATGCAAGTTCAGATCTGACATTTGTTCAAAGAGATGAGCCGTAGGAGGGCTCGCTGCTACCGTCACCCGAACAGGTTGGGGCAGTTTCTCTGCTTCTTTCGCGTTGCAAAGTAATGTGTTCACAGTTGGGGCGGCGTTGAAATGCGTGATATGCTCTTCTTTCAGCAATCTCCAGATCTCAGGATAGTCTATCTTCCTGAGACAATAATGGGTGCCGCGGACTGCCGTTACTGCCCATGGGAATGTCCATCCTGCGATGCACGTCCTGTCAGTTGAGTACTATGAAGAGAGAAAGGGCACGAACCCATAGCATGGAACATAGGTAGTGTCCAAAGATAACGAGCCCGTCCACGGTGGTAGTTTAGCCCCGATTCAATAACATTCGCCAAAGATGCCAGGTAGCAACCCCTATGAGTAAACTCGACACCCTTGGGCTTAGCTGTCGTTCCGCTAGTGTACGCCAGTGCAATGACGGACTCTTCATCAGCAGCTTGACTCTCGAGGCCCTCCCAGCCCTGAGCACCAGTATCCAAGTCATACTTCAGACCTTGCAAAACAGCTTCGTCGAAGGGACCCGTCAATTGACCCTCAGTAGCATCCGTATCAGTGTCTACAATGAGGGGGACATCAGGGTGCTGCGAGCGATATGTCTCCAAAAGTGGCACAAACTCCTCGTCAACAATAATGACCTCTGCATCTCCATGCTCGAAAATATAGGCGATATCTTCTTTCTTGAGACGGTAGTTGACAGCTTGAATATGAATATGTTAGACCGACCTTTCGTCAACAGACCAAGCCCGGAATTCTTACCGACGTTAACAGCCCCAGCAGCGGCAATCCCAAAGATAGACTCAAGGAATGCCGGGGTGTTGGGACAGAGGATTCCAACTCTCTTGAACCCATGTTTCTTCAGGTAGAACGCCAAGCCCCTCGCACGATCAGCAGTCTCGCGGTAGGTCCTGTGTAGAACCTTGCCATTGGCTGTGATATGGTAGATTGCCTCGGCCTGAAGAATATCTTGTCAGATAACTTCAATTGGATCAATATCGAACATAGCAAGGGAAGCTCACCTCGGGCTCAATGGCCGCGGCACGAGGTAGGAAGAAAGTCGGCGAGAGCGAATGGCGATTGATGCGGTGCTCGAATGGTGCAGGTGTCGAAGCTTCTGAGCTGAAGTGGCCCAGTAGGCCAGACAGCCGAGACTTTACACCAGACATGCTACAGCGGCGGGAGGACGAACCACAAGAACGGGGTTGTGGTTACACAGAAGAGGAAATTAGAGGTCGAGGTATAAGGATAGAAGGAGAAAGAGAAGAGACACCAGGAGACATGCGAGAGAAGTAAAGAGAGAGAGAGAGAGAGAGAGAGGCAAGTTACTCCAAGTTGGAGAAATGCGGGGAGCCCTGGAGCGGTTAACCTAGGCTATGGCGGATCACAGGCGGGGACTCGGGAACGAACTCTGGGGTATCCAATACAACTTGCCAAGGAGTCCTTGCTTTTGAGTTATTAGAATATCATGTTCGGTCTAACGGAATACTCTTTGCTGTGAGATTGGCCAAAGCACAACCATCGGACACACATTGGATATTGGTACTTTATAATGCTGCACTGCGCTCGAGGGCGTACCTCGACTAATAGAGTAATAGTGTGGGTACGTAAAGATCAAGTCCACGAACTACAAGCAACTACGGAGGACAAGCCAACACTAAAGGAGAACAAATAATAGGTCAAAGTATTTTGATCATAAGAATCATGTTGAACTCTTGAAAATTGTTTCTTTGGATTAAACCGCCACGGCGCGACTCAACGGCCAGCTATTTTGAACCTTTAATCCCAAACGACTCCGTTTTTTTCGACTTTTGAAAATTCCGAAGAAACCCTGTCCCCGGCCACCATGCTCGTCACAGACAGTGGTATTCATGAAATGGTAGGGGACCGGGCCGCAGAAAAAGGTCGGTCGACTTGCCGTTCAAATTCGCTGAAAGTAAACCGTCCGCGATCCCATCCCAGAACCATCGCTCGACACAACAACCAGCCGCGCTAAAGGTATCTAGTAGCCATACTGAGCAAGCTGGGTCTTGGTCTTGCTGTCCACGTTCGCACCCTGCTCCGCCTTGGCAAGGTTGCGACGAGCGGCCTTCTTGCGCTCGTAGTAAGCCTTGCTCTTGACCTTCCGACGCTCCTCGAGTCTGTAGAGAATTAGTTAGAATTTGCCAATGTAGACAACGTGGATCACACTGGTGTCCCAGGTGACAACGAAGAACATACCTGGAGACAACATCCTGGTACTTCCAGCCGACCTCGTGGCTGAGACGGCCAACAGTGCAGTACTTGCGGCCGGGGCGGAGACGCAGGACACGGAGAGCCTGGGGGACGACGACACGCTTCTTCTTGTCGTAGGGAGGGGGGACACCCTCGAAGACCTTGAGGCGCTCCATAGCGGCGGCACCACGGGCGGTCTTGTGGGGAATCATACCGCGGACAGCCTTGTAGAGGATGCGGGAAGGAGCGCGGAAGTGGAAGGGACCACCACGGGTAGGGTTGAAACGAGTGATCTTGCGAAGGTAGGCGTGGTACTTGACTGTAGGTCGGATTTCGAGTCAGCATTTCTGATCCCCTCAAAATGTGCATTTTCCTCCAAAAAAATTCCCAATTTCGTTTTGCTTGTCGTGTTTCCTCCACATGTAATCGAAGACACATTCCAATATTCCACACAAAACACAAAGAAAAGATTTCGAGGAGAGGTTGAACGTACGCTTCGCGCGGAAGAACTCGCCGGAGATGTTGAGGGCCTCACATCTCACAACGACGATCTTCTGGCCGTTGAGCAGCTGCTTGGCGACAGTGCTGGCCAGACGACCAAGGAGGTGTCCCTTGCCGTCAATGACGACCTAATTCACGATTTAAGTCAGCGATAACGGTTCCCGGATGCAGAATTTCTCAAGACGACTGTAGCGGCACTCAGGTTGTCGCTTGGGGTTTAGAAACGCACCACTGGTTCGAAGGAGGACATCCTGCTGGTAATATGTCCCGGGGGATGGATGTTGTCGGCGGTTGTTGTCGTTGGTGTCAGGTCAACGCACACAACGAAGTCGGGTGGCTCGCAGGTGAATGGTTAAGCGAGGAAAGCCTACTTTGTGTTAGTGGCGAGGGTCCCAGCCCTAAGCCGGACCAATCAGGCGGTGTGGTAGTCACGTGTGGGAAACCCCTTGCCCCGCCCGAGACCAGATTATATAATACTTTCACTTTGCACTGTGCGCCACGGTGGTTCCTTCTCTTTGTGCCGTTAGGGCTTTGGCTTAGGGCCGGCGATACTTGGGAGTTCTAGAAGTACAGTGAAGATCATGATTTTGAAGTTTGGTAGATTAATGAAGATATAGGAAGTTGGAGACCTTGTATTGAGCTCTCCGTATTATTTTATACTATTTATTTCCTGTAGCACCACCATCAAATCCTACGATCTGGCGTCTACCTGTATCTCCATGCCTTCATGATCAGATCTAAGTTGATCAAAGATTGGGTCCGATGACTAATCCATTCCATAGTCCAATTGTTTTCCCTGTGCAAGTTCTCTCCATCAGAAATCTCCAAGACAAAGACGCGCTTCAGAGCTTCATGAATCATAGTCGCCCCGAATCGCTTGCGCTCCCTGCAGTGGCCCTGGGCACGAACAGCACCACAATCAGGCCTGCTTTTGCCAACAAATCTCATTAAGACAAGGATTTTCTCTAGATCAATCACCATGCTTCGAAAGACACGATTTGTATGCGTCTCTGATACACACGGCTATACACCATCCGAAGCAGGCTTCAAGCTCCCAACAGGGGACGTTTTGATCCATGCAGGCGACTTGACTAACAATGGAAGCCTAAGAGAGCTCCGCAAGACGATGGATTGGATATGCAATGCCGACTTTGAAATCAAGATCATAGTTGCTGGTCCGTTTCTCTCCTAGTCGATGCCCATGCGCCCGATTCACAACCATCTATGACTTGATCTCGGGCAATAAATAGCAATGCTATGCCCGCCTCAGTGCTCCGTCCACGCTAAATGGTCACATCAAGACTCCCTAACCAAATAAACAGGCAATCACGATGTTACTTTGGACCCAACATTCTATGCAGAACATGGACGCAGCTTTCACAGCCAGTCCATCGAAGATCCGCAGCAATGCCTAAAACTCATCTCGGAGTCGCCTTCAGTAGTCCTACTTCAACACGAGTCGGCCGTGATTCGCTTAACGCGAGCAGGCGGTCCGAATACGATCTTCAAAGTCTTCGGGTCCCCACACTCCCAATTCAAAGGTGACTGGGCATTCGGATACGACTCAAGTGATGCAACAAGGCTATGGAGTCAGATACCACTCGACACGGACGTCGTCGTCACACATACGCCACCACAATCTCACTGCGACCAGAAACCAAATGGAACATCCGTTGGGTGTTCAGCACTTCGCAAGACACTGAGCCTCATCAGGCCGCACTTAGCCATATGCGGTCATGTGCATGAAGGACGAGGATACGAAAGAGTCCACTGGCAGGCCACGCTTACAGATACAGAACAAGATATAGAAACAGAGACACAGACAGAGACAGAGACCAACGCAGTTGACCATGTCACTCGGGGCCAGTTGCCGCCCATGGACAGCAAGAAACAAAGCCTGATCGACTTAACCAGCAAACGGAACGAACGACTAGCCAACGAGGGATTTTCGTGGCCCGGTCACGGTCACGGCCATCCACATCCAGCACATGAGATATCAAACGATGAAACGATGTCATCAGCCTCGCCGAAGTCATCAGCAGGCGTCGATCCTGAAAAGGCAAGTCCACGAAATTCGCCGAACGCTCCGTCCCTGAGCGCGAGTAGCCCCAGCCCCAGTCTCAGAACCAGCACCAGCATCAGCACCAGCGGCACGATCGGCCGTTTAGATCACGCCTTGCGAACGCTCCGAATGGAGACTTGCATTGTCAATGCGGCCGTCGTGGCCACCAGTTTCCCGCATCGCGGAGGCAAACGCTTCAATTCGCCCATCGTTGTTGACCTCGAGCTTCCCGTGTGGCAAGACTCGGCCAACGGGTGATGTTCGCCGTGCGTCTGACACCTCGGTAGTTTTGTTTTTAGCGCGCTTTTTCTTTTCTTTTTAACGTGGGTTGGGACGGGGATTAACTGGCACGGAATTAAGCTGCCTGCTTAATCTTTTGGGTCCGGCCAAACTCCTGTATTATTGCCATGCATTGTGGCTTGACGCCAGATGGTACCTCCCACCCGGAGTGACTGGGGAGCTTTTGCCATGCGCGCTTTGATGCATACACATTGAAAATGAGAACGTGAAGTGCGAAGTCTCGATCTGCTTGGGATTGCGCTTACATCATTGATTCCATGTGGTGGGTGGTCGGCCCGTTAGACTGGCTACCGCAGCCGATGAGTCCTCGGATTTCATAAGTATTTCCAATAATCCAATAATCAAGTCCTACAAAATCAATATCCCGTACTTCGTACAGCAGCCATAACTTTCTCTCTTCTCTCTCTCTTTACACATGTCTTCGTAAGGGTGAGTAATGGTGACTGTGACTCCTCGTCTCATGTATATACCCCGCATGCACTTCGGGCCCCATAACCATCTGACAGATCGCAATCACATACGGAGTACTGTATCAGATGTGATATCACTCTCTCCAATTTCCAGTCCCAGTCCATTTCCAAGTTTGAACTCTTCAGGCACGAGTCATCCGCATCATCTGCAACGGGGATCCCCCAACTCAAACCTTCCAGAAAAAAACACAAAAACAACCCAGCGCTAGTTCCCGCACTGTCAGTGGATAGCACAGTTAGCACATTGGGAAAGGGAAAGTCTGGGCGTAGGACGAGTAGACCCCATAAGCCAACCAATGCATAGACCCTCCCACCCTCCTGATTCACGATGTGACCATGCGAGGCCGATCATTCTTAGTCTTGGTCTTAGTCTTGGTCAGATAATAAGTCAATGTAAGTAATCACTGTGCAGTGTTTGCGCTTATGGGTTGTCTTTCTTCAGCTAAAACTAGAAGGACTCGGGGATACACCTCACTACAGCTTAGTCTCGCGTGGGAAGAGGCATGTGCTTCTCGGACTTTGATTGGGGGGATATTTTCTAGAAGGCTTTTCGAGGCTGGTGGAGAGCGTTCTGGCTCGATTTGAGGATTACGGTTGGATTACATGTACACTACTCTCTCGCTGTTATAGCTGAGTGCATATTATTATTGCAGGAGACCTGCATTTGCATTTGCATTTGATTTCCCCAGGTATGGAATAAAATAGAGTATTTAATGACAAACCTGCGTAGGGGAGACGGCTACCACTTAATTTGAGATATCTTGCCTCCTCCTATGCTAGTCTAATATAGATGAACGACCCCCGGTCTAGTGTCAATTTCTCCGGTGCTCAGCCGGCCTCAACCATAGCATTCGGCTACAAACAAGTCGACTCTTTAGGGACGGACATCCGATCCGAAACCCACCCTTGTTGGCAATCAGAAAGTGAGGGGGGTAGATCACTGTTTAAGCGTATAAAGTTACAACCGTGTGTTTCGGCACAAGGTCTTGTGTGACATCCCCAGTCGCGCTGATGGGATCGGAGGATTATGGACACGGCTGGTGCGGTTCGAATTGAAAGATTGTGGTCCTTTTCCATTTGGGTTTCACGGGGGATCCCCAGATTGATTTTTTTACTGCAATCACTATCACACAGTTATTGTCAACTGACTGTGTCTGGGTGTTCCCGAAGCGAGGTAAAACGGAGATAAAGAGGTGGGCGGTTAGGCTAGGTTGATTTACGAGACATTTTAAGAGTTAATGGGGGTTTACATTCGAGACAGATACTATTTGGGCAGGAGATGTTATGGGGAGATATATGGAGGTGAAAAGAGGAAGAGGGTGAGGTGTTTGGAGGATTGCCATAATAATAGGAACTGGAGAATCTTGCGCGCGGACCGCAGTGCCGGGTTCATGAGTCCAGATGACTTAGAAATGGGTCGAGACGGTGTACATTGTACCCCTACTTCATCCAATCATTCGATACCGCGATTAATACCAGATGGAGTCGCTATAGGTGGAGACAGACACGTTGGTGATGGGTCTAGTGGGACAGAGATTAGGTCTCAGTGCCTCAAAGGAATGTGCAAAGAATTGGAAACGCGTCTCTCTATATTTAGGTTATTCCGCCACAGATTAAGGCCACGGAACCCCTCGGGAGGGAGAACATTACCGTGGCTACCACTTAGGCGTACAAGGTTAGAGCTGAAGCGAGACAAGGATAAGAGTAAAGAATGTTCGTTCACAGTGAGGCGACCCAGGCGTAAAGATGGGGGGGGCAGTTTAGGTGCATGCCAAACCTACTCGATCGAGACGGCGGCAGGAAAGAAGTAAAGATGGGCGCCATGACGATGGCCCCCTCACTGAGCCTTGTTCTCGTGTTAGATCGCCCCATCTCTAGGCAAATGAAATACCTTTACTAGGACGAGGCGGTGATTGGCAGGGTGCCAACAAATCAGGTCCAGGGCACGGCCAATAATTGGGGGAGGCCGGTGAAGTGACAATAATACATGTAATAAAAGTAATAGAAAAACAGAGAAATAGAGAAATAGAGAAATTATAAGAAATTACGGAGACCACCTAAGTTGGGCATCTCCTTTGATCTTGACTAAGCGCGCCACCCTGCTACTGTCGCTGCGCCACTACATGTAAATACCTTCCCCTGGCCGGTTCGTTCGGCTCAAGACTTCCTTACGGCATCGTCCGATGCCCTTACTTACATTGCGATTTACAATCTCCTGATCGAGATCTTTCTGGATGCGTCGGTGTTGGCATCCTACTACGTCAACTTGACATTCCATACATTACCTCCACCGCCTCTTCCCCCTCTCTCTTTCTCTTCTTCAATTCCAACTCAACACAGACTTCTGTGTATCAATTTTACCATGTCATCAGCTCCTGATATAGATCCATATGCTGCGCTAGGAGTAGCCAAAGATGCGACCCTCTCCGAAATCCGGGCCGCCCATCGAAAGCGAGTGCTGAAATGCCACCCAGACAAGATTCAAGATGAGTCGCAGCGGAATGCCGCCCAAGATGAATTCCAGAGAGTTCAACAGGCCTATGAACTTCTTTCAGATGAGTCCCGGCGAACCAAGTATGACGCCAAAGTCAACAGATTAGCCGAATTGAAGGCCGAGCTGGAGCGCAGACGAGCAGAGTCATATGGCTCTCCACGAGGAAGTGGTTCCAACAACCGAGAATACCGCAATGGTCGGATCGTGGAGGAACGAGTCCCCTTGGAAGTGTATCTCGATGAATCATTGAGATTCACGGAGGAACCACGTCCGATGTCTCGCAAGCATGAGGAGTATGGCATGCGATCCAAGGCCAAGTCCACGGAGGAAAGGAAGAAGAAAACTGCGACGCCGATGAGCGCGTATTACGCTGCAAAGGAGCAGCGGGAATCGACCAAGGCCACCCATTCCGACCGTGCCAAGACCCGCGATCAAGAGCGACGACGACAAGCGTCGGCCAAATACGACACCTTCGAATCTTATGCTGAATCCGACGATGCTTCAGACTCCAGTGCTCCTCGCTACGTCTTCACCAAGCGAACAGCAACCCCGCGCCGAGAGCGCGAATCCCGATCCAGGCCAGAGTCCTCTCGCCGCGAACGCTACGATGACGATGATTTCTCCGATCATTGGCAAAGCAAGATTAATAGTCGAACGACCAGCGCGGAGGACTACATCGCATCCAAGGGTCGAATCTCGAATTCCCCACGCCGATACCATGGTTACGACTCAACGGAACCAGAATTGTCCGGGTCGCGGCCCTCGGGACGGTCCACCCGGCCTGCAACAAGACGTCCGTCAACATCCCGCAACAACTCCTACGACTACATTGAGTCGCCTCGCGAGAAGCCGAAGATGCCAACCGCCACAACTTCCCCAAGCATCAAGAGCTCTCTCCGCCCCTCATTCCTGAACCACCGCGCAGCAACCTCCAGCGGCTTCAGTCGTCCCAAGCGCGATAGCACGCTCTACGGAATGGCCCACGAACCCATGCCCTCGCGCCCCTCAAAGCCCCGCGATCGCTACGATTCTGGATATTCGAGCCCAACGACGCCCGAAATGCCCACGCGGGGTAATTCCCCTAAGACACATACCCGCTACAAGATTGTCGAGGAGCCAGACCGCGTCGTTGTTGAGCCAAAGTCCGCCTCTTCGAAGTACCGCTCCTCATCCCCAGACCGCGCCGAACGCACCTCTTCGTCGGCCCGCCAGCCCCCAAGCGGAGTAGTACATTCCAGAGCTACTCGACTGAATCGCCATCGTCTCCTCGCATTGAAGTCCGCTCTTCGCGACCTTCAAGACCGGCGACCTATCGTGATCCCGATTATTCTCCTCGTCCGAAGGAGAAGGATGTCAAATACTCTCGCGCTTATAGGCCCGAGGATGTCAGTTACTCGCCGCGTCGCCCTTATTATGACGAGGATTATCGTCCTCCTGCTGTGGGCAGACGGCAGTCTGCTTACTAGTTCTGTGTTGTGTTGCAACACTATGGATCGCTTACGACAGCTTACGCTTATGCACGCTTTCTTCTTTTATCTTTATCATTTTTATCGGATATTCATGATGGAGCTCGGGGTGTTTTTCAATTCCTTTGCTTTGCATTTTCACCTCGATTTCTATCCTCCTTCTCGTTCGCATTCTCATTCCTTCTTGTCTATACATGGGCTACTTAGTGGTCCTTTCACACGGAGACAGCCTCTACTTCCAATCCGAGATTTGGTTTGAACAATGGCTGTACCTATCCAGATCGATCTCGGATTTGTCACGGTGTCTTCCTTTTTTCCAACCCGGATAGTATATCGCATACCTCTTCATACCTACACGCCCATACACTGGCCATAGCCAGTGCAGGGAGTAGTGAATTTGTTATTCCATCACGCATCGAGACGGGGCCGGTATTGATTTCGGTTTCTTTGATTCTTTCGATGTTACTGTACTGTACCATGGTCTGGTTTACTTCCGCCCGCACAGCCAGTGCGGGGGTGAGGATTAGGGCTAGGGCCAGGGTTAGAGACACAGGTATTCTTTGTCGGCGCATAAGGGTGGGATGGTCGGAAGGGATGGAATGGTGTTTCCTTCCTTTTTCTTATTCCTCATCACATCCTATGGCGTATCTTTACCTCTTCTTCTTTGTTCTTATTTTCTTTTCTTTTCTCTTTTTGTTTATTTTCCTGTGCTTCTTTTCATATTTACCTCCCGGCTACTAGATACCTGATGACCCAATTTATGACTTACGCTCCTTGATATGATATGACATGCCACGATTCTTGACCTATTTTCTTTTCTTCTCTTTTTGCACTGTAGAAAGCATGGGACTCATTCGGTGTTACAGAAATTGGGGGAGAAGGGGTACATCTTGTATGAATCCAACTGATCTACTTCCCAGACTGAAACTTCACCTATGATGTCCGGATGTTGTTTTGATTTTGACCGACATATTTGACTAGGATAATGATAGAGAATAGAACTTAACAAAATGTCTGACATTGTCGTGATATTGTGTCGTCCAATATATCCAAATCTTTTGTTAGATTATTATTTGTTAGTTATTTTAGTTGTATCATGTGGCTCAGGGAGGTTTATTTAAACACCCTTATATAACAATGAATACATCCGTTGAGATGAGTATCAAACCATAGTATCCGTAGTTGAGACAAAAATATAACTGAAGCTATATACAAGGCGAATGAGTACGCCCTTGGTACAAATAAGAGCAAACCGCCGCTAAACCGTTCCTAAATCCAATCTACACCTTGCTACGAACTCACTTCGTTGATCGATTGCATTGTTCCGCCATGTCCAGGGTATTGCACTCAAAAGTATAGGTATTCCCTAGACCAAGACGTAGAATGCACACATCTAGAGCAGCCAGTGTTAACCAAAGATACTTGTGGATATATCCAAAGTCAAGAAGACATTGTATAACTTACCATCGAAAGACCCAAGATCATAGAAGACCAGAAGAACACATTCTAAAGTCAAGTCAGCTTTATGAGATACCATACCCACGTAGGAGCAGCTTACATTGAGGGTAGTCCGTCCTCTGAAGAAGCGGGACTTCTGAACTGCAACAATGGGCAGTTGCAGCATCATAGCCAGGAATCCATACCCACGGAGCTTCTTGGTGATGCAGCTCATGACCAGCTCGTGGAAAACTGAACTAACCAGGAATGTAATGGTCATGGCCACGGGTTGAGAGAAGTTGCATCGCGAAGGGAAGTAGACATGGCGGAAGAGGAAGTGGTGGACGGGGACGTTCCATTCGCGGGAGAATTCGAGCCTGGAGGGAAATTGTTAGATCAACATATTGTGAATTGGGCATATAATATCTGCTGTAGGACGTACCAGTCACACGAATTCCACCAGTCCGCGTAAAAGTGCCGGTCAGCAAATCGAGTCAACTCGGCAAATGCGCCTAACACGTATTCGAAGATAACCAGGAAAACAAGCAGGAATGTAATCATGAACGGGAATAGGAGCATGCTGATAGTCTCGGCGAGGATGAATGCCTTGTCTGAGATGCTAGAAACGACGTGGAGTTGAGCGCTGGCCTCTGTCAGGACGGGGAGAATGAACTCTTCGCTGACCAGGGTCAGCAGAAAGATGCAACCAAATACAGCTGCAGTCTTCCAGCCGATCTCTGACCAGCGGCGATCCTGTCGGCGTGGATACTCCAGCTCGTAGCAGAGAGTCGGGCAGAACAGGAAGTCGACATAGTTACCGACGTGAAGGTTCTGGGGGTATGAGATATTGCCGAGTGGGGAGGTCAGTTCCGTGGCTAGTTCCTCGCGCAGCTTCAGCAGTGGCTCTGTCGGGGTGTCTTTCTCGTTCTGGTCTTTCATGGACGGCCGGCGTCGGTGGACTTCCGGGTAATGGATGGCAGATGTAGGATTGGAGGACATCGAGCCGGGTTTATCAAGAGAGGCTAAACGGCGCTCGGTCTCGCTGAGATGGCCATTGTAGAAAGCATAGGAATGCAGTTTCATGAGAATTGTGAGGGTATGCAGCGTGAAGAAGACCTGCGCGGTCCAGGTCCACTGCAGCATAAAAGGCCAGCTATTTCTTGTCAGCGATATAGAATCCCATTTCATATAGATATAGCCACCCACTTGATCCATAAGACCAGCCAAAATGCCTCGCCCAGACTCTGCACTATCATACCTCCGCGCGACCATCGCAGCCACTGCGGACCGCTCCGCCAGATCCGGTGTAAAGGTAGAACAAGTCCTGAGCTCACGACCATGGCCACATCACTGAGTCCCATCACCCACACATTCTGCGTCAAGAGGCTCCAAACGCGCAACTGTAAGGGGAATCCTGTATACTTGATGTTGCGCAGCGCGCTGGTCCCGACCATAATCACCAGCGCAATCCAAAAGAGAGTAAAGAACCCTCGGAAATTGTGGTAGTCGCTATCCGGATCAAAATGCGACACACGAGGGACATAGTCTATCGTATAAAAAAGACGGTTTCGGGCTCGAACTTGCTTCCTCGCAGTCGAGATGGAGTGCGCCGACGGGGGCGCATCTTCGGAGACAGGGGTTGAGCGGCCACTTCAATGCAGTGGATATGTTAACCAGTGCCCTAGATCGGCCGGCTATGTGGATAGAGAGCAGCTCACCTCATGTCCTGGGACAGCTTTTCCAGGGGAAGGGGAAGAGCTCCAGTCACGTCTTTTCCGTCGGACTGGAGAGGGACGGCGCGCGGCCGTACATTTGCTGAATCATGGGAGACGGCGCTAGACATCCTATATGGACGCAATTGTGGGAGCAGAAAGGTGGCACATCGAACTCACTGGAATGAAAGAAAGACACATATGATGAGGGGAGCTCTGGTGGGTTTGTTTGTCTGAGTAGACACCAAAATTAACCACTACGTCACAGCATTTATAGGGGACTAGGCAGATGCAATCACGACGACTGTTGGATTGTTGGGAGTTCTCCCTGCCAAGAGGTGAATATGTATCATTTTGTCATTCTATTTCAATTCAAGTCACCAAGTATTCTGGCATCCTTATACAGGTGGGTGTACGGCATATCTGGGGATCTGGCTCATGTAGCATTAATCTGCGACCTCAACCAATCAAATGGGCTTGTGGTTTAGTGGTATAATACTCCCTTAGCATGGGAGTGGTCCGGGGTTCGATTCCCCGCGAGTCCATTCATTTTTTATTTCTGCTGCCTTCAAGGCGGTGTGGCTTTGTGCGGTTCGGCGGTCACCTGACCCTAATTGTCACGCTAGGCCCGTTCTCAACTAGCGCCCCATGCCAAGAAGCCAGGTCGACTGTCATGAGGAATAATAATAAAGCAGTCCAGACCTCCAGACCACTGCCTTGACGCTTCTTCGTTTCATTGATCTTATGAGCGCGGTGCTTGGTTTGCTTTCCTGGGCCTGACTCTATCCCTTCTCCTCCATTGAATATTCCCTTTTCTCGCCCCGTTGGGGGTCTCCGTTGCCATGTCTTCCCGTGAGTGCTGCCCGCCGCCCCTCCTCCCCTGAGACGTAGCGCTAAACACGCAACCCAATATGTCTATAGTCAAGCAATTCATTCGGAATGTCCGATCAGCCAAGACCATCGCCGATGAACGTGCCGTGATTCAAAAGGAGAGCGCCGCTATTCGAGCCTCGTTTCGAGAAGAGAGCCATGACTCCGGTATCCGGTTAGCTTCAGCAAACTTCCAATGGACTTCGCGGACGAATTCTAATAAATTGACAGGAGGAATAATGTCGCCAAGCTCTTGTACCTCTTCACACTTGGAGAGCGCACTCACTTCGGTCAGATCGAATGTCTGAAACTACTTGCCTCTCACCGGTTCGCCGATAAGCGTCTGGGATATCTGGGGACCATGCTGTTACTGGATGAGAACCAGGAGGTTTTAACACTTGTCACCAATTCTTTGAAAAAGTTGGTGTCTACGGTAGTCTCGATCGCTTGAACTCATACTGACTAGCATGCAGTGACCTCAACCACTCCAACCAGTATATCGTCGGTCTCGCTCTTTGTGCCCTCGGCAACATTGCTTCTATCGAAATGTCCCGTGATCTATTCCCCGAAGTCGAAGGCCTCATGTCGACCGCCAACCCATACATTCGCCGGAAAGCAGCCATTTGTGCCATGCGCATCTGTCGCAAGGTTCCAGACCTGTACGAGCACTTCCTCGAGAAAGCCAAGAACCTTCTTTCGGACCGGAACCATGGCGTACTGCTCTGTGGTTTGACACTGGCGATTGATCTTTGTGAGGCGGAAGAGGAGGAGGAAGGACCAGAGGGTGTGATCGAGATGTTCCGGCCGCTGGCTGGAGGACTTGTTCGCGCTTTGAAGGGCCTGACAACCTCCGGCTATGCCCCCGAACACGATGTGTCCGGCATCACAGACCCTTTCCTGCAGGTCAAGATTCTCCGTTTCTTGCGTGTATTGGGTCGCGGAGATGTGGCCACCAGCGAGCTGATCAACGATATCTTGGCCCAGGTGGCCACCAACACGGATTCCTCAAAGAACGTCGGCAACTCAATTTTGTACGAGGCCGTTCTTACTATCCTGGATATCGAAGCCGACTCGGGATTGAGGGTGCTGGGCGTCAACATTCTCGGGAAATTCTTGGCTAACAAGGATAATAATATCCGCTATGTTGCACTGAACACCTTGAACAAGGTGGTCGCAATCGAACCAAATGCGGTGCAGAGACACCGTAACACGATCTTGGAGTGTCTGCGGGATCCAGATATTAGCATTCGCCGGCGAGCGCTCGATCTCAGCTTCATGTTGATCAATGAGGGCAACGTGCGGGTGCTGGTGCGCGAACTGCTGGCCTTCCTAGAGGTGGCCGACAACGAATTCAAACCTGTGATGACCACACAAATTGGCATTGCGGCTGATCGTTTCGCGCCAAACAAGCGCTGGCACATGGATACCATTCTGCGGGTTCTCAAGCTGGCTGGGAACTACGTCAAGGAACAGATCCTGTCCTCATTTGTGCGTCTCATTGCTACCACCCCTGAATTGCAGACCTATGCAGTGCAGAAACTTTACTCCTCATTAAAGGAGGACATCTCACAAGAGGGTCTCACCCTGGCTGCGACATGGACGATCGGTGAATATGCCGATAGTCTACTCCAGGGTGGTCAATATGAGGAAGAGGAATTGGTCAAGGAGGTTCGGGAAAGTGATATTGTCGACCTTTTCACCAACATTCTCAACAGCACCTACGCCAGCCAGATCGCCGTTGAATACATCATCACTGCATCCATGAAGCTTACAGTGCGTATGTCGGATCCTGCGCAGATCGAACGTCTGCGCCGTTTCCTCTCTGGCCGGACTGCAGATTTGAGTGTAGAGATCCAGCAGCGTGCTGTTGAATATTCCAACCTCTTCGGCTACGACCAAATCCGCCGCGGCGTGCTCGAGCGGATGCCCCCGCCTGAGATTCGTGAGGAACAACGGGTGCTGGGTGCGCCTACCGCTAAGAAGCGCCAGAGCAAGGTTCTCCGTGGCAAGTCTACTAAGGCCGCCAAACCGGCCGAGCATGACCTGCTCCTCGACTTGGTTGGCGGTGACGCCCCCGTTACCAGCCCTACCTCGAGCGGATCGAACACCGCCGATCTGCTGGCAGACATTCTTGGCGGTGACTCCGGCCTGTCATCGCCCTCGCCAGGCCCTGCTGGGCAAAAGAACTCGAACAGTGCCATCATGGACTTGTTCGGTTCCAATGGTCCTTCGCCATCACCTCAGCCAACACAACCTGCATCTGCATCCATGGATCTACTGGGTGGAGGTGGCATGGGTGCCTCTGCGCCCTCGCCTTCATCCTCTCCCGCTCCTGTCTCCGCCTCGACGCCAGCACACACTGCCCTCAACAAGGACGGCCTCGTCCTCACCTTGCAGGTCCAGCGCAGCGGCAACAACGCCCAGATCATGGCTCGCTTCCGCAACGAGTCCAACTTCGACACCTTCACTAATGTCGGTTTGCAAGCCGCCGTGCCAAAGAGCCAACGTCTGCAACTGAGCGCAATTAGCAAAGCCGATCTTGAAGCCGGTGACGAGGGCACCCAATCAATGCGCGTGACCGCTCTGAACGGGGTATGTCTTTCCATTTCCTATCTTTCCCCCTATAAAACTCATCAAGCTAACTAACTACTCCCCAGGCCCTCCCTGCCAAGCTCCGTCTCCGACTTCGTATCTCCTCCGCTAGAGACGGTGGCGACCCCGTTATCGACCAAGTGGATTGGTCTGAGCCATAAATGCAATGGCAATGGCGAAAGCGATGCCAAAATTTCAACCGAACGAAAGTTTTAATTTCCCATGAACAGTTCAAAATCCATTTCTATACACCCTAGCATCTTTTACTCTTACTCTTACTTCTGCTTTTGCTTTTCTCTGCGCCTACGCTTTCGTCCGTATCTAGACTTTTGTTTTGGTCCCTGTCCTCGTTTTTGTTCCCTGTGGTGAGGATTTATTGTTTCTTGTATATGCTTAACAGATGGAGCTTTATGTATGAGCAAATACTGCATGGTGCAGGTACAGGTGCAATGTGCGTTGCATCGGAGCTAGATGTTTAGTGGTTCGTAGTACTGTACCTACAGCTAAAGCAAAAAGAAATAAGCTACGGTATACTTGTTGCCGGTTACTTAATATGCCTATCCCACTATAGCAGTACTAGGATTATATCGAACAACAGTAACAATCTCTTGGATATCCCTTATACGGCACGAGAAGCCCCAGTATATGTATTTATGCACTGTTATATTGCAACTGTAACCCCATATGGAAAGAACGAAAGAATGAAATCCAAGCAAATCACAAACCCGGGAAATGCAGTAAGCCACTCATGATAATAAGCAAGGCTCGATAAGCCAAAAGATCAAATAGAACACCCCAGCAACAAAAAACGAGAAAAAAAGCAGTAAGTAAACTCCAGCAGAATAATGCAAAATCGTATCATCTATCCAAGTGATTTCCCTCAACTTTATGGTCCTGGTCACAAATCAATGACCAAGATCCCAAAACAGTAAAGATATGAGATAGATAGTGAAATGGTAGGTCAGTTCGAGAGTGTATCAACTTATTCAGATATGCTCAATAGGATCCTCAGGGAGAAGAACCTCGCCCTCTCCCCGGTTGCGAGGCAAGCAGGCCTTGAGAGGGGGCCGGACAATGTCATTGAACAGGAATGTTCCGTAGACGAGGAGTGCAAAGCCGGCAACTTGGAGCCACTTGAAGGTCTCCCAGCCCAGGCCGAGCGAGACGAGCCAGATGAAGAGGGTACGGCAGGTGTCGATTGTGCTGCGGGAGGTGGCAGAGACGGTGTGAGTAACCGATAGACCGAAGAAGTTGAAGCCGCTGGGATAAAGTTAGAGAGGGGATTATAAAGAGAGGGCTTTGGAAATATCAAGGTGGGGTTGAGAGACTTGAGAAACATACCCAATGCTGACCATGATCGCTAGACTAGAAAGAGAAATGGCACGGTTGCTGGTCAGTTGACGCCATCCCTCCTTCAGATCAAAGTATCCATAGCGACCAGCCTCAGTTCGCCCAACGGCAAAGTACATAACGACCATACCAACGAGAGTAGCCAAGAAGCCAAATATACCTTCCCAGCCGACAACCTGGATAGGATCCATAGCATAATGCTCGAGAATCCACTCCTCCAGTACAAACTGCGAAGCAGTGAAAATCTGCGCCGCCGCAATAAGCAGCACACCAATGATAGCTTTCACAGCCTCGGGGGTCCCAGCAACAGCACGGGCCTTGATCATAGCATGCGAAGCAGCACCCGCGGCTCCATCACCCTGCGTGATATCATGACCAGAATCGCCGCTGAACAAAGCCCCAGAAAGACCGACAACCGCCACGCCGAGGACGACGATGAAGAGCGCGCTCCACTGGTACATGTACAGTTTGCGGCGGAGGAAGATGACGCTGAACAGGCCGACGAAGAGGACCAGGGCGCCGCGGGTCATTTGGTAGATACTTGCTGCCACGAAGAGGAGGCCTACGTTCATTAGGGTCGTGCCGGCGATATCGCAGCTGGAGGGCGCGGCGAGGAGGAGGACCTTCCAGCCACGCAGTGGGATGCGCTCGTCGTCCTCCCGGAGGGGCTTGGGGTGTCTGTTGTCGGTGTCGAGTCCGTGAATGTGGTCATCGTCGTTCTCTAGGCGCTCGTCTTCTCCGTTTATTGGGTGATATCCGCCGGCAAGGAGCGGAGATGGGTCGCTCGATAGACGGGGGGCGATGTAGCAGCGGTAGAGGGAGGTTAGGCCAACAACGAGCCAGCAGCCCATCTCGCCGACGAACATCTGGGCTCTGTGGGGTTTGATTTGCTGTCAGTACTCGTTGCTCTTGTTATACAGCTTTATCTCGTGCGAGTTTGGGTAGACCCCTACGTTTGAATGACTGGCTGCTCGAAGAGCTTTCGGTAGCTGGGTTCGGGTGAATCACAGTCCCGCACACATTGCATATCCTGATCGACGGGAAACGATTAGCTGGGGTATCCTTGATTGCAGCCATGACTCCTGGACTTGCCTGGTACTTGTTGAGAATGGTGTTGCACACCCCGGTCACGAGCATCATCGTGACCAGGAAGGGGATGAGGGCGTTGTTCGTCATCTTGGCGGCAAGCTTAGACTGGGTGAACTCGAGCTCAGGCTCGAATGCAATAGAGATATGAAGGAGGCTATTGAGAGCCTCTGAATAGGTGAGGAGACAAAGCGGAGATAGGCTTATCAGAGCAGCTGATATCACAAGTCACGAGTTACGCTGACTATACGGGCCGGTACCCGCTCGGTACCCACTTCGCTACACGGAGTACTCGTACACATGTCACTGTTGAATATAAAAGAGTGCATATTCCGCAAGGAGAGCCAAATCCCTATTTTACCTCCCTCAAAACGCCATCGCTGGGGACAACGGACAACACATACTGTCCAACAAGAGATTAAGAATAAGATGATGAAAGAGGAGTCCCGCGTAGGGTAGTGTACAAACGCGTCGCTCCTGAACCCTATGTGCGCCAGAGACTAAGTTATCCGCCGAAATCAGACAAATCATAATATCAGTCCACCTTTAAGACAAGCACGACCTATGGCTATAGGGCTAGAAATGGGTATATGAGTCCAATGTAAACCAAAAAGGAGAAGAATTTCAAGTCGTGGGAATGGGAATGCCCTCCTTGTCGTAACGGGCAACGGCATCCCAATCAACTTCAAGTTGACCCATAGAGCCTTCGCTCTTGACTTGAATATCGGGCGGAATGCGGATTGTGGCCGCAGCCAATGCAATGGACTCCTCATCCCAGGGTTCATAGAATTTATCCATGAAGGTGGCTTGGTCGACCTCGTCAGGAGGAGTGAGAGTACCAAGGGCGAGCCAATCATCCTCTGGGGTGGCTTCGTTGATATTGAAGTCCTCAAGCGGGTCGTAGCCCAGGTGAGGCAAGTCCTTGCTCGCCAGGTTCGAGAAGGTGTCATGGAGGGCGTCAAGCGAAGTGGGACAGTCCGCCCATGGGTCCTTTTGCTCGCTATCCTCCAAACCAAACTTACCAGCATCCTTCTTTCCATCCTTGCCAGCAGACTTTACCCCCTTAGCAGACTGCTGCGGGGTGAGCAGCTGGGTTGATGTAGAAGGAGATGCGGTCTTGCCTCCGAGTTGGCTGGTGACTCGGGCCATAGGAGTCATGTTGCCAAGGACAGGAGTAGCAATGCTTTGTTTCGCAGGAGAAGCCGCAGCGCTGAGCTTGGTGGAAAGTGGTGCGAATCCGGCTGTGGCGACCTGTGGGACTTGAGAGTCGTTGGGATTCAATCCCAAACCGATCGAAATGCTTTCATGGTAATATTTGAGGTAGTCATCGATGACTTCCTCCTCCTCGGGTTGATGATTTTCCTCAACGTGCTTGTCCAAGGCCACTTGGGTGGGGAATCCTTGGTAGTGGTGTTGACATTCGACCACGCTGCACTTGAAAGCACCGGCCAACGCTGCAGCTGTCGATTTGGCATCCGCGACTGCTTTGTTGTACTTCGCGGCTGCCACAGGAGCCGCGTTAGCCTGGATTGGAGACGATGCAATACCAGCATGAGACTGCTTCCGTCTTTTCGGGGAGGCAATTTAAGGTTTTCGGGGGCAAGTCCTCCTGGGCCATAGGCATGAGGGACTCCTGATGGAGATGGAGCACCGAAAGGCGCAGGTGGAACGGTAGCAGACTGACTCGAGGCGCGCCGAGCTCGTTGGAGAGCTTCTTCCTGTGCCTGCAACTGTTGCAAGTTGGTGGCATTCAGTGCAGGCATGTTGCCTTGGGCAGTTGGCGCGGTGGAAGCAGGAGGTTGAGAGGCGTTGGAACGCTGGCTCTGTTGTTGTATACGGGTAAGCATCAACTGGAACAGCCTTTTCATGAACATGACAGCGCCGTGAAGATAATCATTGGTGATTGTGAAATGATCATTAACAACCCAATCTTGCGAAGGCTTGAACTGTCTCATTAGTTGGATGCGCTAATTTACTCTGTATTAGCAAAAAATCGCTTCAATTATCAGAATGAAAAGAACTCACCATAGCGAGAAGATTTCTGACGTTTTTCTCCTGGCCAGGCACTTTCGCATACCATTGCACCAGAGCATCCAACCGACCAAGAACCTGCAAGGATTCACGCAGTTGGTTTGTCATTGAGATCTTGTCCTCTGGACTGATGGGCAGCGGCTTCGCAGGTGGGGCGGCCTTGGAGATCTCATTGTAAACCTCCATGACTTGAGGTGGCAGGTTCTTGTTCCACGCTTCCTCGGCGGCAGCTCTGCTAAGAATTTTGGGTTGAGCCTGTTGTTGCCTCCAAATGTGCGCATCCACCTGGGCTCGCTGCTGGGGAGTCATTTGTGAAAGCTGTTCTTGCGTGAATGGGAGTCCTGGCCTGGAAGGGCCAGTCCCTGCACCCGGAGCCATTGCAGGCTGACTCTGTTGGGGAGTAGCCATGGCTCTGGCGTCAGCAGTATCATCTGTGCTGGGTCGCTTCTTTGACGCCTGTTTCCCGGTAACGGCCTTGGCATTTTTGGCTGTAGCCGTGGCTTGGGATTTTGCGTTCAATGATTGTGGGTCTGTAGGCTGCTGTGTCTGCTGAGGAGCTTGTGGTTTAGGTTGAGGGACAGCTTGGGCTGTGGGGAACGGAGGTTGCGTTGTGAGTTGGCCTTGCTGCCCAGGCGGCATGTTTCCTTCCATTTGCATGGCTCGGCTTTGCGCGGCCTGCAGTAATTGCCTTTGACGGTTCCGGTGCAAGATTTCGCGGATCTGTTCATCACTGAAGTTGGCTGACTGGGGTCCCAGCTTCTGACGAGCTATTTGAATATCTTGGGTGGAAATCGGCCGCATGCCCGCCATGTTAGGGGAGGTTGTTGCTGACCGACAGGGAAGCCCTGGGGGTTCGGAAATTGGTTCTGAGTACTCTGGAAGGGGGTTGACTGTTGAGCTGGAGTATTCGGGTCTTTGACTAGACCGGTACCAGATGAAAGCAATTGACCCAGGTGAAGCTTCTGGAGCATCATAAGCCGGGACACATCATTAGGTCTTGAAACTCCAGGGTTTGATGCAGCCCATTGTTTGAGTTGGCCCCAATTCTTGATGTTCTTAGGTACTTGCATTGAGGTGCCGTTCATGTTCAAAATCGACGGTGGGAACGCCACACGGTCCATTTGCTTGCTCTGATCAGCGGTCATCTCCACTCCATTATTTTGCTGTCGCAGCATTTGGAGCTTGAACATTTCGTTCTGCTGTTGTTGACGCTGCTGCGGGGTCAGCTGCTGGCCTTGGGGTAGTCCCCCGGGGTTCAAATCCTGAGGGACGTTCATCGAGCCTCTCATCATGGCATTGCCCATTTGATTATTAATCATCTGCTGGGGTTGGCCTGGCTGGGTTTGGTTTTGCTGTAGAGAGCCGTGTTGTTGGGCGGGATTCCGAGCCATATTGCTTGCAATAGCAGCCCGACGCTGTTGGTTCAAAATGAAAGCTTGGGCCTGTTCTGGGGTCATACGGGCAAGTTGTTCTCGGACATGTGGCGGGATATTGGGAGGAATTTGTGGACGACCTTGCATTGCAGCCTGTCCTTGAACACCACCCGGGTGCTGACCCATGTTCGGGGGACGGGAGGGTGGTCGCGTTTGAGCAGGAACCTGAACTGGCGACATCTGACCGGGTGCCATCGGTTGGTTCAGCATCGGCATGCCGGGACTCTGGCCAGTGAGTTGTGACTGTCCCTGGGGGTTTGCCTGGCCACCTTGACCTGAGATTGCCATCTGAGCTTTCTGAGCCGCCTGTGCACGCGCCTGAGCCTGGGCCTGGGCCTGGGCCTGGAACTGCATTCGATCCTGGGGAACATTGGAGCCACCTTGCATATGCTGCTGCTGAGCAAGAAATTGGGCCTGGGCGACATTGTCGCTGTTCATGTTTGCCTGGCCATTCTGGCCCATTTGTTGCGGGAACATGTTATTGTGGTTGTTGTTTGGGAATGGTGCCTGGTTCATTTGCGATGAGCTTGCAGGAACCACTAGCTGGCCAGCTTCTTGTGAGCGTAGGCCATCTGCCTGCTGTCCTTGGATGTTTTCCACGTTGCCCATGAAGTTCGGAGGCTCCATCGACTGGCCAGGGTTACCAGGGAATGCATTATTACGCTGAAGGTTCAGCATATTCTGGAACGCCTGTCGCTGCTGTTGGGAATTCATCATGGGGTCACCCATCATATTGCTATTGGGGTCCATTCCAGCGTTTTGAGTGCGTCCCATTTCTGCACGGGCGCGACGATGACGTCTGATCTGACCGAGCGCCTGAGAGCGGAAGAAATAGGTCATCGGATCAAGATTTTTTCTTGCCAGATATTGACGCTGTTCGGGGGTCATGTTTGACAAGTTCAGCTTGATCTTTTCCATGTCTTCGGGGAAGTCTTGCTCAGCATTTCGTTTGCCAGTCGAGAGACATGATCGAGGTCCTGAGGGGATAAGGTGTTGAGGTCGTCGGGTAGGGGGATGCCATTTGCGGGACGTTGTTGGGTGCGCTGTTGTTGTTGCGCCTGTTGCTGAAGCATCGCCTGAGACTGTTGCTGTTGTCGCTGCTGCTGTTGCTGCTGCTGGAGGGCAGCATTATTAATTCCCATTGCCATTTGGTTCTGGCCGGGAACAGGGGAGTTTTGCATGTTCTGATTCATTTGTTGCGGGAAACCGACAGGTATCTGATTTTGGACAGCGCCCGTCTGGGGCATCATTCCAGTTTGGTAGGCGACCGCGGCTTGTCTCTCTCGTGTGTCTTTAATGTGAAGAAGCTTTTCGGTGCATTCCTTCTCATAATCATCCTAAACGCAAGCCCCTCTCAGTCAGCATGAGGTTCACGTGAAATAAAAAAGGGTCAGGACGGACTCGTTCATTGGCTTTGGAGAAGGCTTTCGACTCAAAACTCATGGCCGCCTGGGCTGCTTGGCTGAGACCGATGCTAGGTTGAATAAGACGAAGGGAAGAGATCCTAATTCAAACACGAGTCAGACACAGAGGAATACACAACAGGCGCTGACGGAGAAACACTCACATTTGATAAATGTGCATGGCGCGGTCCTTTACCTGGACCGTGGCCTTCCAACCACCATGAGGTCCCTGATTTTGTATTACTGAGGCGACATGGTTCATAATAGCCTGTATATTCTCATTCTTCTGTGGTTGCATGTTCGCCTTCATAGGCCTCATCCCAACGGGCAGGGCTGGCCGGCCAGGTCCCGCGCCCGGGTTGGCGAACTCTCCCGGATTCATAGCGGACACCCCATCAATGGAGGATCAATGAGCAATCCGCGAAGAACTTTCTTGAAGGTCAGCATTAGCTGGAATACCACGCGCAACTGTGAAAGATGTCGCAAGGTCAGCAGATGAAGACGCAAGGGATTCGACACGGGTCGATCAGCGGAAAAAAAGCAAGCAGGTGCTGGTGCTGATGTGGAACCGTAATTCGAGTCGATCAGGGAGGGTGGGGATGGAATGAAATGGACGAAACGGAGGGCAGGAGGGACTGGAGGCACGCAACGAGCCAACACGACGGGGAAAGCAAGGCGTTCGGGCACCAGCGTCAGAGCGATGCCATTCGCTGGCCGACACCTGAATGTGGCTTGGAGCCAATGAGGGCAGTTGTAGGGTGGATTGGATCCGTGACAGGGATGTTGCAACGCTCAAGTCGCACTGGGCTCTGTTGCCTTTCGAGGGAAAGAGGGGAGTCGGGGAGCTTAGATACGAACCAGAAGTCTGAATCTTGAGACAAAGCGATGAGCGCACAGATCAGGGTGGGGAGGGAGGAAAGGGAGTGGCGGGTTAAGTTGAGATGATGCGGATATACAAAATGCGAATGAATGGATAAGAGAGAAGGGAGAGAAAAGAGAAGAGACAAAAGAAGGGCTATTGAGGATTGAAGGTTAAAGTGAATCAGATGTTGAGGGTGGGCGCGTATCAATAGACTGTATTTGGTATTGCGATGTCATGGGTACTCTCCTTGCGGGTGAAAATGACTTGGAGTGTACCCTAGGGCTGTTTGTTACTGTATCAATAATACCGCTGATCACTCAGGCCGCAACTTCAGAGCCTGAGAGCTCCAGCACGTCGTCATAGTGTGGAGTTGGTACATTTTGGGAAGTACGGAGTAAGGGTAAATGCAAATATATTTTATTATGCAATAGTACTCTGTACACTAAGTATTAACCTTAGCAATGCCTATATATAATCAACCTTGAAATACCACTGGATTCTTATGGTGATCGACAAGGCGTTCTGGCCCTGACCTGATCCGGGCTAATTACTGTGATGGCTGGTAACGGGTACTCCACTGTCTATGGCACACGACACCCAGGCCAATGTTCCCGGTACTTCATGTGGTTAGTCAGAGCTTAAGTCAGCCACTCTCCTGGAAACGTCAACCCTGGGCCCGTTTCTATATATGGCTTGCCTTCCAACAACTCGCGTGTCATCGAGCTCCTCCTTTCTGTTCGAGATCCTGGTATTTCTCGTCATGAACAACGGTTGAACGGCTTGTTCTATCACTTCCGCTGTTCCTCCAGCATGTTTTCCGTCTCCGTACCGCCCATTTCGGTGGGCTCGAACGTCTTTTTCGCATTCGCCCTCTTCTTCATTTCAGCACTTGTACTATTGCTCCTACGACGATTCCTGACATTGCGCGCCACTCCGGGCTACCTGATTGTCCCCATATTCTTGGCTCTGGCTCTGCCTGCCAGTGTCGTACTCTTGGTTCCCATTGATTTGGCGTCCAGTTCCCACGATGGCTCGGGTCCCAAGGCAATCTGGCTGCCAGAGCGAATGGTTCTGGTCTGCTGGCGCATTGCCTACTGGCTAATCTTTGTTCTTACTTGGTAAGTGGCTCACCTTCTTCGACATGGATATGGACCGTAACTCATTGTCATCCCTCCCACAGGGCTATCCTTCCATTGCTCGGTGAATACGTCGACTCCGGATACCGTGAACCCAAAGCCCGCCTTATGTACTCCCTCCGATCCAACGCTAAATACCAATTAATCGTCCTGGGCTGTGCGTTGGTGGGATTGGTCTACGTCTCCATCTCAAACGGCTTCCGTTTGAGATCAATCAAGGGTCTCGTCATGGCATTGGCATATGTGTGGGGTCTGGTGCTTGCCATCTACCTTATGGGTCACGGCCTAGTTTCCATCCCACGCAATCTGCTCCGAAACTCGAACGTCAGCGGTCGGCTACGAAGAATCCAGGCGCATGCGCCCAAAGTACACGATCGACTGATGGACTCCGTCAATGAAGTGGAAAACCTTAACGCGCAGGTTTCTCAGTTGCAACAGCGCAAGACCGGTACTGCCCGCGACTTCCGAGAGTGGATTGAAGAGCTTCGGGAAGGTCACGGTCAACCGGACGTGCGGGCCCCAATCCTTGAATCTCAGGATACCTCTGCTACTATACCCTCTGTAATTACAGAGCGCTATCTGGCCGATCTGACAAGACGACTTCAGCGTGCTCGCCACATGAAGGCTCGGTTTGTGGATGAGTGGGATCGCACAGTTCAGTTGGCTGCCGATCTCCAAGCTATTATCAACTCCGCGGCTTCGAAGAAGCTTGAATTTGCTCCCGGAGCTCGACGGTCTTCCTGCTTCCCCCGCGTGAAGTTCCTTACTCCGTACATGCGGTATCAGCTATACTTCAATGTCATCCCTGCGGTCAGGCTAGCATTTGGAGCATTTTTCGCTGTGGCGTCTGGATGCATTGTTTGGTCAGAGTTGATCAAGTCTTTGGCGCCCCATCTATCTGCTATTAGTCTGACTGTTGTTCCGAACTGGAAATCCAGCCCTGTCGGTTTTGGCGGTCAACTCATCGCCTCTGCCTGGCTGTTATACATGTGTTCGGCAGCCCTCGTTGGTGTTAGCGATGTCAAAGTCTGGGGAAACCGAGCACTTGTCCGACGTAACACATACGGCGAAAGTGCATGCTGGTACGCCAGTCTTGTGGCTCGTCTGACAGTGCCAATCGCCTACAACTTCTTGACATTCCTGCCCAAGGAGTTCCGTAGAAGTACCACATTCTACGAGTTCCTCGGCAAGCTCATCAACCTAACGCCCCTCGGCAAAGGATTCGATTTCATCTTCCCCATCCTTATCCTCCTGCCTATCTGCGCAACACTATTCAACCTCTATGGCCGCATCAAGAACATCTTCGGATGCGGCCTTGCAGAGGATGACGATATCCACGATGTGGAGAACAACCCCGCCGGATATGGCTTGGGCGGCTGGCGCGAGGGCCGCGACCTCATTGAGCGCGAGCTGAACGGCTTCGGCTCATTGGCAGTCTCCTCCCGTGGCAGCCGCTCCACCTGGGCATCAGACCGCAACGAAGAAGGCTCCCCGGGCTCCTCTCGCCTGCGTGTCCCAGCTTCCGAGGGCTCTCGCTCTCCCCAGCCTACCCAGCGGACCGTAGCTCCCCCTACGATCGTCGAGGGTGAAGAGGAAGAAGACGAGAACTTCTTCCAGTCTTTTGCACATCGTGTGAAGAATACTTTTGACACTACTAATACGCCTCAGTGGTTCCAAGGTGAGCCATTCCGCCTTCCGCGCTGGATGTCAGGTAACAACAACACTACCACGGAAGAAGGTGGTGTTTCGAGGTTGTTTGGTGGCCGGGCTGTGCCTGGTCGCCTGCGACTCGGCTAAGGACGTATTTTTTTTTATGACGCGTTGTTTAAATCTCATGTCTCTGCTGCTGGACAGTGTAATATAGATGAATTTTATTTTTGTATATAGCTTAGTCCCTTTGTTTTGTTTGTTTGGGTTTCATTACAGACCAATTGAATATACTATAGAACGACAAAAAGGAATAGACCCCTAAATTAAACTTTACCTCTATCTTCCATAGCTTCGGTTTGGGTGTATATCCATGTTTGTGGTCCTCTCTTTGCTGGTATGCATGACCCTCACCATAATGTCAGGCTAGTTTTGATGAGAAGCTAGGTGGGGGACGGCATATGAGGCTGGTCAAGCTAGTTGTCAACTTCCGTGATAGGACGACATACCGATACTCTGGGTGGATCTTCGTCTGGTGGTTGTGGCTATAGAAAGACGTGATTCTGATGCTGAGACTTGGTCTTGGTGTAGCTATGTAGATCGAATTTAAACTAGCTTTGGTCGGTATATATTTCAAGCGATATATATATATCCGTATCAAAGATGGTTCTGCTAGTTGAACCACCCCGGTGCTGCTGATAATGAAACAAGGGAATTACACAGCCCAAAATGTCAACACTATAGCTTTATATAGGGCATTGTCCAGCATCACGATAGTTCCATGCTAAAAAATATAGAGCAGCCTGACATGACGTCATAAAAGAATATGACAAAAATAAAAAAAGATGCCCTCGTCCAGGTTCGAACTGGAGACCTTCGGATGTCAATCTTGTTACCAAGAATGTCATAAGAAAGAATATATGAGACCGACGTCATAACCAACTAGACCACGAAGGCTGATAGATGTAAGAAGGGGCGCTTATTGATATCATGAGCAAGAAGTGCTGGAGTCGGATCGATGAACCGACTCTTGATGATCAATACACAGGTCATCATCCGTACCGTTTCCTCTGCTAGGTGGGGCTATCGTACCTTCTCTTCCATAGTCTCGCAAAAAAAACTGGAAATCCCTATCGATCTATACCGAGTTGGGACCAACAGTTGCCTGGGTGTCTGAACTAAGATCTGTCCGGCGCTAGTGGCTTGCCAAGAGCACCAGCTACATGTACTAGTATTGTCGTCTTTTGCCGTGGACCTTAAACCATTTCCCAGCTTCACATTGGCCGATGCCGTGGCTATTCATATTAGGATTTCACGAGATCTTGCCCTTCAAAAGCTCTGTATACGCATTTGAGGCCAACAAAATCCAAGCGCACTACCAATCCGATGTTACAATCCCTGGGTCACTAACTGCACCTGCACTACCTATGTACAGAGCTAGCATGGCCTCCATGCACCTAGTAATGTAGGTCAATCTTCCGAAATGAGAAGGTGCATAGACCCCCTGCTAGCCCTTCCAACGAAGAAAAACAACTGGATAAAGCGGAGACAGGTGCCTCCTGCGTTTTCTGCCTGTCCAAGCTATTCCCCTACTTGGAAGCTCAGGTCTCTAGTACCTGCAATGGAGCTGACTGGGGCGCGCAACGGAAACAAAGAGGAGAAATCTCAAGTGACATCCGGGACCCGGCGAGCCCTGGGGCGGGAGATGCACTTGTCATCCGCGAATGAACAAACAGCCGAGCTACTCAAGACAACAAAGCACACCCTTGCCCAGCTTCACGAGGCGCAGCGCCTACGTGAAATAAAGGCTCCGCTCCTAGAAACCAGCGAACGCAGCTGGATCGACCAAACCCTCGAAGACGTTGCGGATGCAGTCCGCGAAGCAGCCACCCTAATCGAGCCCATACGAGTCGAGAGCGAAACCCGCAACGGAAGGCTCTCCCTAGGGCGGCAACTGCGCTGGCTCTACCGAGGCAGCCAACGAGCTAAGATCAAAAGCCAACGTTTATTGGCGTGTCACCACAGCCTAGTGCTGGTTTTGGGTCATCTCCAGCGGCTGGATAATCCCGCATCCCCTATACCTGAATCACCCGTCGTGCATGAGCTTGGAGCTGATACCCTGTCAACAACCTCCACCCGCAGCATATCTGGGCCACAGGGGCCACGGTCTGGATCTAGTGGACGGGCAAAAGATACGCAGGAGGTCGTGGGGGCGAAAATTCCCCTGAACTACGAGATGCACGATATGTTGGCATGGCGTCAGTCAAAGGGAGCATTGACTGAAGTGAAACACTCTATGGGTTCTACTACGGAGGAACAGGGTTGAATTAGTCACTTAGTCTCTTTTGTTGTACTACCTTCCTTTTTTGGACTTTCACTTCCATCTTAGTTCGTTGAAACATCTAAATGCTTTTTATTATCTGGCCTCTGAAACACAACATCTGTATGCACGATTTTGAGTGGAAGGAAACCGTATTACTCCAATTACACAAATACCCTGAACATCGTATGCTGCAGCTATCTGCCCTAGATTCCCATGGACAAGGTTCCTTTCCTAACAAAAGATACGCGCAAATACACCCAACAAAAATGCCGAAAGAGAAATCCAGCTCTCAAATCCGTGCTGAGGTCTCTTCCACTAGTGTATGAGGGACCGACAATGGGCGCCCCTGTTCATCACCAACTTTAAGAACAGCTGGAAACATGATAACTTGGTTCAAAGGAGTAACCAATGGACTCCATCGGAACTCAAAGGAACACGGCTGAGAAAATAGCCAAGCGCCGAGGTCGGCCGCTGCCTGGACCACGCTGGTCAGGTGGCTGAGGTGATCTTCCACAGTGGAATGGGAATCGAAATACGGCGCGAACGCTGTAGCAAAATCTTCTACTAGAGCTGCGACTGCCTCTCTTTGAGATATCGCGGAAGTAGGTCCCTGGGGGTTATGGCCCCGAGTATAGATGTTTGACGTTAATATACGCCAGGCAAACATGACACGATGGTCATCTATAGTAGATTTAATCAGCTCAGTATCGACGAGGATACAGGATGTGAGAAGCGTACCGAAATCATCACCACTAGTTTCTTGTTTGTTTCGGCTCATTGTATAGCATGGCGGAAGGAGAGAGCGTGTTTGGCTCCCTGGTTGAATACCCTGCAGCAGAGCCCTCACCAAAGTGTGTGTCAGAGCAGCTCTCTTGGACCTTGGGTTTGAGAGTAAAATTGCCAAAGGAGACGGGAGGAATGGTGAATCAAATTTGTTCATGCAAGCCACGACATCCGGTGTCAACCGAAGTGCTAGATTGGTATAAGAGTAGTAATTGTCGATGTGTAGACTGGCCTGGTCATAGAGAGTTTGAATTTTCGTGGAAACAGTGTTATCGTCCACCGGGCTTGGGATATATGACCCGAGATCAAAAAGTTGCGACTCGATAGCGGGAGCGATATGTGTCTGCTTATCGTGCGAAGTAGTAGCAGTGCCCCCGAAAATGCGACTTTGAATCTGTGCGGGTTGTTTCGGAGTTTCTGTTGTTACAGAGATGGAACTTTGGGCAATTGCATCGGGATGGTTGCGCTTTCTGCGATGGCGCAGGCAAAAGAAGGCCAGCAGTGCTAGGAGAAGTGTTCCTGCAATGGATCCTACTATAGCTCCTGCAAGGGTCCCACCGGAGTAGCTTGGTTTATGGGATCCTGAGGGTATAGCGCTGCTGCTTGCGATATTTGTTATGCTGGATGTACGGGTAGGCGTTCCCGATGACGACAGCGCCAGTGAGGAAGGAATGAGCGCGGCAGACTTTGTTGGGGTGGGTGCAGTAGAGCCTGCATTTTGTGGTGTGGGTGAAGCTGTACTTGAGGGACTCGTGGAATCGGACATCCCTAGAGCGGAAGAAGAAGAAGCCGCCGCAATTGAAGAGGATTGTGTAGCCCCTTCCTGCCGAACTTCAAATGTGTTACTCATTTGGGGATACAGTAAAAGTATGAATAGTTATGCGGTCCTGGATGAGATTTGCAATCCGGGATTTCAAATGTACTTAAGGATGACATGACTCGTGGCTGGATTGTTAACTGAAATAGGATAGTATGAATGCACCCGGGGAACAGAGCACCAAAAAAATCAACTAAGAGAAGAATGATCCACTTTTTGATATTAGTTGAACAGCTAGCTGCATGAGCTGAACGCTGAATCCAAGCTAAGGGAGAGCGATCTCATTTCTTATGCACCCCTGTCAGGGGGGTCTTCAAATCAGTAATTTTACATGAAAGCGGAGAAATCCCGGTTACTCGGGCCATCTTTTTATACCAGAGAAGTTAGCTCCTACAACACAGCGCAAGTTTCGCTCTGACAGCCGGAAAGATGAACGAAAAAGAAGTTGTGGCACTAACAGCGGAAAGTTGGGACGAATGGACACCGGATATTGTGGTGGGCATTGATTTCGGGATGACCTATACTGGTAAGCAAGCTCAATCCAAGCTAAGCATATACATTAACATATAACCAGGGGTTGCGTATTCCTCTGCGCCAGAATGGCTTCCTCCGAAAACCCTCCAACGCTGGCCAGGGAAGCTTCCGGGAGAACTGGCGAACAAAGTGCCAACCTGCATCGAGTATGACTCTGACTCTAATTCAGTTATAAACTGGGGATTTCAATGCGACCCAGAAGCCAAAGGCTCGAACTTCAAAGAATTCTTCAAGTTACATCTCGCGCCTCAGTATCAAGATGAGTACCCCGGTGCCCCCACTCGACATGAAGCTCAGCGCTGGTTTCAAGACTATATTCAATGCATATACCAGCATGTACTTTCTCATTTTAACAACACAATTCCTCATTTTGCTTCGCGCAATGTCGAGTTCCTTTTCAGTGTTCCCACAACCTGGAAGGATGTTCGAATGGTCGAGGAAACTCGGAGACTTCTTGAGAGCGCAATCAATTCGAAGACTTCGAATCATCGTGCCTCTATAGGTCTTACTGAAGCTGAAGCGGCTGCGGTATATGCTGGGAATGAGCACTATAATGTGGATGATACTATCCTGGTATGTGATGCAGGCGGAGGAACTACAGTGAGTATTGCATTCATGTTGACTGCCGCGACTGTCTTTCTCATCATCAATACAGGACGTCAATGTCCTTAAGCTCATGTCATCCCGAGGCGAGCCCACGCGGCTCGAGCAACTTGGTCATGTCGAAGGTAATACTTGACAGAGCAATGGTTGTGCGAGAAATCTACTGACAGAATCTCAGGGCAACCAATTGGCTCAGTTTTCATCGACAAAAGAATCCATCAACTTATTTGTGAGAGGCTAGAGAAAGTCAAAGAAAGCTTAAGTCTCTCGCCTAGTGAAGCAGCATGGAAAATGACCTCTGGCCGCTTTCAAAGATTGAAATGCGCATTTGGCACCGAAGCCACGTTGACACCGTGGCTGACGCTGGATGTTCCCTCCTTGGAGCCCAATTCAGGCTTCCCAGAAGCAGAGATATACAACGGACAAATGCGTATCGCATGGTAAGTGACGGTCATCTTTCAAGCTTCTTTTCTTAGATGAATTCGTGATTGATACTGTTAAAGGGCCCTTGTCAAAGAGTGCTTTGACGTTAAGGCGGAAGAAATTTGCAATCTTTTGGATGGGCATATCCGCCAGATGCATGCTAAGTACCCCGGTGACCAAATAGTACGTGAATATAAGTTCTATCGGGGATACATAACTAACAATCCTCTCCGAGATAGACATATCTTATCCTGTCGGGGGGATTCGGCAGCTCCCCGTATGTGCGAAAATATCTTTTAGAAAGATACAGTGAGCCCAGTGCACCTGTGCATCGTAATGCAGAGGGCATGCAGATTCTACTTGCAGATGAGCCGTACGTAGAGTATACAGGTATGCCTATCGGGCTTCCGAGAACTTCTATCTAACTTCTGCAAAGACAGCTTGTGGTTGTACACGGCTTGGCCATAGATCGGATACAGCAAATCAAGCGTGGAGTTGTCACTTTTGGATCGAGATGCTCACCCGTGAGCTACGGCATTATATGTGACAAGATATACGACCCAGAGACCCATGTTGGAGAACCAGTCCGGCTTGATCCACGAGATAAGAAGACCTTCGCTGTTGACCAAGTTGACTGGCTGGTCATTCAGGTCGGGCTCAAACTTTTTCACTCTTGTCGTCGTTCTTGGGGACTGACCAACTCCTTTTTATTTACAGGGAAATTCCATTCCATACACGGGCATTAGAAAGGAATTCCAATTGAAAATGGACCCCGGCCGAGAAACTGGGCCTTGGAAGGTGCAGATCGTCATGTCAACTCTCACGCCAGAAAAGCTTCCCAGTAGTATTAGTCAAAGCGGCGTTCATCTGGTCTGCAGCCTTGACATTGCAACCGAAAGTGTGGATAAGAAATTGAAAAATCGGCACTGGTACAGTATGAAGCCAGCTTTCTGGAGAACTACATTTGATGTGAAGGTGGTGGTTGGGCCTGCTGATCTCTCATTTCAGCTGTGGTCTAAGGACAGGAGAATCCGAAGTAAAAAGCATGATCCTATTGCGGTGAAATGGATGCCTGCTAAATAGTTTGAGGACAAGAACGGGACGCTGATTGCGGGAGAATATTGTTGGTGGGTTCAAGCTGGTCCGAAGGAAAGAAAATGTATCATAACCAACCTTACATAAACTATGCTGTAAGTAAGGGCTTGACATGGTCATTGTTTTACTAGCTTGAAGCAACTTGCTCTATCACAGGTATGTTAGAGGTAGCAAAAGCTCCGCGACAGCAGGCCATCGCAAGCAAAAAGGGACCGGGATAATGAAAGAGATGAGGTCACGAAGAGCGAAATCGGGCTTAAGGCGACTGTTGGGGGATTGGTTGGTTTACGGGTTGGCATACGACCCCCAAGCGCCGAAGATGTACACTTTTCTGCAGAGACTGATATCTCTACCGTCTTGATAAAGCAAGGAGTGAGTTCGTATACTTTAATGCAATAGAGAGCATCCGCGTCTCCGGTACAGACAAAGGCTAGCCCTTGGGATAATATCCAGTTACAAAAGGTTCTTTGAAGAAATAAATATTGGAAATGGGTCTATATACAAAGAGCAATGGTTCATTTACATTGCAAGTTCAAGGATTGCCGCCAGGAGAAATCTGCAGATCATATAAAAAGGGGTATAGTGCGGCGCGAACCGCAAAGTATAACCAAAAATCCTCGACAATAAGTCGGGTGGCGCGCGGTCTGGCATGTGGAGGTCATCGTACCTCGGCCCAGTTGAAAGAGCCTCAAAGCGAGTATGATATGTTCACAAACAAGGAAATGGGATATCAGGAGTGATCATATCTCATAAATCGTGATTCGTAAAAGGTAGAAGGGTATCGTAGTCACAAGATGCTCAACGTGGTTTCTCAATCATTTTCCGAGACCGACTCGCATGCCTTGGGTACCCAAAAGGGTTGGTGAAATCAATCGGCGCATGATCCACATGGTATGCGCGACCCTCGCTGCTCCACGAATTGGAGTCAGAGTTTCTCCGCAGATGAGTGGGTGGCAAATGTTCGAACATGGCGATGGAGATGTCATCCGCGTCCATTCCTGATGGTATGCGCTGGTTGACTGTGGGAGGAGCGTGGGTAACATCTGAAGTGACACGGGTTGCATCGACAAAATCGGGGAGGTCGCGTGGTGCGGAGAAAGATTCGGGTTTCCATACGTGGTTATGTACGAGGTGGATGAGTTTTCCGAGGACAGCGAATTCGAGTTTCAGCTTTATGCTGTAGACGGCACCTTTGAGCATCGTTTCCATAATGTAGTAATTCTTGTACTCGGCGACGAGTAGGCCGAGGTCTAGGATGATGATGATGAAGTTGATGATCAGCAGTTGGTATTGGATCTTGCGCTTGGCGCGATCTGGATCCAGGCGCAGCATGCGCACTGTCTCCCAGATGTATAGGCCCGAAATAATGAACTCTTGCAGACAGAACCCTGTCATTTGGAGCTTTTCCATTATGTTGTAGCCTTTCTTCCATAATTCCAGAGAGGCATCGACGGCGAGGTTCGTTCCGTAGGTAAGGACAGTTGTAGGGAGATGAAGAATAACTGCATTAACAACAATCATGATCAATACGCGACGTAGGACCCGGTGGTTTGAGAGGACCAGATGTAGGCGTGAATACAAAACAACGGACTGGCCAGTAACCATGCACCACCATCCGACCGTGAGCAATGTTACCGGAAGCCATCGTACGTCGGTAAGGTTGAAAAACTTGAGCAGAAAGCCGAGCGAGTAGGGCAGGAGACCAACAGATGACGAGATCAGTAAACTCCAAAAGTAGAGGCCTCTGTACTCGGCGAAGGTCACAAAAAGCAGAATCATCAGTTCGAAGGCATTATACCAGGTGATTCCAGCGAGAGTAGCGATCGTGATTTTCATGCCCAGGGAAGCTCCCTGGTAGCCACCGCTGATACCATTCCCAGGGGCGGAGAAGTCAGTCATAGCGTTGACCTAGTATCAGGAAATGGGACATGGCGGTGGGTAGCGTAGAAGAGATGCAGCAGGTGAGACGGGTAGATATGAAATCTGGGGATAGGCTTAGAGAGAAAGAGAAAGAAATAGGCAAACAAAGAGGCGGAGCTGGAGAAAGGCGCACCCCGTATAATCCCATGCGGGGGCCGGGTGATAGCCCGGGGTAGGAAAACAGGGTAATATTAGAGGTTACAGAGCTAAAAAAAGGAGCCCATCCCGCATGAAATCATCGGTGAGATCCAAAAGCGAATCGACGTTGGAAGGATTCGCTTCCCAGTCACTTCCCAGTCGCGTCCCCATGCATTTCCCCCCGAGTCCATAATGTGATTGTCAATCTCGCAACGTCTCACAGATCTAAACTTCTGTCGGGTGGGTCAGGAGATATTTCCAATAACTCCGAGGGGTAGAGCCCCGCTAAAGGGGAATATCGGGGTCTTGACGGCGTCTTGACGGTGTCTTTGTGTGCCAAGGCCAGGCCGGGGTCTTCCAGCCTCAAAGAGTGCAAGGATTGCAAGGAGGGTACATCATTTATCTGCCCTTAGCGGCTCGATCGCCCATGCCAAGGCTTAGGCGTCTCGTACGGAGTTGGAAAGAGAAACTAGCAGTAACCCGAATGAGACTATCACTTGCCCTATTGGGGTCATGTAATGTCACACGCTGACTCATATTTCTCGCGGTTACAGTGATGTTTCATAAGTATTTGACCTCCGATACTTCGGGCCCCTGACCGCCAGCATAGACCGCCTACTATTTTAGACCATGATATCTCGCGTTCCTCAACACGCTAGTATACACGCTATATAGCAACGCGTTTTAATACAATTCTCGCAATTCCCTTGCAATTTTCTCACCTAATTATGCCTCCTATACGTAGGAAAAGGGGCCCAGAGCTCGACTGCCTTACGAGGGCTAAAATTTGCGAATTACATGCCACTAATGGCTGGGGTGCAACCACTATCAAAAAACGGCGATTTCCAGACATTCCACGCTCAACTATTCAATATACCTTAACCCAAGAATCGAAGCGTATAAAGCAGGAGTCTTTAACACGTACCGGCCGCCCTACAAACCTTACCGACGAAGATCGTGATCACATATACGATACTATTCAGCAAAAACCGTCAATTTTGGTCGAAGACCTACTTACGGAGGTCGATTATAAGGTTAAACGCACTTCAATTTGGCGCCTTACCCACGAAATGGGCCTTCGAAAATGGCGGAAAATGGAGCGGCCCGCACTTACGCCTTTACATGCCGAAAAACGCCTAAATTGGGCCCGAAGATATCAGCATTTTACCGCTACGGATTGGGCCCGTGTCTATTGGTCTGATGAATGTACGGTTGAACGTGGTATCGGCCAGCGTCAAGAATGGACCTTTACACGTCCGAAAGACCAGCTTTTTCAGCATCACGAAGAAGGACATCAAATACAAATGGCTCCGACGCGTGGGAAGCAACTTAAGCAGATGTTTTGGGCTGCTTTTTGTGGTTTACCGCGTCGTTCTGGCCTAATTCCACTATTCGGAGATCCGCAGTCTCGTCGTGGAGGCGTGTCTTCGCGTACAATTGAAGAGCTTTATCGGCGTGTCCTACCTACGTTGCTTACTAGTATTGATCAAAATGCTATTTTTCAGCAAGATAACGCGCCCGTTCACACTGCCTATATTGTACAAGACGCCCTTAATGATATTGAATGCGAAATTATGGAATGGCCACCCTATTCACCTGATTTAAATCCTATTGAGAACCTATGGGCGCTGCTAAAAGCCGAGATATTGAAGCGTCATCCTGAGCTATTGCACCTACCAAATAACGGAGATACGCTAGAATTACTACTTAATGCTGCGCAAGAAGCATGGGAAACGCTAGACATTGAGGTCTTTGAGCATCTCTCCGAGACTATGCCACATAGGGTAGCTGATGTTATTAAATATGAAGGCTGGCATACTAGCTATTAAATTGAATTGAATTCCTAAGGTTTCTGCCAGGCAGTATTAAGAAGTGGGTCTCGGGGCGAAGTATCGGAGGTCAAATACTTATGAAACACCACTGTATATCTGAGCCGAGACATATCAACTCTCTATTCTATAGAGTCGGTGTAGTCCGTACTCCAATTGTGAAATAAATCTCACTCTCTTATTCTCTTATTCATAGTACTTCATCCAATGATGCTCTTCCTTGAACCCAAGAACCTCCTTGATCTTCCGGTTACTGATAGGTGCCTCTCTGGCCCCCAACTCTCGCGTAATTGGAATACCGGGGCAAATCCGAGCAAGGAAATCCGCCGTCCGCTCGTAATTCGTAATTTCGTCATTGATAGCATTGAAGATCTGGAACCCAAGGCCATTCTTCTGCACTGCAAGGTCACACATCTGACCAAGATCGCGTGCATCAATGTAAGCCCAGCCATGCGCCGCCCACTTCTCAGGCGTCTCAACATAAGAGCGGAACATGGCCTCCTTGTACTCCTCCGGCGCGACAATACGCCCGATTCGCAGAACGTAGATGTCACTCCCGTACCGACGGGAAAAGCCGCGGGCAACGCGCTCCCCACACACCTTGGAGATGGCGTATGTATCCATGGGGTTGGCGTCGACTGTTTCCTCCACTGGAAAAGAAGGGTAATCCACGTCACCCTCCGCGTAGGAAACGCCGTAGACAGTGACTGAGCTGGCGATGATAATCTTCTTGATGTTGAGGCGGGATGCCGCCTCGATTATGTTATACGTTGCCAGGGTGTTGCAGCGGAAAGTCTCTTCGTCCGGGGCGATCATGTTGCGTGAATATCCCGCCAGGTGAATGACTGCGTCTGGAATGAGTCCGAGTGGCTCGCGGAATGGCTCTGACAGGTGGAAATGAGAGCCTAGGGCGCTGTATACTTGGCCGCTGTTGGTCAGTTCGACCTTTAGCGTGTGCACTCTGCCCTCCAGATCCGCTGGCAGAGGGATCAGGTCAAGGTTGAGGATGTCATGGCCTTGATCGAGGAGATATCTGATAATGTGCTGCCCAGCTTTACCGGAGCCACCGGTGACCACGATGCGTTTGCCCATGGTGTCTGGGGGAATGGCGGGGATTGCGGGGTATATTTGAGATGTGTAGCTCCAGAGGAATTGATGTTGAGAGAGATGTGGATGCTAGTCTTGGAACAGGTAGATAATATTTCCTTTAGGATAACCAACGTATTCCCCAAGATTCGAAACCAATGTATTCGCATTCGCCGGACGTGGAGCAGGAGCCGGAATGTGACTTCCCGAGGTCTTCGGCCCGACAGCGATGGAACGAAAGATTCCGGGTGGATAAAGAGATAGCCATTCTATTTTATTTATTCCTGTATAAGATGGAAAGTACAGTATATTTTATGCATGATCAAATTAAGCTATGGCTTACCCACGCTAATATACCTTCGTCGGAGATGCATATGATCCCGAGTCACGTTCGCTCGGCGACTGGGTATGATGGGACAAAAAGACTTGAGGTTATCAGCCAGGACATTTAGATGAGAATAAACACAGTGTTGCCACTATAAGTCAAACACCTTTCGTTACTTCCGCTTCAGTCCTTAAAAACATGCCTTGTGGTTGATTGCTTAGCGGTAACTTTAGAACCCACTGCCCTCATTCTTTCAGAATATCTTCGATTTCGACGAAGCGAGCGAGATAGAGATATTATGACGCTGATAATTAAGGCATCTCAGATAGGAAGGAGCTAAGTACGCAGAGTAATCGGAGGACTGCATGAACATAGGAGAGCTGCATATGCATAGTCGTAACAGCTTCCCTCTCAGGTTGAATGCTAACAAGTGCGGTCTGAATTTATTCATAAACAGACCCCTCCAAACTTTGACTGCTTCCCAAACCATATACAGTACTCATACTGCTCTGGAGCGATAAGTATAAGCCACTGTTATTGGTCTTGGACTATGCATGGTTCACTTGATAGGGAAGTGGGATGCGTCATTAGATAGCCGGTCGAGGGACAGCCATGTTTTTGCTACAGATAGTAATTCCTACTAACTATTACCACAGTTGTAGAGTAGTAGATCTAAATCGAAACTATACTTAACTATTTATATATGTCCTATCCATTCAACTTAACAGTAAGCACATCGTTTTAGAACCAAGTATGTCCCATGAAGCTTAATAAGGCATCTCGTTTATTTGCATTCCTCTACTCCATTTTTGCCTAATTTATACTTCTCAATTCAAAGGGATTTTTCGCAGTACTACTGCTGATACTAAAAGGGTCCACTAAACAGGGATTGTCCCTTTAGCGGCTATATGGTTCCATACGCGCCCTTCTATTCTGTAAACATGCTTAGCGTGCAACTGAAGAAGGTTCTATTCTTGAAAATTTCCTCTTGAGACGAAACTAGACCTGTGAGACCCGACCAGAGAACAAAGGGCAGGCAAGAGGAGGTACGTTATGAGACCTAGTTCTTCGAGTCGAAGGCCCTCCTATAACGGTCATCCTAGGCCTAACTCGGCTTTAGACATGTAGGGGCCAGCCAATAGTGTTGCGCTGCGGAGGTGGATTCAGTGGTTTCGTCCTCACCTCCAGTGAAGAGGGATCCCATTGGCTCACTTTCGAAATACCTTCACACCTTTTGTGGCTGTGCGGCTACCAGTATGTGGCTGCAGCAGGTAGCCTCACTCACACAGGAAACCCCCACCTTACAAAGCCCTCCTTTCCAGTCTCAGAACGCTGATCTGACAAGTCACCGAGTACAGATATCTTTGCAAAAAAGTGAGTTTGGCGAATTGTGAAACAGAAAATGAAGGATAGATGAGTGGGAGTATGAAGAGGATGAGTGAAGGGCTAACCGTTTCTCACTGTCCAGGCTCAACGTCAGCCTATCACCGCGAGACCGAGAATACTACGTCGCTAAGAGATGAAACGAAACCGACCCCAGCCCGATGATTTCCATATAGGATGGATTACTGCTCTGCCGATTGAATTCACCGCCGCTCGGATGATGCTGGATGAGGAATACGAGAGTGAGGACGAAACTTCGAACGATTATACCATAGGGCGCATAGGGCACCATAATATTGTCTTGACGTGTTTGCCAGCAGGTCAGATTGGAACAACAGCTGCTGCAACAGCTGCAGCTCAGATTAGCTCCAATTTTCCGTTAAAATTCGGGCTCTTAGTTGGTATTGGAGGTGGGGTTCCAACTGAAGAGACAGATATTCGACTTGGGGATGTGGTTATCAGTCAACCAAATGGTGAATATGGAGGTGTCGTTCAACACGACCTTGGAAAGGCTACTGCCGGAGGGAAATGGAAACGAACTGGATATCTCAATGCACCTCCAGAAGCGCTACTCAAGGCAGTTAGCAAAATGAGGTCAGATAAAATGATGGGAAAAGCCTTAATCCATCAATATCTTCCATCGCCATCTCACTTCCCAATGTTTGATCGTGCCAAGGCTGGACGTGATGTTCTTTTTCTCCCTAACTATGATCATGTGAATGGACCAACATGCAATGAATGCCGCCAGGATATGATTATTGATCGGAGTCTTCGTGGTACTGATGAGGGTATTGAGGCTCATTACGGCACGATAGCCTCTGGAAACCAGGTCATCAAGGATGCACATACCAGGGATAAGCTAAGTGCCGAACTTGGTGGTGTGTTATGCTTCGAGATGGAGGCAGCAGGCTTGATGAATAGCCTTCCATCTCTTGTCATTCGGGGGATCTGCGACTATGCTGATTCTCACAAGAATAAGACGTGGCAGCCATTTGCAGCAGTCACGGCAGCAGCATGTGCAAAACAAATATTGTCAATTTTGCCACGATCTTCAGTTTTGAAATCCCCGCTGGCTCAGGGGCAATTAGCCGAGCAGATCTCATTCAGAGATTTAGTTGTCCTGAACGATGCTTTGGGGAATAAACACGTTTTCTCCTTGCGGTTCGTTCCATCTACAGAGGTTGAAATTTCTTGGTGGCCTTTGCTGATACTCGCATGCTGACCATTCTCTTCAGGTTTTCGTTAATATACTGAAGTCTCTCTTCACTGGCGTAGGCTCTCAAAAGATTGAAAGAAGTGAATGGCTCTTACAAGACCATCATAGCAAAAGGGTTCTGGATCTCAATAAGCCATGGCTGAAACTGGTGAAGGTATGCATTTATTACTGGAATTGAACTACCTATAGCTAATCCATATAGCCCGGTCAGGTCCTCGATATGAGTATGATATTTAGACAGCGTCATGTAACATCGCAATGTCCATGGTGCAAGTCTGAGAGTAGGAGCCCTCCAGACGTCCCCGTGGAATGGTACGCCCCTCTATGAATATCCGAATGGTGAAGTAGCCTAATCCTCAATAGCAAGAAATGCGGAAGGACATTTCACCGAATTGAAGAAATCAACGAAATTGACATCCAAGATAGTAATGCGAGGCGGCCATCACCATCACTCTCATCAGCGCCGAAAACTACTCATATATCACATGCACTATCTCCCAAACCCAAGTCTATGAAACATCGAGATGAGAATGCAGATATAAGCCTATATACTCGTGTACAAGTCATCAACACCCGCTTTCGCCCAAGGGCATTGGGACGAGCTAAGAGTGCGGTACGCCAACTTATTCTCACACAACAAGAGCTGAATGACAGGGGTGCTCTTGGAGAATACCTTGCAAACTTATTCCACGGCCTCTCTGAGGAAGATTGTCTGGATGCCTTAACTGAGTGTGGTATCCAACAGCAGGAAATAGTAGGTCTTGGATCGACTGGTGCCCCTCCAGAAATTTCTTCCTTGTCGAGCACTGACTCAAAACCCAACAAAAAGTCCAAGGACTCTGTGTCGCTGTCTACGCGATTATCGCGCACATCTTCCGCCAGCAAAATATCCTACCCACAGGATTCTTCTGATAATCAAAGAACGGAACCTTCCCTCAATCCAAGTTCCCAGCCACTGCATAAGAGGACAAAAAGCGAGGAGGCTCGGGAAGCAACGTTCGCGTCTCTACAGAGAGCTTTGAATGCAGCAGTTGCGGCTCGAGATCGAGAATTGAGGTGAAATATACACCAACCTTCAACCTTTACAGTACCTCTCAGAACACTGCCTATTAGTTTACATTAATTAAGCATAAGAATAGCCTCCCCTAAAGATCGTGGGGCTCCAATATAGACAACCAGTGGATTGATGATCTACTAGGAAGAAGCAGCCACTCGGCGGGACACCATTTTCCACCATATAATAACAGAAATATTATGTTATCATTATTATGTCATAGAGACCTGGTTGCCTCTTAGACACTGTCTTTCTTGCTTCTGCCGCCTGGAAATTGGGCGGAGCTTTCTAGACAGAGCGCCCGGGTAAACCAGAATTCCCAATCCACCAGATCCTCGTTCTCGCTTCCATGTACAGCAGAATTCAGAATTGTAGTGGGCTGTATAACAGGACAGGGGCTTGTCAACTGCGTAAGGAAGATGTAAATAGAGGGCAACTATTTCTCAGGGATAAGCCACCCAAAGGGACAGTGCTAGCCCAGGGTAGTGCCCCCATAGGGGATTTCTCCTTTGGGATAGGAACCCCAAGGGGGAATTTCCCCTCGAGTGTCAACCATTAAGCTAACACCACGGAAGGTCATTGCCTGTGGTTTATCGAGGCACTATCCATCCATAAAGCTCGAAAAAGCTCTCTATGTAGAGTTATATGTCAGCTGTTACACCCAGGTACGAAGAGACAGGTAGTCAACTAACGTAGTGGCATTCGACGAAGCAACTAAGCATGAGTAAAGAAGAAGAGGACGCTGGGGAACGAGAGATCTAACTAAATAACTAACTTACAAGCTGGATGCCTGGCACCGCAGGCATCCATCAGGCATCAGACAGCCTCTCACACGAGTCGTCACATCAGCTTCTGTATAGAGAGGTTCCTACAGAGGGCGAATATTATCAGCGACATATGTTGTGCCATGTTCTCTTGGACAGCTAATCATTTTCTGACTCTCTTTTTCTCCGTTAAAACCAACCAGCTGGAATTTTTCCAATTTTTGAACATGTTATCGCGAGCGCGACTGACTTATTGTAAGCTGAAATATTGGGATATCCATACTCAACACTATCGACTACGGCCACAAATCAAAATGGAACTATCTGAAGAAATTGTGGTCAGAGTCGACTTACTGAGAGAAGACTAAACATAATCTGACCCGGAGCTGAGGTAAGTATCTATCATTATCTCTAGAGGTCACTGGTATTGACCAGTATCATCCGGGAAGAAATGACCCAATTCACCTAAGCCGGTCAAAACGAGTGAGTCAAACTCGCTCCATCCTGTCATATCCGCAAGATATGATGCTGGGCTATGGTCCTGGACAAAATTTGGAATCCACTCTGGAGATGCTAGGTGCTCATAGTTCCTCATGCTGTCAGTGGCCTGTGCGGCAGACACGCTGCCAGACTCGAAATGATCAGTCTGTGCAGGGTCTCCACATGCATGCCCAATTCCACCAACGGCAGTAAAAGTAGATGAAGAGCTTGTCAATCGCAATGCCTCCTTGCGTAGCTCTTCAAGCACCACGACGTATCGCTGTGGAAATGACGCCAGAGTGCCACATTGGGCCAGGTCCTTTTGTGCCTCTTCACCCATCTGCAGGTATTGACTCAGATACTGTGCTGGAGTGGAACGATGCTGAATCACATAGACGTATAGAACCACAATGGCACAGAAGACGTAGTAATGCGTAAACTAAAACGAATCAGTGACTGATTCCAACCGAACAGGGCTATGCCTTTACCCAAAAAGACCGATACATCCGCTTTGACCTGCAAAGCTCCTTGAACAAGCCTGCTATTTTGGAAGCAGCCTGCAGACATTTCTCCACGTTTGTTTGTATATCCTGCTGCAACTGTGAATGTGTGTGACCAGAACGCCTTCCTAGTGATGCTAGGTTTCGCAGCAAGAATGGTCTGTAGAGTAGAATCTCTGCATGAGCAAATGCTAGATTGAGGACGTTGTACTGTCTCTGGTATGTTGGCTGAAGAAGTTCGATGTTGGAAGTTTCGAGAAACGGGCCAATGCCAATTCGCCATTCTGCGAGGCTCGAACCATACTTTTGTGCGATGACTGCTTGGGCCTCGAGGTTCTTTTTCTTGAGACCATATAGCTCTTTCAAAACTCCACTGATTATTCTCACGAGTCTGGAGATTGGTTAGTGGATAGAAAGAAAATAGTTGAGGTTTCTCACTTTGCGTGAAATACAGGCGCTAGCATTACGCTTTGCCCAGGAGAAAAGGCTGGCAGAATGGCACTTGTTGTAATCTGGAGATCACTTGCGCATGCTGGTAGATCCTAAGAACATGTGAGCCGATATATGTTGCGGTAGTAACATTCCAAAGCTCACTTGGTCAATATCTTCATCGTGAAAGATCTTTGGGCGACCCAGTGCCGCACTGAGGTAAATGTCCAAGCTGTATGCACACCAGAAGACCCGCTTCCTACATTCACTTTCAATATGATCGGATATAGCTTCACGTCGCCATCGTCTATGAAGACCAATCGCAAGGGCAAGGCGTCCAGTAGTACCGAAGAGACTCCAACAGTGGTTCACTCGTGACTCGGATAATAGATAGAAACATTGTGCTAGGCGGGCTTGAATGCTTGCAAGCCTTACTGACCCAGTTTCTTTCAATAAATGGTTTTCAGATGCGGCGAAGTACACATTGCTTTGTGAGTATGTTAGCCAGTTGCGCAAATACTACTGTGGGATAGCTTAGATACCTCTTGACAGACTGACCAACAGCTGGGCCCTGGTTAGAAAGGTATTGCTTTCCTTGAACCATGACCATCAACAACAGAGCCTTGACTGCCTGGCTAAGTGAATCATCTGATCCATGCACATCCGAGTAGAATGTATCGAGCCATGTTTCGATCGTAGCTTGATGAAGGAAACGGTGGGTTGGAAATGCAAAGTCAAAGTACCGATTCACAAGCATCTTAGCTTCATTTTTTGGTGGAAGTACTAAGAAATGCGAATCGTGTTTTGGCAAAGGTGCATCGCCAAAGTTGAATATGGGCCCATTCGAGAAAACGGCCACATTCTCGTGGATGCGCTTCTGGACTCGGAGTAAAAACGATACCCCAGAAGATGGTCCAACATAATGCCCCTCTAAGTCTGTTTGATTTGGCTCTGGAGAGTTACGCGACGAGATTGCTTCGTCGCCTTCTTCTCCCTGTAGAGCGGCGAGATGGGGATTAGGCTGTCGGGTATCATGACCCAGGCTGTACCGTGCATGATTCTGATCTGCAACTCTAGCATGAGCAAGCAATGGAGAAGCAGCTGTGGGTAGAGATATTTCTTTTGTGGAGATGATTGATCGCTCTGACGACTGCTGTTTACTGTCCAATTTCTCAGACTCAGTGTTGGTAGTCGACTTAGCAGTTATTAGTGGCGACTGTAAGCTAGAAATTCCGTGGTGCTCCAGGAGGGGAATTTCGGTCTTTTTGCCCCTCGTGTAGTCTGCATTATATTCACAATTTGCCCCTGACTGAAGGCACAGTGAACAGGGAAGGGTTCCAGAACAGCGCAGCTTCTTCCTGCGCACCATGTCAGTATATTAAAACCAGTGATAGATAAAGGAGCGAATCTACCGCTTGCATGCGTCACAAGCACGTGTTACTCGCACACGCTCTTTGCCGCGTCCGCGTCGGCGCTTGTTAGGATATTCGTCGGACATCATGTCAATAAGGGAACTAACATGACAATTTTAGATGCACCAATCAGATAGCTTAGGTTAAACGCAAGACGAAGTTGGGTAAAAGAGAAGAAATGCCATGAAGTGATCATCTGGGGTAAGTCAGCCCCGCATGTGGGCTATTTGCCTCGTTTATAAGGCTTTAATGTAACTATTACTTGCTTCGAGTAACTACATACAGCCGTCGTCAAGACAGGGTTTATAAGGGAGTCCTTTCAACCGTTATTAGATAACTCAACTAGAAAGACCACTTTATATATAGCTTGCGTCAGGATTTTGTCCTAATGGATCCGATTACACTTGGCAACCCCATGGCAATAAGGAAAATAGAACGAAGACAAAGATCTGCATTAGACATTATTCATTGAGTTTTACAAGCAAGATCTTGTTTATCCTATGTATCTATTACTGGGCTTTACTTATCTATCACAATCTTCTGAAATATACTTCAAGCCTGCATGCTGTATAAGCGACACTTGTGCTGTCTCGAGATACACATATCACGCATACAACACAGGAACCGCAGCTATTATATTGAGAATTAACAGATGAGCATACCTTCAACATGTCTATAAGCAATTTGTCTATCCACATCCCTTCGGGTTGAACCGACTGCGGGATGTTCGTGTCTCGGAAAAGCGACCGGAAAAGCAAACCCTAGATTAGACTAAGCGAGTCCCCGGGGATTTGCTATTCACACTTGGGAATATCGATTGGCGTTCGTATGCTATGAACTACTATGATTTCCCACCAAACGGAGCCTCGCGCCTAAATCCTACCTATGTTCGGATATCTATCTGTACGTGCTCAATATCTAGCACAGACTCGGATAACATCACGCAACTGCATTTTGTCACAGCAATGAGAGCATAGCGAAACCATCACGCACCCCGCTCCTTGGCATATCTTTGGTAAACTCTTGGCAAGGATACTTTAGCAAGTCTGAGTGGGCCAGCGCAGGCTTAGCTATCATGTACCCCGGATGTCAAAGACGTGGGGATATCCGGGGGAGCATAAGCTATATCTGTGACTACTTCCGAGTCCAGTAATAACATACTTCATTTTACATTTGATCACATCCAATACGCTGTCTCCCCGACAAAGTATCTCACAATCATAATGACAATGACCAAGGGCGATGTCGAGAAGAACGATAGCCATGTTGAGCACCTTGATTATATGGGGGATGGCCTCAAGACAAGCCCTCAATATGATCGATTTGGGTCTGCAGTAAAGTCCGACCCGAAAGAGATCGCTCTCGTCAAAAAGATTGATATTCATATGATGGTACTGCATGCTCCTATCTCATCTTCGCCGCACGACATTGTTAACAGTATCATAGCCAATCCTTTGGCTGATGTATTTTCTCAACTTTCTGGATCGGAATGCCATGGTCAACGGAAAACTCAATAGCTTGACCAAAGATCTCAATCTCCATGGATCTCAGTACAATACATGTGTTAGTATATTGTTCGTTGGGTAAGAAACAATCACCTCCCATTTCTGACACTCGGTCTCTCTAACGTAAAACAGCTATTTAGCTGGCCAAATTCCTTCGAATATGTTACTTAATCGCATCAAACCGGCATATTTCATGGCGGGATTCATGATGGCTTGGGCAATCGTTTCCACATTGACGTGCCTGGCCAAAGACTACCACGGAATGCTAGTTTGCAGACTTGTCCTCGGCTTCGTGGAAGCTCCTTTCTACCCAGGAGCCTTGTTCATGATTGCCCAATTTTACACCCGCAAAGAAGCACCAACACGTATGGCTATACTCTATACTGGAAACATGCTAGCCAGTGCTTTTTCCGGGCTCATCGCAGCCGGAGTATTTGCTGGTCTAGATCAAAAACATGGGCTTGCTGGATGGAGATGGCTATTCCTCATCCAGGGAATTGCCACGGTTGGAGTTGCCATTTTATCTGTTTTCCTTTTGCCTAATTCACCACTACAAACTCGCTGGCTTACACTCGAAGAGCGACAAATGGCACACGACCGCATCGCACGCGATACGACAGAGAAGAAAGAGGGCACTAGTACCTGGAGGGGACTCCGAGAGGCCTGTTCGGACTATCGGACTTGGATCTTTGCTATTATGTGCAATCTCCACTTGTCTGCGAACGGATTCAAGAACTTCATGCCTACTGTTGTGAAGACTCTCGGGTTCAACTCTACTATCACGCTAGTTCTCACCTGCCCACCTTATCTGATTGCGACATTTACTTCCGTTGCGGTGTCGTGGTCATCAGGCCGATTCAACGAGCGAACTTGGCATATTACCGTCTCTAAGGTGCTTGCAATTGTTGGATTTGCCCTTGCATGTGGCACTTTAAATATCGGCGCACGCTATTTTGCCATGATACTGTTTGTGGGCGCCACATACGGGGTGAACAACATCAACATTTCCTGGGTGGCCGCAACAGTTGGTCAGACGGACGAGAAGAAAGCAGTGGCTATTGCCCTGACAAACACGCTGGGGAATATTGCAAGTGTTTACACCCCTTACTTGTGGCCCGATAGTGATGCCCCACGTTTTTCAATGGCTATGTATTGTAGCATTGGATTCTCGGCCGGCGTGGTGATTCTGGCTTGGGTTATGAGAGTGATCCTCATGAAAGAAAACCGGAAGATTCGTGCGATTGACTCGGAAGTGATCAATCTTTATGCATATTGATATAGGGAATATTGGGATGTTCCATCTTGCAAACAATTTATTGATTTACAGTCTTTATTCATTCCAAAAAAATTTGTCTCTTGAATACCCACCATCAATGACAGATTTGGACATACTTCGTCTGGAAAACCTCAAAATCCACGAGTAGGAAGCCGATCTTAATTGAAAATTATGTTAAAGTCCCACTCAAAGCATAAATCTAAATCATGCGAACAAAGGTTCTTCTCCACCAGATCCCTCTCTCCAGAAGATAAAATTACCAAGCATGCTGGCATTCGACCAGCTAGATCATTTGTGTCATCGTCTTTGCCACGTGTGTACTCAACATGATCGGACGCACTTCCTTTGGAGACAGGCATAGTTTAAACGCGACTATGACTATTTCTACACACGTGTGAGACTGAAGTTGAAGCTCTTGGACGGCCGTTTAAGCTTGGCCAAGCCCTTGGCTCCTTTTTCTGTTTTGTACCCCCAGATTATGCTACACGACGAAGAGGTCATTGCGGGGTAAAGGGCTTAGGCGATGCATTTTCCTTACTTGGTCTCGGAAAAGCCCAAGGGGCATCGGATAAGGCGTGTTTGACCGCCGCAGTGCTGATCACGGGAGAACGCACAGGTACATACTTTAGGATGGTGACGATGCAGTCACGAAGAATCAAATTCGAGTCATCTATTCGGAGTGGGGTATCAATTGAGCAGAGTTTCCAGAAGGGGGGAAGAAAAGAAAACACCGCATTATGGTTCTGATGCAGAGGCCTGACGACTGCCTGGGAACAACAAGGTTGGCGTCGTCGTGCCTGGGCGAGAGTATCATGAATCTGTGTATGTGATCCGTCCCTTGGACGATCGTTTCGGCAATATGATGCGTACGAGATCATAACAACGATGCCCGGCTGGGACACGCCAGGCTGACCTCGAAACGTTCTGGTTCAGAGCAATGGTTTATTTGAGTCTCTCTGGATCCTCTCGAATAAGACATCTGCTACTGCCTTCATACCGTCAAGGTTCGGGTGAAGGAGTGGTCCGCCGTCAAACCCTCCGACCCAGGGTTCTTTGCTCCCAAGTGCGTGTCCCAGGCTAAGATCATGAATTGGGACTCTTTCGCACCAATCACATCTACTTTCAGTTGCAGCCAAATATGCATGTTGAAGGAGAGACGCAACTCTACTGTGGTGTGCGATCCTTTCCTGGTCGAAGGGAACATCCTGATCAGGTCGTGTGTCGGGTCCCAGAATAGCGAGGTATTCAACAAGGTAAATGCGAGCGTTTGGAGCCTGTTTGTGTACTTCATCGAGAACTCCACCTAATCTTTGTGCCAGTCCATCAAGCGTCAAGGGGTCTGGTAGTTGCATCGTCGCACCGCAAGCATCTGAAATCATGCCTCCAATGTAGTTTATGTCGTTTCCTCCTGCAGTGACAGTAATAATATCCGCGTCTCTGGGTAGGTTCGATAGTTGTGGCGGAAACACATCTTCGGAGAATGGAGCGGATTGGGGTTCGACCGTAATGTTGAGCAGAGTTGCGCCAGAGACTGAAAGATCGGTGAGTTCGGCGTTTAATCGTTGAGCCAGCAAGTGAGGATAATTTTGTCCTGATCGCATAGCGGCAAGAGGCTTGATTTGTGGGGGAATGTCGGGCCCGGCAGCAAATGAGCTGCCCAGGCTGGCAATACGTAGCTTCTTCTGATCCATGGTGGATATTGACAGGAGACTGGAGAGAAATGTTGGAAAATACCCGAGTTCTATTTCTAGGTGCCGATCAGGAAAAACATGAGGCCGATTCCGTGTCTTTCAACTGGTGAATTATAGATATCATGAAGGTAGGATTTGTACAAACATTGTTTCTCTTCTTTCAGTTCACGAGAAATACTCGCAGCCATAGTTTGAAGACAGAGGCAAACATATACGTACAATTCATGAGATTTCATATACGCTTTCCCAAGCCTCAGTCTCCATATCCAACTCCGATTTAGGGCCGGAGGCCCTTGGTCCTCCAGTCTACAGTCACCTAATTTGGTACCATCCGCCACTGGTCGCCAACCCTGAATCCTTCAGGGAAAGGGTCACTCGAATCAAGAACGATTTGCTTGAAGCTCGTGATCCAAGCTCGGCCAGCGACTGTTGGTAGGACAGCCTGATAGCCGCCCACCTTGGTTATGCCACGAATGTGGCTAGTGAACTCGGTTCCAATAATGCTGCGATGTTTGAAAATCTCTCCCTCCTTGAGTTGACCCCTTGCATGCAAAACGGCCATTCGGGCACAAGTCCCAGTCCCACATGGACTGCGATCAAATCTCCCTGGCGAGACAACAACAGTGTTGACAGCGACTTTACAACCATCTTCTATTGTCAGAGGCTCTGTGAACGCTAGAATACTGACACCCTTGATCCTGGGATTCTCAGGATGAACTGGGGTATAGGATGATTGGACTGCACGCTTTATACGCTCGCCCAAATCAACCAGCTGCGTGCTATACTGAGCCTCGACTTTCAATCCCACCGATGCGGCATCCACCAGCACATACATCATACCTCCCCAGGCGATATCAACAGAGACCTGCCCGATTCCAGGAACTTGGATTTTATAGTCAAGCTTGAAGACAAACGAGGGCACATTGTCGAATGCCACGCTTTTGCATTTCCCAGCCTCACATTTCGCAGTGACAACCACCAGGCCAGCGGCGGTATCCAGTGTCAATTCGGTGATTGGCTCTTTCATTGGAATCATACCGGTCTCCAAAAGCACAGTGGTAGTGCAGATGGTATTCGACCCTGACATTGGTGCGTATTCTTCGCTCTCCATGATCAAAAATCCGGCATCGGCTCGCGGATCGCACGGTGGTAAGATTAAATTCGTGTTCATCGAAGACCGGCCTCGAGGCTCGTTGAGCAACAGTTGACGTATGTTGTCTCTCTTGTTCAAAAAATAAACCAGTTTGTCGTACATCGTGTTGCCAGGAACATCAAGTACGCCGCCAGTGATCACATCACCGACTTCACCTTCGGCATGGCATCCAACAACTGACAATGTTCGGGAAAATGGCATCTTTTATGGCCCTTTGCGTTTGGAAGAGAGGAGATGGTAAAAGACGGAGTTATTGGTCTTTTTAAAACCCAACCCCGGACAATATATAGGTTTGAACTAATCAGCTGTTGAAAAGGGCGAGGCCTTTCTATCGATTTGTGATTTGCTGCATGGCTTCGTGTGGGGAAGCATAATTGCTTTTGTTATACCCTACGAAACCGAACTGCCTAGCCATGTTTGACGCTGGAAGCGCTACAAGCCTGGGGCTCTCCGCCCAATTTCCATAACATGTAACCCATCAACGTGGCTCAAAAAAAGAAAAAAGAAAATAGAAAAAAAAAAGAAGTACTTTCACGGGAAAAGAAACCCAATCTAACAATGGCGCCCCTAGCGCCAATCACCTCCTTCAAGTTCAACAAAGCAAGAGACCTAGGTCATAATTAAAAGTCGGTCAGACATCAGATCATAACTCAAACATTAGGGGACTTACAAGCTACATGTTTTGATATCCAAGAGTGACAAACACGCATAACATGCATATGCGGTAGGTCGAGCCAAACTTCTAAAACCCAGCAAAGTAATAGCCTTGGGAACACCGACTTAATTTCTTTGCACATTTGAAGTGGTCGATTGTCAAAATAGTATTCAGTAGGGGCAGCCGTTGAAGGCCTTGAGTTCAACTGTTGCAGGGACTCACTCAGTCTTGCACATACCCATGGATATCGGAATTCAAGAGCACTTTTGCTGGTGCAAAATTTAGTCTTCGATGTGTGGATAAATATTGCTAGTGCGTTTGCTCCAGTGGGTTTGAACTGCCATTTGATTCGATTCGATGTCGTTCAACCCAGCAACCCGTGGTCGGTTCATCCAGCATAGAATGCAGAAAAAGGCGATGATAATGCCACATTGACTTATGAGGACACCCATGCAGATATAGAAGGATAGCCCGTGGGTCTCCATCGTTGTAGTTCTAATCATAGTTTCAGATCGTAGATGGCTCTTTTTGACGATTGCAGAGAAGTGGGAAGAACAGAATAATGAAAGCATTCGCAATTGCATCGTCACCACTATAGGAATTCAGATTGACATTACGCCATAGCTAGGTAAATTCAATTCGTCTATCTATGCATGGAAGTGGATTTATAACGAATGCAATACTAGCTATTGAGGGGTTCGTAATATTGTCCTCAATGCACATAGAATGTAGAATGGCATAAGTGTGAATTTTAACTTGATCAATAGCTAATGACACCTGAAGATGGACTAGAAGAACGTATAAGGTTATCAATATGACCCCAACATATAGAGAAGGATCGCGGTCATGGTGACGGAGATAGAACTAGTCCTGATTCGGCGCCATATCTACCCATCCGTAAACCGGTCACGTGGCCGGTTACATTGTTTAGATATACATCCCCTCACCGTTACTTGGAACTGTACTTAAAATGGGCGTTAGTCTCTTGGGATGACAATGGGTTGAGCCCCTGTATGCCTTCAATATGGGAGCCAGATCCCGCCTCGGATGTTTGCCTTGTCGAAGGCGCAAAAAGAAGTGCGATGAAGCCAAGCCAACCTGTACAGCTTGCCAACGCAATTGCATAGGTTGTTTTTGGCCCAGCTCATTTTTTGAGAAGGAAGGCGTGGAGAGTGAATTGGGTTTCGGGCAAAATGTGTTGTTTGCGCAATCTTCAGCCATGGCCAATGCTGGGGCTATTGCTTCCGCCGAGATCCCCGTCTCGCTATTTCCTCTTGTCCTACCAGGATCAGTATCATCTGCTGGAGAGACTTGGATGATTCTCCACCATTACCTAAATGACACAGCAAACAGACTTGTTTGCTTACAAGACAGCGAGAATCCATTCCTTCATACGATATTTCCAGCTGCCTTGAATGACGAACTGTTGATGCATTCCGTCCTGGCACTTGCAGGGGTTCATTTAATGCGACGGCTTCCTCAAAATAATCCCAGTATACAGTCTTCCACTTGTCAAAGTTACGTTCGTGCATTGAAAAGCTTGAGGGTAGATTTGTCCCACATACTTAAAGATGACGGGCGCCGCAATGTCGATTCTGCGTTACGATCTCTTCTACTTGTTTTAATATTTTACCTTATCGAGGAAAGTGTTCGTTTTATCATGCTACAGATAATTATACGCTAACATACCACAGGCTACCCGGGGGAGCGACCATGAAGCAATGAAATCACACATGAAAGGCGCAAATTATCTAATGGCGTACATTTTGCGCTCCGATCCTAGCAGTATCCAGTCCAGTATGGGACTGTTTGTCACTGAGTTATATGCTTACAATGCTTGTCTCGCTTCTTTCACAGTTGATTGCCCGGCCCTAGCGACTTTGTGGCCTAATACACCAGCGACATCTCCACCCCAACAGGGCAATAGGGTTGGCATGCTATGTGGATGTGCTCATGATTTATTCACTTTCGTACCGAAAGTCTCAAAACTATTATCAGAGCCTGCAGGCAGCGCAACAGGATCTCAGAATGACGAATTTCAGATTGATGATAGGAGCCTTGTCGACGAATATTGGAGCATAAGGTCTCAAATATCGAGTTGGAAGCCCATGACCACCGAGTCTGATATTGCACTCGGCGCCGAACTTTACAAGCATAGTCTTCTTCTTTTGTTAGACGCCCGTTTCCAATCATTCAACGGCAGAGATGCTATTCGAAATACTTTTGAATATCTCAAATCCTTGTTTTTACGTCTGCCTTCCAACTCCCCAATTGCAACGACAGCGACATGGCCTTTGTTTGTCTTTGGAATGAATGCATATGGCTCCACTGAAAGAGACTTGGTTCGGCAATATATGAATTCTCTGATTAGAAATTTCGGAATGGGGATTATGGAGACTGCTCTCACCCAGTTGGAAAAATCATGGGAGAGGGGATCACATAAGGATATGTTGACTAGTTTTTTCTCAGACCGAAATGAGTTATTCTTAATCTGCTAAACCATATGTATATAACGTTAGATCAATGGAATTATGTCATAATTCGAGAAGAAATCTCCCAATGGATCCAACTTGATTAGCATACTAACGTTGAACGGTACGTGACATGTCTACGCAAACCAATTAACATAGGCATCAAGTACACCATCTCCCTATGCTTATCCCATGATCGTCTCCAAATGCAAATCCAACATGACATCCAGCCAAAACTCCTCCAATCCAGAGTCCGCGCGATCCCAAGTCTCGTTTATAACATTAGAAATTCGCTGCATTGGTAGCTTTGGAAGGATTATCGTAAGCTCAGACATCTTCATTTTGACTTTCCGTCTGGCTTGAGCAATATCAACATCCAAAGTATTCAAACTGGGAATTGCATTTGCGGCGGGACCTAATACAGACCCAGAAGAGAACACAAGATCACTGGAAATACAAGCCAGAATCACAGGCTGCATCACCTTAGTCCCAGATGTTGAAGGCAGTTGATCCAACAGAGATACAATGTGTAGTGCCAAGGTGTGTCTTGTGTCTTCGATCGAGAGTGATAACCAGTCTGCAGTAATTGGGAACAATAACAAAAATAGAGCCGGAATAGAGGGTTCGCCATCTGCCTCTTGATTGCTGCGCAGCCTTTCTTCCAAAATCTCCGGGAAAACGTGATAGATTTGTAAAAGTGCCGCACAGCGATATGCTTCGGCCAAAGTAAGGAAATGTGACGGGGGAGTGTTCATATCACCGATATCGACAGGGCCACAGTAAAATGAGAACCCAGAAAAGAGGATGTTTTGTTCAAGTTCCTCCGCCCTCTGTCTGAGATCCAGTTCTTCAGCCAAGCAGCTGAAGTCGACCAGGGTAGGATCGAGTGCCTGTGCTTGTTTCCGATGCGACGTTTTCGAGGCTCGAATCACTCTTGCAGTCCGATAGAAAAGACTCAATGAGTAGGTGAGAGATCCCGTCCATGGATGAGGAATTGCTTGTCCATCAACAAGGTAGATTGAGAGGTCTCCATCGCTGTTTTCCGTAGGGCTGTCCTCGTTCAGAATTGGCGAATCCTCGGCCACGAATGCAGCCAACAAGTTCCAATACAGCAGACACTGTTTGAAAAGTGGGTACTGTTTTGCTACGGCAAAGTTTGAACTTTTGCACCGGCGCTTCTGTTTCAGAAGATGCTCCTGGGCTGCTTTCAAATATGCCAAACCTAGGTCAGACGCATCGTGCCACCCAGTCGTGGATCCTAACATTAAGAGTGCCAGGAAAAACTCATCATCTCCCATGCGAGCTGTTCCTCCTCGTGCACTATTCTGTAGGCAGACGATCGCTTGTTGCTGGGTTTGTCTTCCGATGGCCCTCATACTTGGGAAATCATTTGCCAGTGATGCGGCTGACATGCTTTGGATGGTAAAGTAAATAGCTGCATTTCGACTCCAAAGTCGGCTGATAATTGTTCGGAATGGGTTAAGAGGACAGTCAAAGGATGACCATTGGTTGCAAACAGTACGAAAGTAATACTCGACCAGCATCGCTGGGAGCTGGATAAGGAACGAAGGAATCGATGTATTGGATAACTGCTTGCGCAAGATCGACAGACTGTTCTGCTCGTCATCGTTCTCTACCTCAATGCCAGGCAGCCCCGACTCGAGATTGAACCAAATATTTGTCGGGTCATCAAACTCTGGCAACTGGTCAAAGACAGAGGATCCGGTGGTGTCCAGCTGGTTCTGGTCGTCATTGGGAGAACGTTCCCTCTCAGGCTCCTGGGTTGGATTAGTCGCCTCAAAAGAATCGGTCGCTGTTGATTTGGGGGTCTCAGTCGGCGATGCTGTCTGAGTTGCCTCATGGGTATCATCTTTGAAGACATAGCGCCACTTTAAATCCTGCTTCTCATATCCAGGACACGTATGTCCCTTCTTGGAACATTCTTGACAACTTGGCTTCGTCTCATCACATCGGCGCTATACGAGGGTCAACTAGAAACATGAGGTCGGAAAGGAGAGGCAAATGACAGTGCCTCTTTCACTTCAACTTACTCGCCGCTGTTTGCACCTCTGACAACCCCCTTTGGACTTTGGCCTGCACCGATTTGGATTTTGTCTTTTCCTTGAAGTGGGGACTTCGTTTGCACTTTGCATCCTACTGTAATCAGCGAGACGTGAGTGAAATCGATGTTATCGAGAGTATGAACGCATAATGGAAAAGGCGGATCTCGGGCCGGCAACGACAGGCGAGCTTGGAAGGAGACACTATCGCCTCGACAAGCCCCGCGTCGGGATGCCAACCGATCCGATCACCTGACTAACCGCCGACTTCCAAGGCGAACGCTAGGGCAGTCCTGGAATCCCGATTGGTTTGATATAAGTGACTGGATTGTTGGGGCTTCGGCCGACGATGGTACTACCTATTTCGATCCCGCAGACTTTGGTCTCGTGATGTTATTTTGGTGTTGCTTCTCCACGCTAAGCCTAAACAGGAGCTATAACACGCCGTAGGCGGGTTTGTTCTCCTAATGGGACTCAACCCCCACGGCGCGCCGAATTCAGAGCTTGAATGATCTTTATCGAGAGTGATGTGACTAAACAAATAAAGTCTCACCCGCAACACCCTTAGTGTGGGTGGTCAGCATACCTTCATGTTGAGTACCATGCTAATGTTTCTCTGCAGCCATTAACCTCACCCAATCATGACCGAGGAAGCTCATATGTCTTGCATATTGGCACACTGCCATTTGTAACCCATATTTAGCAGTTTAGTCTTGCACACATCCCATTTCTGATCTTGCATGTGATTAAAAAGAGGAGTCTTCCACTCAAGCTCTTCCAGGCGAGCAACACGACACCTATGCTCTTGCAAATCCAAAATGGCTTGACCCAACTGAGATCTACTGAGCCGGTCACTTTTTCTATGAGTTGCATGCTTTTGCAATCCACGTCCGCAGCAATGTCGACTGTCAGATGCCATTTCATCGTGAAACCCCTCAGCTTATTTTGGGTGTGACGCAAATGATCGCAACTGGGACAGCTTGATAAAATGACCAGAAATAATCTCCAACTGGTCAAATCCTGCATGGCGCATGAAAGCCAGTGCCAGATCCATACCTACGCTCGCGCACTCTTGGAGGACTCTTGCCACATAGGTCAATTACTACTGGAAGTCGCACTCCCAGAGGTCAAGTCTTCTCAGTTATTGAGCATTAGTGGATGTGTCGTCGATATCAGTGTATCTATGTGGCCAAGAACTTTAAGCCGGTCATCTTCTGACCACACCGTCTCGCTTTTGCCAACAAAGCAGAACAGCGACTTGCTGCAATGATCGATCAAGGGCACATCTCTCTCTGCAACAAAGACTTAGCATGACATCACGAGTGCGGAGAAAGTCTTGTCCACTCTGAATTGAGTTGAAGATAATGACATGGTATACTAGCGATCTGGGCCTAGTATGTCGTATGGTGAGGGGAAATTCGCGCATTTCCCAGCCCGTAATGCCGGAGTGTCATGTTTCGACTAGAATAACCTCTTGTTGGAGCTACCAACATACTCCCATCAGTATAGACTATCGACAGTGGCTCACGCTGTACTTTATAAGATAAGATATTGATGCAGCACTATGTAGTGACATGCGGATAATTCCCTCACTATGTGGGTGTACACAGTACGTACATGTACTATACATCCTCCCTCGGAGCGCCAGCATCTCCACATAACCGCCACATTAGACTTAGCGTAGCCGCCGTGCATTAGCGTATCCACTAAATGTCATCACTAGTAGTAATCTGGACTAGCGCAGACAAACATAGCAGCCTCCAAGGCGAGGAGACAAGGCGAGGGATAAACCGGCCAGAGCTTGTGTACGTTTCAGCTCATTTCTTAGCGTGATAGCATCCTGTTTGACTTATCTTGCCCCTATAGCTGTGTCATCAGACTTGTCCTATCGTCAAATCACTATCTCGTTATCGGCCCATTTATCGACTCAAGTCCCCTGAACAAGGGCTTATTGTTGCCCGAAATGTGGAGACTCTCACCCCCTGAGTCCATTCCTAGTAACCTATGGTAAAGCTTGCTTATCGTGACTGCGTTGTGATTGGCACGACCAGAACGAACTGACTAGTACATCATCCCGCATCGCTAACCTTGTTAGAGAATGGCTTGAAGAGATAGGGCACAAAAGATTTCAATGAAATTCGGCTTTAGTGGCTGTTACTGTATGCCCGGGCCTCATATGGCCAATCAAATTAATGTCTCCGCATGGAGCCCTCGTCACCAGACAATCAAATAGACGTTTACTCCGATATCCTTACTCGACGATGCTCCGCTCTCCAATGACGAACTATAACTTTATAAGCCTGGGTGTTCCTCGATGTTTGGGTGTGCTGAGGACATAAGCTCCCAAAGAATCTTTTTACCGCTTAACACTTCTCTTTTTTACCTAGCATTACCAAAATATTTCCTCTAAACCCCTTCCCAGCGCGCTATTGTGATAACCCACTTGCTGCAATTCCCTAAAGCACCTTGACCATGGCAACCGAAGTCGACACCAAGCAGCACGGCTCTTCAAAAGACAAAAAGTTCGAGCCCGATGCACTTGACGACTGTCCCAAAATCGAAGAAGGCAAACATACCTCAGCAAACGGTGTACTTGAAGCCCTTGGCTACGAGCCTGAACTAGTACGAAACCGATCTACCCTCCAGGTGGCTTTTATGTCATTTGTCCTTGCAGCAATCCCATATGGCCTCGCAACAACATTCGTCTATCCGCTTGTCGGAGGAGGTCCGGTAAACATCATCTGGGGATGGCTTGCAGTGTCTGTGGTTATCCTCTGCGTGGCTGCTTCCCTTGGTGAAATTACCTCCGTCTACCCAACTGCAGGGGGTGTTTACTACCAAACCTTCATGCTATCGCCGCCTTCATACCGACGGATTGCTTCCTGGATCTGTGGGTGGTCATATGTTGTTGGCAACATTACTATCACCCTCGCAGTCAATCTTGGAAGCACCCTTTTCCTCGTTTCATGTATTAATGTTTTTGAGTCTTCACCTGGAGTGGGAATTTTCGAGGCCGAAACTTACCAAGTTTTCCTTATATTCCTTGCTGTCACTTTTCTTTCTACCGCAGTATCGGCTTTTGGGAATAAGTGGCTGCCTTACCTTGACGTACGATCAGACGTCCTTTTATTTGCCTGGATTTGCTGACGCCTTCAATAGACTTTTGCGATATTTTGGACACTTGCTGGTGTACTGGCTATTGTGATATGTGTTCTCGTAATTGCTAAAGACGGTCGACACGATGCCGAGTATGTCTTCACCAACTTCGAGCCCCAGTCCGGATGGCCAGCTGGCTGGTCTTTCTGTGTTGGACTTCTGCAAGCTGCTTACAGCACCTCATCAACTGGCATGATTATTTGGTACGTGGTCTTCACCCATTACCCGAGGTCGTAACTTACCTCTCGAAGTATGTGCGAAGAAGTTCAACATCCATCAACACAAGTCCCGAAGGCGATGGTCGGTACGGTCATTTTGAACACCGTGGCCGGCTTCCTCTTCCTTGTTCCCTTAGTCTTTGTACTCCCGGATACCACAATGCTTGCCGCCCTCGCATCCGGCCAGCCAATGCCAACTATCATCAAGTCTGCTATTGGAAATGAAGTTGGGTCATTCTTGCTTCTGCTTCCTCTGATAGTTCTCGCCTTGCTCTGTGTGATTGGCTGTACCACGGCTGTCTCGCGAAGTACTTGGGCCTTTGCTCGCGACGGGGGTATCCCGGGCTCTAAATGGTGGAAGCAGGTGAATAAAGATGGTGTCCCATTCAACGCTATGATGCTTGGCACGGCTGTCCAGATCTTGCTTGGTTTCATTTATTTCGGATCAACTGCTGCATTCAATGCTTTCTCTGGCGTTGGAGTGATTACTTTGACTGTCAGCTATGCCTGCCCAATTGCAGTGTCTCTTGCTGGGGGTCGAAAGCACATCAAGAATGGACAATTCGATCTTGGAACCCTTGGGCTGGTTTGTAACATTGTGGCTCTGGGTAAGACATCTGATCTATGATTGCTAAACGAACATCGCTAAATATTTACGCATTTAGCTTGGAGTATCCTAGCTATTCCCCTTTTCTGCATGCCAACTTCAATTCCTGTCTCCGCGGAGACAGTCAATTATGCACCAGTCGTTTTTGTGGCATTCATTTTAATTGCTTCCGCCTGGTACTGGGTTTGGGGTTATGAGAAGTATGCCGGGCCGCCATCATTGGATAGCGAACCTTGGCGATAGGGAATATAAATAAGCAATGTATCTGATACTTACTGGGAGTTATGAAATTGAAGCAATTCCAAGACATCTCGTGTTACTCCACTTGAGGCTGAGAGGCTGAGAGAGGGGCACGGCCCGTCTCACCTGCGACCGCTCTTTTCTCCCACTCAGCATTTGCTGCCCAACCCTTGCATTGTCTCTTGTCTATCATTGCGGCAATCCGTTTGTCTAGGTTTTACAAAATGCAGGAACCAAACTACCTAGTCTGTGCCAACCTGTTGGTGTACCAATGGAACGGTGAACTTGCAGACGACTGGCGAGAGACTCACCTCGTAAATTTTCATATTGAAGATCCTAGCGACATTTCTTCTATTCTTCCTGCTTGGTCAAAAGTATGCATAATGTATGTGATAGGACTCCATGTCCAGAAGATTGCTGACGAATCAAGTGTCGCCAACTCATTTGCGATTCAAAAGTGCCATCAGTGTCGAGAGTCTTTTGCAGATGCGCTCGCTATGCCTAAATTCTGGTGGTCAAAATATTTCCGAGATGGAAATGGCGGTTTTGGATGTGAAAGCACGAGGCGTTCTGGAGTTGTTACTGGCTTCAGTAAGTACACAGATAGTAACTAATGTGATAGCGCTGATTTTGCTAGACACCTGGTCTAAATTTACTGTAAAACAGGTGGAACCCGATGCCAGTTTCACATGGTATTATACAAATCTCTTCACTAGATGGCTACCGTCCACTGGTCAGACTATTGTCCTTGCATTCGATATGCAGCCACCGATCCAAGGGCGATGTCTCAGAGCTCTCATGCATCCGGACCCGAGTCTTCTCAGTGATCCATTCTGGGCTCACCCATATCTGATGGAACAGATTGCTCGCGCCCAAGAACCCTCTGTGTGGGCTATCCGAGACCATGTTCGAGCCTTGGAGACCGAAAGGAAACCAGAAGGTAGACCACAGCCTGACTACAGGCGGCTCCACGACATCGCACGGCACGCAATTCATGTCAATGAGACATTAGATGCCACCATGCAAAGTTTAGAGTATTTGATGACTGAACATGAATACTATAAAAACTTGAGCCATGAGAACGCCACCAGTGCATCTGAGGATATCCACCGTCGTCTGCGCTTTTTCCAATCTTTCATCGCCAATCTACGCTCTCGGTCAATCTCGAATGAAAAGAGGCTTCAAAACGAGATCCAGCTGGCTTTCAACACTGTGGCCCAGCATGATTCAAGTATTACCCTTGAAATCAGTCGCGCTACTCAACTGGATAGCGCCACCATGAAAACAATCGCTTTCGTTACTCTCACATTCCTGCCTCCTACCTTCATCTGCGCTATCTTCAGCATGTCATTTTTCAACTACGGCCCTGATACTGGTTGGAATATGTCGAGCAACTTCTGGATCTACTGGGTCTTTGCTATACCCACAACTGTTTTTACAACTGTGCTATGGACTTATTGGGGAGACATTCGGGACATGATTCTTTTGAAAAAAGAACAAAATTAGATTCTCCATTCAGAACAGGTTTATACTCTCGAAATTGGGCATACTTGTGTACCGATTCCATGGCTTATACTCACTCGTAGTTCATCCCCCGGCTGAAGGAATTGTGGGGGCTTCTGTGAGATACCAATTCCACAAGGTGTCCCTGTGATGATGACCGTTCCAGGCAATAAGGTGTGACCCTATCATTGTAAGCTAAGTAGGACATTTAGGCCTTTGGACTTTTCACCCATACCTGAGATAGATAAGAGACAATTTCGGGTATACTGAATATCATGTCGTCGGCAGATCCATTTTGCATAATCTTCCCGTTGAGAGAGGTCTTCAGATTCAAAATGGCAGCATCGGGGATTTGCTCTGTGGAAACAATACATGGGCCGAGAGGACAGAAACCGTCCTGGTGGATGTCAGCTATGATGCTAACCTTATCTGAAGCAACTTCCCAAAGCATACCATGCCCTTTGCATACGACCATTGCGAAGTCTGTTCCTGATGCTTGCGGGCGGTCACGTCATTGGCGACGGAATATCCCAGAATGTAGTTCGATGCTTCAGAAACTAAAACATTCTTGCATTCCCTGCCAATGACCACGGCCAACTCAACCTCATAGTCTGCTTCATCATAAGCCACATTGGGAGGTAATATGATTGGATCGGCGGCAGAAGCAATGCAGGTCTCTGCCTTGAGGAAAACGCTTTCAAATATCAGCAAGTAGCTAGCACCAAAGGGTCAATATACGAACGTTGGTGTTTTTGGAAGAGTCATCTTCATCTCAGCGGCATGCTCCTTGTAATTGAGACCAACACAGCGAATAGTTCCAGCTTCTTTTTGTGACACTGGAGATAGAAGCTGATCAATGACCTTGATTTCACCAGTAAAGGAAGCGTCATAATCCAACGCTGAGCCGCCAGCCACGACTTTGACAGCCACTTCAAAGTTTTTTTCTATGGCCTGGCCCACTGCGATTTTGTTAACCAAATGAAATTTCTTAAAGGGCATTGACATGTAATACCATCAATGTTCGCATTTACAGGCTCGCCTCCGTAGATTTCACCATCTTTGCCTCTGAAGCGGACCCATCGTTTCCAAACCTGGAGAAAATCAGTTCAATCGAATTGCAAGGAACACTTATGCAAGGAAAAACTTACTGGATGGTTTGTAGGTAAACTTGGTTTAACCCCGTTTGTTTTCGAATCATTAGAAATCGTCATGTTCAAAGATAAGCAAAATAAAGAACAATTCAGAAGTTACAAAACCTGTCGTCTTTCTCTTCTTATCAATGTCTCATGATGTACCCCCGACTAGAGTCGGGAAATTCATCGGGAAATTGGTGGCCGATCAAAGGGACAAGGTTTGAATTTACCGATGCCAAGATGATAAAACGCGGGGAATGGCAAAGTTATCGGATCAGGCCGACCAGGCCCGACAAAACCTTGTCGGAATTTGGGAACCCTATATCGCATCTGTGAAAGACTCAATGGGATTAAATATAATATCAAAAAGTCCATATTGTGGTGTATAACATGTAAAAGTGATGTTTAAGGTTACGAAAAATTAAGGTAGAGCCAATTAAGAGAAGGAATTGGTCACTCTCGCTTCTTATCTCTCACGGTTCAATTCGGCTGCGATAGGCGCCACCAATGTTGTCGGACAATTACCGCCCCCTTTCCCCCCAATTCTTTGAATAAACCGATGTATTCACCGATGGTTGATAACGACTGTATAGATGTGATCGGTACTTAAAGACCGATGAGGATCATATGTCTACTTGTTTCCGTTCTCGGCATCACCCTACTATTCCTTGCCCAGCATGACAATCAAGGAAACAGACATCAAATTTCAAGCCGACACATCTTCGGACCATGATGTGCAAATGGGCAACTTCTCAATTGATCCCGTCCGCGAGAAGAAGCTTCTGTGGAAGCTTGACCTCTGCATTTGCCCCTTAGTGATGCTCATTTTTTTGGTTGCCTATCTTGATCGTAGCAATTTGGGGTAAGCTTTTATCTCACACAGAATATGTCCAATTGCTAATATTTTCTAGAAACGCGGCTGTTGCAGGAATGCCAGTAAGCACGAGACCATAAGTGGCTGGAGGGGCTTTCAATACTAACTGTGTGCTCACAGGAAGACATCGGTCTAGTTGGAAATGAACTAGGGAGTGAGCTCATTCATATCCCATTCTTACTACACTCGGAGCTAACAAATCGGAAACAGATGCCGTCTCTCTGTTTTACGCGACCTATGTCTTTTTCGAGATCCCATTTTCGATGCTTCTCAAGAAATTACGCCCAAACAGATTGATATCCGCGTTAATCATTGGTTTCAGTGCGTCAGTTCTTGCCGGCGGCTTTGTCAAAAATGTTGCGGGGCTTTATATTACCAGACTTTTCCTCGGTGTTTTTGAGAGCGGTCTATTCCCGTGAGTTTCGTTATCATATTTGTGCCAAAGTTAAGCTAATAATTGTTTAGCTGCTTGACGGTTCTCTTGACCACTTTCTACAAGCGCGAAGAGCAAGCACAAAGAATTTCATATCTTTTTGTATCTGCTGCTCTGAGTGGAGGATTTGGCGGCCTGTGCGTGAAGCCCTCTTTAGGTTATCGAACCCTTTTACTGCACATGCTAATAAATATTATAGTCTAGCGTTTGGTTTGGTTCGCTTGGACGGCGCAAGTGGCCTCGAAGGCTGGAGGTGGCTCTTCATTGTGGAGGGATTAATGAGCGCCGTCGTTGGCATTGCCACTTTCTTCCTTCTTCCGAACAATTATGAAACCGCTTACTTCTTGAACGAGGAAGATAAAGAGTTGATGCGCATGCGTATGCAGCAAAATGCGCGTTACGCTGATTCCGAAGAATTCGATATTAAGGAAGTGTGGAAAACCCTGAGAGACCCTAAGAGCTGGCTCACCTCCTTCAACCAAATATGCGTCAACACTTGTTCCTTCGGATTCAGCACCTTCTTACCTACAATTATTCGAGGATTTGGCTATGATTCTGTTAAAACCCAACTACTCACTGTCCCTGTGTATATCTGGGCTTCCGCTTTCTACTTGGTGGTTGCCAATCTGTCTGACCGAGTTCGCATGCGGGCTGTCTTCATGGTCCCCTTGTGTCTCGTAACGGCCGTTGGATATGCTTTGATGTTGGGAGTGGATGTCCATGCGCGTGGTCCACTTTATTTTGCAACATACGTTTGTGTTACTGGGTATGGACACTCCATCGCTCTAAGAATACATTGGGGTATAACAGCTGACATTTCTTTCAGAATCTACGCGGTTGTTGGCCTCGGAGTCAGTTGGAATGCTAATAGTCATTCGGGTTACTATAAACGTGCCATGGCAGTGGGTCTTCAGCAATCTATCGGAAATTGTGCAGGTTTAATTGTAAGACAACATTCAAATGGGTGCTTTGATTTTTGGCATAAGCTAACATATGCCACAGGCGGGTCAAATCTACAAGTCACCAGTTAATGGGCGCTATGTGACTGGGCATTCCGTTTCACTTGCTACGATCTGCCTTGCATTCTTTGGAAACGCGGGAATGTGGACGTTGCTGCGATACCACAACACTAAGCGGGCTCAAATGTCACCAGAGGAGAGGGAGAGGATTGTCAGCTCAGGGTCCTATGAGAAGAAAGGTGGAGACTTCCATCCGGACTTCCGCTACATCCTGTGACATTTTGTATGCCTGCATACGTATCAACACATTATAATTTATATTTGGAACTTACATAAGTCGATTTGTAAAGGATGGATTCCAAGTGCTTGCCCTGTCCCTTTTGTGAATTAATCTCCTTCTTCCTAAAGACGTTCATTCGATAATCACAGAATGTTAAGGGAATTTGTTTAGTCTTTGGGCTACACTTGGAACCAGTTCCATTCGGATTGAATAACTATTTCGAATGTATTGGATGGTTCTTCTGAGATCAGATGCTGTTAAGTGCGGGACTGGTGTTCCTCAGAACGGATTTCACTCGCCAAGTGGGGATCGGCGTTCGAATGTGGCAGGAGAAGTCACTTTCTTGTTTGGGGTTGGTAGTTTCAAATCCCGATCCATAATGTAAGATTGGGGCCTGGTTATGCTCCGATCATTTACAATCCTGGAGCTGTCTACATACTCTCGGACATCTTCCGAATACCTTTACTGAAGACATTTAAAAATCGATCACTCGGGGATGATTTGTTACTGTAGCCTGCTGTCTCATCCATGGGTCTATAGAAGCCTGAATGTATAAGAGACTTATTCACCAATTGACGTTGGATAGCGTATTAACCGTGGGACCTTTTTCTATAGAGCCCCTTACCACAGCGTGATATTCACACTCGTCTTACATGATCGGCATTTATATGACCAGGATATATTTATAGAGTACGGATCATCCGAAGTATCTAGGATCACGTCTACAAAGGTCTTCCAACATCTATCCTACATTTGTGAGCACTGGTGATCAGCCAAAACTGCTCCAAGCATGGTATGTCGTGGTGGAGACTAACGCAAGATTCAGTGGGGACGGGGACTTGGCAATTCGATACTGAGTGATATTCATCTGAAACGGTGTAGATCACCGGGGGGCATTGCCTACTACATCTACTACTATATACTACTACATGCACCTTTGTTACTAAAAAATGAGGATATACCTAAACACGGACCCCCACACACTGCATACATGTACCTTGTGCGAGATGTGGTAAGTGATAGGCATCGAATTTGGGATATACCCCCACGCAATTGAAACCGCCTTGGCAAAGCCGTGGCCTACAAAATTCCGCTTGGCTTTATTCATATCGTGATTAGTAGAAATTAAAGCACTTTGAAAGCTACACCATAGGAAAGCTCTATGTGGGGCATCCGAAGTACATGTTATATTTCTAAAGATACGGATTGAAGCTATTGTTCAGGATCAGGGGTAGTGATATACTCTATATTAGAGTTGTAGTTGTAGTCCATTGGATTGCCCTGCAGAATATGAGATAATCAAACAATTTGGGGCCATTGGCTTGCAGACTTTTGCTCTAGGATTTGGCCCCCATTTCCCTGCCTTGGTTTTAGCCTTCATTAGTGCTGATTTTCTGGGATGCAGAATCTTGCATTCAAGTAAAAAATGATACACTGGTCATGTGAAGCAACTATACCCTGTCGACCAACCTTCCATCATTGTTTGTAATTGCACAGCAATGGGAGATCTACGTTCATTTTCGGGATTGGGACTAGTCACAATTGACGGTCCCACGTTTCAAAGAGTCTCTAGGCAATGAAAGTACTGTATTCTACATTCCAATCGATATTCTGCTCTTCTGTGGGTTCGGGGTATCTCTAACAGCTAGTATGTAAAGTCTTGGTCTTGCTGGGATTTTTGAGTTGACCCCTGGATCAGCACTCATATTATCCACTTCAGTTCTAACAGTTCATTAGACGACTTGCATCAGAATAAGACTCCTTCAGCTAATTTTTGGACCCTTAATAGGTGGAGCTAACCAATCACTCAATGCACTGTAGCATAATTTACCACCAACCCCAAATCTGCCTGCCAGGTCTCCCGGAAGGTAATGCTTTCAAATGTCGGGTCATATGCAGGAATCAACGCCAGGCATGCTGTATAGTAGAAGGCAAACACTCAGAGCCATATCGTAAATTGTTTTTTTCCTGCAATATAATGGTCGATAGGCCCACTCTCCAGAAAGTGGACAGTGGGCCCCGATTCAGCCCCGTCAATCCTTTTGTGCTTTGCTGATATTTCTCCACAGCAGCTCATATTCATGATATCATAGTAAGCATAGGAGCGCAGTGCTCTTGGTACCGGCTTTCAGGATGGCTCCGAGCAAGTATAAAAGCCCTCTGAACAGCAGCATCAAGAGAGGAGCATCAACAACAAACATAGCTCCCATTCCAGCTATAAACAAACCATTCTTCAAATATCAGTTTTCACAGCACCATCATGTTTTCTCTCCGCACCGCTCTTCTCTGCCTGATGGCTGCCTCTGGTAGCGTCTACGCCGAGCACCTCAAGGTCGTCTGGTCGTCTGGTGACTTTTCCACAATCTCCGGTCCTGCCGGTGGAAACACGAACGGACATTACTCCGGCTTTGCTATCATCAACGACGCTGGCGAAGCCATCTATGACCAAGGCTTCCCCGATGACCACGCTCCTTGTTACAACACCGACGACGGCCGCGAGTTCACCATCGAGGGTGACTGCTGGAGTACCCCACGCAAGTTCAAGTGCATGGCTAATTTCGGAGGCCATCCTGAAACCTGCGAGGTCAAGGACGGTTATGGCAACAGCCTTGGCACCGGTACCGGACAGACTGATACCACTTTCATTGGTATTTCTATCGGTCAAGACGCTAGCTGTGTTGTCGAATTCGATTCTGACAGCGATGGCTGCCCTGTTGATGACGGTAACGGTCCCCTTCACGTTACCTCCGGTTAAATGACACACCAGAGCTCGAAGGACACCCTTTGCAAATGTTAGAACTTTCTCTTTTGTATCGAGATCTCATTCCTTGAACAGGATTTTGGATACCTCTCTGTATAGTCTGATGGGTTTATTATCTTCTTGCATGAATTCAATCATCTAGCAAACAAAGCTGGGATGGTCATATCCTTTCCTGTATGTACCTGGCTGCACGTTTCTAGTGTCTCTCTCTTTAAGAATCTAGCAACTTTTACAAAGCTATCGTATGGGGATTACCGTATTTGCTCGTATGCTTAGTCGTTGGCGACACAGGCGAGGTAATACTATACCACCCCGACTTGGGAAACCCTTGTCCCTTTGTTGTTCTTCTCTCGACGTCGCTCAGCCACCAGTCCTTCCAACCTCCATTCATCTACATCCATTCTACTTGTCTACCATCTTACGATCCGCTTTCAACGGTTCATCATGTCTTCCCCTACCAAAGCGAAGGAGACATCCGATCTCGCCGGCCTCACCCCGGGTGAGACCAAGCACCTGCTTCTTGCTAACCTGTGCATGACCACCACTGGCAAGGTTGGAAACATCGCAAGCTTAATGCTGCTCAAGCTAATTACGTATATGCTGTACAGATGGATTGGGAGCTCCTGGCCACCCTCACGGACACCAAGGCCAAATCCGCCCGATGGACTCACCTGACGGGTCGCCGCAAGCTTGAAAATGCCTACCATGAAGCCCTCGCTGGTATTAACAGCAAGGGTGAAGCCCCTGATAACCAGGGCGACCTAAAGTCCCAGGAGAAGAAGTAGCTTGAACAACAACAGACAGCCAGGAGAACACACGAGGCGATGCGCGTGGGTCCTGAATTTATGAGTTCTTAACAACTACCTCGATACGGTGATCATGGAAGTAAGAGGCCCAATCTGTTCCTAGTTACCCGGCTGTGTTTACGATTGTAATGGCCATCGGTAAATAGATCATTCACGTTTTCGGCGCTACGGCGAGTAGGGGTGACATTTTCGAGGGACATAGCTGGCTCAATAATTCCACATAAGACAGAAATACAAGCAGACATCTATCAGTCTACATGTGCAAACAATATTCGTCAAATCGCGTGATCCTCTAGGCGGATCTAATGTCCCCGTAGCCTTAGATTGAACTCGGATTCAGCTCAGATGTACTGGAGATCATGGATGGATTGCTTCGGGGCGTACGCCTGATCTACAAACTTCGTGGTACTATATTGACCTCGGGTTCGGTAGCATTCGATCTACAGTCACCGTATCGTTAGGTTAATCGTAAACTCCGCTCAGATATGCCGTACATCATGCGTGGATCGTTTCAGGATAGACAACACTTCCGAACCTGTCCCGCCGGTCGATGTGGAGCATGAGAGATGAGATGATGTTGTACACGTCAACGATTCGTTGTCATTGTTCATAATTGCACTTGCAGATCTGGTACCTTCCCAAGTACACTTCTAATGCCTGTTTCCGCCCTCGATACCTGCATTCTCACCAACTGATATCACGGAAGATGCCTCGATGCTTCAAATCCAGCGCGGTCTCCGCCTAATGAGAAAGGAGCGTGAGATCGTCAAAGGGTCATAGGGCTAGCACCCACTCATCGTGACACGTGCATTTCTCTCCGTCCCTTCGCCCATCGCAAGCTAATGATAGTCAGACAGATGGCAGGTCAGACATACAGCACACGCTACCCCTACCTTTCGATCCAAATTTGCTATATATTGCTTCAGAGTTATGAAGTATCTGGATCGTCTTAGTGGGGTCGAACAGCAACAACTGCTCATATAGTTTTCTAGAGCGGCAGGGATAATCGCTGTGACGTGACAATGTGCCGGAAAATCTCAAGTTACTCGCCCTCTTCAGGGTGAGGCTGCACTACATACACTTTGCACTCTGTGGATGAGTAGTAAAAGTGGATTTCAAGAAGTGGTATACTTCTTTTACGAGGGGATTGGTCATTGGAGACTCTGTGACAAAGGACTTGTATCTCATTTGGGTCGACAAGAAGCTCTTGATATGGTTTATGAGCCCTGCAAGTTTGCCAACAGTGATGAGAATGACCTCAATGCTACCGTCAGATATACTATGTATGATATGCAATCTCAGAAATCATTTGCTCCCAGGTTTCAAGATCTGCTGCTTGTGGAAACGCAAAGTTCTGATCTTCCCAGACTGCGGGCCACATCATATCAGGAGAATAAACTGGTGGCTGACTGGGGGAATCGGCCATTCCAGCACCCGCGATATTCATTGTTGTCGACATGTCTGAGTTACCTTCTCGCTGTTGTATCATAAAGTCTGGCAAAACGTCGGGTGAACTTATTGGAGTCTTGTCGCTCGGCTGTTCGGTGGCTTGGGCAAATCCTCTGGTGCGGATGATACACAACTCGACCACTTTGACCTCAGCAAGGCCAAATTCGTTAAGCCAGACATCCTTTCGCAGTCTTTCGCAATATTCCTCGAGGTCGTTCAATATGGCGGCAGTTTGAGGGGCATTTGGTCGCCGCACCGCTATAATACCAAGAATGAAGGCACTGTTGAACATGTTGTGGGTTCCTAGTGTCCATCTCATGTTTTCTGCCGTTCCGTAGTTTAATGACTGTAACCTGATCTTGAGATCGGAAGACGCAGAGGATATACATGCCTCGTGGCTTAGGCCGAAGCGATTAGTGATGGATTCGCGTAGAAGATGAGGTCGATGAAGAGTGATTCGAGCAAAATGAAATGCGGAGTGCAGATAGAGCCGATGCCATGGCAAGAATGTATTCGAGTCATCCAGTGATAGTTCGGGGTCATCCACAGAAAAATACGCAGGTAGTTGTTGTTTCCACGCAACAAGCTTGTCATCCATTTCGACTACCATGTCGTATGACGCAGGGTACAGGCCAAAGCATCGGTCCTGTATTTCACCTGCAATTTTAGCTAGTGCAGTTCCAAGAAGCGATACAGTACTCCGTGTCGGGTAGCTTATAGCATGGGCCTTGGCTGTAGATGACTGCTCATCTGTCAGTCCATCCAGCCACACATTTTCTGGTGCTTTGATGAGACACATATGATCCGATATGGCGTATGGCCTTCCGAGAGCAAGTGCAATGGTCTTGTCGAGCATGTACAGATTGCTCCAGAGGCGTCTTCTGGTCTCCGTAGCTTTCTTGGATAGTCCCCACTTTTCTCCATCGATATGCATGCCCTGTGCTTGAGCCATACGCATAGCAAAGCTGATGGTGAGCCAACTCTCAGCGACTTGCCGGGTATATAGCAAATAACGTGTGACCATCAGGCCTGCTCTAACAAGATCCAAGCTTTCTCCGTGAAAAGAGGGTGAAATAACGATGGCTCGTCTGGCAGCCCAGTAAAAGCGAAGAGAAGCTTCCTCGCTTTCTTTTCGTTTTTCAGGTGAAGAAGTCGTGGGGCTGTCTAGGAGCACACTGAAGGCCAGGATAATAAATAAGAGAGCGAGCCATCGAAGATCCACGCCAGCAATTTCGTCAAATCCAAACTTTCGCCCCCAGAACTCTGCGAATTGCTGTCTGAAGGTCTCGGGGTGGACCGTGTCGATGGCCCAGTTGATCTCAGTCAAGAATCTCTCGATCAACTGATCAACAGTCACCTTATTCCGCGGTAAAAGACCAAGTAGATCCCAGACTTGTGAGAATGGACCGGAGTCATTCCGGAATGATTGCAACGAGTCCTTGCTGGACAAAAGGCTCATCGGGGGTAAATCAGGAGCAGATTCCTGGATCATACGTGCTGCCACCTGGTGGCCAAAGTAAGAGTTTCCAAAGAAGCTCGGTGCTCCTCTGGCAATATATAACTGCCCTAGCTCTGTGCCCTGGTTATCTGCTGTATGGTCACCTTGTCAAACTCAATACTTGCTGTGTGGGCGGTGTTAACCTTACCTGCTGCGCTGACTGCCCCCTGAGAGGGAGCTCCATGGTCTCTATCTTTGTCGGGCCACCGGCACAACTCGGGCACTCCACGTTGAATGCAGCGAGAGCATGGTAACTCTCTGTTGCATTTCTGTTTCCGGGAGTGGCATTGGGAACAGGATGTTGTCTTGCGGCCACGTCGAGTTCTAGCACGGGTTTCGAGTATCCCGTTGTTTCTGATCTTCCCATTTGCGCTCATAGCTTCATCTGGTGGCAGACCCCAGACACGAGGGATCGATGTTTTATAACCAGACGACAAAGCTGAGGCTCGTCTGGGCACCCGGAAGGTTAAAAGTTCTCTCAAGCGGAGGTTGTTGCCTGAGAGATAAGGCTTCAACACCACGTTAACGTTTAAGGTTAGTTGGTTATCAAGACGAAGTTATATAGCTGGAAACGATTTGGGTTCTAATACTCAGGTGCTTTAATGAGCTGAGAATGTGAAACTGTGCTTGTCTATCACTCTGAACTTGGGAGCGCTTGTTAGTATGTTGATATCCACTTATCGTTAACCTCAATATTGAAAGCTTTACAATTCGTTTTCCTCTGCACTTGAGAAGTATGATCACGGCATCAACAGAAGCGAGATATTCAAGAAACGAATTCATAACCTGATCTCAATTTGTGTGAAAAGAGAGTGTTTAAAACTTTTGGGGCTGCTCCTGTAGACCCCTTCCAGTCCGGGGCTTCTGCGTATAGGCCGGGTGTTCCGGGTATCAAAGAAGCTCAAGAAAGGCACAATTACTTCATGGAGCATAATTGTACTACAAAACAATCTGACTGTCAAAATTGTCAAAAGAAGAGAGAGCTCGAATTTGTTGGCGCTTATAGAGCTGCTGAGTCATCTGACGTCAAGCGCGTTGTTTACATTTCGTTCGCTTCGACCGCTTCGACCGCCTCGACTTCCATGCTTCCCCACTCCCTTTCTTGAGATCTATCCCTGCAATACTTTTTCAGACTATTGCAATTTCCTCACATCTCACTGTCTGTCGCTTGTGTTTTTCTTTGCAGCTATGGCGATTCGCCGATCCGCGCGCATTCGTCGCGCCCAAGAGTCTCCGGAGGTGAGTTAGCATAGCAACATCCCATTGTGGGATGGGCCCAGGTAATCCTCGTGGAGGTTCATGTCTAATGTTTATTTCTTTTCTGCTCAGGTTGAAGACCCTACCCCTCAACAACCCCAGCAAACTGCGGCTTCCAGACTTGCCTCCGTTGCCGAAGGGGAAGAGACTGCCAACCATAATCTTCCCCATGTTCAGACCCCAGTCGCGCAGACACCATCTCAAAAGACTCCCAACGCGTCTGCTCAAAAGAAACCCGCGACCGCGCAAACTCCAACTAGTGCGACAGCGGCTCGTCCACCTCGAGAAGAAATGCATCCCAGCAAGGTGCACCAAAGCACGACCAAACGCGCGGACTCGGGGCTGATCCTTGGATTCAACCCCGTCAAGAAGGATGCTGATGGCAAAGTTGTCAAGCAAGGCGTAATTGACAATACACCTACCAAATCCAAGGCGTCTCCCGCGACTACCCAGTTTGGAACTCCAGGATTCGAATTCAAGTTCTCCTCCGAAGAAAACGACCTCAGCGACCAGGCCAAGAAACTCATGGAAAGTGTCCGTGGCGACGTAGCCCGAATCAAGGCCCAGATGATTCACGACAAATCAAAGCAAGATCACGAAGAGCACGGAGACCGGAAGATTGCCATGCCGAAGGGCAGGGCTGGCCGATTCAGCGATGTGCACATGGCCGAATTTAAGAAGATGGATTCGATTGCTGGACACGCTTCGGCATTCCGCGCTACTCCTGGTCGCTTCCAGCCTGTTACCAAGACCCTCAAGCGATCTAAATCCAAAG